GGGGGGGGGTGTACGTACGGGGAGTGAGACAGGGGTTGCACTTTGGGGGCAGAAACGTCAGGGTACAGTTGCGCGATAAGACCCCCACGCTCAACTCACCACCAGAAGAAACTGGAGATGACAAAGGCATTCACCGTTGCTATTAGGCAAGAGATCTGTTCTGTTGGATACCAATCATCGCTGACGAAGAGCTCCTACAGCGGCCCCTCCTGCTCCGGTAAATCCGTACGTCTCCATCCCACGCTCAGCTCTCCCATTTCTACCCACTGATCAACTCATCCATAGACCTGCGTCCGTTTCATCCGACGAATATTTCCAAACACCACCATCGTCTACGAAGACGACTTCTACCTCCCCGATTCCGAACTCCCCATCGATTCAGAAACGGGGTATCAAAACTGGGATACAGCCGAAGCTATCAATTTCGATAAGTTGGTTGATGTGTTACGGTATACGAAACGTGAGGGAAGGCTACCGGAGGGGTATACGAGTCGGGAGGATACGTGGGAGACTGGGGGTTCGAAAAGCGTGTCCACAGAGGTCTTGGACGAATTACAGCAAATGGTCCAGCAACGACTGAAAGAGAAGGGGGTAGAAGATTCACGGTTGGTGTTTGTGGACGGCTTCATGCTCTACAACGAACAACCGGTTTTGCGCGAACTATCCCTAAAGCTCCTCCTCCGCGCCCCGAAAGACATCCTCGCCCAACGCCGTATCGATCGGGGTCCATACATCACCGCGGAAGGGGAGTGGTCTGATCCACCCGGGTACTTTGAGTTGGTGTGGAAGTCTTATGTGGAGTATCATAAGAATTTGTTTGAGGGAGGGGATGTGGATGGGGAGTTGAGGGGGGAGATGAAGGAGGGGGGAATGGAGGTTAGTGGGTTGGATGGGGGGAATGAGGAGAGGTTGAGGTGGGTTGTGAAGAGAATACTTGACAGGATGTGTCAGTGACGTTTTTAGAATTATTGGATATAGATCCGAATAATTACCAGCGGGGAGGCCTCGAGGAGACGCGGCTGTGGCTGGTGGGTGGGAGACTTCGCCACACCCCTACGGTCCGTGATGCTAACGTCGAACCAAAGAAGCGCAACTCCTCTCACCTTCAACAGCAACCCTATAATTATAACACAAGATCAATCCCTGGGACACACGGCAAAGCTACTCCGCGGACCAGTAACAGCCTTCCTTTGTCCTTCCACGTTACTCTCGCCTACGAAACTCCATCCAAACAGCCCGAAACAGAGTCCAAATGCCGCTGAGAATCGGTTCGGTCAGTATTACCGCGCATACGTATATTTCGTTCTCACGGTCGCTAACCTCACATCACCGCGCAGGACGACGACGACGACGAGTCACCTACCAGTCAACGCACAACGAGATCGAGTGGGCGGTTTGAAACGTTGAAGCGGAAACGTGATGATGTTTCGCCTGATGATAATGGCCAACGGGAGGCCGCGGGACATGCCCTTCGACGACGGGTGTCCCAGCCACGATATGTTGAGGACGATGACGATTTCTCGGAGCAAGTCATAGACACGGAAACGGAGCCGGAGGTTCAGCCGCGAAAGGCACCACTGGTGTTACAGGTACCACGCCTGAACGAGATATATCCGACACGGACCACCGCTGATGATGACCAATATCAGAGTGCGGAGCAACAACAACAAGAAGAAGGACTAGAAGAAGACGCAGTCGGTGAACCAGAAGACGACGAGGATGATATTGATGATGTTCCATCTCCAGATGGTCCCGAAGATCCCGCCGATGGCGAATACGAAGAAGACTCCGAACCCATCGGCGGTCGCCGTCCCACCCGCGGCGGTAAAGCACCCCGTAAAGCAATTGGCCGTCGCCATTCCGTTTCTCAAGACTACAAATCCCACAACCACCGCTCCCGTCGCGACAGAAACACCTCGCGCGGCCGATCCCAGCAGAATTGGGGCGACGAGGAATCAGATTACAAAGCAAACAGCGGGGACGACGACGACGAAGCCCTGGACTCCGACGAACTCGTCGAAGAACGCGAGAATAATGGTATGAACGACTTTGTCGTACAAGACTCCGAGGACGAACACCGTCGGCGCTCAGCGCGGCGTCGAGCCCTCACCCGAGCTGCGCAAGCTCCTCCACCCCGTGCGACTCGTCGCTCGACCCGGCAACACCACCGCTCCAGCAGCCCTGGCACCGAACCCGACCTCGACGACGACGACGACGAAATCCGGAACGAGGCCCGGGAGTTACGAGGGACCCCGTCCCCTGCTAGAAAACCAACCCTCCGCCAACGTGACACGCGTCCAAACTACCACATCCCTCCCCCCACCGATCCCATTTACGACGCCGACGATCTTCTAGAGTTAGGTCCCGCGCCGAGGATGAGAGGGAGTCCGAAGAGGAGGACGACACAGGGGGTTGTGCAGCAGAGGAGGACGCTATATCCCAAGATTCCGTGGACGGGGGAGAACTTTACGAGGTTGATTGATGAGGTGGGACAAGGCAAGGGTGGGGGTGATGATTCGTCAAGTGATTCGGATGATGAGGCGAAAGGTGGGGGAATGAGGAGGCCGTCCTACGCTGCGTTGGGGCAGATTGCGCCTGGTGCCAAACAGGGCCATAGTGCGGATCATACCGGTGGGCCTGCGAATTTGGGGAAGATTACGAGTGGAAAGAGTAATTTGGCGGACGCGGACCCATTGGGTGTTGATATGAATGTTAATTTCGAGAGTGTGGGTGGAATGGAAGAGGAGATTCGGAGGTTGAATGAGATGGTGATGTTACCACTCATGTACCCCGAAATCTTCCAACGTTTTGGCACGACCCCGCCGCGGGGTGTCTTATTCCATGGACCGCCTGGTACGGGTAAGACGCTTATGGCGAGAGCGTTGGCGTCGAGTTGTTCGACTGCGGAGAGGCCGATTACGTTTTATATGCGGAAGGGTGCGGATTGTTTGTCAAAGTGGGTTGGTGAGGCCGAAAGACAATTGCGATTGTTGTTTGAGGAGGCGAGAGCGAACCAGCCTGCTATCATCTTCTTTGATGAGATTGACGGGTTGGCGCCAGTGCGGTCGAGTAAGCAGGAACAGATTCATGCTTCGATTGTCTCTACCATGTTGGCGTTGATGGATGGTATGGATGGACGTGGACAGGTTATTGTTATTGGTGCCACCAACCGGCCTGATGCTGTTGATCCCGCTCTTCGTCGTCCCGGGCGTTTCGATCGCGAGTTCTATTTCCCTCTGCCGGGGCCGAAGGCGAGGAGGAGTATTATTGATATTCATACGAGGGGGTGGGAACCACCTCTTCCGGATTCGTTCAAGGAGCATATGGCGTATATGACGAAAGGGTATGGTGGTGCTGATTTGCGGGCGTTGTGTACTGAATCTGCGCTCATCGCCGTTCAACGACGCTTTCCGCAGATTTATACTAGTAAGGACAAGTTGCTGCTCGACCCTGCCAAGATCGAAGTCAAACCGAGGGATTTCATGCTGGCCATGAAGAAGATTATCCCGAGTTCTGAGCGTTCGAGTTCGAGTGGAGCAGCGCCTTTACCGGCTCATATCGCCCCGTTGTTGGAGGGTACGTTGCAGGGCATTAACAAAATTTTGGAAGGAGTGTTGCCGGAGATGAATAAGGCGAGTGTGTTGGATGATGCGATGTATGAGCAGGATGATGACGATGACGACGACCCCACCGGTGGGTTCGCCCGAGAAAATATGTTGAGGAGGTTCGAGTCTGCGAGGGTTTTCCGGCCGAGGTTGTTGGTGCATGGTGAGAAGGGGATGGGACAGCAGTATATTGCGGCTGCTATTTTGCATCATTTTGAGGGGTTCCATGTCCAGTCTTTCGATCTGGCGACTTTGCTGAGTGATTCGACACGGAGCCCTGAAGCGGCTGTAGTTCAGCTCTTCATTGAGGTTAAGAGGCATAAGCCGAGTGTGGTTTATATCCCTAATGTGGACGTATGGTATGACACCGTTTCTGAAGCTGTGAGGATGACCTTTGCGGGGTTGTTGAGGGATTTGAAACCCAGTGATCCTGTGCTGTTCTTGGGTATCACGGAGACGCCAGCTGAGCATCTTGATCCTGGACTGAAGTCTTGGTTCCAGAGCACCAAGCAGTCGCAGATCCAGTTGCTTCCTCCGCGTGAGGACGCACGCCGGGCGTACTTCCAGGTGACCATTGACCTCATCAAGAAGTCGCCGAAGGAGCTCCCTGGTGGCAGAGAACGCAGGAAGAGAGTCCTCGAGGTTCTCCCCAAAGCGCCGCCACCGGCGCCAAAGATCATGTCAAAGAAGGAGGTCAAGGAGCTTGAAATCAAGGACAGGCAACTCAAGAATGCCTTGAAGATCAAGTTGAGTGTCTTGATGGAGCAGTTGAAAGGCAGGTATAAGCGATTCAAGAAGCCGACGATCGACGATGATGAGATCACGTATTACGAAAGTGAGGAACAAGTCGAAGCGGCGAAGACTGCTTTCCCTGTCGTGCACTTCCTACAGCTTTCTGACGGAATGATTTTCGAGACGTCCAATAAGAAGAAGTACTTCAACATGGATCTTGACACCATTGAGCAGCGTCTGTGGGCCGGCTACTACCTCACGCCGAACCACTATCTCAATGATATCGAGACTATCCAACTTGATGCTCTAACCGAAGCCCGTGAGGTCGCTGGTTTCCCGATCTCCGCTTCAGTTGCTACGGAATATCGTGAACGCGTGATGAAGGCGCAGGAGATGTACACGAATGCGCAGATGTGGTTCGAGGAGCATCCTATGCCGCAGCACTTCATCGACGAGCTCTTCCGTATGGCAGAACGCGAGATGAAGAGGCGAGAAGAGACTGAAAAACAGCAGAGGAAAGCGGCTGATGACGCTGAGAAGCAGGCTGCGGAAGCTGCTAGGCTTGCTGCCGAAGAGGCGGCGCGTAATGCTCCTGTTCTTGCTATCCATGAGGCCCAGGTCGATGATGCTGTTGTTATGGACGGAACGCTTCCTTCTTTGCAGCTTGCGAAGTATAACTTTGCGGGTCAAGGTGGTGTTGAGGGAGATGTTGTTATCGATGGTGCTGTTCAACCTCCGGTCCAGCCGAGAACTACTTTCGACATGGACGCGTTTGACAGAGCAGTCTTTTCCGCCCAAGGTACTCCGGTGCCGGGGCTCGCCAACGATGCTGAGAGCGAACCAATCTTATCAACAACCACAGATGAACCAGTGATCGTGGAAGCAGGGGATATATCAGTTGAAATGGCTGATGCTAATGCTCCTCTGTCATCTCAGGCTTTTCCTGAAGCAGTTGCATCGCAGAGTGTTGATCATCCTAATAGAGGAGAAGTATCGGTTGCTCCTGAGTCACAGGGGCAGGTTATCGTACAAGGGGAACCGGAACCTCCTCGTGAGCCAACTCCTGAATATATCTACGACCCTAATCTTACAGATGTAGTAAGTGAAGAGTTCCTGGACATTACAGGAGGCATGTCGGTGGAGGAGTTGGAGCAGGTAAATTCGGCCTGTATCGGTGTGATCTGGAGAATGAGAACGCATTGGGACAGAGTGGATGTTGCGAAGCAAGTTACGGATGTCTTGGAGAAGGTGGTCTCTGAGATCCGTGCTGCGAAGGATGAAGGGAATGGGATGACACAAGAGTAAGGATATGGTTTGGCGCTGGAATACATGATTTCGAGTTTAGTTATCTGTTTGTGAAATCTATAATTTACCATTTTGCGAAAGGCCGGTGTCTTCTTTTCCCGCAAGCAGTCCTCCGCTGGGGCAGGTTGTGTGTGTGCCTGAATGCCTGTGTCGCGCAGTAGGAGAACCCCTTGGGACGACAGGCCAACCGTCACCATAAAACCAAACACCCACCCAAAATATAATGGCCGATAACAACTGGGAACAAGAGGACCGCCGCTCCGAGCAGCGTTAGTTTCATCCACAGCATCACCCCGTGCAATATCTGACTCGCCTTCTTCTTCACAGCTTACGACCGCGACCACGACCGCGACCAAGAGATGCGTGAATACGACGCTGGCCGTCGTTCTGCTTCTCCCCGTGGTGGCGACAGGTCTCCCAGGCGCGACAGGTCTATGTCCCCGGGACGCGCTCCCCGTGGCCCTCGGTGAATACAATATTGCCTTCTGCTGTTCAGCAAGAGACTAATATATTCCTTACAGTGAGGACCGTGGCGGCGACGCCGAAGGTGCCCGCAATTCTGGTAGCAACTTGTTCGTTACCGGTATTGCTACCCGTCTGACCGAGCCCGAGCTCATTGCCATCTTCAATAAGTACGGTACTGTTGCGAAGTGCCAGATCATGCTTGACCCTCACACCAAGGAGTCCCGTGGCTTCGGTTTCGTCTGCATGAGCACCCCCGAGGAGGCTAACGAGTGCTGTGACAAGCTCACTGGTGAGGAGCACTTCGGCCGTACTCTCAGCGTTGAGAAGGCCAGGCGTTCCAGGCCTAGAACCCCTACTCCTGGAAAGTACTTCGGTCCCCCCAAGCGTGATGGTATGTATGTCCTTTACGGTCCAAAGAGTATGTGCTAAGTGCTGTATTAGACTTCCGTGCCGGCCCTCCCCGCCGCCGTTTTGATGACCGCGAGTTCTACGACCGCAGGCCCCGTTACGATGACAGGCACTACGATCGCCGCGACCGTTACGATGACCGCCCCCGCTACGACGACCGCTACGACGGCCGTTACGAACGCCGCGACAGGTACGATGACCGTCGTGGTGGTGACCGCGGTGCCGAGCGTGGTGCCGAGCGCGGTGCCGAGCGCGGTGGTGACCGTTACGACGATCGCCGTGGCTATGAGCGTGCTCCTGCCGGTCCTCCCGCCGGTGGCCGCGACTATTACGACCGCGACGGTCGCGACAGCGGTCGTGACATGTACGACGCTGCCCCCCGCCGTTAAGTTACGAGGAACCGATGTGCGATGCTCGGTTATGATTACGGATCAGTTTGGAAATAGTCGGCTTCGGATCGAAAATTTGGCTGCGCGGTATCGGTTTCTTTCTCGTTTTTTCAGTACTCTGTTCGCGTCCTGTTCAGCCTTTGCGACTGTGACACTCTCCCCGCTATAGCAGCCTTCACGAAAAATTCTTTCATCTTCTCAACTACTGTTCGTTTTGTGCGTCTGTACTGTCTATCATCAATCGGTCCTTCGGTGTGTTCTTCGACTTCCCTCCATCAACTCGTATAATGCTCCCTCTCGCAGCCTTCATCTTACATCATCCGCTCGCTTCGAACGCAATACCGCGGTCTCGTAAATCAGTCGGTGCTCCATTCGACCTTCGGCCTCGTCCACGCAGAGAATGCGAAGAAGGTGAGTGCGCTCTCCCCTTTCATACTAACCATATGCGCAAATAGACATCGTCCTGAATTGTAGTTTTAAAACAAAATGCATTCACTTGCAGAACCCCTGGTTCCTTGTCCCTGGTCCCTCGCCCCTGCGTAGAACAGGCACCACCTGCAGTCCCCAGCTGCCCCAGTGCTTCGTCTGTATATCCGCCGAAGCTTCGCCGCAGGATGAATCGTGACGAGAGCGCAGCTGGATCTCGGTGAGGCCATACGCTGTGTCTTGTGGACGCGGGTTCTAACCACGGATTCTCAGTGCATACAAGCGGGGCGCTGGCAACGAGCGCAGGTCGCTAGGTGTGCGATCCCATTCCCCTTGGCGAGATCGACTATCCTGACACCGTATAGGCCAACAAACGCGACCACCTTTTAGCCCTCGCGGAAGCGGGATAGGCCAAGGCGGTGGCTTCCAGCAGCAATCATCCAGAACCTCCACACCAGGAAACGGTTTCGAGCAGCACATCAGCGTGAAGGCCTTCAATGGCGCTGAAGTATCGGGATACTTGAACAGAGGTAGTTGATGTGTTCTTCTGGTAGCGAATAGTTGCTGAATTAATGCGACTACAGGTTATGAAGAGATGGTTGCGAAGGCCAATGGGCCGGCGGCTGAAGGTGTGTGGATGAGGAGTTGATGGTATGGATGGATATGAGCTAACGCGCGTTTGCAAAAGGACGACCAGAAGTCTACAAGAGTCCATCAAAGGGGTGGACTACAAAGGGAAGTTCGGGCGGAGCATGGGGTGGTTCGAGATGTAGGTCCAAGTCTACTGTGCCGGAATGATACAAACAACTAATCGTGTGTATAGCACATCTCACCGCTAAGGGAACGCAGTTCATGAGCGAAGTTAAGAAGTCAGCGGCAGCATTGGAGGAGAGCAAGTGAAGGCATGAATCTGGACCGAACAATGGCGTTGGTTACCGAGTTCATGGCGAGGGTGGGGCAAGCAAAGCACGTTCAATCGAACGGAAAGCGAAGATTTATACAGTATCTTTAGATGAAGTATGTCATTCCAGATCGAAAACAACGCATTTATCGGCAGCCCGCCATCTTCCCGGCCGTTGCCATATTTGGACATATCTACGTTACAAGCGCGTCTGTGCCAAAACATGTACGATGTAAACAAACGCAACTCCACACCTTAAATCCAACGTCCAATGAATTCAGTCTCCGAACAAAAGCCGTTGACTGTTGATGATCTTCAGCCAATTTCTCATATTAACGGCATGAAGTCGTTGAAAAAGCGTCGTTCTGCGCCGGTCGTAGACGCCGTTGTCCAACAGGACCGATCAAAGAGGAGAAGAACCGATGAAGGAGACAGCGGAGATGCTAGACCACTGCGCCCAGTGACGAGGTCAGCAAACCACAGGAAAACTCTGGGCGGAGGCGCGAAACGCGTTCTTACTCAGACTGCGCCGAAGATATCAGGGAAGGAAAATGCCTTGCCATCTCGACCGGCGCCTGCCCAGTGCAAGCCCCCAATCGGCCTGCAAAACAAGGTATCCTCTGGGCCGCTCAGCTCAAGTGATTCGAAACCGTTCTTGAAACGTCGACGGTCAGATGAGAAACCAACTACAGCATCGCTACCTGCAAGACTATCAGATCGGCACTTACGGAGCTCAGGGACGACGAGCACGCAAAGTATCACACCGAGAACGATCGCTAAACCACGCTCTGTTCTAGAGAGGTCCAAATCTGTGCTTGAGAAGAGCCGGGGCGCTTCAGCAGAAAAGTACCCGCTTTCGTCTTTCGTTACCAAAAGCGAGATGTACCAGAACCAATCTTGGATGCAGCAACAACAGGACGTCTTCACCTTACTGATCAACGATGTCTTTGCAAGTGCCAAACTCGACGGACAAGTTGTGAAGCTATTGACGAGGAGGGATGTTCAGAATGTGCGCCAGAAGATGTTCCGCCTGTATGAGGACGAATGTCATGCAATCATACAACGTGTCGAAGCAGCATTCAAGTTTAAAAAGCTTCATCTGAAGGGCAGCTTGGATCTTGTGAAAGATATCGGTGCTCAGAAGGCGTTCTTGGAGGCCCTTTTTGCCTTGGAGAGTCAACCTTTGGCTTTGGCGCTTGAGGTCGTGACAGGACGCCAGACGTCGAAGCTCCTGGACTCCAACAGGGTCGAGCTATCAGAGTTCGCAAAGGAGTTCATCATACAGCATAGTGATGCAAGTGGTCCGAAACTATCTGTCTTGGAGGCTGCCAAGTTGTCGGTCGCGAAGGTCATCATGATGATCATTGCATTGGACAAAGCGCACACTGCCGGTATCCTGACCGGACGATTGTTCCACAGAGACGCGTGTGTCAAATCTACAGCCGGAATGTTGGCTAACCTGGCAGATGGGTGTCTGACTGGAGAAGGAGACATGGCGCGGCAGGTGCAGTATATGGGACACCGTGTGACTTACGTGCAGTATCCAGTCGATGAGTTGGATTACAGGATCACGAACCTGGCTGTTGATCTGCGGGACGGCGTACGTCTGACTCGCCTAGTTGAAATCCTGGCGGGGCCTGCCGGGTTGTCAAGTCAACTTCGCTATCCTGTGGTCACTCCTTCCCAGAAATTGCATAACAATATGCTTGCCCTTGGGGCGATGCGAGATGCGGGAGTTGATCTTCGCCTCTCGGGAGGAACTGTGACAGCGCAGAGTCTTGTCGACGGCCATCGTGAGAAGACGCTGGGTTTGCTGTGGAGAATAGTCACCAAGTGGTGCTTACCGTCGTTGGTGAATGAGTCGCTACTGCGTCAAGAGCTCGTGCAGCTTGAGTCGGTGGCTGAACAGGTGGATGATGATGAGGAGGATGACGTTGAGCAGCCGTCGTTTGAGAATTCTACCATCGCCTTGCTCTTCTCTTGGGCCAAGGCCGCCTGTGCAACGAAAGGTTTCCGGATTCAGAACTTCGCTACCTCATTTTCCAAGGCGTCAGGTCAGGCATTTACCATCATCTTGGAACACTACATCGCCGATTTGATCAGAGAAGAAGGCACCGATGACAAGCCCCTTGACTGTGAGGACATGCTTGAAGCTGTGGGTTGCCGAGAGCTTTTCAATAATCTGGGTCTGACTGGTAACGCCCAAGGACGCATAATGGACCAGGATGCTGTCATCGCATGTCTTGCCATATTGCACTCACGTGTGTTTACTCTTCTCAGGAAGGATCATGCAGCGAGAAAGATACAAGGGACGTGGAGGAGGTATTTGGCAAGGAAAGCCGGGGCTGATCCAGACGAAATCGCCAAGTATGTGTTGTTCGTTAAAGAAACGCAGGCAGCAATTCGCATCCAGAGAGCTTTCAGGACGCATTTGGAGACGCGCATTCAAGCATTGCTACTTCATACGATCCAGCTTCAGGCTTTGAGTAGAGGTTTCTTAGTGCGTCGAAAATTCAGACAGGAACTCGAAACGTTGGAACCGGAGGAGAGTTTTTGGTTATGAGATGGTACAGGGCAAGGCACAATGGTTTGCGTCAAGGTGTTTTGCAGGATTCTTTTGGGTATATTCGTAGCAATGTGAATGATAATAATGAAAACGCCTATGAGCCACACACATTATCCCAACGTTTCGAAACTTTCCACCTCACAATCAAAACGCGCCATCGTCCTCAATCATCGGTTCTGGTTCCCCCGAATCAACTTGCTCTTGTTGCGTCTGTATCTGACTTTTGCCTTGCTTGACATCGAGACCAGCCCGGACAAGCTTAACATGCGTAAGCAGGAGTTTTGCTGTAGTCTCGTAATTCGTAGCCATACTCCGAGTCTTCACGAAAAGCTCTGTTCTTTGATTCTTCTGTTTAGCAGCGAGAAGCTTATCCTGTGTATCGAGTCTCCCATCGATAACGCCTTGCTGAATCAGACCGACTAACTCATCCTCCATAGTCTCGACAGACGTTGCGAACACGCTTGCCATCTTCTCCAAGCTGACTTTCTGGAATGGCAGGAAGAACTGGGTCAAAGCTCTCTGCCTGATCGCCTTGTATAACTTTTCGACATGCTCACTGAGATAGATATCAAGCAAGAAGTCATTCTTGTACTTCTCCAAGATATCGAAGCAAGTGCTGTACTTTGACCCGTAAAAAGCTTCCGCAGCAGTGAGGAGATGGGGCGTATACTCCAGGAATGGCTTGAAGCTGGGTGAGTCCAATAATGACGAACGAAGCTGTTGACGGGAAAAAGTCGCTAGTGCGCAAAGAGTCGCATATGTCGCGATATCCTGTGGTGCGATGATATAGTTGTACTGCATACCGAGATAGGGACTAACATTGAGGAACGCCGTGGCTGCGTCCTGATATCTTCCTCCATCCAGACTAACCAGGGCGTTACTGGCTTGCAAAATAGGGCTCACTTCGGCCTTTTCTGGGCTGTCGGCGAGACCCTGTGCTTTGATGACGTACGCCTGAGCATGACTGAAGTTATGAAGTTCGATCGAAACGCGGATGACCTCGAGACACATAGACAGGATATGTGTAGGTGTTGTGCAATAATCTCGGATCCGTGAATATGACTTTAGTGCTGATGATAGATCGCCGATGTTGTAGTAGTGCTTTCCCAGGTCGTCATGACCCATCTGTACGTGAGGTCAGCAAGTCTGCCAATGTAGCAGCAGCTCCCACGCACCCTGATGCTCTCCTTGATGAGATTGTTGCGGTAACTCTTCAGCTCACTTTCCAGCTTCTCCGTTTGCGATCTGGCTTTTCGTGATGTTTGCTCGATCCATTGATCATCGAGTTTGGCTTCGACTGCGTCTGGGGAGATTCGCTGGAGGTGCTCGACGGCGTCGCTATACCGTCTCACATCGAGACTCTTCTCCTTGATGAGAGTGATTGCGGCTTTTAGAGCGTCGACCGCAAGTTCGGGACAACGCTCCGCGATGAAAAGCAGACGGACAATCTGGGTGTTGCCTGCACAACGTCAGCACAATGCGCAACCGCCTCAATCACTCCCCTTACCCGAGTAATTCTGAATCCACGACTCCAAGTCGAATTGAGGTAACTCCTTCACCACAATGGTGCTTCGCTTCTGTAGACCGTATCAGCCCTACCCTTACACGGCTGTCAATAGGCCACGAACCTCATCGATCATTTCGACGTCGTCCATTGCAGCTGTTTCAAGGGACCTCTTCAACGACTTGGTATTCCTGGGACTTTTCATACAAGTCTTGGAACGGGTCACTTGATGGATGGAGGAGTTCGACCCGACGACGTACGCGCATGACGTGGGCATTCAGGCACGTCCAGTCAATCCAGTAAGTCAGCGGTATGGAATGATAGGAATGGCTATTACTAAGTCTTCTGAAGCCCGACAGGCGGCACGGTACTCTTTGCTAGTCTCTGGCTACCACAAAAGCGTGCCCGAAGTCGTGGGTCCCCGTCGCAGCTTGTCAATTATCAGTGTCCAAAACAGAAGACATCAACAGCCGCAATGGTCTAGTGGTATGATTGTCGCTTAGGGTCTCCTACAGCTTGTGACAGGTCCCCGGTTCGAACCCGGGTTGCGGCCCACCCCTTTTTCGCTTCTTGTTACTTCATTCTCTCTATTGACGCCTTCTCTGGTGGTTACTGTCGCCGTGGGGTGAAGCTCTGGCAGTATCACTGCTTTCTCTATTCAGTTGGAATCGTCATCGCCACCCCACTGATAACGGGGTCTGATATGGCTGATTAAGGTTTCGACGACCAGGGTACGAGCAATTGCGTCATTTCCTATCGCAGAATATCCCGCACCGGTATGGAGTCTTCTGACTTGTGCGATAGCCAATCGATCTAAGGGCGACGTCTATAAAGACCGCACTTCCCCACCGCGTTGAGCTACTTACGACAACGTTGACTGGGGCTGCACAGTGTCAACTGAAGTGACTAAACCATGGAGACGAAAGATGGGCAACTAGCATTGACTAGTATTCCCAGGTCCGTCGTCTCAGGCGATTGAAGATGAGTCGCATACGGGGGGCTAAGATCGGTTACACGACTGAGCATATGACTCCTGCGTCAACCGTGGGAAAGTTGCACCAACGACTTTCAGCGGATCGTGATCCATGATCGCCAAGCCAATCTCGAATGTAGAGGGAACATACAAAGTATACAGATAGCGGTCTTCACATTCGAGTTTGGTTTGGCCGCGGAGATCACTACAGCCGGACCACTTCGCTCAGCTATTGCCCGGCGTGTACCAGATATCAGTGATTGAAACTGCATACGACAACGAATCGGAGGGCAGGCGCTTCAACCGGGCAGCCGACGAACGGCAACGGCCTTCTGTGCTAAAAGCAGTGTTCGCTTGGCCATTACACCATGATATGGGGTACGCACGGCAGCGCCAATCGCTCGAGCTACAAAAGAGAACAGTCATGTCTCGACGTAAACGAAGACAACAAGCGAAGGACGCAGCGTCGAAATCCAACAATTGGACAATAAGGTGTATCATGTAGAGAAAATTGCCAGAGGCGCGGCCAAAAGAAAAAGTGGGCCGCAACCCGGGTTCGAACCGGGGACCTGTCACAAGCTGTAGGAGACCCTAAGCGACAATCATACCACTAGACCATTGCGGCTGGATGATGTTTGAGGTTCTGTACAAATAACACAGCAAACACGTCAGTTTGCGTCCGCCATCAAACCTGGCAGCGCTGAGGAGAGACCTCTGATCGGCGTTTCGGGCATCCTGAGCTCCTTCGCCGCACCTCAACGTCCGGATCCGTGCTCACACCGTGGAGTCACGTCGTTTCCGCCGTCCTCACACTTGATATTTTGTCCTCTTTTTGGTCGTGGGAAGCGAAGAATCTCAGACGTGAGAACGGCGGAAGTTTTGCGTAAACGTGGGAACATGGGAAAACCACTTTCAGATCGATCGTTACAACTGAGCAGGCAGTCAGAGAGCATCAGACCTTTTGTGTCTGCATCACGCACCATGCCGACCCTCGCGGGTTTGCAGTCGATGAAGCTTGCGTAAAGTGTTTAGTCCTCAACTCGATCGTCGGGATTGGATAGTTCTGATGATCTTATATCCATCGTCAAAAGACCTTATCCAATAACCCTTAAGCTTATTGGTAATGCATCTCACCTAGCTCTACGTACATGCAGTTTACCGATACGTAAACCACCTTACACAGTCGGAAATCCACTTTGAACCAGTCGTTGGTAAAATTAATCGTATGATTGTTCCTGATGAAATGATATCGCTTCCTTGACTAGGTGATTGTGCAAAATCGCGACACTGACACTACTCGTGCTGTCTCTATGAGATTTAGTTCCTACCACCCCTACCACCTCGGCCACCACGAGAGCCTCCACGGTTGAAAGATCCTCCACGTCCGCCAGAACCTCCTCCACGTCCGCCAGAACCTCCGTGACCCCCACGGCCACCACGGCCACCACGGCCACCACGACCGCCTCCACGTCCACCTCCTTCGCCTCCTCCACGTCCACCCCTTCCTCCGCGAGGTCGTGCGAAGGGACGGTCACCCTTTGCTCGCTTAGCAGGTGCGGCCACCTCATCGACATCGTCCATCTCCACATCATCATCATCATCACGCTCACGCTTGTTGCTGAAGCGAACACGATTCCGCTCACCACGACGTCCACTGACGCTCTCCTTGTTCTTGATAGCCTCGACGTAAGCTGCGACACCGTCCTCGAGGCTGCCGTTTGGCTCGTCGTCGGACTCATCGAACTTGAACTTGCCATCCTCCGTCTTGAAATTGCCCTTGGCCGATGGAGCCTGACCCCTTCTGCCGCGAGGATCGGATGGCTTGGTAGAGGAAATGTGAGATGTGGCAGAGCGGTCAAGAAGGTCAAGCGGCTCATCACCAGTATCCTGAATGAAAGCTTGTTGTCTCTTCTGCTTCTGACCCTTCGCAGGCGCATCCTCCATTTCAACGTCAGAACCATCAGAGCCGTATTCACTCTCACTTCCGTAAACCGCCTCCTCAAATCCAGAAGCGAAGTTAGTAGTCGGCTTGGCCTCACCATCATCAGCCTCGTCAACCTTAACGTTCTTCTTTCTCTTTGCTCTCTCCCTGGTCTTGCGAATATTGGTCATGAGCTTCTTATCAGCCTCCGGCACGTGCTTCTCCACAGTTTCGAACCCGAATCGTCGAATCATACGCTCGATGATGTGACGGACCTTGGCCTTGAAGTGACTCTTGTGCTCTCTAGACCATACCATGAGGTTAGGCAAAAGGGTAGGGAGACGAGCAACCATGACATCCACAGGAAGCGAGATAGTCGCAACCTTGAAGAAACCAATCGCAGACTTGACAATCTCTCTGTTCTTGGATTGAATGAACAAATCCAGAGTGGAAAGAAGGTCGTCCAAGAACTCCGGAGTTAACAACTCATAGTACTCGAACATCAGCCTAGTAAGCGCCGTAACGGAAGCACTGACCATGTTGGGCGTGTTACCAGCCAAACCAGCAGAAACCATAGTGAAGTACTCCTCAATGGTAGCGTTAACGTTCGGTGCATCATCATCGAAATCGACAACCTTGGATTGAACAATCGTTCCTCCCTCCTTCATCTTGTCACCCATCTGAATCAACAAGTCAAAAGCACTACCGCGAGCCTTCTCGTTCTGCTCCTTCGTTCCCATAACGACCTCTGATAAGACCGAAGGAATGAAGTACAGGCTGTCCTTAGGCAAAAGCTCAACCACGTGAACGAAAACAGACAAACGGTCCTTCCTGACAGCAGGTCCAGTCGAGGAGGTAGCGACAAGTCCCTTGATGATATCGTCGATCTTGGAAACCAAGAAAGGCTTCAAGGCCTCAGACTCAGCCATACGGACAAAGACTTTGTATGCCTTCTTCTGGAGCTGAACATCGTCCTCGCGGGCAATCAACGCCGTGAAGATCTGCCAGACAACCTCCTGAGCCTCAGCAGGGACGTATGGAGTCATACCAATAACGAGATCCATCATGGTGTAGGAGGTAGGCGGCAAAGCATTGGGGTCAGAGCTCTTAGGAGGAATGGGCTCGGCGAGCGCGTTCTTCAACAAACCCGCAACGTTGTTGAAGGTTGAAGCAACCTCCTCAGGAGCGGTGATGCTGAGGTAAGACTGAATGCACTGCATAATGTACCCACGGTAATGAGGCTGCGTCTGGCTGAAAACATTGAACAGAACAGCCAAGAATTTAGACGAGTAAGGCTGCAAGAACGCAATATTCTTAACAGCATCCTCCTTCGTCAATGTGTACTTGATCCTCACCTCCTCATCACTCTTCTCAGAATCCCTGAGCGCCTTGTTCTTCTCAACGAGCAACTGCAGCGACTGACAGATAATCGGCCTTAACTCGACCTGCTTATACAGAATATTCGCCATCAACTCCGCAATCTGCTCCGTGAACGCCTCAGTCAAATCCGTAGGCAAAGAACAGTATCCAGGCAACAGCGACCAAATCTGGTCAACCAAGGTCTCGTACAACTTGACCTCAATCGTCTTCTCACCCTCATGCTCCACAACACGCTGGAACAACCTCTCAGACAACGGGATGAACTCCTCAACGAAGTGCGCAAGACGGGTGTTTGTGATACTATCCCTCAACACCGGCAACAACCACGCCCGACCAACAACATTCGGACCAGCATTCTCCAAGTTCAAGGGCAAAACGCGCAGAACGGACTCAGGTCCCATTCCCTTAATCGCGGCACCCAAAACATGGTTGGCCTCCTGCTTGCCCTCAAAGTTATCAGCGGAACGCAAGTCGCCGACAGCCTTGACGATGTCAACGAGGTAGGGATCAGCAGCCCTGCCAAGCTTCTGGAAGAGGTTCTTGAGGATGCCGAAGACCTCGCGCCAGGCGAGACGGTAGCGAATCGTCAAGGCCTCCTGTACGGAAGAAGCGATGTCTGTCAATAATCTGGTGTCGACAGTGGAAAGATCGTCCGGGAAGACGTTGAGGACGATAGTCGACAAGCACTCTGCCGCGGAAGATCTGATGGTGGTAGCGTCGGATGTCAAGTAAGGCAAGATAGCCCTGAACAAGGTGGGAACCCTGCTAAATGCCGCAACCTCATCCACAGCCGCGTAACTCGTGTATCCCTGCGCCGTAACCGCCAACCAACTCGGCAAAAGCGTAGAATCCTTATCCGATGGTCTCAACTCGTACACAGAATCCAAAGTCCTCTGCAACTTATCCGCTTTGAACTCCTCTCCCAACTTCTCAAACACGACCTTGAACACCTCGAATCCAGCCATCGTCAGATAACCATCACCAGTCTCCGAAACCCTCAACAAGACCTCGCAGAGCGGCTCGACTTCCTTCGCTGGCCAGCCAGAGCCGATGGAAGCGATTGCCTTGACGAGCTGAAGGGCGTGGATGATCTTGGCGTTGTCAAAGTTCTTCTTCTTGACGGATGTCAACTCCCTAACCACACGCAACGCATTCTCAGCGCACATATGAGAAGCGGGGTGATCGAGTGAAGGGTTCGGCGGCGGCTCGCTCAAAACCTTATTCACGGCATCCACAGCCCTCTTCCGCACCTTCGGTCTCGGATCAAGCGTCAACGTCAAAATGGCCAACAACGCCTTCCTGGACCCAGACGCAGGCTGAGCCCACGCCGCCGAATCCTGCGCAATCAACAAAGCCTCAAAACACCCAATCGTAGACCGAATGAGCGGCGCATCGGCCTCACTACCAACACTCCCCAACGCAGGCGCCAATAACCCAAGAATCTGATCAAACTTGCTCCTCAAGATTCCGTGCGGCGTGGATGGCGTAACAGCATCCAACAAATATAACGTACTACCCGCCAACTCTTTGTTGCCAATTGACTGATCCAACAACGTCAATAACGCGCCGAAATAGGCCGTAGGCGTGAACTCATTGATACCCTGCGCACGGAGGGTGTCTTCTACCGCGCCGAGGACGACTGCCAGCTGCTTTTGATTGGCGAGCTTTGAGGTTGCCTGGAGTCTGATCCGACCCAGTTTCTCGTCGAGGGTCGCCATAGTCGAAAGTTCTCTGGGGGATCTTTAAAGATCTCAGGCTTTTTGCGGTACATGCGGTTGGCTGCGGACTTCGTAGACTTTTTTGATAATGCGTGGCACGGGTGGCTAGACACGCAGCGGGTGCAGCGAGGGTGGGAACTTCCACGGAGACGAAATCGATATCTCAAAAATCCTATACTGTCCCCTTCGCGAGCTAATGGTATTCCACAAAATGTAAAGGGTACAGTACTCCAAAACCCGCTTTCCCAAGAAAATCCGTGTATGTCATACCCCATCATCCATCTTCTTCCTCAGCCAAAGAACGTCTTGCAAGCTCGCTCGCTCAATGTCCAGCCCCCGGATCCCGATTCAAAATGGTACTCCTCAAACTCATCCTCTTATCACGACTCGCAAGCCCAAACCCCGGCAGAGGCTCGCTCGCACTCCGCTCATCCCTCCCCTCGCCCCCATCTGGACCACTCCCGTATCCATCAGCCTCGTTATGGTCTCCACCATATCCAGAACGGAGGGACCAAACGCTCGGGGCTGGGGAGGGTGAACCGCGATCGTGGTTGCGGCGGGGTGGGGTTGCAGATGAGATGGCGATAGAGGGGGGTGGCATGCCATTCGTATCATTCGAGCGCTCACTGTTGTACCCGTCGTACGAACTCGATAGTGGGATAGCACGCGAACCCGTCGGTGATACATCAGGGCTCTGCGTACCCTGCTGCTGCTGCTGCTGCATCCCAGGTCCGAAACGGGAGGTTGATCGCATTGGCGGTGTGCTGGTAAACACCGAGCTACTTACCGAATTCGTCGAGATGCTGCTCGCGGAGCGTTTATGCACGCCACCTCCCGCTCTCCTCCCCAAATAATCCTCATCCTTCCTCGTCCCGGCCCCAGCCCTAGCCCCAGGCCCACTCGAACTCTCCCGCGCCGTGGCCGCAGTCGTCGCCGCTTCTTTGGCATGCCTCTCCCGTTCACTCCTCAACGGCGCATGCCCCGGCCCAATCCCCCTCTCCCTCCTCAACTTCCTCTGCATCGTCGTATTCCAATGATTCTTGACCGCATTATCACTCCTCCCCGGCAACCTCTTCGCCATCTCCGCCCACTTCGGTCCCCAAGCCTCAAACATCTCTCGAATCTTATCTTCCTCTTCTCGTGTAAATGGTGCTTTCGTGAGGGAGGGATTGATGTGGTTGTGGTAGCGTTCGCGGCATTGTTTGCCTGTGCGGGTTTGCATGCGTTGGGCGATTGTGACCCATTTTTCTGTTCCGAGTTCGGAGACGAGATGGAGGAGTTTTGCGTCTTCTGCAGGAGACCAAGGTCCTTTCATCGTGGCTCGGTTTTGGAGGTGTCGAATTCGGGCTGCGCAGGCGGCGGGGGTACGTGAGCCGTCTGAGAATGCGGAAGCTGCGATACGGGAGAAAGAGCGGCCGAAGTGTTGCGAATACGCATCTTGCAGACGTAAATCTTCGTCTTTTGTCCAGTCTACGTGAGCGTACATTGGGCCTCCTTGATCGCTGTTACTCTGCTGCTGATGTTGGGGTTGAGGCCAGGATTGGGGTCCCATGTTACTTGGCCCCATGCTTGGACCCATAGATCCACCATGCATCGGGATCGGAGATGGTACTGGTGGGGGTTGTTGTTGTTGCTGATAGTGCGGGACTGGTGGTGGTGCTCGCTGCATATACACCGCTTGCGGCGGCGGCGGTGCCATCTGCTGTGGTGGTGGTGGATGCTGCTGCTGGTAATATCCCTGGCTATGACTATGGCTATGTCCATGGTGTGGTGGATGCCCGTACTGCTGCTGCTGTTGTTGCTGCTGTTGTTGCTGCTGTTGTTGTTGCTGCTGATGGTATTGCGGATGTGGTTGGCCATAATGTGACTGCTGCTGGTACTGCGGCTGCGGAATATGGGATGGTGGTGGAGCAGCATACATCGGGTGTGAATGCTGCTGTTGTTGCTGCTCGTACTGCTGGTGGTATGGATCAGAGTAAGCGCCGTTGTTGTACGGATTGTGGTAGTTGTTTTGTGTCATCGTTGCCATGTCCTCTCCGCTCTTGACCGGGGATGTATGCGTCGTCGTTGACTGTGAGTGTGCTGGAAGAAGAAGCCAGCGTGCCCGATTCCCGGTGACGGCGTCTCTTTTTCAGCAGGCCACTAACCCGGCGCCGAATGAAACACGTTGGCTCAGTGCAGGTACACCAGTCTAGCCCCGACTGTCAGACAAACTTTAAGGACGACACGTGGCCTGCAGAGACAAACGCGGACTCCCTCGATCGATCGATCGCCTCGTACTCTATAGGCAGAAGCGAGTGAGTAGGGTTCGTTGAGCGTAGTTAAAGAAGAAATAATCCTAGCAAATCCACTCACGACAACACAGCCAGCAGTACCACAGTCAAGATAACAACGAAAATAACCATCAAAAAACACCCCCTCCTTCGCGCGCCCCTCTGATACCTCTCCGCCTCCACCAACTCCCTACTCGCCCCCCGCGTGCTCACAACAACATTCTGCACATTACTCTCAATGTTATCCAACAAATCACCCTGCTCCGTCACGATCGTTCCCAAATCGCGGAAGATCTCGTTGAGCTCCGTTATGCCTTCTTCGATTTGCGCTATCTCGCCTTCCCTAGCCGCAATGAGGCTCTCATTAAATGCGACTTCGGCTTCGTTCGCCAACACAGGTGCTTGTTCTTGTGTTTGGACGAGTTGTTGGCCCGCGGCGTGCTGGGCGAGTTCGTCATCGGTGTAGGGTGTGAAATCGGAAACCATGGTGGGTGGTTTGACATGTGGTAAGATATTCTCGCGTTCCCGTTGTGCCGCCAACCGTTGCGTAGCCTGTACATGTCCCAAAACCGCTTGTGCCTCCCTCGCTAACTTCTGTGCCGTGAACCGCTCTTGCTCGCCCACTCCTTCTTCGAACCCTCTCAATTCTTTGACCCCCTCTCCGAGCCCCCGGCATTCTTCACGCATTCCATCGAGGAGTTTGCGTAGCCGCTCACGGAGAGCGGGTGAGTCTTTGGGTGTTCCGAGGGATGTGAGGAGGCGGGTTGTTGTCGCAATGTTTGAGTTTATGCGGAAGATTGAGGAAGACAGACTTTGGACTAGGGTTTGGAACGGAGACGCGGCTCCTGCTTTTGTAGCTGGTAGGCGGTTAAAGTCTGCGAAGGACATTGTAGGTGAATGCTGCGAGATCGATGGAGTGGGAAGGTTCTTGGTGGAGGGTGCTCACAAGTGCGGTTGGTGGTGAGCTGTGGCGGGCGCGTTCTCGGGACGCTCGGCGGTGCTAACGGTACCGGTACTCGGCAGATTCGGGATTTGTAACTCCCCCCTTCACGTAAGCTGCTACAACATACCCGGGGATATATTACCTCGACGTCTACGTCTTGCTGTTGCTACATGTAAAATGTTAGCCCTTCCTTCGTGGGTATTCAAGCATGGTGGCGAAGATTAAACTGCGAAAATCCGCTTTACTTTACTCAGCGTTCGGTCAAGGACCAAGGGTGCCGGACAATTGTTTGATATTGTCACCAAAGATCACATAACACGAGGTGAATCTGGAGCATGGTGTGCAAACGTGCTGAAAACAGCACTTCTCATATGTTGCAACTGCTGTTTGAACGATTCAACATCCTCGTTGCAACATGTAGAATGTGGTGTTTCATCATGCATATGTTTGGACATATTGCTTGATTTTCACCTTGACTATGTAACATTCCGTGACAATGTTGTTCCGTTGTTTTGCACGTTTTGCACGCTTCGGCCAACGTTGAGTGATGTGAGCGGGTTTTCGCGTGAGTAGTGGTTTTCCTGATCACTATCGTACACCTTTCCGTATCGATACCCGAAAGTAAAAAAGCTTGACCGATCAATCATCTTCATATCCCCTCCCTTACTCATCCTTTGGCAAGATATCAGGCAAAGGTCCAACAGGCGTAATAGCCTTCGGGTTGATTTGCGAATGAGACTTCGTATCTGTAGGTTTCTCGTCAGTCAAGTAATCCCACATTAGATCTCACAAACCACGTACAATGCTTCTTGATATGCTCAAAATCCGTCGTCTCCCCAAACGCCGGCAAATCCCAATACAAATGCCTCATCCACGTATGCAACCTCTCGTACTTCGGATCCCTAATCTGGTTGATATTGCACTTGAAGTGCTGAACATAGACGGGGTCGAACCGGACGATGGTTGGGTAAAGGCGGATGTCGGCTTCGGTGAGCTTGTCGCCGAGGAGGTAGGGGCCGGAGGAGGAGGCGAGCATGGATTCGATGCGGTCGAGGGAGGAGAAGAGGGGGTAGACAGCGGCTTCGTAAGCTTCTTGAGTTGTTGCGAAGCCGGATTTGTAGACGCCTGGGCAATGTGAGTTAGTGTTCTTGTAAGGAGGAGAGGCAGGGATGGATTACCGTTGTTGACGGTGTCATAGATCCATTCGTTGACTTCGTCGATTTTGGAGGCGAGGTCGTCGGGGTAGTATGTCACGCCCTTGTATTTCTCGTCAATGATATCGTCGAAGGCGGTGTAGAACATGCGGATGATCTCAGAAGATTCGTTATTGACGACCGTACGCTGCTTTTTATCCCAGAGGACGGGGACGGTCCAGCGCGCGGAGTAGTCGGGGTCAGCGATGTGGTACAAGTCCTTCATGAACTTTGCGTCCTCGTTCGGATCGTTAGTCGCGCCAGGACAGCCTTCCGGAGCGAACTTCCAGCCGTCTTTGAGCATTTCCCAGTGGACGACAGAAACGGGGATGATATTCTGCAAGCCTTTCAAGTGACGGACGATCAAGGTTCTGTGGGCCCAAGGACAGGCGAGGGAGACATAAAGGTGGTAACGATCCTTCTCAACGGGGAATTGGGGGCTCTTGCCGACGAACTCACGGAAGGAGGAGACTTGACGCTTGAACGAACCGTCCTTGCCGGCCCAGCCGGTGATGTCGCGGTCATTCTTCGCGCCGTTCGCGGGGCCGCCGGGTGCGTTGGGAGCTTTGTCCATGGCGTATGATCTGATCTGGTATGTGAAGAGAGGTTTAGAGATGTGAGAGACGAGGGGCCTTTGTGCAAGAAGGATTGAGCGTGCGAGTTGGATGGAGCGGAGCTTCATTGACCGGGCTCCGGTTTTGTGTGGAGTTGAGCCGCGTTATATATATTGCAGCGGCTTATACGAGCATGACATCAGCTTACGGGTGCTGACAGCGGCTCACAGATCCTGCCATGACGAACATCGGACAGGGTTCAATTGAAAGACTTGGAGAAAACGTCCGAGCTTCCCAATTGACAAACAGGTTTACCGGGACGTTGCGGACGTTGGCCCGAGCATGCCCGCGGCTGCAGTTGATAGGCCTAGGTAAACCTAAAGTTCAGCCTCGAAATTGCGAAGAGTAATATCAGCTGCCCACCATCTTGAATCCTTTGGCCTTCATATACTCCTCAACCTCCACCCTCGTAGAACTTCACTGAACCTCCCAGATTGGAAGCAACTGCCTGTTTTGGTGCCCCATCAAGGTGTACGCACTTATCATCCCTGCATACTACGCATACACATATTGGCGCTATAAGGGTATCATAACAACCCCGATTCAATCCAACGGCGGGACGACCTGCACTCCTACTTTTCATACTGCCCGTTCGACAGGAAACGGCCTCGATCTGTGAGACATTCCAACTCCATTTTTGCGTCTCCCTCGTGCGATAGCATACAGCCTTCGTTCGGTTAAGCTTTCCGCCTAGCAAACACAACACTTGTACCCCACCGCAGTTCAAAGCTGCAAAAAGCGCAAAGTTGCTCAACGTGAGCACTTGACGACAGATCCTTACGCGCTCCGCCCGCATTCGTCGTTTGTGTGAGAGACTGACGTTTGCGATTTGGCGGACGCCCTTCTTTTAGCTTGAGCTTGAGCTTGGCAGTTGTGAGCGTTGATGGGAGATATGGCATCGATTGACGGCGACCAGTATCTTCGGTCATTGGCATCGTATATTAGATCGAATGAACGTCGATTAGCGGCTGCGTTACAATCGAAACGGAATGGGACGTCGACATCTTCTACGGACGCAGCGGCATCTGCCTTATCTGCACTTTACTCATGGACTACGGCTGGAGCATCGGCACCTTCGCCCATGCGACCGGTGACATTGAGTCTATCACCGCATCACCTTTTCTACCTCCTCACCCGCTTCGAAGAACTCGGCATCTCAGTCGGCCCTATGAACGTACGCCTGGAAACCCTACACAACGAAGCATCTCACCCCAACTACGTCTCCTTCCTGAATGCACATCATCAATCACGACGAAAAGACTTGACCAGCGACTCGGCAAGTATGCGAAGTGTCAGCAGCATCCGAAGCGTGATGTCGGGTATGTCATCATTATGGTCAATGGTCGCTGGTTCAGGACAACCGAGTGAGGAAAGGGCTGAGAGGATTCGAAGGGCGTTGGAGGCGGATATCAAGTATATATACAGTTGTTTCACAAAGTTACCGGCATTACGACTTTCGCCCGATAGAGGATCGAAACTGATAGAGGGATATGAGGAGTTTCCGTTCGATACTGCGGTGCCATTGTTGGCGTTCAAGAACGTGTCGTCGCTTGAGGTTGTGGATCTAGACGTCCGACAATTCTACGGCTGGGATCAGATTTCGGAGCGTGTTCGGTCCCTCGTGGTCAAACGCGGCGGCATCGAAGATGCGTCAGAATTGATCGTGGATATCGTGTTGGACGATATGGACAAACGAAGACATCGATCCGCGAAACACTCTCCGACGGGAACGGATTACGGATCAAACCCACCTAGCCCAAACTTAGCTAACGCGAGTTTTGGCAGTTTCGGGGCTGTACCGCAGAGTCCTAGACCTGGGAGTGGAGCACAGAACAACTCGGGCCCGAGGTCGGCTAGTCCACGAAGACCGGCGAGTGCGAGGGATAGAGAAGGGTCGTGGCGGTTACGATCACCTAGATTGGCACGGTCCGATACGAATTCGTCAACTGCTTCGTCGGTGTCTGCGTCTAGTTCGAGTACGGTGCAACCGTCGGGTGCACATTCGCCCGGTCAGCTCCCGGCTTCGAAGTGGAGATTTTTGAGACATCTCTCGTTGGCGGATAATGCGCTGCATACCGTCTCGCAGGCTAGTGTCGTCCCGTTGGCGGGTACGCTCGTAAGTATGGATTTGTCGAGTAACCTGTTCTTGACCATCCCTCAAGCTTTGTCGAATTTGACTGCGCTGAAGAGTTTGAATTTGGCGAATAATATGATTGAGTCGTTACATTCGCTTACGCATTCGCCGTTGGCTGCTGTTGCGGTTCTTAGTCTACGGGCGAATAGGTTGAGATCGCTGGCGGGGATTGAACGGTTACCGACGCTTGAGAGGTTGGATTTGAGGGATAACAAGTTGACGGATCCGACGGAGTTGGCGAGGTTGACGTCATTGCCTAACCTAAGGGAAGTGTATGTCGCGGATAACCCATTCTGCAAAACGCATGCGAGTACGTACCGCATTACCATCTTCAACCTGTTCCGCTCCACCCCGGGATATGAGGATGATATCGTAATGGATGGACAAGCACCTGGGTTGGTTGAGCGAAGAGCGTTGGTCGATAGGGTTAACGACGTACTGGTTCCTGCTGCTGCGATCCCGGAGTTTGAGGAGGTTGGAACGCTGGAGAGTAGTGGGCTTTCACGGGTGGATAGTCCTGCGTCGGCGATGGGCCCGCCGGAGGTTAAGTCTCGAAAGAAGAAGGTTGGGAGACGGCGGATTGTGGAGTTGAGTGCACAAGATGCTGCCGCACAGGCTAATGCCACTGCTGCTGGCAGCGGTGGTGTTACGAGTGATGACGCGTCTAGTGTGCAGACTGATGCTGCGATCTTGGGAACGAGTCCAGGCGATAAAGGGGAGGAGTATCGAAAGAAGATCGAGGCTTTGAGGAATGAGGTTGGGAGTGGGTGGTTGAGGGTACTTGAGGAGCAGGAGTGGAAGGATGAGCAGAAGAGGAGGGGAGAGGGGGCAGCGAAGAGTGTTAGTGCGCCGCCGGTTTCGAGGGCATGAAAATGAACTGTATTTTGGACCGTGGTTATGTTTTTTGAGTGTCATATTGTGGGATTGTTTTTGTTATCTTGGGTTTGTTTGGCGTTGCGGTTGCTTTATACTTTTGATGTTTGGGTTTTCGTTGTTGAAGTACGTTCGTTTGCCTCGATCGTAGTGGTATTTCTAATGGCATGAGCAGCTCTTCTTGACCTTCTCTCGTTCAAGATCATGTCATCGTGTGCATTTTCTTTGTGGTTGCGTCGGCTACTTGCAATTGTGGATTAAGCTTATCCCTCTGTGTACTGCTAGCGGCAATACGTACTGTACGCCGGTCAACAACCAAAACACCGCCTGGACAGAGAGACCTTCGACATGGTTGTCATCTCGTCCATTGCTTCGCCTGATCCGAACCAGATCACTACAGCTCAACCAATCACCAGACACGCCTGGACACGATACGGAGGACTCATCGCACACCCCACCGAAGCGTCCATAGGAACCTTGAAACAAACTAAGGCAAACGCCGGTACAGCAACAAAAACCTCGCAAGTCGCACCATTCATCTCACACTATGACAATGCTCCCAGCGGCACTGCAGCCACCGCAAATGTTAACATCTTTCGCTGTCAAGCACAAGGCACAACTCATGATCAATTACGCGTAAACGTGCTCGAGCGACATCCGTATACTACCCAAAGCTTTATCCCAATGGGGCGGAACAGGGATGAGGTTGGATATGTGGTTGTGGTAGCGGATGATAAGGATGGTGTGCCGGACTTGAGTACGGTGAGGGCGTTTGGGTGTACGGGAAAGGAGGGGGTAACGTATGGTGTGGGGCAGTGGCATGCACCGATGATTGTTCTTAAAGAGGTGAGTAGGACGCCGAATATCCATAAGGGGATAGTCAGCTAACTGAGGTTTTAGACGACGGATTTCGTGGTGTATGTGCACGAAAACGGCGTCCCACGAGAGGACTGCGAGGAGGTTAAGATTGTGGGCGGATTGCTCGTAAAGGTAGCGACAGATGCAACTTTGGCAGCGATGATTTGAACCCAATACGAAAGAAGTCCAGCCATCACTTCGGTATAGGGCACATGACGGGTGGATGAGTGTAGAGGCAGCAAAAGAAAAAGTGGGCCGCAACCCGGGTTCGAACCGGGGACCTGTCACAAGCTGTAGGAAACCCTAAGCGACAATCATACCACTAGACCATTGCGGCTGTTGATATTTCAAAAATTTCCAACAATAATTAGTACACATTCAATGAGCACGAAGAACATGATCGGCTTCAGGTAGGCAGTAATGGGACCACAAGGAATCAAATGGCTCACTGAGCGTCTCAGCTGGAGAGGAGGCCAAGACATGTAAGTAACTGCACTATCAACATGGGCTTGCCCAATATTGTCAAGTGTTCTGGACGTCACTTGTAATGTTTCTGCGGACATTCCTGGCATGGTCTTTTCCACTACAGATGGAGCCGGTGAGGACTTGTGATTCGGCACAGGTAGCTCCAGAGCTTTGGCGTGCTTGCGCCTTCCTTCATGCCTCGAGAGGACCGTGGGAACATTTCTGCTGATTCCGAATACAAGCTCAGAGCCTTCACGGGCTGAGGCATGCCTGTATTGTCCGCAGATCTGCCACAACTCGGCAGCGGTAATGCCCCGTCCTGAAAGTTCGCATCTTCATTACAAGGGTGATTCTACGCGCGCCTGTAATGAAGATGCGCAGTGACATCGTCCGCATGCGCAGCTGGACATCTCCAACCAGCCCATACAAACCTGAACACCAATAACAAACACCTCGAAGATGGGAGCGATATCAGAGGACGACACACGGAGCAACAAGATGTATCCGGCCTCGGATCTCATCTCGGAGAGCTACTTGAACGAACGGGACATCGAGGCCTTCGGAAGGGCGCTTCAGATCAACGAGCATGAGGAGACACCGGCAAACGAGTTCATTACGGCGTTACACGACTGGGCACCTGTAAGACAACAAGTACCCAAGTCAAAGGAGAAGGAATCTTCGAGCACGAAGAAGAAAGCGAAAGGACGGAAGAGGAGTTCGAGTATAAAGGATGAGACGAGAGAAGGGGTTGTATATCCGATTATGCGCTGGCCGTTACTGGTAAGGCGAATAAAACCTTGATTATTTTGCTTAATGCTGATGTTCGTCTTACAGATCGGAATATCGCTGTATGTTCAGTTCCTTGCTTGTCTTTACCTCCTCATCCGCCTTTACATCAACATCTATGAGCACATCATCATTTGGCGCGGTACACCACTCAGACTCCGTAACGCCCTACGGAATTCAACTTCGTATACGGAGTGGCTCAAGAACGCGATCAATCTCGACAAGTACATGGGCCACGAGGAGTGGAAGAAGGAGAACGAGTATGCGTATTACGACCACGTGCTGATCAGGAAGAGTTTCAAGAGGTTGAGGTCCCTGAGGGAGAAAGGAGATGTAAGAGGTTTGAGAAGCGTTCTGGAGGAATGTGTGAAAGGAAATTTTGGTGCGTAAGGAGGCCCCTTTCAAAAAGGTTGCAGCTAATATCGTCACAGGCGGGATCGAGAACCCTAGGCTCTACTCACAGACTTACTACGGCACCAAACGTCTGATCGACCAATATCTTGATGAAGGTAGACGACGAATTGTTGGACCCTACTTTGGTTGCTGACATCATTATCTTACAGTCGATAAATCTCTGAACATCGTCATCAACTCCTCCGAAATATCCCAGGAGGACAAACGGGTCATGTTACGCTACCTGGCCAAGAACTATGGAAGGACAGCCTTGTGTCTCAGTGGGGGTGCTAGCTTCGCATAGTAAGTTGTCGTTTCTTTTACCGGGTCCCGGATCACTGACATTGAGAATATAGCTACCACTTCGGCGTTGTCAAGGCATTATTGGAGGCTGACTTGCTCCCCAACGTCATCACCGGTACTTCGGGTGGAGGCGTGATTGCCGCATTGGCATGTACCCGGACCAAAGATGAACTGAAAGAGCTTTTGACGCCTGATCTCCATGCTAAGATCACAGCGTGCAAAGATCCACCATCAGTGATTTGACACCGCGACTTCTTCTTATGCTGAAGGCTGACAATGTTGATCACAGGTATGGCTACCCCGTTTCTGGAAGACTGGCGCAAGGTTCGATGCCCTTGACTGGGCCCGTGCAGCAATGTGGTTTTGTCGTGGGTCCATGACGTTTCGAGAGGCGTATGAGCGTACGGGACGGATCCTCAATATCTCAGTCATCCCGTCTGATGTTCATTCGCCGCCAAAGTTGATCAACTATCTCACTGCTCCGGATACAGTTATCTGGTCTACGCTCCTGGCCAGTTCGGCTGTACCTGGGATCCTGAATCCCGTTGTGTTAATGATGAAGGTGAAGGATGAGAACGAGACGGATGGGTACAGGCTTGTGCCGTATAACTTTGGACATAGGTGGAAGGATGGGAGTTTGCGGACGGATATCCCGTTACAGAGTTTGAATACGGTATGTCCAGTACTGTTGTACCCAAAGTGCTGAGCTGATCTAAGACATAGCATTTCAACGTGACCTATTCCATCGTGAGTCAGACGAACCCGCATATCTCCCTGTTCTTCTTCTCGGCAAGAGGAAATGTTGGACGACCCGTCGCACACCGAAAAGGAAAAGGATGGCGTGGTGGGTTTTTGGGATCGTTGGCGGAACAATATCTCAAGCTTGATTTGGGAATGTGGATGCGCGTACTCCGCGATTTGGAATTACTCCCGCGCCCCGCTTCCCAGGATTGGTCCAACGTCTTTCTCCAGCGCTTCGATGGCACGGTAACGATCACACCGAAAACTGTACCTGGTGATTTCTGGTATATCCTTAGTGATCCAAATCGCGAGAGGTTGGAGAGGATGATCTTGAGTGGGCAGCGGAAGACGTGGCCGAAGTTGTTGTTTATCAAGCACCGGTTGAGTGTTGAAAGGATTATCGAGCGGGGTCGGGCGTTGACGAGGAAGAAGGTGAACGGAAACGGAAGTGGGAGTGGAAGGGGCAGCGGAGTCAATACTCCGGTCGAGGGAGGGTCGGGGCAGCTTGGAGTGCCTGTGGGCGAGGGTACGATATTGAGTGATGCGGAGATTGAGGCGAGTAGCGAGTCTCACGCACACCAAGCTGCCCGAACGACCACCAATGGCAAGAATCCCGCGAAGAAACAGCGTGAAAGGGACACAGAAGATTTACGGAGACGAAGCCTCAGTCCGAGGGTCAGAGGGCAGGAGCCGTCGAGAGCGGTGTATGATTCGCCAGATTTCAATGATCATGCGGGGATGATCGAGGATGAGATGGAGGCGAATGGGACAGGGAGTGGGTATGGACTTGATAGTTCGAGTTCGGATGAGGAGGATGGAGATGGTGATACCGGGGAGGGAGAATATGAAGGCGAGGGTGATGTTACGGATGCTTTCATCTCCAGTCGGGGGATGACTGGGGCATACTGAAGTTGACAGTGAAGCAAACTGAGATGTGATCCGCAATGTTGTATCAAGTGACGTGAGAATTGTTTCGTATAAGAAGAATGAATTAGACTGTTAAGACACTCCGCCCAGTGCCAGGTATACCGAGAACCCCACGCGACACCGCTGTTGCAATAAACGAAGATAAAACCCGAGATAAAACAAACCAGAACAGAACCAAAAAGAATACCCAAAAAGACAAACGAGATAACATCCATGCGAAAGCTCGGGAATGGTCACGATGCTACGCATTTAACGTATGACCACTCGGCAACCTCTAACCCCCTTTTTCTGAACCGAAGGACTAGTACCAACTGACGGCAAGCAACTTAGGATATGACACAGCAACCGCCATCGCCTCCACCTTGCGGCGCGTAAGGATCGTCGCGTTTGTCGACGGGACCCCAAACTGATGGTACCATATAATCCTTTGTAGTCTTCGTGTACTGGATCAACCTGTATCCCTCCCGTCAGTACACATCCACGGTACACAACCAGAGGTAGCAACTCACGATTCACAAGCCTCAGAAGCCTTGATTCGCGGTCTATCCAAATCTTCCCGCAAACGCGCATTCAACTCATTCAGTCGCTTCAACTTCAGTTCCGACATGGATTGCTTCGGAGCGCCGGCTGGCTTTGCGGATGGACCGGTGGAGTTTGTGAGGGCCATCTTTTGGGTTTGAACGAGCAGCTTCTCCGGGATGAATGCTTGTTCAGAGAAGGAGTCGGTGTAGCGGTTCGCCGAGCACAGTCCAGCTGGTTGCACCTTAAAGCCTGTGCAGCGGTCGCGGTCGATCAACGGGTGTCCAGCCACGCATCCAGGGAGCACTTAAGAACAAAACCACGGGGAACATTGGAAGGTATTTCAGAAAACTTGTACAAAGTAATCTAACTTATACTATTTTGAGCAGAATAGAAATACTATCTAAAACTTCCGACGCCCTTCAGACAGGCTTTGTTGGTTAGCCCGAAAAAGTACGCTCACCCTGCTGCACGTCCTCGGAGGTCGTGAACTCTGTAACCGGACCTTCTCTACGGCTCATTTGCACAATATGGCTCCGTTTGCTAAGCCAGAGAACGTGTTGAGAGTATGTGACTCCTTATACGTCGTCAATGCCGTTCAATTGCTAACCTTCGTGTTGCTATAGAGAGCCGAGGAGCTTATTGCCGTTGGGCAGAACAATGCTGCCCTCCAGGCCCTTCATGAGATCATCACCTCCAAGCGTTCGCGTACGACCGCTTTGGGATCCCTCGAGCCTGTCATGCTCAAGTTCATCGAGCTTTGCGTTGACCTCCGCAAGGGAAAGATCGCCAAGGAGGGAATGTACCAATACAAGAACATCGCCCAGAACCTCTCCGTCCAGACCATCGAATTGGTCGTCAAGAAGTTCATCGACCTCGCTGAAGCCAAGGTGCAGGCCGCCCAGGCTCAGGCTGAGAAGATCACTCTTGACGCCATTGATGATCTTGAGGCCACCGAAACTCCCGAGTCCATCCTCATGTCCACCGTTTCCGGTGAGCAGTCCAAGGACCGCACTGACCGTGCCGTCGTCACCCCCTGGTTGAAGTTCCTCTGGGAGGCGTACCGTACCGTCCTCGACATCCTCCGCAACAACGCCCGCTTGGAAGTCATGTACCAGACCACTGCCAACCAGGCTTTCGCTTTCTGCTTGAAGTACACTCGTAAGACCGAGTTCAAGCGTCTCTGCGACTTGTTGCGCAACCACTTGCAGAACATTGCCAAGTACTCCAACCAGATGCACTCCATCAACCTTAACGACCCTGACTCATTGCAGCGTCACCTAGACATGCGTTTCGCTCAGTTGAACGCTGCCGTCGAGCTCGAGTTATGGCAGGAGGCTTTCCGTTCCGTTGAGGACATTCACAACCTGTTGACCATGTCCAAGCGTCCACCAAAGACCATCATGATGGCTAACTACTACGAGAAGCTCTCCAAGATCTTCTTGGTTTCCGAGAACTACCTCTTCCACGCCGCTGCCTGGAACAGGTACTTCGGTCTCACCCGTGCCCAGATCAAGGCTCAGAACACCGAGGTCGATGTCTCCAAGTTGGCTTCTTTGGTTGTCTTGTCTGCTTTGTCTATCCCTGTCATCTCTACCTCCCGCTCCAAGGCTGACTTGGTCGAGATTGACGAGTCCAAGCAGAAGAACAACAGGCTCGCTGTCCTTCTTTCCATGGGCAAGGCCCCTACCCGTGCTACCCTCCTCAAGGAGGCTTTGTCCAAGGGTTTGTTGAAGACTGTCAAGCCCGAGATCAAGGACCTCTACAACATCCTCGAGGTCGAGTTCCACCCTCTTTCCATCTCCAAGCGCATTGAGCCCATCCTCGCCCAGCTCGCCGAGGACGCCGACATGAAGCAGTACATCAAGCCTTTGCAGCAGGTCATCTTGACCCGTCTTTTCCAGCAGCTTTCTCAGGTTTACGACTCTGTCAAGCTCGACTTCGTCTTGAACTTGGCCAAGTTCCCTGCTCCTTTCGAAATGTCTACTGCTGAGATCGAGAAGTTTATCATGAACGGTAACAAGAAGGGAGAGTTGTCTATCCGTATCGACCACGCTGGCAAGGCCCTTACTTTCGAGTCTGATGTCTTCGCTGCTCCTCGCGTTGCTGCTGAGTCCGGAGTCCGTCTTCAGGCTACTCCCGCCGAGTTGGTCCGCACCCAGCTTTCTCGTTTGGGCAAGTGCTTGTTCGCTACTATCAACGTTGTCGACAAGGCTTACCTCGAGGAGCGTCTCGCTGCCAAGCAGGCCGCTTTGGAGCGTGCCGCCGCTGGCGCTGACAAGGAGCACCAGGACACTCTCGCCCGCCGTGCCATCATCGAGCGCCGCAAGGAGCTCGTCGAGACTTTGCAGATGCGCAAGGAGAAAGAGGAGGCTAGCAAGCGTGCCCTCAAGGCCCAGCAGGAAGCCGAGGCCGAGCAGAAGCGTCTTGCCGAGGAGGCCAAGAAGCGCGAGCTCGACCGTATCCGTCGCGAGCAGGACAAGATCCGCGAGGATGAGGCAAGGAAGTTGGCCGAGGACCTCAAGGCTAAGGGTGCGCTTAAGGTCGATGTCGACAACCTTGAGGGTATGGACACTACCAAGTTGAGGCAATTGCAGATTCAGCAGATGGAGAAGGAGACTAAGGACATGTCCGAGCGTCTCAGGATTACTAGCAAGAGGATCGACCACATCGAGCGTGCTTACCGCCGTGAGGAGATTCCCTTGTTGGACGAGGACTACGCCAAGCAGAAGGAGGCCGATAAGACCGCTCACGCCGAGGCCCGCCGTATTCAGCTCCAGACCTCCAAGCAGAAGCACGCCGACGATCTTGCCCTCAAGAAGCGTCTCGCCCGTATCTTGCCCGACTACTCTTCCTTCCGCGCAACTATCGAAGAGAAGCGTCACGAAGAATTCGAGGCTCGCCGAGCGGAAGCCCAGGCCGCTCTCGAGGCAGCAAAGGAGGACCGTCGTCGCCAGGTCCGCGAGCGCCGCGAACACGAGGAAGCCGAGCGTGTCGAGCGTGAGGCCCGTGAAGCCGAACTCGCCGCTGAGCGTGAGCGTGAGGAGGCCGAGCGTGCTGAACGCGAGGCGGAGGACCGTGCACGCCGTGAGGAGGAAGCTGCTAAGCGCGCTGAGGAGCGTGCCAAGTTGGATGAGGTCGCCGAGCGCCAGAGACAGCGTGATGCGGAGATCGAAGCTAAGCTCGCTGCTAAGAGGAACCAGTCTCGTGACGAGGCATTGCGTGCACAGGGTATCAGGGATACCAGACCTGATGGCGCTGCGCCCCAGTCTGCTGCTCCTGCTCCTGCTGCTGGTGGTGGTGGATGGAGGGAGCGTCTTGCTGCCAGGAAGGCTGCTGAGGCCGCTGTTGGTGCTGCTCCTGCTGCTCCTGAGCCTACTAGGAGTTCCGCTCCCGCTGTTGCGGAGGAGGCGCCGGCGCCTAGGAAGTATGCCCCTCCCTCTCAGAGGCAGGGTGCCCCCCAGGGCGGTGCTCAGGAAGGTGCTCAGGGTGGAAGTGGTGGCAAGTACGTGCCTCCTTCCCAGAGGCGTCAGGAGGGCGGTTCCAGGTGGTAAGCTAGAGTTGTTGAAGTGTGATGTGGAGGGGTGAGGAATTGCATGTGGAGGTGTTCTAAAACGTTCGCTATGATTTAGCTTTTTGGTTGGTGCGAGTACTTAGTAGGATTTATGAAGACATATATCCGTTAAAAGCCTATTGTTGTTCACTACTCATACATCTCCTCATACGTCACGCCCTAGAAGTAAGAATACTCTCCACCCTTCTCCAAAGCCCTCTTGTATGCCGGCCTCTCGTGTACCTTCTCAACCCAGTTCTTGATGTTCTCAAACCCCTTCCCAGCACCGCCTCTCTTCACCGCAGCCTCCATAGGGAACAACATCATGAAATCCGCCCCACTGAACGTCTCACCACCGGCAAACCATTCACGGCCCTCCAGCTCCTTTTCCAAGAACTGAAAGTTTTGTTCGAGGTTGGGGGACAAGTACGCATCGCGGACCGAGGCAACGATCTTTGACGCGATAGGACGAGCGAAGAATGGCATAGGTGCGGATGCAATCTTGTCCATGACGAGGGCGATGACGAGGTAGAGCATGAGGGTGCCTTCGGCGTAGTGCATGTAGTACACATAGCGCCTGTATTGCTCTTCTTGGGTGGAGGGGGAGGGGATGAGGTGGGGAGCGTATGTCTCGAGGAGGTAGGTTATGATCGCGCCGGATTCGGCGATGACAGTTGAGCCGTCGGTGATGATGGGGGATTTACCGAGGGGGTGGATTTGTTTCAGGGAGGGTGGGGCGAGGACGGTTTTGGGGTCTCGTTCGTACTACACACAGCCTATTCAGCCTTGATCCTACAAGTAGAGAAGAGCGACAAAGGTACCTTCTGGATTGTGTAGGGAACATCAAGTTCCTCGAGGAGCCACAGCACGCGCTGAGAGCGGGAGTTGTTGAGGTGGTGGAGAATGATGGGTTGCGCTGGCTTCATAACCTGCTGATCTCCGGTGCTGGCAGCGACTTCGTTTACGTCCGACATTGTGGATGTTGCAATTGATGAAGTAGAGCTTGAGTTTGGTGACGCGCACAGCAACCCCCAAACCTACACCAGCTCGAAGACCCAGCATAGCAGCACGACTCGCTCGAAAGAGAACAATTCTATTTCATATGGTCAGCATAACCGACGGAAACAGCCCAACCCAAGCCGATGTTGCCCCCAGTGTCTCGGATCCTGCAGCCGTAGGCGCTGGCCTTGTAGACTGCTCTGGACCAATAACAAGAACCATCCTGGCGGGTTTGTTCGAGATGTGAACGACCTCCGATCGAAGGTCCTTGCGGTTGGCAGTTCATATAGCGGAGTCGCGAGGAAAAAGAGGAGCTTGGAGGACGGAACGTGGGTCATTCCAATTTCGATAACTTCGAAGACGAACGGCGCAATCACCGGCTGCGGTTGCTTGAGCTGGTCCTCGTCTGACTCATCAGATCGAAGAACCATATCGGGTCAGCTCACGACACGAATACCGGACCGACCGATCATCCAGGCATCGACGCGGGATCCGGGCTTAGGGATCGCCGACCGCCGCGGGATCATAGTCGCCTTTTGCAAGCTTCGTCAACCTTATCGACGGTCTACGTGATCGCCGGGTGACAGGGTTCGAGAACGTACGTACACGGCATAATCATTTTGCCCGGCCCGTCACAATTGGGATCACAAGCAATTTCACTTGCGACTAATCGCTCCGTTCGCAATCGAGCAACTCACAACTCAATCGCTCTTTCGCTATAAAACCCTACACACATCACCCTCTACTTCGATCTATACGACATTTGCAACAATGCCACTCATGAACCACCTCCCAACAGAATTAACCCTCCAAATCCTCTCCTCACTCTCCCCCCTCGACCTCTTCTCCCTTTCCCTAACGTCCCACGCCTACCACACTCTCGCAACCCACAACATCCTCTGGGAACCCCTCTGCCGCACCCTCTGGTCCCGCAAACGCTACCTCCCCCACATCCTGATCGCACACGCCGAAACAATCGAAAAGTGGAAAGAGGAGGAGGGAAAGTGGTTTTGGGCATGGGGGGTGGTCTGGAAGGAGGCGGGGAGGTGTGAGGTGGGTGTGGGGGATGTGGTGGAGAGCAGTCCGTGGAGGTTTCAGTTCACGAATGGGTTGCCGAGTGCGACGTACCCGATGTTTTTTGCGCAGCCAGAGGCATCACCTTCACCATCGTCTGCTGCGCCAGAGCTCGAATCAGGCTCGTCACCACCCGCACCGGATTCATCCCCACCACCAGGCTCATCAGGCTCTGGCTCCAGTTCTGGATATGACTCAGATCCTCCCACCGGAATCTACTCCCACCTCGACCTCCTCCCCGACCCCGACAACTTCTCCCTCGTTCCCCCCTCCCACATCCGAATCGGCTCCTACCCACTCCTCCACGTCTTCCGCAACAAAATCACGTGGGCGTGGCAGATTACGAATCCGTTTGTGTTTTATATTGCAATTTGGCATCCCGGGTTTGAGAGGTGTTTGGGGTTGGCACGGGAGGGTGCGGGAGAGGGGGGAGAGGAGGGGAGTAGGCCGCCGGTGGAGTGGGTTGAGTTGAGGAGGAGGGTGTTGGGGATCAGGACAGGGGGTGGGGATCAGGAAGAACGGGAGGACGATGATTGTGGTCCTGGTGGGCGCTCGGGTGACAGAGGTGTACGGCGTCCGGGCGCGGGAAGGGGGTTGATCACGGATGCGAACGTGAATGTCTGAAGCTGGGGTTCAATGAGCATACCACCTATTAAATGCATGGACATCGACAGACATCATTTCGGGTAGAAAGGGTAAGGGAAGCATAGGAAAGGAAAGTGGCATATTGGGTATCCGTCTCGATCTCACCATCATAACGCTAAAACAAGAAAACCAATTCTCCTGCCCCACTTTCACCTCTAGATCAATCCACCCAGCGCAATATCCTCACACACCCCAATCCGATCCATCAACCTCATCAACGCCCCCTCCGCCTTACTCGCAACCCCTACCACGCCCTCAACCTTTGCAACATTATTCTGGATCGAGGTAAGGTGTTGTTCGAGTTGTGTCGTGAGTGAGCATAGTGTTTTATCGTTTGCGGTATCGTACGTCGAAGATGAGGTGCGTTTGAGGTTGACGCGGTCAGGAAAGGCGATGTCGTCGTCGGGCGAGGGTTCGGTTGTGGTTTGGAGGAGGGGGTGGAGCTGTAACGTATGCGTGTCAGATCCGAATGACAGGAAACTTTCACAAGCATTCATTACCTTCTTTTGCCTCTTCCTTCGTTCCCCTGCCGCAGCCTTCGCGTTTGTTTCAAGCTCCCTCAACTGTTCCACCTCCTCCTCCAGTTCTCTTCTCTCCCTCTCCAATTCCCGTTCTAACACCCCAACCTGCTCCAAATCCGTAACGAGACCTGTTTCTAAAGTGCGGCTCTGGTCCAGGACTTTCTCATATTCGATACCCTCTCCGCTGCCTGGCGGCACCGGTAATTTCCTCAACGCATTCTCAATCTTCCTAAAAGCGTGTTGCAACACCGCTTGTGTCTCCCTTCGTCGCGAGTCGGATTTAGCAGTCGAGAAGATTGGGAGGGCGGTTGTTTCAAGTGTTGACATGAGTGTTTCAATTGCGGAGGCGGGGAGGGGGTGCCAGGCGGAAGTTATTCGGATTTTGCGGGAGCGAGATTTGAGGGTGGGGAGTTGGAAGGCTGTGAGACTAGATTAGGACATGTTCAAGATATGCTTGGGTCATGGCCCCACCATCTTCGTCTACTGCTTTTCGTTTCCTGGTCTGTGAGGAGGTTGTGGAGTCGCCTGTTGCGGGCGGTTCTTCTACGGGTTCTCGAACGCGTTTCTCGGTTGCTTTGGCTGGTGCGGCCGCTGCCGGGGCAGTCTTGTTCTTTGTTCCTCTTGGCTATAACATTCTTCAGCACATATCCCTTCTCCTTATTTGAACAGCATGCACTCACCATAATTGACGGCCCTGGTGTTTTGTTTACTTGTGAGGGTACCGGTAGGTAACTCATCCTCATGCATGCCGCCAGCGTGCACTCTGGGGTGCATACAGCTGGTGGGCGGGAGCGGACTCTTTCACACTGTTCATCATTTTTAACTCCCTTTTCTTATTGTTCTAGCATATGCATTTGCGAGCACTTCTTCAATCGCATACCAGGTATCATAGACCATCTCTATCGTACAGTCCATGTTCTTTATTTGTCAATCTTGAGGGAGAAGTCGACATGCTGCACCGATTGATGGATGGAGCTTGTCGAAACAATGTCGATGTCGTTGTTCAAGAAGGCACCGACATTCTTCTCTGTCAAACCTCCGGAGCACTCCAACAAGACTTCCCTCTTTCCAGCCCATCTCTGCTTGATGTTCTTCGCCGCAACCTTCAATCCATCACCGGTAAAGTTATCCAGCATGACAATATCAGCACCAGCCTCAATCGCCTCATCGGCCTCTGCCTCGGACTGAACCTCAACCTCGATCTTCACAGCAAAACCACCCACTGCACGAGCAGCCTTGACAGCGCTTGTGATAGATCCAGTCGACCAAACATGATTGTCCTTTAACATGATCATTGAGGACAAATCATACCGATGCGCATCAACACCTCCTACTAACATGCCGTACTTCTCCACAACCCTAAACCCTGGTGTGGTCTTCCTCGTTCCTGCCAAAATCCCTTCATACCCGGCCGCACGCACCAAATTCAGCAAGCGTCGAGACGTTGTCGCAATACCAGAACAGCGGGCGAGGGTGTTGAGGGCAACGCGTTCGCCAAGAAGGATTTTTCGAGCTGGACCGCGGACTGTGGCAACTTTTCGGATAGGGGTGAAGGAGGTCCCTTCGTCGAGGTGCCAGGTTACCGTGCAACCAAGTTGGGTAAAGACTTCATCAAAGAAGGGACGGCCGGCGAGAACACCCTGTATGTTCTTGGTCAGCAACAGTCATGATTGCAGGTTACAGGAGCAGACCTCGCTCTTTCCGTAAAGGGTTGCGGTCTTCTCGTCCTCTCCAACAACGAAACCTCCATAGTCAAAGCTGGGAGCATCCTCGGCTAGCCAGGTGGTGATGACAGCCTTCCATGATGGAGGAAGGAGGTGTGCAGGGTTGCCTGGGAGAGTGAGAGATGTGATAGGTTGTGACATCTTTGCAGATATATGCTGTCGTTTTGGTGGTGAGTATGAGGGAGGAGGTTCGCGTCCCCCCGCGGCCGGCCCCGTGCCTTGCACCTCTCAGCATGGCCCGACAAAAGTCGACGGGAAGGAGCATTTACTCCACCAAAAGCGAAAGAATCAGCATTACACAACCAATATGGTAGCAAGATATAAGCGCGTCGCAGAGGCTCTCAGGAATATCCGCGTAGGCCCCGGTGCCGCCGTTTTCTCGCCTCAAGTCAAAGCCCTATCTCTCACATTTCGATTCGAGAACTATGCTGGTCAAATGGGTGCACGGTATGTCCCTCCCATCCCTCCCATCCCTCTCCTTAATGCTAATGCCAGAGTGCGTCCACAGGGTGTTCTTCAGAGAAAACCTCCCCAGAATCCAATACCACAATCCCACCCTCCCAATCACCGTAACCCGCGACCACGCAAAAGACAACGCATGCAAGATGATTGTGACGATGGCGGATGGGACTACGCAGGAGATCAGTATGCTGAGGAAGGAGAGTTCGAGGATTTGTAGTGAGTTGCTGAGTGTTGCGAAGGCGACGCCGTATACTGAGGCTGAGGAGCCTGCGAAGACCAAGCAGACAGTGACTGCATAGGCGAGTTAAAAAGAGGCAGATAGAGGGACTGGGCGTGCAGGGTGTCTGGTACGATGAATGGTGACTGGTGGTGTACCCAGATATCGCGATATCTCCAGGACAGGTTTTTGGCATATAGCCCGGCGTTTATGATTACGTTACAAACGATAAAAGACAGCATCTTTCATACGCGAAACTGTACCCTTCGTCATGAACATGATCAAATTAAACGAGGACAAGCGCCTCTCGGCCGTGTAGCTATGCAAACCTGACAAGAACCACGAGATGCACATCACCAACTCTTCACCCACGTACCAACCCCCAACACAAACACCAACCAAAACAAATCCCTAAGCCCACTCGTAAAAATAAACCGATACCTCGCAAACGTCATCAGCCATCCCCCAAACGGGGCCGGCAGTTGCCCAGCCAGCATCGCGAGTTTACTCCCCGGGAGGGCCTGTCCCCCACGCTCGCTAAACAACCTCGCTGTTTGGAGAATTAACTGAGCCGTGATGAAGTACCAGAAGACGGGTTTGACGCCCGTGTAAGACTCGAGACGGTCGATGGAGGTACCGGTGAAGGTATCCGCCATGACGGCCCAGATTCCGATTGAGATGGAGATGATCCAGTGCGCGAATCTCCAGTATCCGCCCCATGGATCCACCGCTTTGACTTCTTGCCCCATCCCCATTCCCATTCCGGGGATTGGTGGCATGCCCGGGATGGATTTATCGCCGCCCAGTAACGCGGTCAGCATGGCCATGGGGTCTCCGCCCGCCCCACCCTCAGCTCCTACACCAAGGCCACCCATACCGGGGAGGTTGCCGAACGGGAATTGAGGAGCGGAACCACCAGCAGCACCAGTAGGGCCTATGCGCGCACCGAGAAGGTCTTCAAGACTCGCCATACCACCAGCCCCACCAGTACCCGATGGGAACGACGAAAATCCGCCATCGAGGGGTGTACGCGTCCTACTCGGCGCCAATGGTAGGGTAGAAATGTCGACTTCGGCCGGATCATCCGTCACGCTCGCGCTGTTAACCCTCAAACTCGCGTTTGTTGTAACAGGATCTGTTTGCCTTTCGTCAGCACCACACCTCAAAGTATAGTCCACATGCAAAAAGGCAAACCTGAAGGAATCGAATGCGCGCCCTGCATCCCCGTAATCTTATTCAATCTCGTACTTCCACCCTCCAGAATCTTCTTCTCGCGTCGTTCGCGGCGGAGACGGGCTTTCTCTGCGGCTGAAACCTCAGCCGAGGAAGTAGCTGCTGTTGGTGTTGTTGAAGCGTCGTCAGCCATTGTACTGGTAGAAGTGTAGGGTAAGGATCGAGAGGGGGAGTATATTTTTCGGAGCCGTGCGATACTTTGATCTACGGGTGTATGACGCGGGAGTCTGCAGGGCACGTGCACGCGTTTTTTGACAGCCCCGACCGTAGGTAAAATGCATTAACCACCGAATGCTAAAAACATACCTTACGTGGGTTTTTTTTTCTTGGTTAATGAGCCCGCTCATCAATCTCAATAACATCCCCAACAACCCCCCTTCCAACCCCCTTCAAAAAAACCCTCTCCTCCCCCTCCCTCCACCTCTCCCAAACTTCCAACCCCTCCCCTCCACCCTTAACCTCCAACCCCCCATACCCATCCCGAATAACCCTATGCACCTCCTCCGCATCCAGATGTTCTCCAGTCCTCAACTGATGTGACTCGATTAACGACAAATAGTGTGCGTGGACGGCGAGGAGGAGGGTCGTTGGTGGGTATGTTGTCAGGTTATAGGTTTGGGAGAATTGGGTGAGGAGGTGGCCGGATTGGATGACTTGGTAGAAGAGGTCGTCGTATTCTTTTGCGGAGGGGAGGAAGGATTCGCCGGAGCTTAGTGCGAGTGCGAGGACCTTCGATAGAGACTCTGTCAAGGTTTTGACCCGCGTGAGGTCTTTTAGGTCGTCCGCTCTTGCCGTCATGAATTTGACGAGTCCAAACAACGACTTCCACAGGTGATGCCAATGATACGCTACACCCAAAACCGTCGTCAGCATAGTTTGTAATATCGGGGGTAAATGGGACCATACCAATCCTCGTCCTCCCCCTCTTCAGCACACTAATCCCCCTCCCCACCAACCCAACAACATTAACATACCCCTCAACATCCAACCTCTTCTTCAAATTCCACTCCAAGCCTTGAACACACAAATCAAACACAACACCCATCACAACCCTTTCCTCTCCCATTCCTCCCAGTTTGGGGAGAGGGGTGCGTTGTCGGCAGAGTCGGACACTTGAGGATTGGAGAGCGAGGAGGGATGCGGTACCGGGGTCGTCGAGGAGGATGCGGAGGATGAGGGTTGTTAGGCGGGAGGAGGTTGCGGCATGGGGGGAGCGGCGTTGGTGGGAGAGGAGGTAACTCGTGAGGGAGAGGAATAGGGAGAATGGTGATTCTGGACGCCGTGTTAGTTGGTAACAAGGGGACGGGGGACGGGACGAACCTGTGTTTGGGGCGGTAGGTGGTGCACGAATGAAATTCATACAAAACACTTTCGAGTTCTGCACAAACTCGTACACCGCCAACAACACCGCAACTTCCGGACCCGGTCTGTACACGCAACCAATCAGCCCTCATTCCACGACCCACTCTCCTCCCCAGATGACTTACAATACCCCCCAAGCCTCCTCCACATCCACAATCCCCTTCGCCTTACTCTGTCTCCGTTCAACCAATTTCGCTCCCCCCCACCACGACCCCATCCACCCCACAAATCCCACCCCCTCCCCATCATCCTGTACCTCAATATAATCATCCCGCACCTCCCTACACACCTCCCCAAACGTCTCAATAACCGCCATCATCTGTTCCTGATCCGAGAGTTGTGAGAGGTATGTCTGGTATGGGTTGTGTGACTCGAACTTCTGGTATGCGGCCAATAACCCGACTAATAAGACCGCGTCTCGTGTCCCAGCTGCTGGGGAAGACGACGGGCGAGATGTGATGTAGGAGAGTAGTGGTGGGAGGAAGTTGCGATGTGTGAAGTATGAGATGAGGGAGGAGTGGTACGCACGGGCGACGAAACAGAGTGCTAGGGCGACTGCTTTTGTCGCTAATTCCTCATCGTGGGAGTGTTGTGAGATGAGGTGTTGTAAAGATGTGACGAAAGTCGGGAGAACGGTGTCGACGTCCGAGAGGGAGGTTAGTGTCGTAATGATCGCAGAGGAGTCATACGAGCGTTTTCCCGATATGGTGGATTGGATGAGTGTTCGTAGTGTATCGATTGCGTTGCTACATTGTTCGGTCGAAGAGGTTGGGGAGGAGACGGTGTGGACGGCATTGGTGAAGATGGATTGTGTTATGTGCTATTCTCCATTTCGATTAGCATTGAAGGGAAAAGGTGGGGGATGGCCATGGGAGGAACCTCAATACGTCCGATATCTCGGCGGAGGATTGTGGAGAGAGCAGTGTGGTCATATTTTACGGAGAAGAGGTTGTGGTAGAAGGTGTCGTCGAGAATGTCCGGGTCGTCCTGGTCACGCATCAATCAGCTCCCTCCTCCCATAGCATGAACAGACGTACAATCCCATACACGAACTGGCCATAATAGACGGCGGGATCCATATGGGTATCTCGTCTCGAGGAGGGTGGATCACGTGTGGTGTGTGGGTTAGCCCAACTGGCGGTCCGCGCTCGACGTGAAGTGTGAAGGGAAGGGAAGGGAAGGCCGAGCGCTGCGCATACACCCCACCACAAACAAGGAGACCGTCGCTATTGGCAGCATTCACCCGCTATAAGGACCAGAACCATGGTTCACAAGATATCCCTCGGTGCACGAGGAGGAGGGACAAAGGTGGATAGAGACCTCGATGAAGTCGCACACGCTGTCGCAAAAGCAAAACGCGTGATGGTCGTTACAGGGTACGCATACACCCTTCCCACTCCCCTCTCACATGTCCCAACACCGTTTTACAGTGCCGGAATATCCTGCAACGCCGGTATCCCAGACTTCCGCAGTTCCGACGGTCTATATAATCTCGCATTAACAGACACCATCAAAGGCAAGGATCTCTTCGATATCTCCCTCTTCAACACACCAGAAACAACATCAACCTTCTACACCTTTACCTCAAACCTCCGTCGCGCAATCCTCGATGCGACACCAACCCCAACCCACCGCTTCATCCGTACCCTCAAAGATAAATCAAAGCTCTTGCGGTGCTACACCCAAAACATCGATGGCCTCGAGACGCGAGAAGGGTTGGTCGATGGCGAAGACGTGGTGCAGCTTCATGGAGATATTCACTCCCTCGTTTGTACACTCTGTCAACAAAAAGCACCTTGGACACCCGAACTCATGGAGCAACTCCGTCTCGGATCCGCACCATCGTGTCTCCACTGCGAATCTAAATCACTAGCCAGGACTTTATCGGGGAAGAGGGGTCTGGCAAGTGGTGTACTACGCCCCAATATCGTGTTATACGGCGAAGAACACCCACAAGGCCCCACCCTAGCAACCCTCATCAACCGCGACCTCCGCCGACGAATCGATTGTCTCCTCGTCATCGGTACTTCCCTCCGCATCCCCGGCTTCAAGAAACTCGTGAAAGACGCTGCACAAATCGTCCACGGATACGGCGGAAAAGTCGTATTTGTCAATTTGGGCGCGCCGAGTGTTAGTGAGTGGAGAGGCGTCCTGGATTGGTGGGTCGAGGGTGATAGTGATGCGTGGGTCGAGGATCTGAGAATTCGGGCACCAGAGGTATTCCGCGTGCAGACGACGTTGGACGGCGTACTTAAATCCACCAAACCTGGCGTCAAATCCAAGATTAAGAATAATGGACGCGAACCTACACCCTCCGAAAGCGGCGCGAGTGATAAGGAAAACGAAGGCGGTGTCGGGACGCCAAAGAAGAAGATCATCCGGCAACAACTCATTCAACTGCCTACCCCGCCATCATCACAAGACGATGCTAGTGCTGTTCCGGCTTCGGTGACGAGGAAGAGGGCGTTAGTTGAGGAGTCGTGCAATACGCCCAGCAAACGAACCAAAACCTCGGCTTCCATTCCCAAGAAGAAGGTCGAGATGCCGGAGAAGAGGGCGCTGGCGTTGGTGGAGGAGTTGTGCAATACACCCTCTAAACGGACCAAAAATGGCGGTACTAATACTCCCGCAAAATGCGCTCCGACGAAGACGAAGGTGGTGGAAAGACCGAAATCGACATTTTTCGATAAGATCAGTAAACCGAATGTCACCTCCATGGCTGCGACCAAGAAGTCTGTACCGGCGGCAGGGACGAAGAGGGAGAATGTTGCCTTGGGAGCGGCAGTCGGTGTGGGTGTGGGAGTGACGAGTAATGTGAGGACGCGGGCACAGGTTAAGGCGCCGTTGAAGAAGTTGAGGAGTTCGGGGGTTAAAGTTCAGGCGTGACCTTGATCTCGCATGGTGAATGTGAACAGAAGGAAGGAAGGAAGTCAAAATGGATACCCGATAGAAGCCCATAGAGAAGGGCTTATGGCGTTAAGGGTGCGTGATCTACTGACTATATGTTTTTCGTTTTTAGTAAGTACGGCGTTATGTTGCTTTGAAGAGATGCACGTTGCATCGTGATGGATGGGGCTCAGGCGATGGTGATGGTGATGGGCACGCCGAGATGGAAAAGGTTTAGCTGTAGTGTTTTCGTATGGTTTTTTATGTCTGAGAACAAGAGGCCGGCTCTGGAAGTCTTAATATACTTTTCTAGTTGTTACCCTACCTTGTGAGGTTCATTGGAGTCCGGAATTCTGGGAACGGACTCTCTCAAGTATTTCTCATTGCGATCGATGTCGTGGGATTCAATGTACATGTACACTCCAACGTTGCCTTATCTTCGTATCACAAAGATCGGTAAACGTCGACAGAACATCATTGACCAATACTATTCCTAAGCCTAAGGGAGAAGCTGCAGAACCGGATATTCCAATGTTTGTGGTGGGCAGTATGCCCACTCGACCAACCCGAATCCGGTGTTGGGTTCGGGGCGGATGATGCAGTCGTGGGAAAACAATTCTGCTCAACGCCTTACTCACACATCGTCACTGAACTCTGGAAGATGCGGCTGAGTACTGGTGTGGTATACGAGGACGAGTTAGAGATTCATGAACGACCAGCGTCCGGTACACATTAAGTCAGTTGTAAGCTAACACTCTATAGCTAGTCCGATTCATGCCATTCTGACAATCCAGTGCTTTCATCCGGATCATGAAGTTGATCCGAATTCACCTTGGTCTGCTTCACGTTTCCCATCCATCCCGTCAGCTTATTCAATTCCCACATAACCATCGCTGCCGTTTGACTACTATGCAGGGTTCCCACCGGATTAGGCATGGGTATCGACGCATGTATAACTGGCAGGTCAAGTGCGTCAAGACCATCCTGTTTGTCCCAATTCTGATCACCAGAGACGATGATGGCGAAACGCTTGGGAATTTGGTCGTGTGGGACTACCGTCCCGTCGCTTCGCCAAAGATGAAGCGTATTTGGCTTCTGATGTTCGACTTGAGACTCGGGGATTTCGCGGCAAAGGATAACTTGGAGTCGTTCTTCGTTAGCGAATTGTACGAACTCATTCAAGTCCTGGACCTTGTGCGGCATGTAAATTGTCTGTGCCCGCGAATGGGCAAGGACATCTGGAGCGAAGAAGTCGATCGAATTCCTTGACCGAGCTGCCGCTTGCCATCCAAAGAGACGCGCTGTCCGTACGAGCTGACCAAGGTTCGAAGCGTAATTGATTTTGTGGAAGTAAATGAGTCGCTGGAGGTCCTTTCCTTTTGGGAAAGACCAATTCGGCCGGGCGATTTCCGCGAATAACTCGTGTTTGTATGGTCGTGCTCGAGACCCCAAGATCCGTCGTACACGGTCGATGTCAACTAGGTACTGCCGTTCCGCTGGCCATTGCGAAGGGTTTTCAATCACGTTCAGCGCCGGCCGGCGCACGTCTTCCAATTCCTTCCAGACTTCGGGTGCGGTGACGAACAACGAAGCGATTTTGAAACCATCCTTCAGGAGGTGCTGGATGAAACGGCCACCCTGAACCAAAAAGAAACCACGCTCTTCGCGGTAAGCTTTCTTCTGAGCTAGGTTGGCAAGATGCATGACGATTGGTGCTGAGTGTACGCCGAGGCGATACATGCCTGCCGGGAAGGCGATAGGAGCCGGCTTCACTCCGGTGATAGGCATCGTGAAGTTTCAAGGATGTATTTAGGCGGTGTTGATATTGTCAGAGGCTGCTCTGTCGCAGAATAGTCAAAGTCGTCGTTCCGAATTCGACTTTCGGCCCCGGGCATACACATGTAACGTAACGTAGACAGCTGCAGTTCACGTGCGCTTCCGAACAAGATACTTACCGGTATAGATAGAAAACAAAAGCTCTGTCAATCACGTCTACAAATAACGTCGAATACCTCATCGCCTATATCTTGTTTTCTTTGGGTGTTCAGTGTATCAGAGCCGCAGATTCGTGCATATCGTGACGTTGGCCTGCAACAACGAATTCCAGTCCCAACAACAAACCATCGCCTATATTATCATGTTCATTCTCAATTGGTACCTCATCATTTCGTTCAGTATTGCTCGTATGGCTAACGGTTTGCCGCAGGTTCTGGGACGTTCTCGCTTCCCTTGGTATGATCGCCCCTAATGGTTACTTGGTGAACGTGTCTCTAATACCTGACTCCAGGTCTTTTGAATAAGCACGCCAAACTTCTCTTCCTTGGTCTCGACAATGCAGGAAAGACCACCCTTTTACATATGTTGAAGGTGCGCAGATATTGAGAGTCGAGATAGAGGAAAGACTCACTGACTTTGCACAGAATGACCGATTGGCTACTCTTCAGCCTACGCTACACCCTACATCCGAGGAACTCGCCATCGGAAACTGCAAGTTCACCACCTTTGACTTGGGTGGCCACCAGCAAGCCCGCCGTCTCTGGAAAGACTATTTCCCCGAAGTCAACGGCATTGTCTTCCTCGTCGACACCGCAGACACCGAGCGTCTCGCCGAATCGAAGGCAGAACTCGACGCTCTTCTCTCCATTGAGGAGTTGTCCAAGGTTCCTTTCCTAATTTTGGGTAACAAGATTGATGCGCCTGGTGCTATCTCTGAGGAGGAGTTGCGGGCTCAGTTGGGTATGTGGCAGACGACGGGGAAGGCTAAGGTGCAGGTTCCGGAGAACATGAGGCCCATTGAGATTTTCATGTGTTCGGTTGTGATGAGGCAGGGTTACGGTGAAGGATTCAGGTGGTTGTCGCAGTTCGTGTAAGGAATGGACGTGGAGGCGTCGGAGTCTGTTGGGGTTGGTATGGAGCGATGTTATTGCGCAGTGGGGAAGACCTGAAGGAGCCCATAAACGAAAACAGCGGAGGACAATGTTATCGTATTTTGGTGAATGAAGTATGGAAAACGTCGTTTTACATGCGTCTATATAGCGTCTCGTGTTTCCGTTGTTGTTTTGCTTTTTGATATCCCTAATCATGACAAACATCTCATAACCTCTATCTCTCGCAGTTTCTGTTTTGATTACCCCGCCTATTCTTCCCGGTTCAGATGCGGTGCCATCTCGATACTCTTCTGAGGCTCACCTTTGTTGTGCACAAAAAGACCCTGAAGCTGAGCGGTCGATACAGGCCTTCCCGTCTCCTGAATCCGTTTGACAAACTCATCCGCCTCAGTTTCCTTCCCTTCATAGAACCTCAGGAACATTTCCCGGAGCTGATGAGGCGTAGCATTACCAATCAACCGCTTCATATCAACACGGCCTGGGCGAATAAGGGCAGGATCCAATTTCTCGGCATGGTTCGTCGTCATAAAAATAATGCGTTCCTCAGCAGATGCGACACCGTCCAAAGCATTCAGCAACCCGGAAAACGTCACGTTTGAGCGACCATAGCCTGATTCTTCGGTTTGCTGTCGTCCTGAGAATGCAGCGTCGATGTCTTCGAGCAGCATGATCGACCTCTCTGGGAGGTTGGAGAGGAGGTGGTTTAGCTTGTCGTCTGTTAGGCCTCGTTCTGAGAGGTTCAGGATAGCAATGTTGTATTCCAGTTCTCCAGCTAGAGCCTGGATGAACGACGTCTTTCCAGAACCTGGGGGACCATAGAGGAGGTAGCCTCTTCGGTATGGGATACCTCGTTCATAGTACCACTTCCCACTTGCCAAGAAGTCTTTGACATCAGCGACGATCTCCTCTTTAATACCTTGGTCAAGGACCACACTGTCCAAAAGACGCCTCCGACGCGGTTGTCCAAATGGTCTCCATTCTGGACCCCAGGAGGTGTAGATCACCGTTTTTCCTTCTTGCATTTTCATTGCGAGACCTTTAGCTTCTTCCAACAGTTCTGTGAATAAGTGGCGGTCTCGTGAGAGGGTTGTCAGCGTTACAACTTCCCATGGCGATCCGGTGGATATATCAACCATCTTCGTATCTCTTGATCTGGTAACTTGAATCCATGCTCCTCTCCATCTGAAGAAGTGCTTGCCGGGTCCAGGGACTAGCGAGAATGTGGTGGATGCTGAACCGTTGTCGTGTTGTTTGTAGGATGTCTCAACGGCAAGGTGATGTGATCGTCCAAGACCAAGACCGGCGGAAGCAGTCTTTTGTTGAAGAGACATCCAGTGGAGGAACCAGAGGTATGATTTGTCTTTTGATGGGATTTCAAGGGTGACCAACATTTGGCGTTGAGCCATATGTGCTGCTCTTACTGCCCCCTGTCGAGCCATTGCCAAGCCAGCACCAAGACCCATCAAACCGAATCCCTAGAAGACAACGTCAGCCCCACCACCATAGGCCTGGAGCAATAGGTGACTTACAGCTCCAAACAGCGGGTTATCCGTGATTTGACTGAACCAACCCTTGTCTGCCGCAGGCACAAGAGTAGCAGCAGGATCCTGCGTAATTGCAAGGACATCCTCAACAGTTTGAGGCTGTGCTACCGTCTCTGACACGGTTGCTGCGATGTCTGCCATTTTTGTCGAGGAGGTAACGTAGACTCATGATCATGAGTGGCCCTTGCAGTTGCCCGATTTGACCAGGTGATTGGAGCGCGTCGCTCGACGAAGGAGAAAACGCGTACGGTAACGACGATATAACAGCCATTACAAAAGGGTATCCAGGCTCTTTCTCGCATTTATACCACATCGTACTCTTCACTCCGGTTGCTGTTACCTTCCTCGGTTGCTTCGTGCCGGCCTTTCAAACGCGTGAGCACCTTTCAAACGGCACATTCCTCGGTCAAATCAGCATATAACATCGCATAGCCATGTTCAGAAGTACTGGCGCAAAGAAGAGAAAGGTCGTCCGCAACTTCGACGCGAAGGTCCAGCGCCATGTCGACTATCCCCATCGTCTGAACTTTTACCTCGAACCTCCTCGCAGCGAGATCACGCTCGAGAACTTTGAGTTATGGGCCATTAACCGTCTGAAGGTACTCGGAGAGATCGAGTCTTCGCTATATCGAGGAAAGAAGGAGGCTGAGATGGAAGCTGCCCTGAAACCGTTGCTGGAAGGGTTACTGCCGCTTAACAGCAACAATGCACGTACGTTGAAGGGGTCTACTATCGATGAAGAGAGAAAGCGGGATCACTACAGTCATTTCATCCTCCGTCTTGCCTTTTGCAGGTCAGAAGAGCTTCGAGCGCGTTTCGTTCGGGCGGAAACAACACTCTTCAAGATCCGCTTTGCACAAGAAGACGTCGCATCACGTCTCGCATTCATCGAGTCCCTCAACTTTGACTGGGATCCTGTGTCGGAGGAGGAGAAGCGTGCGTTGATGGATAAGCTTATGGCGGCATCGGGTGTGAAAACAAGAGATGAACCATTCTTCAAGGTTCCATTCGAACGCGTCACCGAGCTTGTCTCCCACCGCCAGGTGTACCTATCTCGAGGATTTGCCTACGTCCCCGTCTCAGCTCAACAAACTCTTGTATTTACGGAGTTCTCCCAGCGCTTGGAAAAGGCTCTTGAGCTGACCGCTCGAGCCTTGCCTCGTCTGGACGAAGATGACCGTCTCGTTCCCATTCTCAACCACCTGTCCCTTGGTTTCACCGCACCAGAATACACCGCCTCCACAACTGCAGTAGGAGAAATCACCGCAGCACAAGTCGACTCCCTCGTCGGCCACATGCCAATGTGTATGCGAAACCTTCACACAGCCCTCCGAAAAAACAAACACCTCAAATACGGCGGTCGTGAACAATACTCCCTGTTCCTCAAAGGAATCGGCCTCTCGATCGAAGAAGCGCTTATCTTCTGGCGATCGTCATTCTCCTTGATCACCGACGACAAATTCAACAAAGAATACCGGTACAACATTCGTCATAAATATGCCCTCGAAGGAGCACGGAAAGATTACAAGCCTATGTCATGTCAAACGATCATCCTGGGGAACCCTCCTGGTGCTGGTGATGCCCATGGATGTCCGTTTAGACATTTCTCTATTGATAACCTTGTCGCTGGGTTAGGCTCGATGGGTATCCATGACCAGAGACAACTGAATGATATCAAGCAGTTGGTTGGCGCGCAGAAGTATCATGTCGCGTGTACGAAGGTATTTGAGTATACGCATCCTCAACTGGGGGATGGTGGGTTGAAGGAGAGTATCAGTCATCCGAATATGTACTTTGAGCAGGGCTTTGAGATGGCAAAGAACTCTGCTGTATCCCAGTAGCATACTGTTATCGACTTGATTCGCGACGGCGGAGAAAGCATTCGTTTGGGAATATCTCAGTTTCACTTAGTCTTACGGAGTTCAAGGTGCAATAACACACACACTGCTTTAGTTCAAAATCCTCTATATTGTCCGTAACATAACGCTGAAACGAAACGCCTGTGTTCCGTACCTTTTCCTCGTCTCACCTACATACATCATGACTTTGATTCATCTCGTGTAACAGTCTGCACCTTCTCATACTGCTTCTGCAACTCCTGCTGAGCAATAAGCTCAAGCTCACGCTCCTTACGGACACGCATACGTTCCGCATCCCTCAAAACACCAGCGTGCATCTGTCCTTGCTCCTACACGACTCGTCAGCACAAATCCAGATTTCAAGCACGCGATTGCGTAATCGTTGAAAACTCGGGAGAACGAACCATCTTCTGCAGCCAGTGGACACCGTACACAACACCGGCGGTCACGGAAACGGTGGTGAAGAAGGTGATCTTTGCTTTGGTCGACATTCTGGAAAGGTTGTGAGTTCGAGGTAGAAATGATATGTACCGTGGAGCAGAAAGTCCCGGCCAAAGATCCTCGGCCAAGTATGTTGGATAGAGCTGACAGTTGTCCAGCAAGAGGGCGACTTTTACGGCAGGACTTTATTGCGCCCTCGGTAACGTCGATTCCCGGATCCGGGGAATGCAGGGATCAGTGGCTGACCCGGTCGACGTGGGAAAGGACCGCCCGTGCACAAACTGATTGCGAAAACGAAAACGAACGTAAATATCTCGGTCATACTCATTCTTGTAGTCTTACGGAGTTCCAAACGCAGCCGCTTTCGTTCAAAAATCTCTATGTTTTCCATAATACAACACTCAATCGCACACAATCACGAATCCTATTGGTATCAATGCTTTGCTTTATCCTTTGCATTACCTTCCTCAGCTCAAACCACACATATCACCACCAACCTACAACAACAACTGCTCAGGGTTCTCAACATACGCCTTCAACCGCCCAAGATATGCCTTAGCGGAATTCTTGCAGACCTTTTCCTCATTCAACTCCAACTGGGCCTTGATGACGTTCGCTCCCAAAACAGTAGGCGCCTTAGGGGCGATCTGGACAGGAGCGGAGTTACCGGCCAAGATGTCGATTATGTCGACGGGGACGGAGGAGGAGGTGGTGGTGTACTTGGCCGCAGTAGGAAGAACGGGCTTGAAGTCGATGATGGTGTTGGCGGGGAGAGGGACTGCGCCGATTGAGACTGCGCCGCCGAAGGGAGTGCTATTCGCGGCCAGCGCGGAAGCAGGAGAAGCGGTGGCGAGACCAGCCAGGATAGGAGAGAAAGTAGGGGAAGGAGTGGAGGTGAAGGTGGTGGTGGGACGAGTAGACTTAACGCCAACCAACTCGTCGAAGATTTCGTCAGCCGCAGAACGCTTGGGAAGAGCGAAGGTAGGAACGTCCTTCAATGCCTTCGCAGCGGCCTTCTCAACGAAGGAGTTGATGGGGACCGAGACCGCGAGTTGAGCCTGGAGATTCTGCTGGAGTGCGATGAGCTTGTCGAAGATGATCGCAGTATCGACGACAGTAGGCGGCTTAACCTCCGGCACAACAACATCCGCAACCTTCACCTTCTTTCCCTCCTCCTTGGGCGCGGCTTCCTTAGTAGGCTGCTTCTCAGCCTTAACAACATTACTCAAATCCATCTTCTCCAACTTCGCCAACGACTCCTTCAAATTCTTCGAAGCATCTTTCTCGATCTTGCCCAAGTGTGCCAGAATATCTCCCTTCAACAAACGTCCTCGTGGTCCGGTTGCTTTGATGGAGTTCACGGCGTCTTCGAGGTGGTATTTGTGGAGGAGACCCATGACTGCTGGGGAGAGAGGGGTGGAGGTTCGTGGGGCGTCCTCGGTTTCGGGGGTTACTGGGTTCTTGGTCTCCTGCTTGGCTGATGCCTTGGCGTCCTTATCCTGCTCCTTCTTCGCTTCCTTCAACTCCTCCTTGGGCTCGGGGGCCGCTACTGCTGCATCATCGGCGGGAATCTCCAACGTCGCGAGATCATCTCCAGGCTCAGCCAAAACAGCGATCCGAGTACCAACCTTAACTCCAGCAGTCCCGTTATTGATGAAGATCTTGGCAAGGATACCATCTTCCTGAGCCTCGACGTCCATCTGTGCCTTGTCGGTCTCGATCTCGAGGATAACGTCACCGGCAGCGAAACCGTCACCCTCCTTGAGCTTCCACGACGCAACAGTTCCCTCCGTCATTGTTGGGGACATAGCGGGCATCTTGAAGTTCGACGCAGCCGCAGCGCTACGGGAGGACTGGAAGCCTGGGGATCATACAGGATCAGCACACGGATCTTCTTCGTACGTTTGAGTACAGGCATGCTTACCGCGAGAAGCCGCCAGCGCGGCATTCCTGCGCAAAGAGACAGCGACACGAGCTCCGTTAAGCATTGACGTTATGGATCAAGAGTGAATGCGTTGTTGCTGCTTCACCTGATATACGAGCTCCGTGCGCTCAAGGCCAGAAATCGTTGAGTGCCGGTCAACGCCGCGAGCCGGAAGAACTGCAACCCCTGCAGAAACCGATGAACCAGTAGATGTACGACGACGAAAGCTTAAACGATACCAAACCATACGGACAGGATGGACAGTGGAGATCGATACGAAAGGTAAGCATTTATGCCGTTTAACCGGGAAGAGGACTGGCTAATCCGTTAGGCGTGCTCCAGAACGACAGCGCTCGCGTTCTCCGCACGAGAAGAGCAGTAAACGTAGAAAAAGTCCTGAGGACGAATCGAGACATCGGGCGAGGTCGCATCAGCATTCATCCCGGAGGGATCGTTCGCCGTCGCGTCATCGGTCATCCCGACGCGACCGTTCGCGGTCCAGGCATAGATCGAAACGCGACGACAGAGATAGGGATAGGTCGTCCTCGCGACACAGATCACGACGAGATCGCGACCGTTCATCTTCACACCATCGATCGTCACGCAGAGACTGCTCGGCAGACCGCGAAAGACAGAGAAGTCGTCGAGAGAGGTCATCGAGTCGGTCTCGGGTGCCAAAACCATCTCGGGATGAGCGTGTGAACGAAGATAACGAGGGTGACGCATGGGTGGAGAAGAGCGCCGAATCACGACCAAAGCCCATCACATCGAAACCACAGCCAACGGAAGCAGACGATCCCTCCGATGACGAAATCGGCCCCCTCCCCCCCTCCGGCGGCCTCCCCACCAACTCTCCAGCTGACCCCCCAGCTCCCACCCACCTCTCCAAACTCGAAGCAGCAGGATACGTCCTCTCCGGCTCCCGACACAAACGCATGGCCGCCCTCCGCGCAAAAGCCACATCTAAGATCCTCACCGAAGAAGACAAGAAAAAGAAGGTGCAGGAGAGATTAGAGGAACGCACGAGGAAGGAGGAGGTGATTTTGGAGGGGTTTAGGAGTATGGTACGAGAGAGACAGCAGGGGGAAAACAAGGAGGAATCGAAATGAGTGGGATGGTGATAGGTGACTAGGTTTCCATTGATAACTCTATTTGTTCGCGATGAAGAGTTTGTCGACAAGTTTTGCACCCCCGTCAGCTTCCCAGAACGATCCCTCCCGATCCAACAGAAATCCCTGGAACCTAGCCCCAACCCTCCTGCTAACCCACAATACCGCAAACCCCATGCCCGCAGTCCCCTTCACTTCACACTCATTCCTCCCCACTCCCGTCCAAAGCGGTTCTTGCAGATATAGATCCTGGATATTGTACGTACGGACGCGAGGAGTGAGGAACGGCAGCATGCGAGGAGTCTGGAGCTGGACTTGACGGGCGTTAGGGGTAACTGTCAGGGTGAGGATGCGGCGAGAGGGGAAGTAGAGGAAGGCGGAGGCGACGAGGAGGCCGACTGCGCCGAGACCTGTTGCATACGCGGCACGTTTCTCAAACGATGACAACTCGTACTTATTTGTCTCCCTGTGATCCATAAATGTTAGAGGAAGGGTAAGGAGAGGGAGAGAGAGCGTACGGATCAAGCTCAGCATAATCAAACCAAACCCAAGTCGCGATATTACCCCAAAACGCCAACTGTAATAACGCAGCGACATAGCACAGCACCGCGCCTCTCTTCTTATCGGGCGCGACATACAGCATCGTCGGCACAGTCGAATTCTTTAGCTTGCTGAACATTTGCCATACGGGGATTCTCTCAGCGGCGGCGCCGGCAGTGGGTGCGAGTGGTGGTGTTGGGGAGGCCTTGATCTTTGTGGATACCTGTCGTAGGGATCGAGCAGTTGAGGAGAGGAGGGAGGAGGAGAGAGGTTTCCATGGGCGGAGGGTTGTAAGGCGGAAGGCGGAGAGCATTGTCGTGATTGTCGACGTTACAGCTGATCGAGGAGATGGCGGTGCAGGTGTGGCTCAAATGTGTACCGGGGCGGTGCATGCAGGGGTGAATCGGCTCGCCTTGGGTGATGCCCAGGCTTTCCTTTACGATCATGGAGGTGTTCACCCCTTTGTTCTTACGTTCCGTATTTCGTGGTCGCAGTTGTCGCCTATCTTTAAGACTTTCGACTGCAACTGCGGTATGTCCAATGTCCGTTGGGCCGTAGGATGCTTGTTACCTGCGGACGTGGGGGTCGGCGGTGCTGACTTTATTATGATTTGACTTTACGCGTGGCATGATTGATCTGCGTGCCCAGCTGCTGGGAATGAAGACCGGCCCGCTACGTGCAGATAGCCGGTGATATGACATCTCCGGCTGTTCAGTAGCCCTCCACGTCAGCATTTCTCGTCCTCTCCATCTACAAAGTCTCATGATGATCTGTTGTTGAAGCCAAGTCCCCCATTTAACCAAGGTTTAACTCGTGAGGGTTAGGGCGCGCGCGTGTGCTGCCTCAATCGAACGTCCTGCAATTTCCGCCTACCCAGATTTGATCAGAGATGCTGAACCAAAGGGGTTTAGCTGAGCAAGGCACGACAGCGAGACCAGGACTAGAGGGAGGGAGGGGCTTTTTTCTTGTTTGAGATTTTTGAGATTGACGTAATGCGGGCCTTGTGCGATCGGGCATACAGCTCACTCAGTATGGACGGGGGGATGGGGGTGGGCAGTGTAGGCAGGGCAATGGATGAGTAGCGTTCGAGGAGGCAGTGCCAGCATGACGTTGTTGATCGAGCCTCCCATGTAGACAAGAGATGAGCAGATTCTCCCAACTGCCCATGGCTAGATCGTCGCTTCAAATTTCCGGCTTGTTGTTGAGGTGTCGAGAGGCGCTTCTGTTTTCTCCTATTGGTCGAACAGCCAAGTGTGGCCGGCCGCCGCGCGCGCAAACTCCTTGTACCGGTAAATTGGGTTTCTGGTGCAGACAGGAGCTGCCGCTTGACTGAGAGTAGAAAGTGCTCCACCAAAGGGGAACCTCAATAAGACTTGCGACACACCCCACCACACACCCTATCAACCAGTTGCTGTCAGCGAGAAGCGTGATTATCGGCCTTTAAGACCCGCATTCGTTCGCCGGGAAGAGGAGTTTCGATTGCATTTACTCCAGTAAAGGAGCGCACCGAAGAACCAAGGCAAGTCGACTGTACGGCCTTCGCCACCAAACAACACACAACACTCCGTTCAACGCGTTCAACGCGTCCCGGTTTCGAGGGTTCTTTGCAGTTTACTCGTCAGTAGAGCATTACCTTGCTCTAGCGAGTCGTCCTTTACGTTTTTACACCTTTCTATATAACGATGTCTGTGATATCGTTATAACCCAGGTGGGCGTCTTTGTCGTCCACCCACTGTCATATCAGCCGGAGCACAGCTTAATCGTGCGCCTTTGACCTCTGATTGAGGTGTTTTGTCTTTTGTTTGAAATCTCTCCACTCAGTTTTTATTTCCGGTTTATTCGACATTGCGGTTCTCAACGGAAACGCGACATACGAACGAACAAGTTAGCATTTATTCGCATACAACTTTACGATAATGCCGTCACCACAACACGAACGCGAACGCATCGCTCTTGACTACTTCTCCCTTGCACCACTAGAGAACGTTGTCAAGGGGTTGAGCGATGTCAACTACAACATCCCCGGCGCCTACCCCGCAACACTACCAAACGCCGAAACCTACCACCATCAACGTCCTTCGATCGTCATTCCGGCCAACTGCCAGACGGACGAGTTCGGAAAACGATTGATCAGCCCCCCACTTGAAGCCCCAAAGAGTCTCCTAACGGCGATGTTGGTGAGTCCCACCACGACTGCAGAGGAGGGAAGTACCATCCCTTCATCTCCCGAGATGAGTTTAGCAGGGAATGAGTCGACGAGCTCAGAAGAAGAATGTGATCAGAAGCTCAAGAAGAGGACTGTCAAATTTGGTATTTCCCCGAGAACCAGGGTCGTGCCGCCTACGCCTAAATCCACACCTGTCGATAAAGTCCCATCACCAATGAAGAAGCCATCGATCAAGTTTGCTTGTGTGCCTTCTGCATCGGAAAGTGAGGCACAGGCTCCTGCCCCTGTGAGGAAGGTCACACTCGCAAGATCGCCGGCGCCTCATCGTCCCAGTGCTTTGCATGTGCGGGAAAAGTCTTCCTCTAGCGAGGAAAAGGAGAAGAAAGAAGAGCAGGTACCGGTAAGGCGTACGATCAAGTTCGCCTGTGCACCTGCGCCTGCTAAGGACAAGAGTCCTGTTGTATCAGAGAGCGAACAGGCACCTCCCAAGCAGCGCAGTATTAAGTTCGCGTGTCCTGCAAATCCGAAGACTGCGCCTGTTGTCACCGTGGCGGCAGAGCAGCCAGTGCAAGCACAAGCGCAGGAAAAGAGGAAGAGCATCAAGTTTGCTTGTGTGCCTCACAAGACGACCACGCCTACCCACACTGCATCCGAATCTGAGCAGCCAGCGACGCGCATGAATGCCTCTGTTACTGTCAAGTTTGCTGCATGTGCTGCTGTGACTTCTGAGAGTGAAGGCGGCGATGTTAGTTCGAGGAGTCACGGTCGTATGCACTGGGATTCCACGACAGCCTCCGCTATTACGACGGCTGCTACCTCTCCTGACCATCATCACCACTTTTTTGATACCTCGAGGAGGACATCTGCGTCTCATGATGCTTCTTCCCGTCGTCCTAGCGGTGTCGGTGAAAGATATCTTCCTGAACGGAGCACAGACGCGCATATGAAGACTGTCGACGGCGTGCTGCAGAAAGCGAAAGAAGACGAGCTGGCGCGCATGGCGAGGGAAATAGAGGAGGAAGAAGAGGAAGACGAGGAGCTGGATGAAGAGGAAGAGGGGTACGTTGAGGATGATGAATACGACGAGGACGATGATGAGGATGTGGAGGTTTTTGGGGCTGAGGATGAATATGAGGATGAAGAAGATGAAGAGGGAGAGCAAGAAGAGAATGATAACGTGGATGATGAGGATGAGGATGCGGAGGATACCGATGAAGGTATTATCTCCAGGGGTGAGCAGACGCCAAGGGCCACAGGTTCAAGCATGCGTCTTCACCTTCCTCCCCGCTCACCTTCTTGCTTCCTCATTCCGCTCACTGGACCACCCCTTACACCCTCCGCCCAACTCGCCGACAGACTTCCCGACGCAGTTGATTTCGTCGCGGGAAGGATGGAAGAAGACCAAGCTGCTGAAGAGGCTTTTGCCAACGCAGTCGAAGAGAAGAGGGCTAGGCAGAGGGTTATCACGCCTCAGGACATCGACCCGTACTTCCCGGATGATGTCGTTGAGGACGAGGAAGAGGTTCCGAAGGAGGTTCTAGGCAAGAGTCCCCCACCTGCTCCTCGCCGTCGTCTCTCTCCACCCGCCGTGAACCTTAACCGCACCAAGTCCCTCCCTGGCCGCAACCGCACCTCGTGCCGCGCCGTGGCAATTTGTCCCCCGAAACCTTTGAGCTCGAGTGTCAACATTGCGCAATTACAACAACCCCGTCGTAGACGTGGCGCGTTGGATATTGTCAAGGGACTCGAGCGAAAGAAGGCGAAAAGAAAGGGGCTGTTGAACGCGCCAATGAGGGAGTGTTTGGCTGTTGGTGCTGGTGCGGCAAAGATGGCCGAGATGGCGAAGGGACTTTGTGGGAAGAAGGTTGAGGGGTTGTGGGTTTTGAGTGTATGAGGAATGAAAGAAGAGTATTTGGTATTGTGCTGGGCATCGAACACGAGGTCAAAGTTCGAGCGTGTTGCGAGTGCCGGCAAGATTATGAGAATGAAGCAAAGAAGCAACAGTATTGGAAGAATTGAAGTGAACGTGATTGCTACAGCATGAATGCTAGTGGATTAGATGAGGTGGTAGTATGGTTGTTTATGGAAAGCACCATGGCCCGCGGCCAGATTGAAAAATGCAGAGCTTATTTATCTCACAACTTGACCCTCTATGAACTCCCATGCCCCGACTTGCAACTGGATGACGTCCGCGTCGATCGCGTCGAGGTTGACGATCCCGTCGTCGTCGTACTCCATCGCCTTCTAATCTCGAGTCAGGTTCTCCGTCGTTTCATGGCTCAGTCTACGCCGTCCCTACTCCGTCGTCGTCGTACTGCTACGTAGGGAGTACGATGCATGGATGAGATGCCGGCGCTCCTGCAGCTGACCGTGCACAGATCTATCCCGTGAGACCGTGTGCCCGGGGCCATGAACCTTCCTTTGATCCCGTGTATGGTTTGCGTCAGAACTTCTCAATTGACTTTCATATTACTATTTGAGAGGAGCTCACGTTCTCTCCTGCCCAATGATGACAGGTCATATACACGCGCTCAGTGCATCATCGCCAGTTAGGGCCCCGGTGTACACACCGAAAGGGTCAGCAATACAGACACGTACGAAATTCCCAGTTGACAGCAATCCGATCAGCAGCTCCTCGTCCAGCATATCCAATTCATCAATATAGATCACTAGACGAATACTGAGCCTGATCGATGCTTCTGAAGCAAGTTCCTCGCACGGCGACCTTCGCCTGGTCACCAACAACCGGTCTCCCCCTCCTCGCGTCAGGAACTGTCGCGGGAGCCGTCGATGCCGATTTCTCTAATACTACAGAGTTGGAGATCTGGGATTTGAATCTACTTGACCAATCACAGGAGGCATTTGAGTTGAAGTCCTCGAGCGGGAAGGTATCAACTGATGCGCGATTCTACGACTTGGCATGGGGAAATGTGAACAATGAGAGACCAAAGGGTGTACTTGCTGGTGCGATGGAGAACGGAGCATTGGATCTCTGGGATCCCAGCGCGATTCTGGATGGAAAGACGAGCGAGGAGGCATTGATTATGCGCAACACCACACACACCGGCGCTATCCGCAGTCTCGAATTCAACCCCTTCCAACCCAATTTGCTCGCTACGGCCGGTGCGAAGGCGGAGATCTACGTCTGGGACTTGGCTAACCCTACTAAACCTTACGCACCCGGAGGTAAGCCTTCACGCATGGACGAAGTCGAGTCAATTGCTTGGAATCAGCAGGTCGCGCATATTCTTGCGACCGGAGGAAACACCGGATACACTACGGTCTGGGATCTTAAGCTGAAGAGGGAGTTGCTGCACTTGCATTACCCCGGTACCTCTGGTGGATTCTCCTCTGGCAAGCGCGGTATCAGCAGTGTCGTCTGGCACCCCGAGAATGCCACGAAGCTCATCACTGCTTCTGAGGATGACCAGAACCCCGTTATCCTCATGTGGGATCTTCGTAATGCGAACGCACCCGAGAAGATCCTCTCCGGTCACGAGAAGGGCGTGTTGTCCCTGTCTTGGTCCAAGCAGGACAGCGACATTCTTCTTTCTTGTGGCAAGGACAACAAGACCCTCTGCTGGAACCCCAATTCTGGCGAGATGCTCGGTGAAGTTTACAACTCCGTCAATTGGCACTTCGAGACCCGGTTCAACCCCAAGAACCCGGATTTGTTCGCCGATGCCTCTTTCGACGGAAAAATCTCCGTGCACTCCTTGCAGAACACCATGCCGCGGGATCAGAAGTCCGCAGCGGAGATTGCGGCGTCTAAGCCTTCTGGCGCTGACTTCTTCAATATGCCGACGTATTCTGACCCTAACGCTGCGTCAAGCTTTACCTTGAAGCAGGCGCCCAAGTGGTTACGTCGCAAGACTGGTGCGACCTTCGGTTTCGGTGGTAAGCTTGTTACCTTCGGCTCCAAGAGCAAGTCCGTTAAGGTCACCCAGGTTCTCACCGAATCCTCCTTGTCCGAGGATGTCGCCAAGTTCCAGGAAGAGCTTGCTAAGGAGGACCTCTCTGCACTTTGCGAGACTCGTCTGGAGAACGCCGGCGATGCTGAGAAGCAGAACTGGAGAGTTCTTAAGGCTTTGTTCGAGAAGGACACCCGACAGAGATTGATCGAGTATCTCGGATTCAAGAAGGACGAGATTGAGAAGGAGTTGGAGGGCAAGTTCGGTAAGCTTAGTGTCGAGGAGACCGAGGAGCCTACTGAGGATGAGAAAGCGGAGTCAGCGGACACGATTGCTGAGCCAGCTGTTCCTGGAGTCGAGCCTGTACCTTTGAAGAAGACTCACAACAAGAGGATGTCCATGCTTTTCTCCGGTGATAGTGCTAACGGCGCTGACTTCTTCGGACAGCTTAGCAGCCAGGCCGAGACCAAGCCCAAGGCTGAGGGTACCCGTCCTTTCGAGATTTTCTCCGAGAAGGACACCGAAACCGACAAGCTTATCACCAAGGCTGTCTTGCTTGGCCAGTTCGAGAAGGCTGTCGAGATCTGCTTGAAGGAGGAGCGTTTGTCGGACGCATTCATGCTCGCTATGTGCGGTGATGAGAAGTGCAGGAAGAGGGTTCAGACCGTCTACTTGCAGAAGAGGATCGCCAAGGGTGCTGCCTCCTACCTTCGCCTAATCTCCTCTTCCGTTATCGACAAGGACTTGAACGATGTTGCTTCCAACGCAGACTTGAAGGGATGGAAGGAAGTTATGGTCGTTCTTTGCACATATGCTGCGGAGGAGGACTTCTCTAGTTTATGCGAGTTGCTCGGAGAGAGGCTCCAGCAGGCTGGTCAGACCAAGGAGGCTGCTTTCTGTTACTTGGCCGGAGCCAAGTTGGAGAAGGTTGTCGGTATTTGGTTGGACGAGTACAAGGAGGAGGAGACCGCCGCCCTCGAAAAGGCCAAATCTGACAACGATGCTGGCGTTTCTCCTTTCTCGGTTCACGCCAAGGCTTTGCAGCGCTTCATCGAGAAGGTCACCATCTTCCGTAAGGCTGCCAAGTACGATGATACTGATATCTCCGCCGTCGCTAACTGGAAGCTCGAGTCCTTGTACGAGAAGTATGTCGAGTACGCCGACATCATGGCTTCACAGGGCAGCCTCGAGACCGCGCAGAAATATCTGGACTTGTTGCCGACGGCATACTCCACCACTGCTCAACTTAAGGAGAGGATCAACAAGAACCTCAAGCTCGTCGCTGCTCCCGCTGCTACACAGGGCTACAGGCCTGCGGCTGCTCAGCCTGCTGCTCCCTCGTTCTACAACCCAACTGCTTCGGCGAACCCATACCAGGCCGCCGCGCCCTCAATCCCGTCTATCATTACCCCCATGGGTGCTCCTCAGCCGGCGTTGAACCCCTACGCTCCTCAGCAAGGATACTCCGCGTCTGCTGCCCCTCAGCAGCCCTCTTACTTCGGCGGGGACCAGGCTACTGGTAACTATGTCCCTGCATTCCCTCAGCCTGTGATGCCCGGTCCTCCCAACCCCGTGGCATCTCCCTCGACGCCCGTCATGCCTCCTCCCTCGCAGGCGAAGAAGATGGACGGCTGGAACGACGCACCGGTCTTGCCCATGCCTGCCCGTCGTACTCCGGCACCAATCCCTAGTCCTGCTCCCGCATTCTCGCCCTTCTCTGGCCAGACTGCGCCTGCACCTGGACAGCCTGGTGTCGCTCCTCCTCCTCGTGGACCATCGGCTGCTCCTCTCCCACCGCCGAAGACCAATGCAAAGCCTCCTCAGCGTGTGACTTTGCCGCCACAGGCTCAGCCCGGCTCTGCCGCCATGACTCCGGCGGTTCAGGGACCTCCTCCTACCGGCGCATACGCCCCTAACCCGGCCCAGTCACCAAGGATGCCCGCTTCGAGCCCATACGCACCGGCTGGCGCTGTCAACCCAGGAGCACCGATCTCGGTACCTCCTCCTAGGGTGATTGCTCCCCCTCCTCAGGCAAACCCCTACGCACCACCTCCTCAGGCTGCTGCACCACCACAAACCTCGGCATACGCGCCAGTGCCTCAGCAGAACGCTCCGGCAGCTACCTCTCCGTACGCGCCTGCAGCAACTACCGCTCCCCCTGTCAACCCATATGCTCTTCCGTCTATGGGTGCACGAATGCCTGGCTTGTCTGGCCCATCGGCTCCTCCACAGGCCGCTGCTCCTCCTGCTGCTATCCCCCCTCCACCTCAGGGTCCTCCTCGTCAGGCACCTGCGCAGTCTTCGCAGACCGCTGCCGCTTTGCAGAGACTGCCTACACCTGCGCAGTCTCCTCCTGCGGGTCAGTATGCCCAGCTCGCCCAGCCTGCCGCATCCAAGGCACCCAAGTATCCTGCCGGTGACAGGACGCACATTGCGCCTGCGAACAAGCCCATCTTCGATATCCTTAACGCTGAGATGCAGAAGATCAAGGCTCAGGCACCACCGCAGTTCAAGCGGCCCGTCCAGGACACTGAGAAGCGCCTCAACATCTTCTTCGACCTCGTCAATAACGATGACGAGACCTTGTCGAAGGAGTTGCTAGGAGAGATGTTGAAGCTCGCACAGCACGTTTCAAGGAGAGATTGGAGTGAGGCTGCTGCTATTCAGTTGGAGTTGTTGACGAACAGGACGCAGGAGTGTGGTGTTTGGATGGTTGGTGTGAAGCGGTTGTTGGATATGGGAAGGTCGTTGCCCGCATAAGTGAAGATAATAGGACTAGGGGATGAAAAGAGCATTGTAGCGGGCTAAAGATATCATGTTGCCATTATCCATGAGCTGCCCAGGTTCATGGTTGCCATGACTGCAGGTAAGCAAGCGGTCCCTGCGCAAAGGTGAACACGTAAACAAACCCGTCGACACCCTGAGACGAATCAATTGATCTGCACCACCAAGTTCAACAGACGAAGTAGCGGATTAGTGGTTCATGGTACTCTTTGCGAGGTCTCCATCCCCAAAGCGCCGCCAGTTGCCCCCAACTACAACGCGACAGGTCTCTACCACCAAAGGTACACAAGAAGTGAAGCTCCTACCGTCGGGAGTGAACGGAATATCCTCCTTGTCTCCAAGTGCAATTTCCGTTCATCCAAACTCGAAAGCAATACTGTATACAGCAGGTGGACATGCAGTTTTATCGCAATTCCGTGGGCCCGAGGAGACCTTACAACGAATCTTCTCTGCGCCGAGGAATGTCGAGGCAGCGAATGAACGTTCCCGAGCCCGGTATGCGAGTCCGGGTGGCCCAGCAAATCCGGTAGATGCTAGGGCTGGCAGGCGCTCGCCATCAAAGCTCGGACCGAATGCAAGCTTGGCTGCTGCATACATCGTCAATGGGAGCTCGCCTTCCTCCAGGGGCCGCTTCAGCGCTCCGAACACCGGCAACACATACTCTGACAAAGGTTCAGAGAGCGGTGCTCCTGTATGCGCCAACCGGGTCAGTCCTTTCATCAGCACAGCTCTCTCACCCGATGGAAGATTCGCTGCTGTCGGAGAAGAGGGTGCTAAACCTCGGGTTCTTATCTACTTCCTCGAAGATCTTGAAGCCAATAACTACCCATTCGTCATCCAGGATAACGACCACGGCATTCAATGCTTAGCATTTAGTCCCTGTTCGAGGTATCTGGCAGTGCTGGGTGTCATGCATGACGGGTTGATCAGTGTTTACGATTTGGGCGTCAAGACACGAGTACTCAAACCCGAGCTTGTAGCGAAGAATAATGTGAAGTCCGCTATCTTCGATATGCAATGGGTCAGTCATGGAGAAAACTCGACGTTGGTGACCGTGGGACGTAGGCAAGTGCGCAGATGGTTTTGGACGACGGACAAGGATAAACCGCCCGGGCACTCAAAGTTCGTCCCAGCTTTACTGCAGAAACGAGATGTTATCCTGGGTGACGAGGCGTTCAGTGATGGCGAGTTCGTGTCTGTACGTGGTCTGGGAAACGAGAAGGTGGTGGTCGCATCTCGCACTGGTTCCATCTTCGCCTTTGAGGAAAACGGACCTAACAACCTTATGCGTGTACACGATGTCGGTCACGGTGTTCTTAGCATGGATGTCGATTACATTGATGGCTGGCTCTGGGTTGGTGGCCCAGGCGGCGTTCTGACACCGGTGGATACGGACCTGTTCCATTCTGGATCCTCCCAGGGCTCGCGCACTCCGCCCAAAATCCCAGCTCTGGTACCGTCCGACGCTGACATCACCACCGTTCTTTTCCTTGGCAAGAATCAGATTGCTGTGGTCAATGATCGCCGTACTATCCATCTTCTGACTGTAACTGCGAAGGACGAGGAGGAGTCGGTTCTTGAGCGCAGTGCGCCATGTCACGAAAATGCTATCAAAGGTGTCAGGAGGTTATCCATGACTAACTCTCTGGGCGCAACACACATGACATGGGATGCGCGGGCTGTTTGCTTCTGGACGGAGAACAGTTTCCTGCTCGCAAAAATGGATATCGATATCGAACAGCGTAATTGGGGCGTTGACGAGTACGAGGTCAACGAACTGGAGTGTGCGGCGTTGACATCGGACGGGCAGCTCATTGCCGGCGATAAATACGGTACTGTCTCTGTTATAGATTTGGAAACCGAGGAGATTGTTTTCCGGATGTCTGACGCACATCTTGATGCGATTTCCGGTATCGACATAGCGAAGAATGGCGATGTCCTACTATTTGTCACGGCTTCCCGCGATCGGACGGCGCAGATTTTCGCCAAGTCGAAAAGCAAGCCAGCATGGCGTATTGTGGATACTGTGGAGGATACTATGCCTATGACTCGTGCTGTTTTCCTGAGGAATGCGCTGGTTCTTGCCACTTGCTCCTCTAACGAGAAAGTTCTCACGATCCGCAGATTGGCGCGTCCACCAATGCAAAATGAGGCAAATGAACTTCAGATGGCGTTTACTCTTCCGCACAAGATTACTCTATCAAATTCACCATGTGACATGCTTGCTCGCAGCGCTGGCAAGAGTGAGCTTATTGTGACCAGTTCTGATGGTACTGTTCACATTATCGATTGTGGAGATGCGGTAGGCCTGTTGCCGCCAAAGGTGGATACATGGAGGACAGACACGGCCTTGGCACGCGTCAGTATTATGCACCTGGATCGGCCAGTGTTGGTTCGCGATCAACATAAAAAGCAAAGGCAGTCCAACTTGCTGATTGCTGCGATCGGCAAGGATAAGAGTTTGAGAATTTACGACTACGCAACTGGTGGGCTGGTAGTAAGCCAAGCACCGCAGTGCCGCGGTCCCACAGGCATGGTTTTTGTTAGGTACTTCCCGCAAGCCAACGCAGTTCACGCATATGCACTGGTTGTCACGACGAGTGATGGTGTCATCTGTCGCATGAAAGTCGAAGGCCTCAGAACAGTCTGTCCTGTTGATTCATCAAGCCCTGCCCTCGCGGGACGTGTCGTAAGGAATACCAAGACCAAGGAGCAACTCGCTACATGGGAGATTTCCGAAGCCCCTGGGACCCGCATGTCAGCTCAAGATGGAGCTCAGAGCTCCGCTACCTTCGACAGCTACGATGATGAGCTTGCCAAGCGGTTCTCTCCCGTTGGCGAGTGTCCATCTACTCCCACTGGTCCAGGGAAACGTGATCCGGGGCGTACGGGGCGTACGTTCGGCGTGCGCAAGTCTGTTTCCATTCCTAACCTGCGCCAAAGCGCCGCTGGAACGAATCGCGGTCTCGAACCGCCTGAGTCGCCAACAAAACTCGCTCTGCGTTATGCAGCATCCAAAGCAGCGAGACCGGATATGACCCCGCCATCCCGCGCAAAGGTTGCATCTTGGCTTAACGATGCTGCGACCAATGCCTCGGTCAGCCCCGTTAAACCTTCTATGAATGGCAAAGAGGAAGCTCTGTCGGTTGCGGAAGAGATTGTGGTTTCCTTGCGGTATCTACGCAATTTGCTTCAGACAGAAGACATCGCAAATGCAAAGAAAGCTCCAAGAGAAGAGGAGACTTTACAGTCGTTATTGAATGAGTTCAAGAAGACTTCGGACATGATCACGGGATCCGGTGTCGAAGCGAATAGTGCCGTTAACGATCTGGAGAGAACCATGGCCAGACTGGGTATGGAGGGTTTCGCCAGTCGACTCGTTGAAGAAGTGAGGAAGGCAGCAGGAGGCAAGCCTTCTCTGAGTGACACTCTGGCTGGTTTGGAGTCCCGGGGAGAGGAGAAAGAGCACTCAGAGTGACGGTGTGTAGGATGGAGAGCATAATTCTCAAGGCGGTATATGGCGGTGTATGGCGTACTTCTTATTGTTAGCACTTTATATGGGATAATCCTTAGGCTTTCAGAGCATCAACAACATATGATAATAGTTAGTTGGTATCTTATCCAATGTCCATACTGAAAATCACACGCCTATCCTGATGTAATGTTCCCCATGCAAAATCATATAGCATATCCATCACCCACCATCCCCGGCCTATCTCTCTCGATCATAGACAATCCCGTGTCATGATTTGTAGGCAGGATAATCAGCGGGATACTGCAGTCGAAGGTATTGCAATGTACCTGCTCAGGCGGCAGCATTACCGTTCCCCGATCATCGCTATGTACCGGTTCCAATAACTCCGGGTATGTTGGCTTTTCCACGGGTATCTCGGGGTCATCCAGCGGTGAAGGTGTCACAAACTCAAGCCGTAATGACCACTGCTGACTCACTCCACTCGTACTAAACCCCGGCGTCCCACCCAACGGTACCACCATCCCAAACCCAACTCGTTCGGCGGCAGTCACGCTCTCGTTGAATTCACCCCATACCTTTCGCGTGGCACGCATTACGCTCTCACGACTCTTCGCACTCATGACCGGATCGACAATCTCACAACTCTCGAGTGTGACGCGAATATGATGGCACTTTATCCTCGCTTGTCGGAAATCAAGGGATGCAGTGATTGTCTCCCCGAGTTTATAGGCGGGGCGGGCGAGGGTTAGGTGGCCTACCCTCACACCATTCCGTGCAAGGTCGTAGGTTGAGGTGTTTGAGATATCCGCGATTCCACCTCCTCTAATCGCCTCCTCAATTGCTTCACGGCACGAGATCCTTCGTATGAACGATTGTCGTCGACTTTGACTCGGTGACTTCAGCGGCCTCGGTATTCTCTCATGCTGGCCATGGTATGAGCCCATACCCTGCATCTGCATTGCCGTATTAATCGATAACGAACTCCCACTCCTAGCACCGATCAACCTCGGTCGTCTAGGTGTGCTCCGCCCACTATTGGCAGTGCTGTCTTCAGATTGATCCAGCAAGTCCGCGACATAGCTCTTGAAGTCATCATATGTACTTTCCTTCTTTTGCTTCGTCACACCATCCCGAGCTGTTGGTGCTTGATACGACTCTCGCTTCACCGGACTCGATTCTCCACTCCCATGGCCGTTACTTGACCCCACACACGCCGTAACAGCCGTATCCCGCAGCAACACAAACGGGCTGAGCATGTCATACACCGGACACTTCCCAAACTCATTAACATTCGCAAAAACCCGAAACGGGACCTCAACCCTCCCCACACCCTGCGTCCCCGGCTTTTGTACCCCAATCACGAGGTTATACGTAATCTTCAACGCCTTGCCTTTATGTGTCGGGGGTAATTCCCGCGGTAACTGGAAAGTGTAGGAATACGTCCTCGACTCACCCGGTCCCAAGCGTAGATCCACAAACAAGATGGACTGCGGCGTTGCTAGGACGGGGACATCTCGAGCGGACGCTTCCTGAGTCATCTCTTTTACCGTACTCTGTCCCCCACCTCCCAGAAAACCACTCAAAGCCCGAAGACCCCATGAGGAAGTGGATTTCTTGATACCGATGACGCCACCGCCCGATGATGTACCGATGATAGAGCGTTTCTTGATATCGGTGAAGGAGGAGGCTTGAACGAGGGATTCGTCGACGATGAAGGAGCCGTGGAGCTGAGCGTAGCCCATCAACAGTGTCTCCTCAACCTCCACATCTTGGATTTCCTGTCGGGGAGGGACGGCTAGGGAGGAGTTCCGGCTATGTTGTTGGAGAAAGGATGGGCGTCGGTGACCTACGCCGGTTGGGGAGGAGCTGTATACTGAATTGTTGTTGCTGGAATTCGCCATGGAATATAAGTCGATGGAAGGTCGCACACTGGGCGGCATAGACGAGATCTCGGAGTCCTGGTATTCAGACGCGATACTAAAATCAGTTTGTTCCGTGAATGTCCTACTCCTCACAATTGGCGTTGGACGCTGAAACCCCAACTCGGTAGATACGGAAGATGATGCTGGCGCCTCAGGTCCTGCTTCGCCTTCGGCTTCGGGTTCTTCGGTGAGGATGGGTACCGGTGGTGGTGAGGGCGTCACTGCAATTGCCGGCATCGTGATTTCCTTACTCGCCGGAGGAGGTGGAAACACGAACTTCTTCGTCGACAGGTCATCCTCGCCCTCTCTCCTCATACTCATAGACCGTCCACTACTCCGTCTCGAACCCGTGGGTGGCCGGGCATGGGCGTCGTAGCTGTCCCCTCTATCACTCCGTCCATATATCGGTGGTCTTCTCGGTTGTGTGTTATCCAGTGTGGTTGTGGGAGGAGCACCCCACCCCTCGAATGTATTCTTATCCGGTTGCGGTGTTTGTGGGATTTTGACGTGTACCCCACTCACTCTCCTCGTCTGCTGCGGCACAGAGCTCAACGACACAGCTCGATTATGCCCTCGCCCGACATCGAGCGGTGGTGGTCTCCGCGGGCTACCGATTGCTTTCTCCAAGATTTGGCCGATTGACATGATTGAAAGACTCCGGCCATGGGTGCTCAGCTTTCGTCGGGAAGAGGAGTGAGATTGATCATCCTTCGCCCGTACAGGCAACTTCTGCCGCGCAAACGGTGGACTCGGTGGTCCCATGAACGAATTCGATCTCACCATCCCTGTCCCCGCTCCCGTCCCTTGTTTCTCCAGAAACCTCGATGCCCCTCCATGTCCATTATGCGATGACGAAGGCCTCCTCACCCGTGCGTTATTGACGAAAGTGATGTTGCACGTAAACAATTCCCCCCCAAAGAAAGCATTTTCTGGAAAGTCGACTTTGAAGCTGATATTTGAATGCGCATTTAGTCCGGCCATGAGCTCGGGCTCTCAATGGCTATAGCTCTGGCCTCTTCGTTCCCCGGAGTCACCCTGTCGAGGACGTTGGACGCGCTGGTATATGGGGATGCGAGGTGAGGCAAGGTGATGCGGCCAGTTGCCCGCGTATCCAAGCTTCCACTCTGACGTTACACCAACAACATCTGAGCATTTACTCCCTACGGCAATGAAGCTTTACTCCATCTCCATCCTCCGCAACGAGTCAAAACCCGCCACGGTGTTGGCCTCCGCGGAAGACCTCTCTTCCTTTGGATTCTTCCAGCGTGGATCGTACGTTCCCCAATCCCCCCTTGACCTCCCTTCACTCTTCGTGTACGCAGGTATTAACATTTTGTGTGCAGAGTCGGCGAATTTATGACCTTCTTCTCCAAAACAATCGCAGAACGCACCACCCCAGGCCAACGCCAAGACATCGAAGAAGGAAACAACTACGTCGGACACGTCTACGCTCACTCCTCCGGTCTCGCCGGCGTGATTATTTCCGACAAGGAATACCCGGTGCGGGTGGCATACTCCCTCCTCAACAAAATCCTGGACGAGTTCATCACACGGCATCCTAAGCCCAGATGGCAATCCGACCCCATGAACCCATCCGCTCCTGCACCATCAACGCCTTTCCCGGAGTTGCACACCTATATTGCACGCTACCAAGACCCGAAACAGGCTGATACCATCATGCGCGTCCAACAAGAACTCGACGAGACGAAAGTCGTCTTGCACAAAACGATTGAGAGTGTGTTGGAGAGAGGAGAGAGATTGGATACGCTTGTTGATCGGAGTGAGGCGTTGAGTGCACAGAGTAGGATGTTTTATAAGCAGGCGAAAAAGACGAATAGTTGCTGTGTGGTTATGTAGGGGACGCTACGGAGCCGTACATGGTGTGTGTTACCTAGGGGGGTGGAGGGAGGGTGGTGGGCAATGTCAAAGACGAAGCACGTTCGGAAGGCAAGAAAAGACGGGCACTTACCCGGGCTATATTATTGGTGATATGGTGAACTGTGTGGATCTGGGTGTTTGGCTTGGAAGGCTTTATATGATGTTGTCGTGGATCGGTGTGTTGGTTTGGACGTGCCCGCGTGTTTTGGGCTTTGCGATAATAATAGAGTTTCTTCAATTCGTCAATAAGCAGCACAGCTCATGAAGCAACCCCTGTATGCATTGAAACCATGACCTGTTTCCATTGATAAAATGCCCATTATGTATCGTTTTCGCCTGACCCTTCAAGCCGCCACAGACTCCTTCGGCTTCAACAACCCCTCCTCGATCAACTCCGCCTTAATCTGCGCCCTAGTCTTCAACTGGTGAATCGGCGTCAACTTTGGCGTCGGAATCGGTGGCAAACCGTCCTCGTCCACGCTGTTCTCCCTGACTTGGTCCGACAACATCTTCCTATGAATCTTATTCCTAAGCCTCCATCCCACAACCCCAATCTCCTTCATCCTCGCCATCTTACAACCCGTCACATACGCATCCAATCCACCTACCTTATCCAACGTCCTCAATAACCCCGTCGTAACCTTCATCTTGAACTTCTTGTTGAGGGTTTTGGAGTAGAGCGTTGAGCGTTGGATGTTTGGCAACCATGTCCTCCGGTTTTTGTTCTTGAATTCAGAGATGGAGTTTCCAAACTGGATGTGTTTGCCACCGTAAAGACCGCGGTCTTGTTGTTTGAAGGTGAGGGAGTGACCGGTGACAGGGACGTATTGGCCGTTGATCTTGCCTTTGAAGGTGCGGATTTGGGTGGTTTGCACGGGCTGGACGGCGAGTGCGGTTCTGCTTGAGGCCCGTAGCGAGGGAAATATTGACCGAAGGGAGAACATGGTGTTCGTGGTTGTAACTTTTCTTGACGGTGGAGGTTACCGGTATGGAGGTTATGCACGAGTATGCAATAAATTGGGAGGGTCAGCGCAGCCCACCTCCTAAAGAAAGTACATCAAGAATAGGATCTGGAAATGTAGAAGATCTGAAAGGCCATATCCTCTGAGTTGCTAGCACTTTTAATTCACTACCCTTCAACCTTCACACCGAGTCGAGAGCCGTGCCACACTCCCCCTCCCACGCCACGCCCGCCCTCCCGTATAAATCTTCCCCGACCCGCGCATCCTCAACAACCCACAATGGGTTTGTGCCCGTCTCGCCGCGCCGTCCTCCTCGGAGGTTCGGTCGTAGCTTGAGATGGGTACACCGGCTAGATGGATGCATCACCTTCTCACCCTGCGCTTGAGCACTTCCTTGTGTCGTGGTCGCGCAGACGAGAGGGAACTTCTGTATGGTGTTGATCCCGTCGACAAACCCTCGATTGACGGATCCCATTCCATGTTGATGTTCGCCTTCGGGCTGAGCTCCATGGGTGGGTGACGGGGCGTTATATTCCTACTCCTTCCGTGCGTGCTCCCTGGAGTTTTGCGGTTGGGAAAAACCATATCGGCCACAAACCTTTCTATCGGTCATACGAGTTCGTCGCGACGTAATTGCTCTCGGGACGTTGTCTTATCATTGAATGAATGGTGTATCATGCTAGGGTGTCTTTGTTGAATAGATGCTGTTCCTCCGATATTCCTTCTTGTCCCCGTCGCCTAGTCCATTGTTTGATGTCATCATGCCAACCGCAAGAACCCGAATGACACATTCACCAACAACCCAGCGATAATCGCAATCTGCGTTCTCCGATTAAACACACCCTCCCTTAACAAAAATATTGCAAAAACGCCCTGTAAAGCTTTGTCAGTTCCCTGTTCACATACGATCTTCAAGTGGGAATACCGCAAAGAACCCAATCATCAACCCTTTAAACATATCCCAATACATCCCCTCTCCAAGCTCCGCCGTCGCAGTCGCTGCATCTCCAGCAGTGGTATTCGCACCCTCATCCATCCACCTCTCCTCCATCTCTCGTGCGCGTGCTTGTGCGGCTTCATTGTCTTCGTCCTCGCCATCTCCTACCCCACCACCTTGCAGGCGATGGAATTGGGCACGGAGATTGGCGATATCGGCATCTGAGAATCCTGCGTTGCGGAGTCTGTCGAAGCCGGTTGGGAGGGGTAGTGTCGATGGTCCTGTTGGTGTTTCGCTCTCTTCCCCATCGGCGGTGACTGGTCGTGCTTCTGCTTCGAGTTCTTCGTGTGTTGCTTCATCGCCGACAGAACAATGTACCACGGCCCCTCTTTGTACTTCATCATCCTCCTCCTCAACCGTCGAGCGAAGTCGCAGTTCTGTCTGCAACGATCCTGAATCCCGTAATACTCTTCCACTATGAATTAACCTCAACCTCCTCCTCCCAAACTCCGGTCTCTGCTCCCTAATCTTCTGCTTTACAGTCTTAATCACCGCACTCGGCACCAACTCCACATTAAGATCCGGCGGCTGTGGTATCGTTCCAGCGAAACGGATCGTAAGGTGGACCTGCGATGGTGGTGCTGGCGCGGATCCGCGGCTGAGATTGAATGTTTGTAGAGGGATGTATTGAGCATTTGATGTTCCTCCGAAGGGTCCGGGCATTGTTGGATGGCTCCGTGGTGGAGGCGGTGAATTGTTTGTTTGGTGGAGGGTTTGCTGATGTCACCGGACGCACCCCAAAATGCAGGGCACCGATAACAATTAGAAGCACCGCGCAACGAAGGTTCGTCTCGCAAGACATGAAGGATATAACACTAGGATATAAAGCCTAGGATAACTGTCAGCTACATCGCACCTAAAGAGACGATTGTATGAGATAGGTATCTGCTGTAGCAATTGCACAACGTGGCACTTCGATTAGACAACGCTTGCCCTGCTCTGCGCTCTCTCACTTCCCCTAGACCCCTTCGCCGCCCCAATCACATCTTCACTAGCCTTTCTCTCTTTCTTCGTCGCATGCCTGGTCTCTTTCCCGGCTGATAATCTGGATTCCTGTCGCATCGCTTCATCCGCATGGCCAAGTCTAGTTTTCGCACGCTCAATGCCCTCGAATAAGTCGTGCACATGTGCGCCTTCCAGAGGCGCATACTTCAAGGCATGTCGCTCGAGCTTCTTCAATCGTATGCCGAGGTCAGAAATCTCCTTTGAGAGTGAGGTGAGCGAAGCCGACTTGGCGTATGATGATGACAATCGTACATTCTCTTCACGTAGACGAGCCATTTCCTGCTCAGAACGTATCTGTGCGATCGTGTGAGCATTAAATCCTTCAGAGGACTTCATGGATTGTACCTGTAGCTCACTCGTCTCCTTATGTAGCGTTTCATTCGCCAACCTTAGCTTCTCAAACTCCTTCTGCGACTCCCCACCGTCTTCGTCCTTCTTGATTTGAGTTCGCAATGCTTCAACTTCCCGCTTGACCGTTGTCTCCAGCTGTCTGCATCTCCTCTCGCTTTCCTTCCTTTTGCACCTTTCTTCGATGACCTCTTTCAACCCCTCCGAGAGCATCTGCTCCAATTTCTCACAGCGAAGCTGCAGATGCGCCATACGAACAGTCGCCTGAGTTCTCTCTCGTCTTGCGGTGTCAACAGCATCCTGGTACTTTATCTTATATGTTGAGCATAGCGATTCGTATTGACGTTTTTGCAAAGATATTTGATCCTCCAGTCTCCTCAATGCATGCTCCTCACCGTCACTGGCAGGCGCTGAGATGTCCGCATTCCCTCGGCGAAGTCGCAGGGCATTCCGCAGCTTTGCATTCTCCTCCACGACCTCCATCAACGCTGTTCGTTCCGATACAAGCGCCTCCTCCAGCTTCTCGACGGTTTCCCCGAGCTCTTCAATGCGTTCTTCCGCTGCATCAAGACGTTGTTCGAGTCTACGTCGAGTGTCGAAGTCCAAGCGAAGGCCGTCCAGTCGGTCAGTCAAGGTTGCCATTGCTATCTTGGTTGTGTATGCACTGGGTTGTATGCGTGTCGTTCTGTTATTGTACCGCGCGCCGGCGTGCATACTGAGGATTTGAAGTACCGGCCCTTAGTTACTTTGGCGCGACATCCTCGCCGTTTCTTATTCAACACGACGCCGTTTTCTCATTCGTCTAGAAACGCGCTTTCCTGCAGGAGCCGGTGCGCGTAGATTACGACACGAACTTCAAGCTCGCAAGAACCATTCGAAGTGTCCCTCTTCACCGCAATGGATATCCGCTCATATTTTGGAGGAAAGTCCTCTGATCCACCATCAGCGAAGAAGACTGTGAGTAAGCCTGTACGTGTGGCGGCATATAGAGGGCGAACAATGGCTGATCGAACAATAGGCAGCAAAGAGCTCGGCAAAGAAGACTGAGGAGAAGGGCAAGGGACGGAAGAAGAGAGTTATTGGTGGGGATTACGCAGCAGTCTGTAACAAACTTTGCTGACACCTGTTACTACAGAATCGGACGAGGAAGAGGAAGAAGAGCCGTCACCAAAACCCGTCGCCAAACCTACTCCAAAACCCCAAAAGGCCGAGCCTGAGCTCAAAGCGACAGATGCCTCGGCATACTTCGGCTCCAACAAGATCTCAAAAACAGCCCCAGCTCGTAAGACTAAGCCAGCGGCACCGAAGAAGGCTGTAAAAGACGAGGACGACTTTGATGACAACATGTTTGACGACGACAATCTGATACGTGAGTTGGAAGAGGAGGAGGAGCGAAGTCAGAGAGAGGCTAGCCAAAAGGCCGCCAGTCAATCGCAACCTAAGGTCGAGTCGAAGAAGGAGGTCATCGACTTGGAAGACGACGCGTTTGAGGACGAAGTCGTTTCAAAGCCAAAGAAACGAGCTCCGCCCAAGGAGATCTTGGAGATCAAGGATGATGACGAGGATGAGGACATGGAAGATGTGAAGCCACCCCCTAAGAAAACCGCAGCCAAGCGTAAGGCGCCTGAGCCCGAGTCGGATGAGGAGCCTAAGAAGAAGGCAGCTCCTGCAAAGAAGCCACGTACTACTACGAAGAAGGCAGAGCTGGCGGGCGCAGAGCAATCGGCAGAGGTTCAAGCTATCCTTGATTCGATTCCATTAACGAATGCTCCTCCACCACCGGACAGGCCGGCTGACCAGAAGTTCAACTACCATGCCTTCGCTGCCAGCAAACCCGCCGACGCACCGACCGGTACGACCGAACTCCCCGTTGGTGCGCCAAACTGTCTCGCAGGTCTATCCTTCTGCTTTACTGGCATTCTGACAACACTTCCCCGCGAAGAGGGTCAAGAACTTGTCAAGCGTCACGGAGGCAAGGTCGTTACTGCTCCATCCAGTAAGACTTCCTACGTCGTTCTTGGTGAGAATGCTGGACCTAAGAAGTTGGAGACCATTGCGAAGAATAAGATCAAGACTATCGACGAATATGGTCTGTTCGAGTTGATCAAACGACTGCCTGCAAACGGAGGTTCTGGCAAGGCAGCTCAGGATCACGCGGCCAAGATGGCAAAGGAAGAGGCAAAGGTCAAGGAGATTGCTAAGGAGATGGAGCAACAGGAGAAGGCAAGAAAAGAGGCCGCAGCGGTCAAGTCTGACTCTGCTGGTGAGGCTTCCCCTACTGAAACCACCGACCTGTGGACGACAAAGTACGCACCTACAGCGATGAAGGACATTTGCGGAAACAAGGGACACGTGGATAAGTTACAGAAGTGGTTGCATGACTGGCAGAAGTACGAGAAGGCAGGATTCAAGAAGGGTGGTCCAGACGGATTGGGTTTGTTCCGCTCTGTCATCATGTCTGGTCCTCCTGGTATCGGAAAGACTACCGCAGCGCACTTGGCCGCAAAGCTCGAGGGATACGACGTTTTGGAGTACAACGCTTCTGACACTCGTTCCCAGAAGCTTATGCGTGAGGCTTTAGCAGGCGTCATGGACAACACGTCTCTTTACGGATACTTCGCCGGTGACGGCAAAGCTGTTCAGAAGGACAAGGGCCGTCTCGTGCTCATCATGGATGAGATTGATGGTATGAGTGGTGGTGACCGTGGTGGTGTTGGGCAGTTGAAGCTCTTGATGAAGAGTACCAAGATTCCCATTATCTGTATTTGCAATGACCGGAAACACCAGAAACTCAAGCCTCTTGACAACACCTCTTTCGAGATGCCCTTCCGGAAACCTGATGTCAATGCCCTGAGGTCGAGGATTATGAGTATCGCTTTCCGTGAGGGATTGAAAATCTCTCCACAAGTCGTGGAACAACTCGTCGCGGGCACCAATGGTGACATGCGTCAAATCATTAACTTGATGTCAACCTGGCGCCTCAGCAAGACCAACGTCGACTTCGACAGCGCCCAATCCTCCGTCAAGAGTGCCGAGAAGCACATCGTCCTCAAACCCTGGGACATCGTTGGCAAACTTCTGAGCGGTGGTATGTTCCACCAATCCTCCACCGCAAGACTCAACGACAAGATGGAACTCTATTTCAACGACTTCGAGTTCACACCTCTCATGATGCAGGAAAACTACCTCAAAACCACGCCGGACGCAGCACGGAAAGAGACGGACCAACGCATGCAAAAACTCAAACACCTCGAACTCGTCGAGAAAGCCGCATCCTCGATCTCCGACGGTGACTTGTGCGACGCGATGATTCACGGTCCACAACAACAATGGTCACTCCTCCCCGCCCATGCAATCTTCTCCTCCGTCCGCCCCGCATCCTTCGTCGCAGGCTCACGCGCAGAAATGGGGAAGTCGTCCTATAACCCAATGGCAGGCGGTTTCGGGGGTGGATACTCCTTCACTGCCTGGCTTGGCAACAACTCCAAACAAGGCAAACTGCAGCGTTACCTCCGCGACATCCAAGCACACATGCGTCTCCGAACCTCAGGCGACAGAAACGAAATTCGACAATCGTACCTTCCCGTCTTGTTCGACCGTCTGCCTGTTCAGCTTGCTAAGAATGGCGTGGATGCGATTGGGGATGTGATTCAGCTCATGGATGAGTATTTCTTGAATAAGGAGCATTATGACGAGATTTTGGAGTTGAGCTTGCCGCCGAATGATGGTGATGCGATTCTCAAAGAGATTCCGGCTGCGACTAAATCGAAGTTCACGCGGGAGTACAACTCCGGCTCACACCCCATCCCCTTCCACAAGATTACCTCGACTGTCGGGGCTGGCAAAGTTGGTGGCGGTGGTGGGAAAGCAGAAGCTGATTCTTTGGATGTCATTGATGAGGAAGCTGATGATGCGCCGGTTGTCGAGGATGAAGTTGCGGAGGATGATGACGATGATCTGAGTAAGGATTCATTGGTTAAGGCGAAGCCCGCTGGGAAAGGGAAGAAGGCCGCTGCGCCGAAGAAGGCAGCGGCTAAGAAGGAGCCGGCCACGAAGAAAGCTCCGGCGAAGAAGGCTGCGAAGAAATAGTCATAGAAGGTAGGAAAGGTGGGGTCTTTGGGATATCAGTTTTGGCGTAGGAAATATTACTACAGTATAACCAACACCATGCGTATACTACGATACGGTCAATTGCAATCGCAGTTGTAACTATAACCATATTTGATTGATATAGGCCTCAAAACAGATCTCATGGTCCGTGAGCGGGCATGTGTAGACAAGAGCTGTCATCTCATGCCATGCCAACTCTAAATTGCGGTGCACGAGTTTCCCCACCGAATCACATGTCCCAACCTCAACCTCACCAAATGAAATCGCCCATTCACGTCTATATAAGGCCCTAAACCCGGTCCTCCCTTTGCCTTTGATCCGGTATAAACCTTGGAAAGCGAAATGTCTTCACAACCCCGTGAACGCCGCCGGCCTTCCGTTGCGAAAGATCCCACGCCTCCGCACCACCTCCTTCTAAAGCGCTCCGGCTCGCCCTCCAACGACCCAACTGCAAACTATGAAAATGAGGATTGGGCACAGAAACTTAGCGAATCCGGCCAGCTGCCTGAAGCAGCATTGGATGAAAACGGGCAGAGAAAGGTAGATGAGGAAAGGGAGGGAATGAAAGCCGATGTCGGCGGTGACGACGATTACGCAAACTACGGGTACATCGCAACAAATGTCTACTCCGGCCTCCATTCCAAGAAAACCGGCATATTCAACGAAGCCGGCCCCGGCTCCGGCACCAACACCCCCGGCCTCATGGGCGGCGACGACGAAGACTACGGCGGTATGGTCCCGAAGAGCGCGATCACGAGAGATTTGCAGATGTTACAGGGTGGGGCACAAGGCGGACAGAGAGGATGGGAGACGCCGCCGGAGAGGAGGGCACAGGGGTATGGTGGGGAGACGGAGACGGCGAACGACGTTGGGGCGTAAGAACATGATTGCGTGAAAGACAAGAGACGATGCACATGCAATTGCACTCGCACTCGCACTTGATGGTCTACTGTGAAGTAGGACAATATGAGTTATCAGTTGTCATAGGGTGATTCCGATCGAGGACTTCTTCTTCAGAGATAAGCTCAACCCTCCTCGCCCGATGATGTCATCCCCAACACCCGCGACCCTCCGTAGATAAAGTCAAAGTTCACCACCAAACCCTTCGCCCAGCCAACACTACCAATTACAATAGATCAAACGAAAATGTCATTCTCAAGCGTCTCCTACTCCGAACCAAACAACAAAGAAATCGGTTCCCTCAAGCAGTCGGAACAGAAAGGAACCCCAACCGATACCGCCGGCGACGCAGCCCACGGAACATACGGTACCGCGAATGGTCTACCTAGAAAGGGACCCTCAAAGGATCCTGGACTCTTTGGAGGTGGTTAGAATCCCTTCCTCGCCGTCTGTTTTGTTGGATCAAAGTGCTGATTGACTTGGGCGAAGCCGCTGGAACCGATTACTCAAACGAAGACCTCGTCCCAGAAAACAACATGGCGGGTCTGAGCAAAGACACGAAGCCAAAGCCCGCCGAGGCATCTCCGTTCGCGAAGGCCGAGACGAAAGATTTTGGAAAGGCGGAGACGGAGGAAGAGGAGGTCACCGAGCAGCAGAGGAGGCAGCAGGGGATTGATAAGAAGGACGAGATGGATCAGAATATCGGTGCTTGAAAAAGCCATGGAAGAGGTGTAAGAGTATGGGTCATTCTGAGAGTGCATAAGAGATTCCAAGAGACAATATGATACTGGCATATGCGAAGAGAAAAAGCGCCGTTCATGTACAGCAGATGCTTGATCAAGAGAGAAGCCTGATGAACCCTATTCCCGAACCCAATCATACCGCAACTATCCTAAATCCCTTTCCTCAAAACCCATAACATGCACATCTGTGTCTAATGTTTTATATCACAACCGCCTAAGCAGCAATAGGCCCAACAACCGGCGCCGTAGCAAACTCTCCCTCCGGCACAGGATCACTCGCGCCCACAATATCCTCCGCCTTGGCAACCTGAACCGGCTTCCTCCCAGCATACGGCGGCTCGCCCCTCCTCGCAAAAACCACCTTTCCAGGCAACTTGTGCGCAGCCTCCATCAACGCCGCAAACGCAACCTGCTCCTGAATCCCGCCCCCACCAACCTCAAACAGAATCTTCCCACTCGGCACACGACACGCCCAATAATCAAACGATCCCTTTCCCTTTCCCATACGTGTTTCGTTTCCCTTGGTACAGACGGGTAAATCGGTGTGCAAGCGTTGGAAGATTCGGGCGCCTTTGACGACCTTGATTTTTCGTTTGATGATCGCTTCGGCTGTTTGGAGTTGTTTTGCGGTCATGCGTTCGCCTTCGGACATGAGTCTGATGCCGTATTCGCCAAAGACGATTGTTGTGCCTTTTGTGGAGCCGCCGATGCGGACGGGGATGCGGCCTTTGTGAGCCTTTTTGTGTTTGGTGCGGCGGGGGGTGTAGGTTGAGGCATGGCGGACGGATACCTTGGTCTGAATCTTGGGGGTGGTGAATGCGGTGGGACGGATGGAGGGGGTTGAGGTGCGGAGGAGGGAGGTGGAGATGCCTGTTCAATTACTGTTAGTCCACTGACGGGAACAGACTTCAACGACGCGAACCTCGGCAGGTCATAGAGGGAGCGGCGATGGCCGCACGGCTCGAGGCAAGTAGTGACCGTGCTGATCGCAGCATTGTTGATTTGGATATGTTGGAGGTTTACTGGACGTGCGGATTTTTGGATGTGAGATGCAGGCCGCGGGGGCGGGTCAGGACGGGTGCAGTGAGAGCACTCTGCAAGAGAAACGGAGCAAAGGTGAGAAATACCATGAGTGGGAGCGGAGTTGCAAGTCGAATCTATCATGGTTGAAATCTCTTTGGCATTCCAAATGATGCTGGTCATGGACATCCGCTGCTGGACGGCGCTGCACCGGTCAGCTGCAGGGCCCGAAGAGTCTGGAGAAGCCCGAAATATCTCGAGATGGTGCGATGAACCAAAAACACTTGATCCACGCTCCGTGCTCTCCTGAGGATATCGACAGCGATGTCAGCAACAATGCGACGGACGTTGCTGTCCAGTGCTGCACGATTACAGATCAGAACACCTGTCTACACTTCACTGAAGTCTCGGCCATTATTCAGGATCACCGTGCGATATTCCTCGACCGGGTCTTCAGATGGTCAGTAATGAGTCGCACTACCGTCACATAAGCTTTGTCTGATTCGCCTTTTGCAGAGTGCTTCAAGATCAACCCCGACTCCATCACAATCTTCGACAAATCCTACCCCTCTGACACCTGGACCAACGTACCCCCCCAAATCCTCTCCGCCCTCCCCCGGAAACTCCACCTCCAACCCTCCCACCCCATCGGAATCCTCCGTACAATTGTGGAATCCCGCTTCCCCTCTTCCACCTACGCCCGCCACAACACCCTCCCCGCCATCGTCTCCACGGCCCAAAACTTTGATTCGTTGGGATTCCCAATGGATCATCCCGGGAGGAGCAAGACGGATACATATTATGTCAACGAGAAGACGGTTTTGAGAACGCATACCTCTGCACACCAGGCGGATATGTTTCGGGAGGAGGAGAAACCAGGTTTCCTGATCTCGGCGGACGTGTACAGACGCGACGCAATCGACCGCTCTCACTATCCCGTATTCCACCAAATGGAGGGTGCACGAGTCTGGGACCGCAAAGCCTACGCCTCATCGGAGGAATTGGTCGCAGCAATCACGGAGGATATCAACAACATCCCCCCCACAACTTTCTCCGTCACAGTGGAAGACCCAAATCCCCCTCATCACGCCGAGCGTAACCCGCTGCAACCAACCCACTCCGCACCCGAAGCCGAAGCCGTCGCCGCACACCTGAAGCGTACCCTCGAAGGTGTCGTAGCCGAAGTCTTTGGCCGTGCGCGCCAAGCCAAAATCGAAGCGGGACTCCTTACCCCCTCAACAACAGAGGAACCCTTGAAGATCCGGTGGATCGAAGCTTATTTCCCATTTACTTCTCCCTCCTGGGAACTCGAAGTCTGGTGGGACGGACAATGGCTCGAACTCCTCGGCTGCGGCGTCGTACAACATCCCGTTCTATCCTCCGCCTCACCTTCATGTGAGTCCAAATTGGGATGGGCGTTCGGGTTGGGGTTGGAGAGAATTGCGATGGTACTTTTTGGGATTCCGGATATCAGGTTGTTTTGGACGCGAGATGCGAGGTTTTTGGAGCAGTTTGGGGAGGGTAGGGTGTGTTGGTTTAACCCGTATTCGAAGTATCCGCCGTGTTACAAAGACGTGGCATTTTGGCTGCCGCAGGCGACGGAGCCCGCAGCGGGTGTTTCGGCAGCGGGTGGGTTGGGTGAGATGCAGAATGGCCAGGTGTTCCATGAGAACGACTTGATGGAGATCGTGCGTGGGATCGGAGGTGATCTCGTGGAGGACGTACAGTTGATCGACGAGTTTACGCACCCGAAGACGAAGAAGTCGAGCAAGTGTTACAGAATCAACTACAGGAGTATGGATAGGAGTTTGACGAACGAGGAGGTTGATAATATCCAGGAGAAGGTGAGGCAGGCGTTGGAGAAAGAGATGAAGGTGACCCTGAGGTAGACACTTTCGTCAGGGGGAAAGCAGTTGGCGATGTCACGATAACTTAGAGAAAGCAAAAGATGCATTACTGCCCACCTAACGACTATGCGTGCAACAACACCTGCCCTGTAACTTATCTTGAGAGAGGAGAAGTGAAAAATCCCTTAATCATACACCGAGAACCCCAAATGACCCAACGAACCCAATACGAAACCTTTGAACTTTTGTCAAGCTGTTATCTCAACTCTTGCCCATGCAACATCATCATTTTCGTCAATCCACATCTTCTTTACCTGTCTAGTCGTCACCCTTAACAATTCCGACCTTGGCAGGCCTCAAGCAGCGTCCGTTCAAGGTGAACCCCTGCGACTCACAGTGGAACACAGTCCCCGACTCCTTTCCAGGCATAGGAACCTCAAACAACGCCTCATGCATATTCGGATCAAACTTCTCCTCCAACCCATTAAACCTAACCAAGCCATGCCTCTCCAACGTCCTCATCATAACCTCCTCGGTCATCTTCAACCCCGAATACAAATCCACCAACTCCTTGTTGCGTGCGGAATCGGTACGGTGCTCGACGGGAACGGTGTTGAGCGCGCGCTCAAAGTTATCGACGGATTCGACGAGGTCTTTTGCGAATTTTTGGATGGCGAAGTCTTTTGCGGATTTCATGTCGCGGGCTGTTCGGTCTTGGAGGTTACGGAAATCGGCGACGGAGCGGAGAAGTTTGTCCTGTGCGTGATCATGTCAGTACGAGGCTTCACAAACCCATCACCCATGTTTACACACCTTCAAGTCCTTGATCTGCTCATCCTTAGGGTCAACGGTAGGGGCACCCTCCGCCTTCGCGCCCTCAGCAGCGGGAGTCTCCTCCTTTGCCGCCTCCTCTGCGGGCTTCTGCTCGGAGTAGTATCTGGAGTGGCGAGCGGCGACGAGAGGCGCACGTACGGGAGCGGTGCGGGCAGTGCCGGTGAGTGCTCGGGTGAATGATCTGGTCAACATGTTGTGGTTTGTATAGAGGATCGATGCGATGGATGGCGAACAGCTGGGTCGAGATCGATTGCCTTTCCGTTGGTTGCTGACTGAATTTGCGACCGGCCCCCGAACTTTCTTTAGGGGGCGTGCCTGCGTAGTCGTCGGACAGCCCGCCGAAAACCGGCTGAATTGAACGAGGAGAAGGAGGGGAATTATGGGGATGGATGCGTACTTTTCGACGATAAATGCTGCTGCTTTTCTCTCTCTCCGTTTTTTCTGGACTTCCTTGGCCTTCATCCCGATAGTGCCTGCGTACCCCAGCCGAGACTGGTAACCAAACCCCAGCATTCACACCGGCCCGTCGCTCAACCAACCCTCTCCTTCTATAGCCACTTGATGTCTTCCTCCCAATCCGCCAAAACAACCCATCTCATCAGAAATGCCTTGGAATCCCTGCAAGATGCCCTTCAATCCGACACAGACCTCGCCCTCTCTGACTTCGAGCTCCTTACTGAGATGAACCACGCCGCGGCTGAACGGTATAGAGGGATGGCTAATGCGGCGGAAGGATTAAGGACCGATTCGGAATTTTTGCAGGAACAATGTGGATTTTCAGAACCTTCTCATTGGTGACACAATGTAGCTGATCCGGGCGCACAGATAAGGATATCAAAAAGTACGTTGAGCAGGTGGATGAAGTGTCGAAACAAGTAAAGGAGTTGGAGGGTGTTGCGAAGGAGCTGGATGAGTGGTCAGGAGAACTAGGTTTGGGCCTTGGCTTGGTTCATTTCGTGGAAACAGGTGCTAATGACCAAACAGAGATCAAGTGCCGGCGACTCTTCAAGTAATATTATCACGGATGTATTCAAGACAGCCGCGCGTTGCAGCGTACGAGATATAGGTTCGGCATGTTGATCGGTCTGTTCATTCAGGACCTGACAGATCATGTATCGATGACGCCTCCGATGATTTTGAGGGGAGGGCTACACGGCGAAATTCGAATCTACGGAGCACGACTCTATCGACGTCTTTCTCCCGCGGGAAATACAACGCGCCGGACAAAAAACCACTATCTCAAGGTTTCGTTCACGCAGCTCCTACGTCTTCCCATCGTGCGGGGACGGCACGGTCATGTATGCGTGTGCGTGTGTTTTTAACCGATTAACCCCGCACGGATGATTTACCCGGCGGAACATCTATATAAGTACCTGTGCATCCCACCTTTGTCGCTGCGATTGCGCGGTCACAACATGGCACATACCACCGCGATTGACCTACGCGTTCGGGAGCAGGCGAAGACGGACATTGGATGGGTGGCTATGGGGTTGTGGGACTTGGGTGGGGACAATCGGGTCGCTTAGGGAATATGATCCCGGTAACTGGGGGGTTTACGGGAGTAAAGCGGTGGACGCATTTATGGCTTACGATGGAGCAGTTTGAGAGAAGGATGTGCGCGAAGTGGAAGTTTGCCAATGAGCACCGGCTGCAACGCAGCTCGTAGCAAAGCGGTCGTCCAAGTATACGATGGCCGTGAGCGCGAAAGACGGGACTTGACTGTGCTGAAGCCAGACGGGAACTGTTGCACGGTGTGGTACTCGTAGAAGCGCAGTACGAGGGAAACGAAGATGGACTGACGTGCCCGCAACGGAGTTGGGCAGGAAGACGACAATGGTCTGTCCTTGCGCACGAACAAGCTGAGCTGGTGCATGCTATGGGAGCAGCGAATGTGCTGCGTCTGTGACGGAGAAAGGCGTTCGGCATCGACTGGCCAGTACTGGCCTACACGATGATTGAAGGCCGCGCTACGAGGCCCAGGCAAGCAGATGCGTCCTCAGATTACCATATCGGTGATTGCAGCTCGCTTCAAAGTGTACGGGCGGGTCCAGTCTTTCGGGGCGTCGAGGATTGCTGGCACTTTTCTAGCGGCGATGCCAACCACCGTGATCCCGGTTCACGGGAGGTCACGTTCGCGAGCTGCGAGCTTGGTCCTGTCCGGGTACAAGTATAAGTACCTTTCGCTTCGTGCTGCAATTGTTCTTCGCCGTATCAATGGGGTTGGTTTCCCACGCCAGCCAAGAATTCGATGGACAGATCAGAACAATGCCACACGCAGAGGATCAACAGAATAGGTTTCGAGAGGTGTACCAATCATCGTTAGCAACGATGGACTCTGGTGATGGTTGGGTGACGTGGCGAACACTCACGGTGGCAGAGACGGGAGTTCGTAGGATGGGAAGATGTCGTATTCCTGGGTATAATCTCGTTCAACAAGATAGCTAAAAGATCTCCTCGATCGCATCTTCGTATCATCTAGAAATCATCGCCGAATCCCATCAAGTACCCTGCCTGGATCCTCATGACCCTCGCTACGAACGCCTCCAAGTGAAAGATGGCCTTGTTTCCCAGCCTCAGTCTATGCTCGTAAAAAGCAGCCCACTTGACCACCTCCACTTTCAGCTCCTCATCCAAACCCTCAAGGAGTCTCAGTAGCAGCGTCTTCAGGATAGTAGATGCCGGGATACAGTGTGTCAGCAGGTCATAAAGCTGCGCACGAACCGATAACAGACGGGAAGGAGACTGCTCCGCCAAAATTGACGACGCAACACTCGCAATGAACAACTCCCAATCCGGCTTCGTCAACACCGCATTCGCATCCGTCAACGCCCCCCCACCCGGACTCTGCGCATACGCCGCCTCCAACATCAACACCGCCCTTCTCAAATTTCTCCCACTCTCCTCCGCAACCTTCCTCAACAATCCTTCCCCCACTTCGACCCGCTCCATCTCGGCGACATGTCGTAGTACGCCGACAATCTCGTCGTGGGATGGGGCTGCGACGCGGATGAGAAGACACCGGGAACGAATTGGAGAGATGATTTTGGAGGTTGAGTTGCAGAGGAGGATTAGCCGGAGGTTTGGGGTGTATTTTTCCATTGTGCGGCGGAGGGCTGCTTGCGCTTCGCGGGTTAGGGCGTCGGCTTCGTTGATGACGACGACTGTGAATCTTGTCAGTATAAACGTAGAGCGCGGTAAGCTCGATAAGACATACCCTTGAAGCGCTGCTTGGCAGAAAGATCGACTTGCTGTGTCTGAGCGACCTCCTTCAGCAGATCTTGTACGACAACTCTGTCATAATTGCCCACATCACTCGGTGTGATTTCCTGATGGTAGACAGACGACACGATATTCACTTCCAACTTCCTGTTACTTGGCGTAACGAAAATCCTCTGATCGATCTTCAACTTCTCAACACCCGGTCCGTACAGCTCCTTCAGCGTCGCAACGATTCTCGTCTTCTTCCCGGCTCCTGATGGGCCATAGACGAGAAGATGTGGGAAGTCTGGGTTGGAAGCAAGGGCGGCGAGGCGGTCAGAGAGGTCTTTGTGGTAATGCAGGTTCTGGAGGGAGCGAGGACGGTGTTTATCAACCCAGAGAGACATGGTAAGGGTGGGTGGTTGCTTCGAACGCTGGAGACGCGACGACGTGTGAGAGAGACGTGAATTAAGGCACGCGTTGACATCCTGGAGAAAGACACAGAAGAGAAGGTTCAGAATACTCGAACAAATATATAAAACACTTTCCTCGACTCCCACCCCTCCTGTCCCCGAACCGGCGGTCCCCGGAGCAACCAGTTTCTGAGGGTACGGCAGCTCGGGCTCAACGCACGCGGAACCTCAGGGTCCACCACCTCTCCCTCGGTCAACACCGAGCGCACAGCGCGCTCATAACACACCTCCAAAGCCTTCTTCGACTACTATGACAATGACGGAGACTCCTGTTGTCGCTCTGGAAGCGACCTCGCGGGTTGGGCGGACAAAACAACGTATATCCCACTTTTCCCCCCTGCCTTAACAAACCAAAAATATTGATGGTGATATGACGGATAGGATATTCCGCCGATACAGGAGCAAGATTAGTCGCCGGAGTCGTCGCGACGAGACCCCACCCAAATCCGACAGAGGTGATGCTCGTCACCTCCGCCTCTCACCCAAACCGCTACGTCCTCCCCAAAGGCGGCTGGGAAACCGATGAAGCAACGCCCGAATCTGCAGCCCTCCGGGAAGCGTGGGAGGAATCCGGAATCAGAGATTGCAGGATCGTTCGTTCTCTCGGCACGATCGAGGATGCGAGACGGGCGAAGCATTTGAAGGATGGAGATGATCATATTCCGAGGGCTGAGTATTGGTTTTTTGAGTGTGCGGTTGGTGAGGAATGTACCGAATTTCCGGAATCAAATGAGCGGTCGAGGGTTTGGATGAGTGTTGAGCAAGCACGGGAGGCATTACAGTGGAGGCCTGAGTTGGTTAGGGCATTGGAGAGAAGTACGGCTTGGGAAAACTTGAGCAAGAAGACCACGGAGGCGGCGTGAGAGTGAGGTACGATAACATAAATTGCAATGAAGGCAAGAAGAAGGAAGGAGGGATCGGTAGGATGGCGTGCATATTGGGCTAGAATTTCTTTTGTTCTTGGTGTCGATGGTGTAAGATACCCTGGGGCGTAGATATGGATTTATGGGAACTTTTCGTTGCATGTTGGTTTGCACGGGCTTTTTAGCTTGTGAAGGAGGGAAGAGCAATAAAATGGACGAAGCATCTCAACTTTCAGGCATCTTTGTTCGGGCTTTCTCCTGCCCATTTTCCATCCTCTACATAATGCGAATGCGGCTATATTCTTGAACGGGGTTTCTCACGAACATCAGAGATGATCGTGTAAGATACGCACCTGCTATTAGGTCTGCAACAATTTGCCCATCATGTCATGGTATCGCTCATATGGTCTTCATCAACCTCTCTACCTTGCTTGCCTCATGCACCAGAGCACCCACACCCACACCCACAACCCCCTAACCCCCCACAACCCCCCATAACCCCCCCATCAAAGCGCAACAACAACCTCCTTTCCAACCTCAACCCCAACCCCCGCAAGAACCTCCTCCAGCACCATCCTCATCCCCTCCACCCCACTCTTCCCCAATCTCCTGGCTTTTGCTCGTAACCACCCAAAATCCGCAACCATCCCATTGACGAGGATGAGTTGTTCGTCGATATCGTGGGAGGCGCGGAGAGAGGGGAGGGAGGTTATTCCGGGCATGTTGGTTGCGAAGAGGGTTCCTGGGGGAGAGTCGGTGCCTTCTTCCTCTCCTTCTTCGTCCTCTTGGGTCGTTGGGGGTTCGCTTGGGGTGGAGTAGGTTTCCTCCCCAGAAAGCGACACATACTTCCCCCCAGATTGTTCAAGGGCGTTCTCGAGAGCTTTCAGCTCAACCCACCCCATCCCCTCCGGATCCAAAACCTCACTCGGCGCATACTCCCCCTTATACCGCATCTTCTCACATCCCCAAATCCAAAAGCCCATATAATACCTCACCTCGCCCCCCTCTCCTCCCTCTTTTACCAGTTGTTCGCAGAGCGCAATCTCCCGCAACGCACTGACCCGACCCAACGCGAACCGTTCCCCGATATCGTTGTCATAGATGAGATATACCGACGAAACCCCCCGTGGAAGCAAATCCAACACCGCTAACGCCACGAGCCTTCCATCGACTCTATACTCCTGATGCCATGTTCCCCACCTCCTCCCCCCCTCCTTTTGTACCTCGAAAGGGTTATCGCATAAAAATCGGTTGAACCCATCTTCGGTGATTTTGGAGGCTGGATCGTTGTGGACTCGGATTTGGTAGGCTTTGTAGAGGGAGAACTTTTCGGGGGTGGAGGTTGGGGGGGATAGGGTGCAGGTGAAGGTATGTGCGGGTTGGGGAAGGGGGGAGGGGAGGGGGTTGGTAGAGAGGGAGGTGTGAAGGGGGAGGGAGAAGGTGTCTTTGCCGGGTTTTGATTTTGGGCTGGGGTTGGGTTGAGAGGGTTGCTCTTTCGCAGTCTTCGATTTCACCTCTGCTTCTTTCCGAGTGAGGTGTTTGAGAGCGGCGTCGTACGTCTCATCTCCGAGGATGAACCGGTTGAATTTGTTTAGTGCTCGGCGTTGGTCTTTGTTTGGTTTGAATTTGGTGGGGTCGAGTCTGTCAGAATCCTACGTCGGCGTCATCGTTTTTCGACGATGCAGAGACCGATACGGACCTTATTGTGTATTGCGGACAACAACTCCTGTAGAAAACTGTCAGTTGGAGTGCAAGAGAAGAGAGGGAGGAGTGCGTACGCCCGTAGATCTGGTTTGTACAGATACTTCCCACTCCGTCGCCACCCCCTATCGATCATCTCTATCATACACCCCATCAGTCCTCCATCCCTCCATAGGTACGCATGCTCAGACAACGCATACTCTGATAATGCTCAACAGTCAACGAATGAGCCCACAGCCCAAAGGTATAGCTGCCAGACGGATTCGAGCAGTATCCACATCGCGATTTCTTGTTGTAGCCGACGTGGGACAGCACGGTAATCGGCTCGCCTTCGAGAAGCATGTCCGTGTTTGGAGGTTGGGGTGCCGTCCTAAGCCACGGCTTACCGCTGAGTCTCCGCGCGCCTGCTTCGCCACTCGTATACCGTCCGCTCATAAGTACACCGCATACACCTCCAACCAACAGCATTCACTCCCAATCAACCAGCATACATCCCCTACAATGATTTCAGATTCAGCATCAACTCCGCCTCTTTCCCGCTCCTCGAGTACAACAACAACAAGCGCACCCGGCTCCCTCTCCCGCCGCCGGACGATGTCGAACCCACTGTCACTCTCCCTCTCCCTCGATCTATCCTCAATCCCGGCATATATCCCACCCTCTGCTCCCACGAATACGCTCCTCCTCACTAACCTCGCACCCGAAGTCTTCGATTCCGCACACTTGACGGCGTTACGGAGTTTAGTCGAGGAATTGGCTGCTGCAGACGGGAAACTGGAGACCTGGGCCCCCATCCGCAGCTTCCGTCGAATCGTCGTCGTCTTCTCCGGCGAATCCGAAGTAGCCGGACAAGAAGGCGTCGAAGCTGCGGCTAAGGTGCGCGGGGTGTTGGACGGGGACGTCGTCGGCGGTGAACGCATCCGAGTCTACTACGGCGAACACACACCCTTCACCCACCACCATTCATCCTCCTCCCCATCATCACACAAAGACGAACTCGAAGTTCCCGGGCGCGACAAACAATTCTTGATTAGTCCACCGCCGAGTCCGCCGGTAGGGTGGACGTCTAGGGAGGAGGATGCGCCGAATAGGGATGTGCACCATGATAGCCATGCTGGTGATCTCTTGGCTGCGCTGGCGAGGTTTAAGTCTTCGGCGTCTGCGAACTCGTTTGCCGACGACGAAGGCGACACCAAGACCGTGGGATTGGGATTGGGACTCGGACTGGAGGAAGTGAAAGAGGCGCCGGTTTTGAGACTCCGCGAGCCGGATGGTGAACAACCCGGTATCGTCGTCGAAGACTGGGATGGCAAAACTGCATCTGGGTCTGCGTCCGACAATGACGAAGGCTTCGTGTTAAGGATTCCTACACCGGTGCCTAGCGGGAAGGGGGAGAGTGTGGAGAAGGTTAGGACGAGTCGGCCGCCGGTTGAGTTTATGTGAGTTGGCGTGTGAGTGAGTTGGATGCGTGTGAGGTTGGGGTTAGGGGGGGCCCCGGGTTTTCGTGTTATCATGGCGTTTTCTTTCGTTTTCTTTTTTGATTCCATGGGGTGGGAGTATGCAAGCATGGTTACTGGTACTGTTCTATGAGGCATCTATGTCTCTATGCCCCCATCAATACGTCTCCGCTTCTATATGCTTAGACACCAAAACCGCAACAACCACTCCCTCACCTTCCCTCCGGGTTCCATTCCACGCCTAGAACTTACAATGCTTCGCCCACCTCGGAAACGCAACAACCTCCCTCAAATTCTCCACACCTCCAAGATACGCCAAAAACCGATCAAAACCCATCCCAAACCCACCATGCGGGACACTCCCCCACTTCCTCAACTCCACATACCACGCCATCTCCTCCGCCTTCATTCCAGCTTTCTCAATCTGTGACTCAAGGGCGGCGGCATCGTGTTGACGAAGTGATCCACCAACCAACTCTCCCATCTCGGGGACGAGAAGGTCAAAGCACGCGACCGTTGCTCCCTCAGACACGGTGTTTGAGGGCAGTGAGGGAAGCATGTAGAACGGTTTTAGGGAGGCTGGGTAATCGTGTACAAAAACGGGTCCTTTGACGAATTCCCCTGCGAGCCATTTCTCGTGTTCGGATTGGAGTGCGTGGCCCCAGATGGGCGGGAATTTGAAGGATGTGAGGTTGGTGGAGACGGCGTGTTGGAGGTGGTTGACTGCGGTGGTGTAGGACATTCGGGTCCAGTTGTCTCTTGCGAGGCCACGCCAGCGGGAGGGAAGGTCGATTTTCGTATCATTGCCCTCAGCAGTTGGGGATGCGTACGGTGCGAGTTCGGCGGCCGCGGTGGGGTTCTCGAGGAGCCCTTTGGCGACATGCCTGATCATCTCCTCCGTCAACGTCATCAATTCCCCCTGTTCCCGCACAAACGCAACTTCGGCCTCCAACATCCAAAATTCCGCCAAATGCCGGTTTGTGAGCGATGTTTCGGCGCGGAATGCCGGACAGACACACCATACGCGCCCGAGACCGTGGGCGAGGGCTTCGAGGTGGAGTTGGGTTGATACGGTGAGGTATGTTGAGTGACCAAAGAATCCGCCTTTGTCTTTTGCACCTTTCGGTGAGGAGGTGGAGGTGGAGATGGAGAAGACTTCACCGGCGCCTTCGCAGTCGGAGGAGGTGAGGATGGGTGGGTGAGTTTGCGTGAAGGATTGTGTGTCAAAGAAGTTGTTGAGGGCTGACATCGTCTTCGATCGGAGACGGAGGAGAGCGGAGGTCGAGGATGTTCGAGGGCGAAGGTGAGCGTTTTGTCGCAAATGCTCAGCACCATGGTACTTTTTCTGCATAGGGTATGTCTCCCCATCCGAAGCACCCAAAACTTGTACATTGCTAGCTTTGAGTTCTCGATCTTGTTGGCCTTTACCTTTCGTGCTTTGTTCGTAGCGGCCGGTGATTTGCACGCTCGTCCCCGTGGTCAATCCCTCTAATTGGTCATGTTTGAGGACGACTTGCATGTTTGCTCCGCTTGAACCGTCGTTTACAGATGCAAAAGCGACGTTCTTCAGCTTCCTCACAGTCCTGACCCATCCGGTAACTGTTACTTCATCTTCTGGCAAGGGAGCCGCTGCCAATTCATTGATCGTGGGAGGAAAGATCCGCGGTGAGGCAGTTGATTGGCCATGGAGGCGGATTTGCTGAAGACATGCTGATCTGAACAGGGAGTAAAAGTCCCTTGACCGCACTCTCGGAGCTGATCGTGATAGCATCCTTGGATTGAGATCTCTTCACGAAACAAACAATTCGGGTCGTAGGCGTGACTGCGCGACGATGCAGAGCTGGGCAGGCACGACGTACACTCCGACTGAACACCAAGGAGACAGAGCTGATACGGATCATTGCTTGTTTGAAGAGTAGAGAACGTTTCCAGTGTGCCCTCCCCAAACCTCAATACCGTTCTCGAGCGACAATCCACATAACGGACGACTATGTCCACCTCCACCGACACCTTCTACTTCTCTCTCGCCCGCATCTCCGCCCTCCAAATCCTTCGCGCCTCAGGCATCGACCGCGCACGACCTAGCGTAATCGACTCCTTCACAGATATCCTGGTCCGATATTTGCTGTTACTAGCTACATCGGCTCGGGATAACGCCATTCTCGCAGGCAGGGAGGGAGCGGATGTACTGGATGTACGGACGGCGATGGGGGAGTGTGGTGTCCTGGTCGCGCGGTGTGAGGCGCCAAGTCGACCGTCACCATTACCAGTACCGGGAATAGAAGGAATGGATCTGGAATTAGAGGATGAGGAGGATGAGGAGGATGAAGATTTGAGAGTGGTGGAGGAGTTCGTGGAATGGTGCCGGGGCCCACAAGCCGCCGAAATCCGCAAAGTCGCAGGCATGGACGAACACACACCACCAAATACCGCACCCAGCACCGCAGATCCAGATAACCCCGCACCACAAGACCCGGGACAAACAGACTGGCTAACGGGTATATTCTCTGCATCTATGTACGTGTAAAGTGCTAACAGAGAATGTACAGGTCTCGTACGGAAACAAATCCGGGCAGGCGCAGAAGACCGGTTTCGAGGGTCAGTGCTGGAACAGATTCTACAATCCATGGAGCCACTAGAAGGTGAGGTACCGGTGGATAGTGTGAAGGATGAAGAGGGAAGGGAGGGACGGATAAGGGAGCCGCAGGTGCCGGAGATACCGGGGGGTATGGCGTTGGTGTCGGAGGAGGGTATGAAATTGGTGAGGGAGTTTAGTTGGGTGCCGTGATGTGGGGAGATCAGCAAGACAAATTGGGGCATAGGTATAGTGAACAGCGGAAAGGCATTGCATTGCCGCTTCACGACAGGCTGGTTTCGAAGGGGATATCACGCTTGAGCATAAGCCTGAGAACGAGCCCTTGCGGCGTTGCAACCCGCAAGGCAACAGGACATACGATAGAGAATATCGTTCAATTATTATATCTTATCATACCTAACCCAACCCCATTGCCGTCTACAACATGATATTTTACTCCTACATACCAATCATTAGCCACAGATTCACACCTCACAACAAACACATCACTCACCAATCGGGCAGGGAAAATTCCATTCTCCCTCTGAGTATCCCAACGGTCGATCCACTCGTTGGGGCACAAAGAGTGGAAAGCTTTGAAGAATTGACGGCAGGGAGCGAAGGCCTCGCCCTTGTGGTGGACGCACTTGTAGTAGTCGACGTAGTTCTGGAAGCAGTGACGGGTCTGGTTCTGGTTGGGGAAGCTGTTCAGATTGAGTTAGGACCAAGTTGTGTGAGGAAGCACGAAGAGCTCGGGCATGTATCTGGACAGTCATCGGGGATCATGATAGTCCGGATGTGAGGGTGAGGTACCGAGCGTCGAAACCAGCTGTGGAGAGGGGCCGTTAGCAAACGCTCGAGGGAGGCGAGGAGAAGGGAATGAGCATACCGGTCTCGAGGACGAAAGTCTGTTCGGACATTTTTGCGGGATATGTTTTTTGTAGAGAGCAGCGATCTTGACGTTGTCAGTCTAAGCTGGGGAAATCCGAGAAACGTGACTTGCGCGCTCGCCGTGCCCTGAATCGAGCTCCAAAGGTGAAGCTGGAAGAAAACCGCCGAAGGGACTCTTCCAAACACCATGCCGAAGGTGCGTTGTTTGATCTCGTGTTCCTCAGCAATTACGTGCTGATCTTATGCTTTAGATTACCGTCCAACCCCCGATCGATCAGCTCGAGTCAATCATCGCCAGTACGTCTCCGCGACCAAATATCATCCCGGTCTATGCGACGATCCCTGGTGATTTCCTCACTCCGTCTGCGGCATACTTGAAGCTCTCGGAGAAGAGCAAGTACTCGTTTTTGCTGGAGAGTGTTGCAGGTGGTGAGCAGTTGGGGAGATACAGTTTCATTGGCGCGGATCCGTACAGGGTTATCAAGACTGGCGCTGGACATGGGCCAGATGTGGATCCCTTGATTGAGTTGGAGAAGGTCTTGGATGGGTACAATACCGCGACGGTACCAGGCGTACCTCCATTCCCAGGTATGTCCATGATGACGAGGTTGACTCATCAACGTTCCCAGGACTGACACACGGTCCCTTAGGCGGTGCCATCGGCTACATCTCTTACGACTGTGTGAAATACTTCGAACCAAGAACGAAGCGCGAGCTACGGGATCCCCTGGGTATACCCGAATCCCTCCTTTTCTTCCACGACTCCGTCGTCGCTTTCGACAACATCTTCCAGTCCATCAAGGTTGTCTCCCACGTCCACCTCGAAGACTCGAAACCTCTCTCAGAAGCCTACGCCGACGCGGCGGCAAAGATTCAGAAGATTGTCGATACGCTGTCGCAGCCTCATACCCCCGTACCACACCAACCACCAGTGAAGCCCGACAATGAATATCAATCCAACATTGGACGGGAAGGATATGAGGGTTTCGTGCACAGACTGAAGGGACATATTAAGAAGGGAGATATCATCCAGGCCGTCCCATCACAACGCATGACCAGAAAGACCTCGCTCCACCCTTTCAATGTATACCGCCACCTCCGCACCGTCAACCCCTCCCCTTACATGTTCTACATCGACTGCGCCGACTTCCAAATCGTCGGTGCCTCACCCGAACTCCTCGTCAAATCCGAAGCTGGACGTATCATCACCCACCCCATCGCTGGAACCGTCAAGCGCGGCAAGGACTCCGACGAGGACGACAGACTGGCATCCGAACTCCTCGCGTCGACAAAAGACCGCGCAGAGCACGTCATGTTGGTCGATTTGGCACGTAACGACATCAACCGCGTTTGTGAACTCAAGACCTCCCGCGTTGACCGCCTCATGACCGTCGAGCGCTTCTCTCACGTCATGCACCTCGTTTCCCAAGTCTCGGGTGTACTACGTAAGGGCATGACCCGCTTCGACGCTTTCCGCTCTATCTTCCCCGCCGGAACCGTCTCTGGTGCCCCTAAAGTCCGCGCAATGGAACTCATTGGTGAGCTCGAGGGTGAACGCCGCGGTGTCTACGCCGGTGCCGTTGGTCGCTGGGGATACGACCAAGACTCTATGGACACCTGTATCGCTATCCGAACGATGATGTTCAAGGACGGTGCAGCCTACCTCCAGGCCGGTGGTGGAATCGTCCACGATTCCGACGCGTACGATGAGTGGATGGAGACGATCAACAAGTTGAAGGCGAATATGACGTGTATTGTTGATGCGGAGAAATTGTATATCGGGAGGGAGGAGGAGGCGAGTGGGTTGAGTAAGGAGGAGGAGACGGGTGAAGCTCCGGCGAATGGCAATGGGAAGAAGCATAAGGATGTTGGGTTCGCTGCTTAAGATAGCGATAGATTATATAAGACAATCGTCAAGATATGATAACAGTACTGATTTGCCACGGAAACCCATACATGCCACCCGAGTGCTTGGTTCATATTCACACGCTTCGTCTTTCCTTTTTGGCGAGGAGTTTGTCTACGTTACAACGTACTCCACAAATACATCACCTCCACCTTGCCTGCCGCTCAGGTTTTCGGAAAAGTCGTCCGTGTCAGGTCGGCTCCTGCTGGATGTTGTGAAGGGTGTGGAGGAGGAGCTACAAAGATATTCTGTGCAGACGAAGGCTTGGGGACCGATATCAGTGAGAACACCGCTGCCTGGAGCACACCAGAGAGCAAATGTCTCTGTCACTGTGGCTGCACTGGCACACCTTCAAAGCTCGTTACCAGGGATCACGGTACAGACCATCCAAGAAGGCGTCGCAGCAGCAAAATGGCCAGGACGCCTCGAGTGGACCATCATCCCCTCAATATCACAAACACCACTACTTCTTGATGGCGCACACAATGCAAATGATCACGCTCCTTTTCCGAGTACATCAACACCTTACGGCAAAAGGGTCCAATCACGCGGGTGATGGCATTCTCGCAAGGCAAGGATCTGAATGAGATGTTGCGGATATTGGTACGAGGGGATGATTGTGATAGGATTGCGGCGGTGGAGTTTGGGGATGTTGATGGGATGCCGTGGGTTAGGCCCGTGCCAGTGGACGAGATTACGGAGGTAGTACGGGGGGTGCTGAAAAGCGGAGAGGAGAAGGAGGATGTTCGGGGGGTTGGGAGAGACGAGGGGGCTGCGCTGAAGTGGGCGACGGAGGGCAATCAAGAGGGAACGGTGGTGGTGTGTGGGAGTCTTATCTCATAGGAGAGGTGAAGAAGTTGGAGAGGGAGGAAGGTAACAATGAAGTATGAGAAGAGATCTTCCATTCAGCTATGTATCCACCACATTCGTATCAAAGACGGTTGAAACCAGTTCATCATCTTCTGGTTGCGTCCCTTGCCTTATTACAACGGATTGTACCGGTTCCTGCTCCCATTCAACGTCACATGCAAACATCCCTCATGCTGTCGTTATGCGGCCCTTCGCACTCCAACGTCCTGATCCATCCCCTTTAATTCGTAGCGGGCACCAACATACCATTATCATACCTCGCCTTGAAGAAAGTGTAACTCAACGTCACCGTCCGAATATCCTTCATCAACGGATCATCCGCGAAATCCGGATCAATAAAGAAGAAGATCGGCATATCTATAGTCTCCCCCGCTAACAACCTCTGCTCCTCGAAACAGAAACACTGGATTTTGGAGAAGTATTGTGCGGCTTGTTGCGGGTTGACGTTGTACGTCGCGATGCCGATGATGTCTTCGCTAGATCTGTTGGTTGCGGTGAAGAATGCTAGAGCGGTTTCTCCCGGGAGGACGTGAACTTCGCGTTGTTGGGGAGTGAAGGTCCACTGTAAGGCGTCGGAGACGGTACCGACGAAGGTGACCTTAATCCTCTTCGCATCCTTCACAGGGATCAACTTGTCGGGCGTGAAGCGGGAGGCGTCCGTATTCGGCGTTCCAGCAAATCCAGTAGTTTGACATATTAGACGGTACAGCGGGACGACGGCGTATGTAACTCCAAAGGCACCGATAAAGACGGATAGAGTGTAGTAGATGAAACTCTCGTTGTTCTTCGCCTGCTCGGCACTCATTCTGGGTCTGCCATTAGGGAAATTTGGGAATCGAGGTGGAGGTGGTGGTGTTGTAGAAGCATGTCGTACAGCTGATCGCAGTGGACGAGCAATATGAGACGGCCTGGCGAAGGCCGATACTCTTGGGATTAATGACGGTATTCTGAAGGACATCTTGGATGTGCGTTATATGTTCGAGGCAGTGTTCACACGAAATCCGGAATTTGAGCTGCAGGACTTCGGCGTATTGCAGATGCCCTGCATTCACGAGTTGCGTGCTCATTCAGAGGCCGAGATATTCCGGGTACGATCGGAGTTGAGGATGAGATCTTTGTACTCAGTACGGCTATCCTGTATGTCGAGGAGGTTTGTGTTCTAAACACATAGAGCAGCTCAGTGCAGTGCTAAACAGTGGTATTATTGCTGACGTATATCCCTTCTTTGCTCAACAATGACCTTTTCTACCCCTCCAGCCTTCCTCTCTTCTCGCTCTTCTCAACCTTCTTAGCCCTCCTACCCTCCATACTTCTCATTTAGTACGCAATGTTGAAATCAAAGTAACTGGGGTCAAAGTGATGCAATCGCACGTAACCATCCTCTCCTCCACTCGCGTACGCCGTACCAGCCGGGTGAACCGCAACAGTATTCAGAGGGCCGAAATGTCCCCTCACACGTCCAATCTCGTCCTCAAAGATCTTGTGGTAAAATCTCGCCTCGAACTTTCCTTGTCTCTGCGAAGTCGTAGTGACATCTCTTGCCTCCTGCCCGCCACCAACAATAACGAAGTCCTTGGTAGGAGTCAACGCGGCGGAGTTAAGGGGGGTATCGGTCGTGAAGGTCTTCAAGACCTGCAGGGTGTTGGTGTCGAGGATCTTTGCGGTCTTGTCTTTGGAGGAGGTGATGAAGTAGGTTCTGTCGGGGGAGAATTGGAGGTCGGTGATGACGAAGCCCTTTTCGTGTGCTTGGACGATGTTAAGTCGCTCTTCGTTCTTCCAGTCCCATTGTGAGACGGAGCCGTCCTCGTGACCCATGATGATGTAATTGGAAAGGTAGGACCAGCCAGCGACGGTGGCCTTGGATTCGCGCGAAGGAATAGATATAATTGGCTCGTCGGACTCTGTATCATTCGTCAGTACAATTTCACTGAGGCCATTGAGGGACACGTACGCTCAGCATCGACGTCGTTCACGATCTCGAAAACCTTAGTGGTACCGAGATAACCCATACGCTGCTCAGTAACACACAACAACAAACTTCCGTCCTCATTGAACTCCGCGCGCTTCACAGCAGTAGGGAACTCCCAAGTCTTGATGCATCGTCCAGTCTTCGCGTCCCAAAGCTTCAACGTGTTGTCTGCTGATCCGGAAACGACAAGAGTAGAAGTTCCTACAAAACCGCATTAGCCCCTTATCCTTCAATCGCGTATTCAAAGACACGTACTGTTGACGTCCACGGTCCAGATGGCACCATTGTGTCCGTTATATGTTCCCAAACGCTCTCCATTGTGCGAGTACCAGGCATTGACGACGTGGTCCTTGGCAACGGAGAAGATGAGGTCACCCTCGGCGTTGAACTTGACCTGGGTGAGTGATCGCTCGTGTCCCTGAAGAAGAATGGGCCTCATTGTTGCTATAGATCGGTGCTCTTTCTCCGACGTCGCCTCAGAAGTAAGTTCTTAGAGCCTGCCGGTTTTCGCTGGGTGATGCAGGAGAGAGGGGAGGAGCACATAGAGGGTGGAGTCAGGTTCCCTTGTGGACTGTTTTAATTTGAGAATGTTTGAAAACATACTTCTCAAAGCTTCTGGATGGTTTAATGTTCTGAGCATTTTGTGTGTGTTGTGCCACCTGACCGTGTGAAGCTACGATCTCCTCGCCGAACACCAACCCCCCCAAAACTACTGGAGTCCGGGAACGAAATAGAGGAGGCTGCAAATCTGATCTCTCAGGTAGCTGCCACCACTGACGAGCAAATCGACGAAGAGCAGCCTTCCCGCCCTTCCCTCGAGCAAACCGATTCCGGCTTTACTGAAGATAGGCTCGAGCTCATCCTTCAATTGCACACTGAAATCGCTAGTACATGCAACCGTGAAAATATCAAACGCTTCCGCGAGAACGTTTCTCTCCTAGAGACCGCACTGGAATTCAAGATAATTGTACTCGATCACTTCATAGGGTAAATGGGCTTCCGCTTTGTGGGCATTGGTGAGTTTGATTGCGACTTGCAACAAGGAGTGGATCCTCACACACCTGTTCTACGACGCGGGTGGCGTTGTCCTTGTTGTCTCCGTGTGGAAGTTTCTTGTTCTCCCTTATCTGAAAGTTACGAAGGACGATATCGTTCATTCCGGTACCGATGCGTCAAGAACTCCGTACACACATCGGTCGAGCCTTGCGACAGGAAATCAGCGATCTCGTGAGCGACTTCACTGAACGCCTTGAAGCTTTCACGTCCGACGCCTATTTCTCCTACAATACCGCTATAAAGCAGGATACGAAGGCTATCGACCCATATCTGTCGTTCCTTCGTGGCCTTGTCTGGTTGTGGGATTACTACATTGATCTTCAATTCCGGGGCCCGGCTCCCCGTCACAGGCTTTGGAACGCCTTTACCGGGCATGTTGCGGCTCCTGCTGCCTGATCTATCATCGATCAACCAATCGTCCCTTGGGTTACTTCTTCCATGGGGATGAATGTTGTTTTGGTGATTATGTTCTGTGTTTGGAAGGATATGCTTAATGCTCTTTCGGTGAGCGTGAGAACGCGTTTTCTAATTCGGTCGCACGCAGAACCTTTGATTGATTGTTGCTTCTACAAATAGTTTTAGTGATTGAATTGCCTTATTTCTTTTTCCTTCTGTTACTGCTAAAGCCGTAAGGAGACCAGCTTATCATTAAAGTCCATTACCATACGCATGTGTCCATGCCGAGAAGAAGCTACCTCACCAGGAGGTTCAGTGTTCCTCGCATCAAGAGTAGCAGTCGTAACAAGCTCCCTACCCGCTACAGCCTATTCCGTCCATCATTCCCCATGCCAGCACCATTTCCACACCTTCTTCTGCTGCTCCAATACCAAGAACGTAACCACCGTATGTGGTCCCAACCTGACAAAACTCGGCGTCCAGCCCCTAAACAAGAAACCCAATCCTTCTTTCCTCACTGCGTTGGTAAGTACCTTCACCGATGATATGTGAGAGTGTTGCGCGGCCATGATGTGTGATTTGACGACATCGACGGGTGAGCATACGGTCGTCGCGACTAATCCAGCAAGGAGGGAAGCCGCAAAATGCGTTCCCAGACCATCCTTTAGAGGTGTATGCCAGAGAATCAGACGCTTGGCCTCATCATACGTAGCCAATTGACTCGTCGTCATCAACACCCCCCTGATACAATTCGCATTGACCCCCCTCATCCAACTCCACAACCCCTCCTCCCTCCACATCCTGACCAACCCATCAATCGCATGCCTATACCCTCGCCTCTCCTGCACAGGCAAAGATCGATCATTTTGCATACGGACATTCACGACATCAGCGGGATTCCCGGCAATGGCACCAACGTATCCACTCACCGCCGCCATGGGCAGCAGCATATGGAATGGCGGCGCCTGCGTTGCGGAGCCAGAGGAGGGGGTGAGGTGGGTTTTTAGTTCTTCGTAGATCCCGAAACGGACGGTGGAGTAGGTGCATTGTCGTAGGAGCGAGGCTGTTAGGCCGGAGTAGAGGGCGCGGACGCCTTCGGTTTTGCGAACGGCGTGGAGGGTCGAGAACATATTTGCGCCGCGTTGTGTGGAGGTTTGCATGCGGACTTTGGCGAGGTCTAGGGGGTGCTAGATAACGCATAAATGAGCATTCTGTGGTCAATTGGCTCACAGGAAGTTGGAGGGAGGGCGTACCGTCACGCACGCAGCGGCACAACTCGCACTCCCGCCAAACCAAAATGGGTAGTGGAGATGCTGCTGCTTCTTCTTATCCCGAGAGCTCATTGAAATTGCATGGGTCTTGAGTGGATCAGCTTCTCCCCCCTCATATGATAACCAGTGGTCTTCGTCATATTTGATCCATTGGGGAGCTGCCGACAGTCGCGAGTGCGGAGACAGGAGCGCGCCGAATTGCACCATGACGTCGCACGTACGAAGTCACGAGAGTACCCAAAAATCCTGTAAATGCGATTCGTATATTTTTGTCGATGCCTGACATCTAGATTTCCAGCACCTACCACCCGGCTCCAGCATTCGCATTCCCCCACCCATCTGCAGCCGCACTACCACCCCACGCTGTCCCAGCCTGCGGTGAATACGCCGCATCATCACCCTCGCCCCACCCTCCTCCATACCCAGCCGCGACTCCGTTCGTCTTATTGGGATTATCAAGTTTCTTCCAATCATCCTGTACCCTGTACAGTTTACGGATCAACTCATCGAACCCGCGCTCGACGATCATATTGACGGGTATTGAGCCCACGGACTGTTCGTTATTGAAAATTAGCCCTTTGTAACAGTGAAATGAACAATGAACATACCTCGACGTTCATGAAGAATTTCTTAGGTTTGGCGTTATAGTCGAACGGTTCATTTTTCTTTGCTGCGCCTTCCTCGTCCCATTCTGCGTATTTAGACGCTGGCCATTCTTTCTCAATGTCTTCCTCGTACCAGTAGTCCGTGTGTCGGAGGGCGTTATGGGGGTCGTATTCGAAGCCGACTGCGCAGACTGGTGACCACTTCGCATGTTCCTTTGCAATACCCTATGTGCAAAAATCAGTACCCAACACGAATGTGAAAGCCTTGATCATTACAAACCTTCTTCGCAATACACTTAACCCTCAACTCCTGTCCCCTCGCCAACTTACAAATCAACACACCCTTCCCTCCCTCCCCCACAACCGGCTTCCCAATATCCGTCCCATGCCTCGCCTCAACGACCAAATCCCGACTCCACACGTCCATGTTTCCGTATCCGCCTGAACAGGCCGCGTGGAGTGTTAGTGTGACGGAACAGTTTTGGCAATAGGCGTCACAGTCGCAATCGCGGGTGTATTTGGGGATCGCGGTTTCGACGTCGAGGGAGGAGAGGGGGATTAGGCCGAGGCGGTGGGCGATGAATTCGTCGGCGAGGACGGAGGTGTTGGTTTCGATTTCGACCAAGTCAATTGCTACACAAACATGTCAGCACTAATTCTTCGTATCGAGGCGCGATCCACGTACCGACTGTTGGCACCTCAGCGATCATAACTCTTCGCAGCGAATTTGCAACACTGTATGGAACACCATCAGTACCTAAATAAAGATACGTAATGGAACGCATACGCTAAATCGGTATTCTCCATCATGAACTCTACACTATCCTTCGTCACCTCCCTGATGGTGACCTTTGGCTCATCGGGATTGAAAGACATGGTCACTGTCGCGCTTGGAAGGATGCGATTGCAGCTGATCTGTTGAGAGGAAAGGAGGTGATGCGAGGAGTGGAAAGGGCTATAGGACCCAGAACTTGTTGTTTGTTCGACTGTATGACCGAGCGTCGTGTGTTGAGGCGCGTGCTGCAGACGGATGCACTCAGCCACAGCTGGGGGAAGGTGCGAAATGGAGACGAGCGTGAGACCAGTCGTAACTTGGCCGCGGAGGTCAGATATGTCGGCTATTGATTCAATATCAGAATGAATAGAAATTATAGCGCTATAGGGCTATCCAAAAAAGCCTAACAGTGCTATATGGGGTGAACTACGTACTTGATGACTTCTCTGCCTCATCTTCAGGAGCATCCTTCCCCTTCTCGTGGGCATCCTTAGCCGAATCGTCCATGTCGAGCGGAGCCTTTTCACCTTCCTCGCCAACCTTGACTTCGAGCGTGACTGCAGATGACTGAGAGTAGACACGGAGACCGACCACACCAACAGCGTTCCAGGGCCACTTCTCAATCTCGTCCTTCTCCACCTCTTCTTGGGCAGCTTCAGGCTGGTTGACAACGGTTTGACCTTCAGTGTCAGTGTCGGAATCGCTAGAATCGCTGTCTGAGTCCGAGTTGGACCCGGAGGTATCACTGACCTCTACCCGGTTAGAGGATTCGTCTCCGCTGGACCTAGCAAGCTTCGGGCGTTGGGGCTTTTGTACCTCGGCCTTCTGGTCTTCAAGCTGTGGATCCTCGGGTTCCTGGTCTCCAGCCTTGACAGCATGTGCAGACGTAGCCGTGACGGGACTAACCGGGGCTGAGACTTTGTGATATTCACTGTCGTCTTCGGGCGCAGGATCGGCGGGTTTGGTGGAGGAGGCATCCTGGCTCTCTGCAACTTCCTCCTTCTTAGATTCCCACTTGCTCTTCATGTCCGTGCCGGTCTTCTTTCCTTTCTTCCCGGCCTTCTCACGCTTCTTCTGTTGCTTCTTCGCTTGCTTTGCCAGAGCTTTCTTTTTCTTTTCCTTTTCCTGGCGCTTCAGGGCGCGTTTCTCTTCCTTCTTCGCGGCCTTGGCAGCTGCGTCCACCTTTTTCTGTTCCTCCGGTGAACGAGGCACAGGCTGACCCTTGGCATGCGCAAGGTCATAGCTCAAGCCAATCTGTATAAGCTTCGCTGGCTTCTCCCTGTACGTCAGACGTACGACCTCCTCGACTGGTTTTGGAGATGCACATTTAGTTGCGGTGACTTTGATTAGCACCGTATAAGTACCAGGCTCAAGATCAACCTCAGCGTTCACGCTGCGAGTGCTAAACATCCAGCTTTGGCTTCGCAAAATGTAGTCATCGTCGGCTTTCTTGTGCAACCTAAACTGAAGCGAGAATATATACTGGCCTTCCAATCCTTGAAAATACCGATCATCTAACTGTGACAAGACGATGACATGAGGTCCAGCCTTGCTGACAGTCATCTCAAACTTCGTACTGTGATAGTCTGCTGTCCAGGGGACCTCAATGGTCGTCCACACTTGAGTGGTCTTCCAATCGGAGTCGAAGAGGCGAGTGATATCCCATGAATCAAAGATACGAAGGAGATCTTTGTAAGACATCCAAAAGACCCCATCGTTACCAAAGCGATGGCCTAACAACTGCATCCATTCCGGCGTCCATTCCTTTGTGCCGTCCCCCCAAGGTCCAGTCCACTCAGAGTTGCCCCACGGGTTGCGCAGCAAAACCAAACGCTCTCCCTTCACCTCAACGACTTTCAGGACGGAATATGCGTGTCCCTCAAAAATCCCAGATCGGCTGTCGGCCGCGCCACTGTGTAGACAACCCGTAAAGCATCCAAAGAGATGATCTTGGTTGACTCGCAACAGGTTCTGCCAAAAGACTTCTCTGTCCAGTATGTCGTTAGTGAAGAGCGTCGTTGTTACTCCACCCGTAAGGTCCTCGATGCCCTCTCCCGTCAAGCCACCGTCAATTGCTTCATAATCTCCATGAGCTTTGGCATATGCTTTCTCGAGAAGAGGGAGCCAGGTCTCGTTTTCTTCGCCACACTGAGCAAAGTACAAGGCTTTGGAGCCCTTGAGGTTGTGCTGGCGATACCCCTCCTCACGGTCTCCAGAGCGATCGGACCAGGAGACAGCTCTCTCCCTATTGTCGTCGTTGTAATCCGGCTTCGTCAAGGCATCTTGCACAGCTTAATACACAACAGGATCAACCCATCACAGCATATGGCCAGGACTTGTTACCGCACCGCCACGGTCGACGTCGTGTGGCGCAGGATCGATAACAAAAGTCGGCAAAGACCAGCCTGAACTTCAAGGCAGCACAATGAGCTCGACAGACGCCCAGCCAGAAGTACCCAGGGTCGACAAGGATGGACAGGCTGTCATTAACCCGGCAAATGTGAAGGGTGTCCGCGTATCAGGTTCGATGCCTCGCCGCCCTCACCCCCATTGAATTATCACTGACCGAAGCAATCTCACAGGCAAACAATGGAAAATGCAAAAACAACCAACCCGAAAGTCTTCGCACACATCCTGGGACCAACGCCAAAAGGACCGTCAAACTCTCGAATCCATTAAAACCCGTGAACGCGAGTTAAAGGAAGAGCAGGAACGCGAGCGACAAGAACAGGCGGAACGCATTAGGGCAAGGAGGGCAGCGAAGGAGGAGAAGGAGAGGTATGAGTTGTTGAAGACGAAGATGCACGCCAAGAGGGTGGAGAGGTTGCGGAGACGGGAGAAGAGGAGTAAGCTGTTGAAGGAACGGTAGATGTGGTGTCTCGGCTCAAGTGGTGGAACTGGGAAAGACAATGGCTTGGTTTCGAGTTTCTTCTTTTTTTGGATTACAGCAAACGGAATGGAATCACAATACATCATCGGTTATACCCCTCAATCACATGTCCTTCCGATGGAATTCACGATTGCGAGTGAGAATGACAAATGAAGTGTGTTCGTGACTGCGACCCTAGACTGACAAGCGTGCCAGTCAACGTCAAACGTAGTCCATTCGGTGATACCGGTATCCAGTCCTTGCCACCAGTACCAACTAAACCAGACCAAAAACCCCCATACCTTTCCTTTCCTCATCATGCCTGCGAACATTCCCATCGCCCACTCATCCCCGTCATACATTACGCCTTATAAAGCGTATCAACAAACACCGTAGCCAACCTCCTCACAACACTCTTATCCGGCATCTCCGTAACCCCACTCCCATAAAGCGCCATCATACTCCCCTCACTCCCCTTCTCCCTCCCCTCCTCGTTGAGCGCCTGTACAGCATCCCTAACATCCTGTACGAGTTTATCCACAACCGGAACAGTGAGTCGCGTACACGCGATATGGAGTGCGGGGGGTGATTGCAGAGCATTGAGATGCCATCCGCGTTTGGATAGTTCGTCTCCGATTTCGTAGATGTTGAGGTCGGTGGAGGTGAATGCCACCACCGACACCAAAGGCTTTCCGATGATTTGGATACCATCAATCTCCATCAGTCCAGCCTCAACCCCCTTCGCAGCCCCCACAATCTCCTTACAACTCTCCAAATACCCCTCCTCCCCAACCCTAACCATCGCAGCCCAACACCCCGCCAACAACGCTCCAGGCCTACTCCCCGCTATACTAGGAGAGGCATACACACCTCCCGGCCAATCTGTCGAGACGAAATATTGGTATTGACGTAAGTGGTGGGAGCGGTAGAGGATTGTTGAAGTGCCTTTTGGGGCGAAGCCGTATTTGTGGGTGTCGCACGAGATGGACGTCACACCCCGGAGCCGGAAATCAAAGGGTTCGGAGGCGAATCCGGCGCGTTCGAGGAATGGAACGATAAACGATCCCAGACAACAATCAACGTGTAGTGGGATCTCGTACCGAACCGCGAGGTCGGAGAGGGCGGCGATATCGTCGATAATCCCGTGCGGGAAATTCGGTGCGGAGCCAACGAGGAGGATTGTGTTGGGGTTGATGAGTCGTCGCACATCCGCGATATTGACTTTATATGTGATGGGGTCGACATCGACGTGCCAAACCTTCACCCCGAAATAATGTCCCGCCTTATCGAATGCCGCATGTCCAGTCCTCGGAACAATCATCTCCGGCTCCCGTACACGTCTCTCAACTCTCGCCATTTCGCGTGCTCCCTTGACAGCCATCAAGATACTCTCTGTACCTCCCGATGTCATGGCGCCACCTGCTCCGTCCGGGGCGTTGAAGAGGCGAAGCACCATCGAGACGATTTCTGCTTCCATTTTGCGAACGGCGGGAAAGATGTCTGGGTGTAGGGGGTTGGAGAGGGAGAAAAGGGAGTAGGCTTCCGAAGTAAGAGTGGAAAGGTCGGAGCCGCCGTGGTAGACCGCGCCGGAAACTTGGCCAGATTGGATCTCGGACCAGGGTTTGCTGGAGAATGACAACAACGCCTGTAGTTCCTCTCTGACCTCATTCTCGGACAACCCTGATGATGGCAGTGTTTCGAAGCGGCGGAGGGTTTGGGGGTAGTTCACCAATTTCATTTCGAGCTGTTCTTTAGCGCCAGCTATCTCCGCCTCGATCTTCTTCCGTGACGAAGGTAATTTCAGCAACAACCCCCACGCCCACCGCGTCACAGCCGCATGGATATCTTTCACGGAACCGATGAGTCCACGACCGATTAGGTGGCGGTAAGCTTTCGTGGTGTAGCGGAGGAGCCAGAGCGTGAAGACCACGTTCTTTAGGAGTCCGAGGGGGTATTGAGTGCGGAGGGTGGAGATGACTCCTGACATCTTGTGGGTAGGTAAGAGGGAGTGTATGCTGTTTGATGGGTGTATTTGGTGGAGGGGTTGGATGACGTTGGATGCGGTGCAGGACGTCCATGGAGCGCGGGATCCGGAGTGCGGGTAAAGCGGCCCGACGTATGAGCACGGACATGAAGTACGGTACGGATTATACAAGGGATTTGAAGAAGAGCGGGTCTTCGCTGAAAGTGAATCCAATTGGTAAATCAAAAACGCCGATAAAATCCCAGTAATGCACAACATCGGCCCTCATCCTCTAGAACTCCGCGATCGAGCTCTCTCCGGCCATATCTTTTCCTCCTCTCATCGATCTCCCACCTCGCACCCTTTGCATTCCTCCAAATACTTATTTCCACTGCGCAACTTCCTCAACCTCATACCCCTTCGGCGGACTCCTCGCCTTCCTAATCTCCTGAATCGTCATCGGCCTCTCCGCCTCCTCGACCGTCACCAACTCCTTCACCTTCAAGATCGCACCAACGGCGGCACTGGAGACGGGTTTGTATGCGATGGACATACGCTTTCTCAAGCCGAGTGACTTCAGGACTCTAGTGGTCTTGCTAAAATCAGGCATCAGCAATCGGTCCTTGAAGGGTGATAAGGAGAGAAGGAACGTACGCTGGCAAGCCAATAGCGGAACGCACGAGCTGGAGTCTGAAGTAAGGCATCGCGTAGAGTGGAGTGGAGTGTTTGTGTTTGTGTGCTGTGTGCTCTCCTAGGAACCGCCGAGAAATCTGGATCACGTGTATGCACAGCCCTGAACCCCGCGGGTATGACGCTCGTAAGATAAACACTGACTTCCAAGAGAGAGAGAGAGAGAGAGAGAGAGGATGACTGAGGCAAGCGATCTGGCCGTTCAGAGGTGCGCCAGTAAGTTTGCATGTGCCATCGTCGCTAATATCTGTCGCACAGGATCCAAGAGCTCTTTCGCCAGCCGGACGTAAGTTTCCTCACACTCGTCGCTCTTCACGCGGACGTTCGTTGAGCAGTGCTGTGTTTAGGACCTCGATAAGATCAATGTTCTCAAGGCACGGTTTACGAGGGAGAAGAATGCTGTTGACGCACAGCTTAAGGCTGGGGTCGAGGCTCAACTCAATACGACACAGGTTGGTGAATACGAGGGTTGAGTTGTTGGGATGAATGCTCATGGTCATATGACAGGCTGGGTTGAAGAGCTTGCATGCGAGTCAAACGAACATGAACGCAATCAGGGAAGAAATGCTCAAGGTTCGTTTATCATCTGGATGCGCTGTCGTCAACGACACTGACTCCGGTGGTGCGCCAACAGATCGATAAGCTTTGTGCAGAAGCACAAGCCATGGTCCGAGATTTCCCCGTCATCAGCAAGGTAACATTACTAGCAGCAAATTCATCCAACGTTCTGCTGATGGGCCTGGTACAGATATCCCGCGTCCACAAGAACTTCAACGCAACGCAAGAAATGGTGCATAACCTCCAAAGCATGCACGACCAACTCGACCGGATTGAGGAGATGTTGAGAAATGACGGGACTGGTAAGCCCTCAATGAACCATACAATGGCGAATGCTGATGTTGGGTTCGTTGCGTGCTTACAGATATTCTCAAATCCTTACCAAGTCTGCTTGCAATTCACATGAATATATCACGTCTGCAGGATTTCCGAGATAAGGCGACTTCACTGTCACTCTCGGCTCCAGCCTCAACTCAGTCGACACTCGCTAACTACTTCGTACGGCTCGATCAACTCACGACAGAATTCACCGATCTGTTGTGGAAGATCGCAGGAGGAATGCTGGATATTCTGAAAGATGGTCGAGCCAGCGTCGTCGTTCGCGCCGCAAAAATCGTGGAAGTCGAGGAGCGGGCAGACGAGAAAGCACTTGCAATCCAAGAAGCACAGAAAGCCCATGCACAACTCGCGGCAAGAATGAGATTCGCGGCTGGCTCGACACGCGTGGTAAGGGGCTACAAAGACAAATTCTTCGCCGCGATCGCCTCGAGCGTCGCCACCAAATTCGAAATGTGCTGGAAGGACATGTGTGAAGACCCCGCCCAACTCCTCGAAGAACTCGACTGGGTCTTCGAAGACCTCGATCTCGTCCGCGAGGCACTCGTGCTCAGAGTCCCCCGGACATGGGATATCTACGAAGCATACGTACAGTTCTACCATAAAGGCATGTACGAACTCCTCAACAAACTCGTTGCGTCCGAGCCTGATGCGGCGAGTTTGTTGAAGGTTGTGGAGTATGTTAAGGAATACTACTCGACGCTTACCAAGGAGTTGGGGGTTGTGAGGGAACAACTTGTGCCACCGTTGTTGGATGGGGGTGAGGGGAGGTTGGTTGATGATTATTTGGGGTTGATTGTGAGGAAGGTGGAGGAGTGGATGTCGAACCTCGCCAAAACCGAGACGAGGGATTTCGTGGAACGAAATGAAGCGCCTGAACAGGATGAGGACGAAAAGTACCATTTGTCGGGCGCGGTGATTATGTTCCAGATGATTTCTCAGCAGATTGATCTCGCTGCCGATTCGGGACAGGGGAAAGTTCTGGCTGCGGTGGTGGAGGAGTGTGTGAGGGTCATGAAGAAGCGGCAACAAGAGTGGGAAGCATTACTCAAGGATGAGGAGAGGAAGCATCGGGAGAATGCGCAGGATGTGCCGGGTGGGTTGGTGGAGTATACCATTGCGTTAGCAAACGACCAAATTCGATGCTCGAATTACGCGGAGGCGATATCGGAACGGGTCGAGCCGCTCGTTTCGGCGAAATATGCGGAGCGGATAACGAAGGCGTTGGAGGGTGCGACGGAAGGTTACATTGACCTTGCGACACGATGTAACGATTCTCTCGTACGCCTCATCTTCAACGACGTCCGTGGTCCATTCTCCCAGTTTTTCACACCGGGGTGGTATTCCGCCTCCTCAATCGTTACGATCGTTGACACGTTTCGGGATTATACGAGTGCTGCGACGCACCTGATCCCGGAGATGTTTGAGGTGTATGTCGGAAAGCTGTTGGAGGAGTTCGTGAGGGGGTACGTGAGCGCGATCTACAACAAAGGCGCGAAATTCCGCCCACCGGGCGCGATTGAGCAGATTCGGAATGACGTCCTTGCCTCTTTCTCGTTTTTCTCGGAATACATGCCACCGGAGGAAGTCGAGCATTCGTTCCGGATTATTGAGCATGTTCTTGGGTTACTTAGTGTACCCCCGGCCGAGTTCTGGGATGAATGGGTTGGGCTGAAGAGGGAGTATCCCGATACGCCGGTGTGGTTTGTGGAGGATTTGTTGTGGAAGAGGGAGGATGTGGAGAAGAGTTCGGTGAGGAGTATGTTGGATATGATGAAGACAAGGGATGTGGGATTGAGGGAGGAGGATGTTGGGGTTAGGACTTTGATGAGTCAGGTTGAGAGGAGGTGATACAGTAGAACGCCTGATTAAGGATTTTTGGTCATGGAGTCAATTTCGAATTTCGACGATTGGCGTGCAAGCTTAAGAGTCAAGGCGACACGTCATAGTTCATTGAATTCTGTCTTGAAATCCTTTCCTCAAGCTTAAGCGCTTCATTGAATGGGATTCGCCAAAGCCCACTTCCTCATCTGCTCAGCACATCCCCACGGTACCACGAATACCGGATGCACCATCTTCACCTTATCCTCCTTCCTAACCTCAATCCCATCCTCCTTCCTCGTCCCCTCCGCGGCCCACGCGAACGCATTCCCAAGATCCATCCCGATCCCAACACCACGGTACGTGTACTTGTACTGTGCCGCCGACAACCCACTCAGTACGTAGCAGGAGTGGTAGTGGTCAGGCCACTTCTCGGGTTTATCGCGGAGTCCACCGTTTTTGTGTTGGCAGCATGCGAGGATATACTTCTGTAACTCTCCACGATCCCAGAGTGGACGTTGGAGTTTCGAAGCAGGAATTGCGGCTTCGACGAGAGCCCAGCAGCCGCCTACCCACCATGAATAGCAGCCATCGACGAGTTTGTTGGTACGGCCGGATAGACCGCCTTCGGGGGAGTACTGTCTCGCTGACAGCCAGCGGACGAGGTTGCTGAAGTTGAGGTACTTGGGCAAGACTTCGGATGGAGGGCCGAGCAGGCAGAGAGAGGCGAGGACGCAGAATGCGTAACCACCGTGGGCCTCTGCGCCAGGGACACCCGCGAGACCACCTTCGTATGTCTGGCATCGACTCAGCCATTCGGCGCAGCCGCGAGTGAGTTCGGGTGTGGTGAGGTTGAGCAATGAGGCGATTGACAATGCGCAGTACATCGCTCGACTATCGTTCTCGCCGCCGTAGAGCATGAGGAAGGAGCCATCTTCCTGCTTGAGTGACATCAACCAGGAATACATCGCTTTCCGATCAACGATCTCATACGCCTCCTCACCACCCACAATAGCAAGTGCGTTGATTGCGGCATAGGTTGGCGCAAGGTGTGCCAACTGTCCATCACCACCACCGAAGCCACCATCAGGGTGTTGACATGAACGGAGGGAGGAGATAAGTCGGTCGCGGTAGATGGAGATGTCGCCTCCGAGGAGTGCCATAGCGTTCAGGGTCCAGTACATGATCCATGGGCGGGATGCGTCAAGCATGACCATGTAGTCTGGGAGTTCGTCTAGACCACCTTGAAGCCAGTCGAGGTGGTTTTCCCGATCGAGGAGGGGCATTTGGGAAAGGGAAAGGTAAGGTTCGCAGGCGCGTTCAGTTTCATCCTGCTTCAAGTATTGGTATACAATTTCTCGCTGGCAGGGGGTTGACAAACCTGCTGTTCCGACGTCAAGGTCACCAACCCATCCTTGATCCGTCCATCAGTAATCTCAACAGCCATGATTCTGGGTGCGTCGTCTCGTATTCTCCGGTTCTTATGGTTGAATCTGACTTTTGGTCTGTGCATCCTGGTTATACACGGCAGCCTCCCTTTGGTGTATGGACAATACCCGGGGAACAATATGGTGGTCATTAAGGTGTGCTGAGCCACACCAGCCACGCCAAATGAGGAAAGACTTCGTATGAGACTAAATCATACATTACGTACCGCCAGCAGATCTGAAGCAAATACTGTCCTGAGCAACAACACTTTATCTCCCAGCAATCTTGCCCAATATCTGTGTATAGTTTTGCTGCAACTGTTAGGCGTCTGTCAGTTACCAAGAACGAATGCGAAATGACTGGACCACCCAACCTGCTGTTCCAATAGTCCTCCATCCCTGACAAACCGACACACACTCAACGCGTACTCACACCACTTATTACAACCCCCGGCATCTCCCGCACACCACAAATCAATCGCGTGATTCCACAACTTACCGGCTAACCAGTGCACCTCGTCTCCGGGATATTTCTCTTCATTCTCCCGGATCATCTGAAGGACTTGGGGGATCATCTGTTCCGCAGTCTCGTGATTCTTCGTAAGTGCAATCGATATCAGACATCGGATCCAGCGGGAGAGTTTGGCAATATCTGGATCTGCGTTCCGGATTGTCGCGCCAAGGAGGGCCTATGTGTCTGTCAGCTCTCGATCCGGTCAAGAATTGTATCTCCATCAAAGCGCAAGCAGACCTGCATGGTAACCAGTGTCACAGAACTCGGCGCGTTCTCCGTTAATATAATATCCACCATACACTCATACATCCTCAACGGACACTCTACCGCCTCAGCCTCCTGTATCTCAGGTCATCAGCATTAGCATAAAACCAAAGGGCTACCCACAAGTTACCTCGATGATTCCGCTCAAATCTTCCCACAAACCCTCTTTCGCAATGGCCTCGAATTCCAACATTAGCACAATAGCATACTTCACTGCGAACTCCCCTCCAGCGGCCGAAACTCCTTGCTCTAACATTTCCTCCTTCTGCATCGACCCGCGAAGTTGTCGGAGGGCTTTGGCATGAGTACGTGCAGCTGCGAAATGCGATTTCTATACAAGCATCAGCATCACCGTCAAAGGAGTTAACCAACGTTGTACCTGAATGTCGATGTTGTCCTCTTTCCGACCGAGGAATGTGAGTGCACAAACACAGGTGTACAGACACAAGAACTGTCGTCCGAGCATCTCCTTACGCGCTTCGGTATCCATATCGGCGGGGTACAAATTCAGAAACTGCACAAAAGCCGTAATCAGAATCATCAGTCAATAGGTCCTGCTGTCTTGCTTTTTTCACCTGTAATAACGTCGACAATCAGCGAAACGTATAACGAATACATTCGATATTTATTACCTTCATGCACACCTCCGCCAACCGAACCACAGACTCCGAAGGCCATGCGGTACACCCCTTCACCGCAAAATTAAACGCATTCTTCGAAAACCAATCAAGTTCCTTCAAATCAAACTGCTGACTCCTCTGACCATCAGGCTTCTGCCTCGCCTGTTTCGCATACACCGCCGCTGTCAGAGTTTTCGTCAGTTTCACATCCGTTGTTTGTTTCTACTGTTGCTCTGACCTGTTTCGAAATGCTCACAAAGTTGCCCCACATCATTCATCCCCACTGTCGTCAACTTGTCCAACTCACCCTCCGTTAACCTGATGACACACCTCAACAACGCACTGGTCCTCACAGCACCAACATCACCCAACCCACTCCTGACTTTCTCCAACACTAGCCTCAGCGCTTTGAGTGCGACCTTCTGCTGCCCCATCTCTTGTGAGTCGAGGGCGCAGGTGTATAGCATCTGTGGTGTGAAGCCGGGAGCGGTGTAGAGGTTCGTGAGAGTCTGTAAAGCAAGAGACTCATCCTGCGAACCAAGTGCGAGCCGTAAAAGGAGAAACTGTGACATAGCCTCCGACTGGATTGCTGGCGAGAGCTGTGAGAATATCTCGCGTGCTGGACCATACTGACGAAGCTCGAGGTAGGAAAGGATGATACGTCTGTGTGATGAATGTCAGCTTATTCGTAAGTTCACGAAACACTCTCCGCACCTTGCAATCTTGGCCTCATTTGACTCTCCAGCTCCCCTAAACACCGGGTGCCTCGCCGCCTCACACCACTTAATCGTTGCCCCATAATCACCCTTCGCAAAGAGAACCTCGCTGACTTTCCACAATAACTGTCTTACGTGTCAGCCAAGCACCAAGGGCTCGTTGAACGAAAAATACGATTTGCCCAGCGTGCATCGCTTTCCCACTCATCGCTTTCCCACACCCCCTCTCGACACAATCCAAGACTTCGAGTACGCCTCGAACGCACTCCTGGTCACACTCTTTTGAATCCTTGGCGGTTACCCAGAGTCTGGTGATGAGTGTTTGTTCGATCCATTCGGCGTTGTCTGTCAACAGTAAACGCTTAAGAAGGGTGTCGAGAGCTGCGATGGCGAGGATTGGGGAGCGTGAGACGAGATTGTGAACCTTTGAGATGATGGAGGGGAAGGAATGCGCTGTTAGTGGTATTAGGTCGATCATAGATACAAGTTCTGTATGTCAGTCTGTCAGTTCCGTCGGGACGGGGAAGCTATAACACCCTTGGCATACCGTCATGATAAGCCTTCGCATCCCCACCCTCCTTCTGCACCAACTCCAATTTGAGTAAGAACGTCCACTGGCTCGTCGGAAAAGCCTGTGCCCGAGTCAGCATCATGATTAGCAACTTCACCGCTGGTATAAAACCTCGGCAATCTGCCCAACAACCATCCTAGCCCTCTCTCCATCCCCCCCATCCCCCCTCCTTAAATAGGCTTTCGCAAGATTATGCATAACCCCACCCTTCAACTCCTGCCCCTCCTCACTCAACCTCTCCTCCTCCCTCATCAACAAATCATAACTTCTTCTCAACCACTTAATTCCCTCGTTTTTGTCTGCTTGGTTTGAGGCGTTACGGATGAGATCGGTGCCAATGGTAAAGGTTGTGGAAGCGATGGATTCGAGGGTGTGGGTGGGGAGGTGGGGGAGGAGTTCGGGCGTGGTGGATTTGGAGTACATGTACTCACCCACCCCGGCGTTTCCTTGTCTTATCGCCAATCGAGCCCGTAGCACGAAGAATTCGGAGGAAGACCTCGCATGCTCCGCCTCCAAGCTTCCGCCTTTGGGAGCGAGAGAGAGATCTCGTTGGAATGCGGCTCCACGTTCGAGGATCTTGGTGGCGAGGGAGAGGGCGTTTGAGTCCAAACAAGCCCTCGCAGCTTTATTCGCGATTTTGAGGATGCGGAAAGCGCCTGCAAAACAGAATTGTCAGCAGCGTACGAAGACAGTTCTGGCAGATCCACCTCACCTTCTGTATCTTTTCCGGTACTTTCGCGCCGGCCGGATTCGATGAAGAGGTAGGCGACGACGCGTACTTTAGACATCCTCATATCAGCATACATCGCACACTGGACATTCGACATGTCTACATACATAGACAAGCGACCTTTTTGTCAACGTTCTCGTTCCTCGCAATCTTCGTACTCAAGTTCCACAATTCGGTCCCTGTACCGCAGCAACCCTGTCAGCACCCATCACCGCGCATACACCCCCGCAAACACCCGTGTGAATTTCTTACCGAGTCCATCCATCTCATCCGCGAACCCCCACTCCTTCAACTTGCCCTGCAAACTCAGAAACTCCTCTAGTACAGGCACAAAACCCTCCAACCTTGTCTTCATATGACTTTGTTCATCGGCGGAAAGGGGTGTAGTTGGGGAGGAGGATGTGAAGCGGTGGAGGATGTCGGATGCGGTTTCTGTAAAACTTGTGGTCAGCAAGAGAACATCCAGCCGACCACGTTTTTTACTTTTGATCATTTCTCCTCGCTGCTTAAACGTCGTAACACCAGCAGCTCCCCCTGAATGCCCCCTACCCCCATTCCTCTCCGGGAAAGTCACGTCGAAGCCGACGTTGCGAGGATGGATGTCGTCTCTACCCTCACTTCCACGTTTTCGACCACCGATTACCAGCTCAGCCATCAGAAAAGTTGGTCAAGATGGAGATTGGAGTAGGGGGTGACGAGAAAGGCGTGTGGGAAATCAAAGTTGGAGCGGGATGCAAGGTCGACGCACCCCGGATCCCGCTCGGGCCTCCTCGACGAAATCCTGAACACCAAATACAGTCGACGATAGAACGCAATGGTGAAGATGATACTGCTACGACTGTTGATGGTCTTTGTGATGGCGGGTTTGGTGCTCGCAAATACCGAGAAAACCATCTTCGTCGCCATCGACCACGCCCCGAATCAGAAACACCACGACAACCGTCCGGTGGTGAAGCCAAACATCCCGCTCCGAGTCCACCTCGACCGCGAAGACTGGACCGTACAAGACGGTGCCGAACTGTGGTACACCCTCGACACAACCCCAGGAACACGTTACGAAGTCCGCGTATGCTGGCCCGCAACCGTAAGCACTCTCCACTCCCCTCAATTCCCCTCCTCCCACTAACCATCGTGCACAGACCCCCACTGACTTCCACTTCTCCCTCAGCAACAACGAAGCGCTGAGAATACAAGCGATACCCTCCTACCGCTCTTACCTCCCCACCTACTCCCTCTCCCCACCTCCACTGGATTTCGATATCATCCTCGATCCCTTTCTGTGGGGTATGATACCGAGGAGTTTGCTGGGTACGTTGGGGTGGGTTGTGGCGGTTGTGGGGGTTAGTGTTTGGGTTAGTGTGAGGGTGGTGTGGAGACTGCTGAAGAGCGTGGTACGCGAAAGAGAGAAGGTGGAGTGAACGCATCTCGAATTGGCCAGGAACATCAAAGGGTATATTGGGTTATGTATGCTAAAGAACGTGACGGCTGATGCTGGCGTATCGCGTCGTTTTGGGTTACTGCTTCTGCCCGATCGCAATGAAAATACTCATTGGGTGCCCGCCCTTATCGCCCGGGACATCAGGGTGCTCATCCCTGCCCTCCTCCGCCTCCGCCTCTTTCTCTTTCTCCTCATGTTTGTGTTCGAGCTTGTGGCCATGGCCATCGTGGGGACCGTTATGATTCCCACCCTTTCCGTGGCTATGTCCATGCGCATGCCCGTGCCCGTGCCCATGTCCATCCCCATGCGAATGGCCACCAGCACCACTTCCATGACTATGACCATCTCCACTCTCATGCCCATGGGAGTGACCGTGAGTCTGTTTACACCCAGCCCCCCTAACCCTGATCTTAAACCTCAACCTCTCCTCCACCACAACCCCCCCTAACCCCGCCTCTCGCATAACCCTCCTAACCTCCTCCACCTCCAACCCCCCCACATGACTCACCACTTCCTTAATATCCTCATTCCGCTGAAAAGCCCGCACAGTATCCGGAGTCCGGGCAATGTCGGCAACGATGAGGTACCCAGAGGGTTTGAGGTAAGACGTCAAGACTTGTGTTGCGTGCGAGATGGAGTGGAAGTGGTGGTATGACATGCTGCACACAACAACATCAAAACTCCCCTTCCCCACGCCCTGCTCCGGCTTCTCCCCTTCATCGCCCAAGCTTAAGAGGTCAGCGCAGACTCCACGCATATCAGAGGCCTCCAACCCCTGTTCCCACACCCGCCGATTATAGACCTCAATACTCCGCGCACTCGTATCAACACCTACGATCTCCTTCGCGTGTGGTGTGAGACATTGACTCAATAACCCAACACCACACGCGAAATCGAGGATTCGGGTGGAGGATTCGGTGAATGTGGGGGAGGGAATGGAGGGGGAGGTTAGGATTGTAGTGGAGATGAGGCGGGCGAGGTGGAGTTTGGAGGGGTCGAGGGCGTAGGTAGTGGCTTCTTTGTCGTAGTAGTCGGCGTTTTTTTGGGTCAAGTCGGCTGCTGGATTGGGCATGATGGATGAGGAGGGGGGTGGATGGGGCCCTGTAACGTTGACTGATCTCCCCGCGGTTTGGCGCGAGGCCTGCAATCTTCACGAGCGCACCGTCCTCGAGCCTTATCTCAACGTGATCCCAATACAAGTAACAACGATTACAGCTGCTGTAGAGATCAAACATTCAAACAGCATGGCCGACCAACAACAATCCTACCAACAGCAGCAGCAGCCGCCAGCAGATCACCAACAACAACAACAGCAACAGGATGACAAAAAGCCCAAACGCAGAAAGGTCAACCACGCCTGCGTCTACTGCCGCCGCTCACACATGACCTGCGACTCAGCACGCCCTTGCTCACGCTGCGTAAAACGAAACATCGGACACCTCTGCCACGACGAAGTCAAAGACACACCGCCCAAAACCGGCGGGCGGACGAAAATCCTGGATCAACAACACCACCAGCATGTACAGCAACCACAACTCGTGGGTGGTGGTGGGATGGAAGCACAGATGGCAGGAACGCAGTCACCCGGAGCAGGACCAGGGACGGGTGTAGAGGGGTTGGATCTGAGTATGATCCCCGGAGCCCAAACACCAGGTCCGGGATTCAACCCACTCGCATTTGGACAAACACCCTATCCCTTCCCCCAAACACCATTCACCTTCGCCTCCGAATACGCCGGTGGAGAATCAAACGTCCTGAACGACTTTTTGTCCATGATCGAAGACCCAACGACAAACACCGTTTCCGCAACCGATCCCTCGAGTCTAGCCATGACGACGCAAGCTCAGGCTGATGCCGCGGAAATTGCGGCGAAAGAAAAGTTTTTCTTGACGGCTTCTGATCCCTCTGATGCGTCGCCCGAAGATCGGCTCAAGCAGGTGATTAACGCAAAATTGGAGGCGGGGTTCTTGAAGCCTTTTAATTATGTGAAAGGGTATGCCCGGCTTCAGAAATACATGGAATCTCACATGTCACCACCCTCCCACCACCGAATCCTCGTCCCCCTCCAACGCTTCCGTCCGGCATTCCGCGCCGTGGCCCAAAGTCTCACAGACGTCGATTTAATTCTCGTCGAAGAAGCGTTCGAGAGGTTATTGTTGGATTACGATAGGGTATTTACGAGTATCTCCGTCCCGGCATGTCTGTGGCGACGCACAGGCGAGATCTTCCGCGGAAACAAGGAGTTTGCGCAGTTAATCGGCGTACCAGTCGAAATGCTACGGGATGGCCGACTCGCTATCTATGAGTTGATGGCGGAAGATTCGGCGGTCAATTATTGGGAGAAGTATGGGAATATCGCGTTTGATGGCGGTCAGAAAGCTGTGTTGACGAGCTGTATTTTGAAGACGAATCAAGGACAAGGACAGGGAGCAGGGGGGGCGAATGGAGCACAGGCGGGGGTGTTGAGTTGTTGTTTTTCGTTTACAATTCGAAGGGATAGATATAATATCCCGTCGTGTATTATCGGGAACTTTATCCCGATAAATTTGACGTCGATGTGAGAGCGGAGGGGTGAAGATATCAGCTGGGTTTATGGGATGGATAGGTTTAAATTTGTTTTTGGAGTTTAGCGATGGATTCATTGGGTTTACCGAGAAGCTTAACATATTTGAAGAGCATAGGTGTAGTAATCATGATCATGATCAACTTTTTGGATTACTCTAATGCCATACCTAATCCTACGCGTACGAAGACGCGAAAAAACATCAAATACAAACCCAGAACGCCGTAGTAAAGAGTCAAAGAACACGAAATGCACCTTCTTCCACCAAACCAACACCCATTCCCCTATCCGCGACACCCATCCTACCGTGTCATACAAGATCGAGTTTACCCCTCTAACTCCTCCTCATCATACCCATCCAAACTATCCCTCCGTGCAAACCCACCTCCACCGCCTTCCTTATTAACTTCATCGCACGCATCAATCCACTACAAAACGAAGTCCATTAGCACCTGACCCACTCGTCCTCCTCTCGAGTGCACTCACATCACTATAAACATCAACCGCATCACTCAAATGCGTAATCCCAGTCTGAAATGCCTGATGACAATTCGTACACCGGATCGTTCCAACATTCGCTTTTTTATCCAGTTTGCAGATGACGGAGTTGTCTTGGTTGCAGAAGAGGCAGTTGAAGGTTTGTGAGAGTTTTTCTTTGGGGGCGGATTTGGGTTTTGCGGCTTTGGAGCGTTTGCCCATTGTTTCAAGGTTGTTATTGAGGAGGTGTTTGTTAGGTGTGCTGGAAGACGCGTTTTGGAAGTTGGACGTCACATGCAGCCGGCTGCCGAATTCGAACCTGCGCTGCCGGCATGGGAGCCATGAGAGGGACGTTGGTAGCAACAAGCAATGATATATTGAGTATCTCAGCATTGCAAATATACCATAACTCCGCGCGTACTTAGCAAGCGAATGCCTCAACTTCTCGCCTACAGCTGCAGCTAATCCCCCAACATAGCCAAAGTCTCAACCGCCATCCTAACCTTCTCAACCCCATACTCCTCCGACAAAAAACACATCGCACGCTCCTTCTTCGGCAACATATTCATCAACTGCAACAACTCAGTCATATTCTGCTGCGTGACCTTGCTGATTAACTCCAACCACTTCTCATCAGCTGCGGCGATGGTCTTGTTCTCAGTAGGTTGAGGACGATATTTGGCGCCGGGCATCTCGGGGGTGATGGGGGCGTTGACGAGGGGGTGACCAGCCGGGGCACCCGTGTATGCCCCCGTACCTCCCGTGTTCGTCGTCTGTGGCGGACTGCGGCGCTGGTGATGAGCATGGTGTTGAGGAAGCGGATACCCCATCCTCAGCGGCACTGTATTCGTAGCATTACTCATGTAATTCGGGAACGGACTCGCCTGCAAACCTTGCCCTTGAACATGACCTTGAGCCTGAAACATATGTGCCCAAGCCTGAGCCTGTGCAGCTTGCTGAAACGCTTTCTGTACGGACATAGCGATAGCCATCGCCTGACTCGCCTGGTACTGACTCCACACAGCCTGATTCTGTGGGCTCAATCCCGTCTGCACAGCTCCCATCCCTGACACTCCGACCGACGCTGAGGCTGCGCGGGAACGAACCTCATACGCCTGCGCATCCCCAATGGTCTGCTCAGTCTCCGGTTTATCCTCGATCTTGACGTTCGTGTCAGCGAAGGGGCGAGCGGCGAGGAGCATGTCAATATCCAACCCCTTCCCCCTCGCAACCCCAATCGCAATTACCGGCCTCGAATCTCCCTTCCCAACCCTCTCCACACTCATCCCCTCCCCCTCCTCCCCTTCCTCACCTCCCGTCCGCGCGAACTTCCTCACCGCCTCCTCCGCCAATTTCTCCGATTCGAGCCACACGTATCCGAAGCCGCGGGAGACACCAGTGCGCGGGTCAGACACAACGAGGGCGTCAAAGACCCCGCGCGAACCGAGACGGTAATAGAAGATGTCGCCGAGCATGTCGTCAGTGAAGGTTGGTGCGAGGCCGCGGACGAGGATGGGATGGCCGCGGCAAGGGCCATCGTTGTTTGCAAGGGGACTGGTGGGCATGAAATCCTCGAAACCCACGGAGACAGGAGAAATTGCCGCAGGCTGTGTCATGGATGGCTTTTGATGCGGTAATGCGACCACATCCATTTCCTTTCCGCGCTGCTGCCACCGCTGTTGATGCAGCTTACCCCCCGGGCCCTTCTTCTTCGAAGGAAGCGGCAACTGCCTCGGCTCATCGTCATCCGGCGTCAACAACTGCCCAATCCCCTTGATGTACTTCCCATTAACCCGGTCATCAACAAACGTCCATCTCCCCTTCACCTTCTTCTTCGGTGGCTTACTAACGCCGCTCTCGTCGCTTTCCGGTCCATTGTGCGCCGTAACGGGAGCAGGGGCTGTAGACCAAGTGTCCGATTCGTGATCGGCGGTTTCGTCCTTCGGAGCCGGTGCCGTCCATGGGTCTGGGGCGTCGGCGTGCATCTCCTCGTCGATGTCCCAGGAGGAGGGGGCGAATGTGTCTATGGACATGTGTTCGGACCAATCGGTCTTCGTGGCTTCGGCGGGATTGTCTTCCACCTCCCAGTTGGTGGCAGCAGCAGCAGGCTGAAGGATGGGTGCAGACGCTTGCTGAACAGGAGGAGGCTGGGAAAGTATAGACTGCGAAGGCAACGGCTTGAACCCCTGCCCCCTCTTCCCACCCTTCCTCGCGTCATACATCGGCTGATAGGGACGACGGGGCGTCCCCCCCGGACTCCTCTCCGGCACGCTCAACGGACCACGAGCCTTGTCCTCGCCCTCCTCCTGCTCCGACGGCGAGGTAACTTGGACGATAGGCGCAGGACGTACAAACTCGGGAGAAGGCGCATTCTCACGCGTAAAGTCCAGTTCCTCCGTATTAGGGACTTCTTCACCGGGAATAGTGATCAAGGCAGCACGGAGACGCGCACGGACGATATCCATACAATCCGTACCCGCCAATAACTCCTCGCTATCGGGGTTGTCCCATGTGTGTGTACTACCTAGAGAATCCGAAAAAGGGTACGCGCTCATGCTCATATCACCATACGGCACCTCGTCGACACTTTTCAAAGGAGGAGAGAATGGGGGCATATCCATGTCTTCGCCATTCGTGCTGCCACCCCAGGTCCCGTCGAGGCTTTGGCATGGACTGGCCATGCTTGAGAGCGCATGGATGTCAAGACCCACGACAGACTGGGCATGGAAAGAGCGAAGAGTCACCTTATGAGGTTCAGCAACAGGAAGCTTGTTCGGCGTCGTAGCCACACTCGGACCTCTCACTTGTCCAACAGAGGCCTGTGCGTTGAGCACAGCCCGATTCGCAGCAGCGCGATTCGCAGCAGCGAGACGATTCGCGGAAGCAGTGGCCCAAATACAGTTCGCCGCGGCTATTTGTTCGGGGGTGGGTTGCGGGATAATGTGGCAAGCAGGGACGAACGCGGGACGTTCGGCGTTGAAAGTGAAGGCGGAGGCCGCGGTCTGGCGATTTCGGGGTGAGGGTGTGATTTTGTGGACGGTGATGGTGGTGCCGGGGCTTCCGATAAGTTTACCGTTGAATGCTTCCACAGCTTTGGTGGCGGCTTCGGAGGTGGAGAACGCGACGGTAGCAGACCTCGTCCCATCTTTCCTAACGTCGACGACGCAGGAGGTTATATGCCCCGCCTCTTCAAACTCACGACAAAGATAAAGAGCAGTGGTAGTGGCAGGCAATGCTCCAACCTGCACCTTCCACGACTCCGCGAACGCCAATGCTTTGTAGGTCGTCACAAGAACCGGCTGCTCCTCGACGTTCGGAATCTCAATGTGCGTGACATTGGCGTAATACTTGAATGCATCGTCGGCGGAGTTAAATAGGAGTTGAGCAACCGCGTTTGGAGAGGGACGGTTGTTGTCGTCATACTTGATACAGACGAATGAATGCTCCTTGGGGAGAGCGTTCTCGAGGTCTTCCTTGCTAACGAACTTGGGGAGGGCGCTGCCGAGGAGGTAAAGACTCTTTGTTTGAGTCACTTCGAAGTACCCGTAGACGCAGAGGTGCGTATTAGGCATACTGGTGTCGAGATGCTTGGAGATAGTAGTCGAAGCTCTTGAAGGAGAAGAGAGTGAAGTGGGAGGCCCTTAAGGAAGTCGAAGTCGAAGTCGAGGAAGTGAGGTGGGAGAATGTAGAAAAGGAGATAGACCCAGGCCTTGAATGCCTTACCCCTGAGAACGATCATCGTCGATATCGCTATGGCTGTTACAAATGTAGAAGCTCGAGCGTTGGAAGAACCTTCTGTCTTGTGTGGGGATCTCCGGAATTAAGGGGGCCTGGGAGGCTCATACATGGGGAGGACCAAGCTGCTCCTTCATCGAAGAACGTATCGGAGTTCGACGAGAGATGATTATAACGAATCATATGCACACCTCTTCATCGAAACGCTGTGTATCGTGATGGCCATATCAGATTCCCGGGACGCGCACCCATCCCTTCTCATGACATACCGGTATACATTGACATCGATCGTGAGCACTGCCGTCGTTGAGACCAAACCATATAACTGAACAACTCCAACCCATGTCGTTGCAACCGATAGACCTCTGCAGTCGAGCTGGAAAGTAAACCTTCTGTCTCATAACAGCTGCTCAAGTCAACCCTGATATCGGTACGCCGCGTATGCTTATCCCCCAGTCCCTCGCCCTGTCAGTAGTCCGCCTACACGTGCCGCTACCTATCTATAACCTGAATTTTTTGCCGTCGACCACACCACCACACCACCATTCCCATCAAAGATATCAAAAATGTTCCGTTCAATTATCCCTGTCGCCCTCCGCTCCATTCGCGTTGCCCGTCCCTTCCAGGCCGTTGCCGTCGCTCGCGTCGCTCGCCCCTTCTCCACCACCTTCGTCCGTTTGAACGAGTACTCCGAGTCTGCCCCTGTCCAGGCCGAGTCAGCCGCCACCAAGAACAACAAGCTCTTCGTGACCAACATTCCTTTCACTGCTTCTGAGGAGGAACTCCTCAGTATCTTGGGTGCTTCCGAAATCAAACTCTTCCGCGACCAGTACGGTCGTTCCAGGGGGTACTCACGCTTTTTTTTGGTAGTCTTGTTCAAAGTCACTAACTGTGGTTGTACAGTCTCGCCACTGCCGAGTACGAGTCCGTAGAGGCGGCCGAGGAGGCTTTGCAGGGCTTCCAGACAAACGGTCTTCAAATCTCCGAGCGTAACATCTTCATCAGGTTCCACGACGAGAACGCTCCCAAGCGCGAGCGTTTCCCGCGTCGTGAGGGCGGTTACCAGGCTCGTGAGGGCGGTTACCAGGGTCGTAGCGAGGGCGGTTACCAGGGTCGTCGTGAAGGCGGTTACCAGGGTCGTCGCGAAGGCGGTCACCAGGGTGGGCGACGTGAGGGCGGTTACGGACGTGGACGTCAGGAGCTTGGTGAGGACTTCTAAGGGATTGAGTATGGTTTGAAGCGTGATATGTAATACCCTTTCTCGGTTTTCGTTATCTCTTTGTATTCTACACTGGCTGGAAATGGGTGAGGATGTACGATTCCCTGGTCAATTTAAAAGCACTGGTTGCGGTCTGTTCTTCTTATTTTGCGAGACATCATCCTGTGAATCATTGAGCATATCATCCCTGGTCTTTGTGGCACTGGAATTGGAAGACGTGGACATGATTGTAACGCGGGAAGGTATAATTCAGGGTATCATCTCGGGTCTATCAATCGCCCGAACAATCTCAAAGCAGTAAGAAACGCCGCAACAACATACTGTTAATCCAGCAAACCAACCCACACACACTCTCCACCCCCCTCAATTATCCTTCATCATCTCATCCACCAATTCCCTCAATGGCTCAAACTCCTTCTCCCCCACAACCCCAAACTCCCTACAAAAACACACAAAATGCTTCAGCCCCGTATTCAAATGGGCCTCCAACCCCAACTCCCGAACGACCGCATAATGCTCCCAATAAATATGCGCATACACCCTAAACAACCTCCTCAACACCGCACTCACTTCGTCCCTGAAGTTTCGGGGAAATGGGATACCCGGTTTTTGAGGAAAGATGAGGGGGTTGTCGAGGAGGGATTGGGTACGGGTAAAGAGGAGGTCGATGTAGGTTGAGGCGGGGAGGGAGGTCGGGGAGGGGTAGTTTGGAGGGTCGTGCCAGAGGTATTCGTGGGTTGGGCCGGCGGACATCATTGGGCAGGATGTAGGGGTGCAGAATTCGGTTATGGTGCCGTAAAGCATGTTTATTTGTTGAAAGAAGTCGACGGCTGGATCGATAGTTAGCATTTTGTAGTGGGGGTTGAGGGGAAAAAGGGGGTAAGACGTGCTGTTGACAGCCAACCACTCATTCAGATCTTCGCCTTCTGGGAGCTGAACAGCTTTCTTCAGGTTACCGCTTCCAAGAGTAGCTTCTGCGAGCCTTCGTAGCTGGAATGACTTCGAGACAGGCTCATTCGCTTTGGAGTTGACGGGTTTGCGGGAGCTTCATAGCGATATCTGTAAGCCCCTGTACGACAAGGAGGGACTGGGAGAGAAGAGCACTCACAGACTGAACATGGTAGAGAAACACTGAGTTCGGACGACGGAGCAGGAGTTTCGGAAGGTGTATAGAGGGTGTTGACTGGGAGCTGGACTTCACGGAGGTGCTTTGTTTATATTGCCAGGGGCCGTTGTCAGGGCGTGGGCTTACGACGTCACGGCGACAAGGCTCACAACCCAGCATACAACCACCGGCAGTAGACAAGATCAACTTCACAATGCCGGAGCAAAAACAGATCACGATCCTAGGTTCCCTAAACATGGACCTCGTCATGCTCACTCCCCGTGTCCCATCTGCTGGGGAGACCCTAGCCGGCACAGACTTCCATACCGGCCCAGGCGGTAAAGGTGCCAACCAAGCTGTCGCTACAGCAAGATTAGCAGGCCCGGACGTGAAAGTGAACATGATTGGACGAGTGGGTGGGGATGCATTTGGTGGAGAATTGGTCAATGCGCTGAAGAAGGACGGTGTGGACACAAATGCCGTGTCAGTGGACCAGAATACCACAAGTGGGGTAGCATTGATCCTCGTGGAGGAGTCGTCGGGGCAGAACCGGATTATTCTCAACCCTGCAGCAAACTTCACTCTCACACCTGACCTCCTCTCGAAGCACTACGATGTCATTTCCCGGTCCTCACTTCTGCTGACACAACTTGAGACCCCGATGGAGACAATCCTCGACGGTCTACGATACGCACACGAGAACGGTCTAACTACGGTCCTAAACCCTGCACCTGCACCGGCCAAGGGTGCAATTCCTCGCGAAGCATTCGCGTGGATCGACTACCTCGTCCCCAACGAGACTGAAGCTGCTCTCCTCACCGGGAGGTCGGAGATCAGTACTGTCGAGGAAGCAAAGGAAGCTGCAAAGAAGTTGTTGGAGTATGGTGTGAGGAAGGCTGTTATCGTGACGTTGGGACACCAAGGCGCCTTGATCCTGACCCGTGAGGACCCAGAGTCAGCAATTCATGTTCCGGCACTGAAGCTTGGGCCGGGTGAGGTTGTTGATACGACTGCAGCAGGCGATTGTTTCCTCGGCGGAGTAGCGGTCAAGCTCGCAGAAGGTGCTACGCTGAAAGAAGCGATTGAGTACGGAGTGAGAGCGTCAGGGAAATCAGTACAGAAACGCGGTGCGATGTCGAGTTTGCCGAAGAGGGATGAAGTTGATGGATCGCAGAGACGAGGTTCGCTCACCATACAAGAGTAGGTGAAGCCTACTCGGCACTCCTTCTTTATTCGTTCACTAACCCTATGCAATTCTAGACCTCTAAAACGGACACATTCAACATCGATGCTCCTCACACCCACCTCCCACCTCCCCTCCACTCTCCTCCCACCCTTCTACTCCCGTCCACCCTCCCCCCTTGGCATCTCCCGCACCCCAACCCCTGACCCAACAAACACACTGCCCTCCGACACCCTCGCCCGCACAACGCCCCTAACCTCCCAAGCCCCCCGCCCTTCAACAGAATACTATGGTTTCGTACTCTACCTCCTCTCATCTCTCTCACTCCTCCTTTGGCTTTTGTGGAGCTTTACCCCGAGTCCATGGCTAGAGGGAATTGGAATAACGTATTTTCCGGATCGGTGGTGGGCGTTGGCACTGCCTAGTTGGGCTGTGGTTGGGGTTGGGTGGGTTTATGTGGCGTTGTACGGGTGGAATACGAGGGTTCCAGGGATGGAGAGTGCGGGGTGGGTTGTAGATGGGTATGGGATTGTTGGTGCGAGCGGTAGTGCAAGCCCTGGTGGTGGTGGAGGAGGTACAGCGGGGAAGGACAGGGATGCGGTTGTGGATTTGCCGGTGGGGGAGATTTGTGAAATTTTGTATGGGAATGGGAGGGGGGACGACGATATAGATGATAGGATAGGGGATGAATAAAACGAGCTGGGCTGTCTCTGAACTTTCGTTTTTGGTTGCTTGACTTTTTAATCTTCTCAATTGCTTCTCGTACGCGTCTCGCGGATCGCGCGGGAAGGGAGTGTATCTTGGAACTCGAGTCCACGCAGCTGTGCCCAGTTATCAAGGTTGTCATTTAGATTTCAGTAAAAAATAACAGCACCGCCTTTTCTGCTGCTGCTGGAGGACAAAATTGCGAGAAAGTTACGTCTTCTGGCCAAACGCGATCGCTCGAATTTCTCTCCCACGCTTCTTCCAATCGAATATGTTTATCGGTGATTATGAGATTAGATATGTTAATAAGAGATGTAGAACGCCAGTGATAACTCCATAACCTCCCGCGCCACTTCGATAATGCTCTTCTCATTCCAGTACGTTGTCACTTCCGATCGCGAGAAGTTTCCTCGCCGCAGTCATTACAACTATCTGGCATCCCCTACAAGCCTCCAATTCGGTATACGGCATCTCACTGTTTCGAAGGTGGCCGTTGAGGTCCTTGTGACATAGGTACGTTGTTCGCTCCACTGCTCGGCGGTCACCTTCTGGATGCTGGACCCCAATTACGCCTGTGTGGTACATGCTTCTTCCAACGACTTGGACTACCAGGTCCCCCTCTCGAATTCGAAGGCGCATGATTTTGGGCCGAAGAGCCGGCTGCAGGACCTCTGGGCACGAATAACAGCCCTGGTTGCTGCGTCGATTCGTCAGTGAGAGCCACCGCAGCCGGCGGTTCTGCGACACTTATGCCAGCATTGCGTCTCCTCTCGTATTCTGCATTTACCAACTTGCGATAGTCGTTTTCGTTCGCGAAAGAGAACTTCAAAAACGCCCTTTCAAAAAGACGCAACGTTCCCGTGTTCCAGGCGTTCTTTGCAGCAAACGTGTTTGCGAAGACTACGAAGCCCCAGTTTGAAGGTAAGATGGACCCCGCGGCGTTCTTGTACGTGCTTAGGGTCATGTCCCGTACGCTTCCTGCCTGGGAAAAATGAGCCTTCAGTTTGGTCTCCATGGAGGCAGGCAATCCAGTCGTTGGGGGCAGCCGCGTTACGCGGAGGACATTTGAGGGTTTCAGAAGCGCCTCGTTCACGTCCACAGCCGCCGTCGACAACCTTTCTCCCGCCAGCGTCATCCGCCGTACGACGTATTGTGCGGCAATAGCAATAGCAGTATGCGCGAACGTAACTTGCCAGTCAACAGGACGCCGAGTTCTCTTATCCATGGCGCCTGGCGCAATGTACTCCACTTTCCCAGCTCTTTCGAAAAACCTGCGCAGCTTGTTCTCCTCCACCACTTCAGGTATTTTTCTGATAGAAAGTGCAGGGGATGAAGCTAGTTCATGCCACATAGGACCCCGCGCCAGCTTGGGGTCCGCGAACCCTTTGATTCTCACGCCGCCTTGACCAACGTCGGGAAAGATATCACCGAACTCAGTCAAAACCGGTACATGAATAGGTCTGACCAGATCTTTCGTATGCCTGATGACTTTGGTAAATTGTTCAAAAGATGGCGGGCTCAGTGCCGCTGCTACAGCGATCTGGAATTCCTTCATCCTCGTTCCCTCATGGAAGCCGCCAAGGGCTATTTCCTTCGAAAATTGCCACACCATGGACAATCGTGTCCAGTAGAACTCGTGTGCAGCTAGCGGGAACGCCATAACTGGTACCATGTCTTCAGACCGTTCACCGGTAGGTTTGTGCCGCTTGACGAAGTCCGGGCATAATCCTTCGCTGATAAGAATACCAGGCCAAGGCCTTTTCCTGTGAGGCGTGGATCCATCAATTCCATATCCTAAACCCATAACGACCTGAACTTCGCCGTGCTTATACCTCAGGTCACCACGCTGCCTTTGTGCGTCAGGGGATCCTGGGATCTCATGCGTGATCGTTGCTGTGACGGGCGGTGAAGGACTGTTTGGATCAGCAGGCTTTCCATCCGCCGTCATATGCGCCACATGGTTTTCTTGGTCTTCTGGGGAAGGGGTCTCCATGATCGGGTCTCTGTGGTTAGCTCCTGAAGTCTCAACCTCCTCCGTATGATCGGACACCTCCTCCACCTCAGCGACAGTACCCGCTGTCTTGTCAACTGCTACATCCTCCGCCTCGGTGAGTGCGATACTTTTATCGCCAACTAGGGAAACTTCGTCCACGTTAACCTCTGCTGTGTCCCGCGCAGGCCGAGAGCGTGCGTATCTCTGCATAGCCTCTCGCAACCTTCTCCCATAATTCTGCGCAATAGCTTGAGGTGAAAGCATGCCCGGCCTATGCTCGGGTTGCCTTATCTTTAATATTTCCCCCGTAGATGACGATATGAGTTCATTGAACTGGTTTTCAGTCAGACCGTCTCTGTAAGCCTGCGTGATGAAATCTTCCCAAGTTTGAATGGTGGACGGTAGACCGATCGTACTTCGGGTCACTTCCGGGACAGTAGACTGCAAGAAGGTCGTTACAACTGATGGACGCCAACCGACGCTGCTTACTGGCGACTGGGAAGTCTTCGACGTAAGGGGATCATGCTGTACTTGATGCGCTTCGCTCATGACAATATTCTCACGAGGAGCAGGGGCACTCGCAGACACAGATAGTGTCGCTTGTGGTTTATATGAGGGGAGGACCTCGTCATCGTCCTTCATTCCTGTCTCATCTCCGGACAACTCCTCCGGTCCCATAGACTGAGGGCTGTCTCTTCGCGTCCGTAAAGAGGCTGGTATTTCTTTCATCTCCACATCTCCTGTCAGCAGGGCGGGATCCCCTCTCACAGGAACAAAAGTCCGTACATGCACTGATTCTTGAGGAGTGGCCGTCGCTGAGGGGGAACCCGGTACTTTGTCCACATGTGCATCGGCCCTCTCCTCACTACGTGTAGGCTTAGCCAAGAACGAGGTCCTCTGACCCAACCCGTCTGCAACTAAGTCTGTCCGCTTACGGAGAGTGGGCTTGAGCGATGCGATGTTCTTCTCCTTTGCGGGGGTATCCGACTTCGGAGTGTTCGTAATTGGGGTGGAGAGTGCCGGAGGTTTGAACATGGTGGAGGGTATGAGCTCCCCTAGCAGAGGTGTAGATTTCTCTGCCGAAGGAACCAGGCGGCTCCTTCCAGATATCGAAACAGGTAAGGTCATAGCAGGCGGTTTGTCTGTACCGTCGTTGCGTGCCTCGTTCCCTGTCTCTGCGGCCAAAGAACCTGTCTGCCCTGTGTCCTTCTGTGCGGAAAATGGCGTAGAACAAAGCGTCGTTAACTTTACTCGCTTCCTTGGCCTCTCCTGAGGTGTATCATGATCCTTAATGCCCGTTTCCTTGGTTTCAACTCCCTTACTAGTGTCCAATGCGAGGACCGCAGGTCGCTTCAACGGCCGTGGTTCGGCCGGCTCATCGGGTTCTGAAGCTGGATCTGCACTGAATCGTTTTTCGCGCATCTGCTTTTTCTGGACCGAGAATGGGATTGATGATAGGTTCGTTAACGCAGCTCTTTTCTTTGGTTTCGGGACCTCCTCCATCGGTGGTCTTGTCGCAGAAGGAAGTTGCCGCTCCATTGTGGAATCCGGTAAAGGATTCACATCTCCATTATCTCCGGGTACAGACATAGACGAGTTGGTCGGCAGACCCCTGAGGGGATCGACGATGGCGGCTGTGTTCATGGGTGTAGTTGCTTCGCTTGCAGGAGCAGTGACATAGGTCGAACGGGGAGTTCCTTGACTGCTTGACATCATCGCAGAGCCTCAGAGCAAGACGAAACCTTTCATGTTTCCCCCATCAAGGAATAATCTGCTGAATTGAAAAACAGGATTGCGACGTTGCAAGGGTGTAACGTAGACAGGCGCATCTGCACATTTTGCCCGCTTTGGGAATTCTGTAAGGGCTATCGATTTGGAAATCCTCGAACTGTCCTACTACCACCTCCCCCTCGGCCTGTCTTCATTACCTCAAGAGCGTCCTGTTCATCCCGTTCACGATGTCGGCAGTCCCGAAAAATTCCAAGCCGTTGGCGCAAATCCGTCGTTGGAGTCCGATCATCCAGCCACCCACTACCACGCAATTAAACAATTCGGACAAGGTGTTCTTCAAACCTACAGAGCTGAGATGGTCGGCTTCTCAGTTGGAGCAAATACCGCCGGTCAAGAAGACACAGTTACCAGAGGTGAGTGCTGCGTGTTGAATTCAAATGGCTGGAAGATGCTGATGTGAATCGATGAAAGGTGCTGTTCCTCGGACGAAGTAAGCGGTGTCAGTGGTTGGTTTCTGGCCCATGACTAACATCGTGTTCCAGGTAATGTTGGTGTACGCTGTTTCCTTCTTAATCCCTGCTCAAGCGCTGGTCTGACGATATCCGCAGAAATCATCACTCATCAACGCACTCTTGAACCGAATGAGAAATCCTATCTCGAGAACGTCGAACAAGCCAGGCCATACGAAAATCCTAAACGCTTTCGCCGTGGGTGGTATTTCAAGACTAAATAGACCTGCGGAATTGCTTTTGGTTGATGCTCCTGGATATGGATTCAAGTCGAGAGGAGAATGGGGGGAAATGGTCTTAAAGTACATGACTGAGCGACCGCAGTAAGTCTCGCAATTTGTCTGTCCTGCACAATATCTAATGGACATCACAGATTCAGGAGAGCATTCCTCCTGGTCAATGGCCAACATGGGCCAAAGGAAATCGATTACATGTTCGCCAAAGTGCTCGGAGACAATGGAATTCCCTTCCAAGTCGTGCTAACAAAATGCGACAAAAAATGCGGTCCAGAGGCATTACAAAAAAGACTCGACGAAGCTCAAAAACTAGTCGAAGAATCCGGCGCCAGTGGGTACGAGGAAATCATCGCTACGAGCACCCTAGAAAAAGGAATGCCAGGCGTCAGCAACCTACGATGGTCCATCCTGAACGCATGCGGGTTGAAACAGGAAAAAGTCAGCTTGAAGAAGGTGTTGGCAAGTTTCGAGGGTGCGAAGGAGAAGTTCCAGGAGAAGACTGATGCGATGGAGTTTGTGACGAAAGAGGAGGACTTGGAGGCGTGGGAGGAGAAGAAATTTGCGGAGCGGGAGGCATTGGAGAAGGTGATCGAGGCTGGGAAGGCTGCGAAGAAGGAACGTGAGGCGGCTGCGGCCGCTGGCTTGCAGGAGACGGTGGGTGAGGATAGGATAGTTGCAAAGGCGATGGCTGCGAAGAGGAAGCGGGACGAAGCTTCGGCTGCTGTTATGGAGGAAGCGGTGAGCAAGGAGGAGGTGTCTCCGGAGCGGGAGGTTCGAGAAGCAGTGCTTGATGAGTCGAGTGGTGAAAACTCATCTCCTGAGCCGACAGTACGGACCGGTGGCAGAAGACGACCTGGTATGAAAAGGAGGAGTTAGAGAACCTGCACGATACGGTATACCGTAAGCACGGACAAGACAGTTACTGGTGATCGCGCGTATATTGACGATTATATATAAACATTCACCTAGCTAAATGTTTGACGTTGGGATTTCTTCCGTAATTGACCCCTGGCAGTCACCTGGTCTGAGTTGACGTCGACAATCGACGTCGTACGCGCGGACTCCACACCATCGAGCACCGAGTAAGCAGAGCAACGAGCACGATAAGCAAAAGGCTGTACAAAGGCGAACGACGATCAATTGACATCCAAAACGTACCAGCAGCAGTCCATTCCACCGCATTCAATCTCTATAGACGCCGATGTCGGACCGCTACAGCTTCTCCCTTACTACCTTCTCGCCAAGCGGTAAGCTCGGGCAGATTGACCATGCACTGGCGGCTGTGAACGCTGGTGTCACATCTCTCGGTATCAAAGGTGCTTCTCTCCTCTCCCCTCGCTCTCTACCATACCCATGACTAAACTCCCATCCCGCAGCAACCAACGGCATCGTCATCGCAACCGAGAAAAAGACTACCTCCCCTCTCATCGAATCCCAAACCCTCGAGAAAATCACCCGGATCACCCCCGATATCGGCATTGTCTACTCAGGCATGGGCCCCGATTTCCGCATCCTCGTCGATAAGGCCCGGAAACAGGCGCACCAGTACAAGAATATCTACGGCGAGTACCCACCCACGCGGATGCTCGTCCAGGATATCGCGTCAACGATGCAAGGCGCGACACAAAGTGGTGGTGTCCGTCCATTTGGCGTTTCCCTCCTCGTCGCGGGCCACGACGAGAATCAGGGACCGGCGTTGTACCAGATCGATCCCTCTGGCTCATACTTCCCCTGGAAAGCTACGGCGATCGGAAAGGGGTCGACCTCTGCAAAGACGTTTTTGGAGAAGAGGTATACGGAGAACTTGGAGATTGAGGATGCGATTTATATGGCGCTCATGACGCTTAAGGAGGGGTTTGAGGGGGAGATGACGGAGGAGACTGTTGAGGTTGGGGTTGTGAGGGATGATGCTGGGTTGAATGGGGAGGGGTTGACGATTGTTGGGTGGGAGGGGAAGAAGGGGCCGAAGTGGAATAAGTTGAGTAAGGAGGAGGTTAGGGATTACCTGGACCAGATCTAGGGGAGGAACAGATGGGAATACCAATTGAATGCATACTACACCTTTTGTCTGTTGACCCGGTGGTCGCCCTCCTCGTCTTTGGTCACGAAGCAGGGGTTGCCATTACATCCCGAAGTTCCTTAGTGCACATGCATGGGCTAAATGCACGATGTCGCGGAGCACGGCTCGAGGTTGGGGCGGGCCAACGCTGCCGGGGAACATGGGAAACATGGGACGACCCCATCCACGTTTGGAAAGTGGTCTGGTGAAGATGAAGCTGGGAGTGTCTGCTGGCCACGTAGGAGGGTCCTTTGGGGTAGTGTAGCGTTTCCCTTATCGATAAGCTTTGCATCGTCGCACGCGGGAGGGGGGGGTACATCTCGTGGCGGCTACTGTAATTCAACCGCAACCCCTGTCAACATCGACATTGCACGACCTCCTTTCCACTCCGGCCATGGAACCACCGTCCTTGCGGGATGGCCCGGTCACGGGCTCGGCAGCGCTTGAACAAACCGGCTCATGCACGTAATTACACCTCGCTCGGACCCCTCGGTCATACCCTTGCAGGGGTCCTTCAACCGCCCCCCTCTACTCACAATACCCCTCCCTCCTTCTCTAACGTCGAGGTCTGAGTGCCGTTTTGTGATCCAGCCCGTGAATAAGGTTGGTCACTTGCAGATTGCACTGGCAACGAAAGAAGGTGAAGGCGGAACCGTGCCGGCACACAACCTCCGGAAGGTCAACGAAGGAGGAAAGGACAGAGTCAAGTGACGGCAATCCAGTACTGGAGTCGAGGATACAGAAGAGTCCGTCCGGTATTCCCGCAGAGATATTTGGGAGCATTTGAGCCCATCTCTATCATCCGGTCTCACTCTCGTACATTCGCCCAAAGACGTTATATTGCGTGCACTGTGCCAGTCACGAGCAAGGTCAACAAAATCTGAAGTACGGGCATCTGACGTTGTACGACAACGCCAATCCACTCCTGACATCTGGGGGTCAGGACAATCGGAAAGGAGAACCAGTATCAGGAGTGCATCAGTTCGCTTCTCGTATAACAAGCCAACCAAGTCAGCCAAGCGAGTTTACCAGAAGTCGCCTCACGAACGCAAACAGCGTTTACGGAGAGGAACACCAGCATACATTGCCTGGTTATATGACCACGGCCTCGAAGCTTCAATACCGCACTCCTCAAAATCACATCTACACCCATCCCAACATCAACATCATGCCAAACGTTCCAAACGTCGCTACCCCACCTATCCCAACCAACCTGAGCTCGGCTGACGGCACCCTCGCAGCAAAGTACGATGTCATCAAGCAACTCGGAGACGGGAGTTTCGGGACGGTGGTACTGGCGAGCGTGAAGGGAGTCAGGGAGAAGAAAATGGTCAGTCGCTCATCTCCAGTGTTTACACGGCTAAATGCTAATGAGTGGTTTACAGGTGGCAATTAAATCCATGAAGAAAACCTATACCAACTTCACCGAATGCCTCGCCCTCCGCGAAGTCCAAGCCCTCCGTACAATTCCTCGCCACCCCCACATCGTCCATATCCTCGATATCTTCCTCGACCAGTCTACCCACAAACTCCACATCGTCATGGAAGGCATGGACGGAAATCTCTACCAACTCATGAAATCCCGCGAAGGCCGTCCCTTCAAAGAATCCGTCGTCAAAGGGATCTTGGCACAATGTATTAGTGCATTGTGGCATATTCATCTACAAGGACTCTTTCATCGTGACGTGAAGCCGGAGAATATCTTGGTTACGGAGGTGCCGGTTACGCCGTTGAGGACGCCGCTTGGGAGTAGTTCGAGTCATGTGAGCTCTATGGCGGGACATGGGAGGTTCGATGGGGTGATGCAGGCGGCGGCTAGTTGTCAGTATACGATCAAAGTCGCTGATTTTGGTCTCGCGCGTGAGATTAAGGCTACCCCGCCCTACACCACATACGTCTCAACCCGCTGGTACCGCGCTCCCGAGGTTCTACTCCGTGCTCCGACCTATTCTGCTCCCGTCGATATCTGGGCTTTCGGCGCGATGGCCGTGGAGCTGGCTATGCTCCGCCCCCTCTTCCCCGGCGCAAACGAAGTAGACCAGGTCTGGCGCGTATGCGAAGTCGTCGGCACCCCAGGCACCTGGCTCGACCGCGCCCAACACCCGGTCGGTGGCGGAACCTGGAAAGATGGTGCCGCACTCGCCGCTAAGCTCGGATTCTCATTTCCGAAGATTGCGCCGATGGAGATGAGGAGTGTGGTCCCGGCACCCTGGGATGAGGCGTTGGCGGAGATGGTGAGGATGTGTTTGATGTGGGAGCCATACGAGAGGTGGACGAGTCAGGAGATTTTGGAGTGTGGGTTCTTTGGGGGGGCAGGGGGGAGGATGAGTGTCGAGGAACGGAAGAAGTTCGGGGTTCCGGTTACGCCGCCGCTTGTTCAGCCTGGCTCATCTGCGGGCGCTGGCGCCGGTGCTGGAGAGAAGATTCAGGATGTGTTTGTGAATGGGATGACGAAGACGAGGACGAAGGCAAGTCCTGTCGTCGCCATCCAGACGAAGAGTAAAGTCCAGGGTGAGCTCAGTGCGTCTCCGCGCTCGCCACCGCCTAGGTGGGGTCTTTTCTCGCGGTCGAAGGGGAATAAGGGGGGTGAGACGCCTGGTCGTGGTACCCCGGCGCCTGCTTCCTCGGCGAGTACGAACACCGCGGGCAGAAAGGAGTCGAAGTCATCCGCGACAGCTGCTGCTGCTGCCGCCGCCGCCGCGGCGATGCAGAAGAGTGCGAGTACGCAGGGACCTAATGTTCTCGCTGCTGAGAGGGACGGAAGGAGGACGAGTTGGCATGGGCAGAAGATGGCGGCGCCTTCGAAGCAGGGTCATACGCAGACGTTGAGTCAGGCGTTGAACAACTCTAGGGTTCGGAACGATGGGAATGCTGCTAGTGGATCCCCGGTCGGTCATGGAAGGACGCATCAGATGCAGCTGGAGCAGAAGCGTCTCGAAGCGGAGCAACATCAGCGATATTTGCATTCACAGCAGCTTTATCTCCAGCAGCAACATCAGAAGCAGGTGTCGTATGCTTCGTATCGTACGCAGGGTTCGTCGTCCTCCAAGACGCTCTCTTCCGAACCAACGATGACGCCGCCCCCTGTTCAGGGTTCTCATTATGCTCGTCAGGCGATGAGGGAGAAAGAGAGGGAGTATCAGGGAAATGGACGAATTGAGCAACCGAGCCCGCTTTCTGTTCGTCGTTCAAGTGATTTGCAGTATCTCTTGAACAAGGACAATGGGCGTGCTGCTAATCATGAGATGCGTTCGCCTATGATTGCTGCGGGACGCAAGGTCTCTCGCGCACTCTCTCCTGCTGCGAACGACTATTCTGATCTTGAGTCTGTTGGTTCGCCGACTGCTTCTTCTGGTGGTAGTGCCGCTGGTTTTTTATCCCATCTCCGCAAGAAGGCGAGGAAGATCGGGAGTAGGACCACGAGTGGGAGTCAGTCTCCCGGTTATGCCTCGGGCAATGTGGATTACAGGCATAGGAGTGTTGTGATTGGAGACTCGCAGAAGAGTCAGGGTTGTGCGCCGTGGGTTTGGGGAAGTGGGAACGCAAACCAGCCGCCTGGTGATGTGGGTGCTGGAAGTCCGGCTCCGGGCAACAGGGCGAGCTTGTATGATGCTGTCCAACAACAGGGCGGGAATGGGCTTGACCGCGCGATCATGAACGTGAAGCAAGCGTTGGCGTTGGAGATGACGCCGGGTAGTGCCCCTAGGGCTCAGACCTACTCGGAAGGCGGGCACACGCCTGGTCACAAAAAACCTCAGCGTCCTTCTCCTCTCGATCGTCAGCAGACATACCCCGCCCCAGCTCACGGTCAACCCGCATTTGGCAAAGTCACTGGTTTCGTGGGGCGTAAGCTGGGTCCTCCCCACCTCGGTCTTGGTATCACAGGTATCCCTACGTCCGAGGATGATGAGTTCACGCAGGAGCTGCTCGCTGCTGCCGATGCTCTTCGTAACGATGACCCGCCGTCTTCGCACAAGCACCGTGCTTCGGATGCGAGCGCTACTATTTGGCCTACTCCGCCGTCGGCCTACACGAACGGTCATCAGTCTCACGATTGGGCTCAGCAGGGTGATCAGACGAGGGGTGGACGCGGGTTGCCGAGTCCTTAAGAGGGGAATATCAGGACAGCTATATGGACGTTACGAAGAGGAGTCTATGTTATGAATGTTGTCGGTTGTCCGTGATTTATTTGAGAAAAATATTTGAGGTGGAAGACGTGACAGTGAGAAGTATGAACAGAGAATGCAGGAAGCAAGAGGAAGGAGCATGCGACGTGCATATACGGCATTGAGCAGGTTTGTCCCTTCATTCGACCAAAGGGGGAAGAGAAGGGAAGGAGTATATCATCATTATTGTTTTTTTACGCATATCATATTGCATACCATATATCGTTGTTGGCTGGGCATTTAGGGAAGTTACAAGGCGGAAAGCCCTTCCACCAGCTGCAGTTTGACTGATTGGTTGAACGGGACACATTATTTATTACCGTAGAATTTGCAACCGACGGTCCCTTTTCTGCTAGGGTCCTGATCATTCCACACCCCCGTTTCTTCATACCACACCCCGCGCGCCGAAAATTGAGGAGATCAGAGCAGAAACAAGATGAATAAAATTATTTACAGTAGCAATATGTACACAAATAAATTCCTGACGCTCCCACGCTTCCATCAAGGTCCATATGGACCAAAATAATTGCTAGGCGGGCCCGGAGGAGGCCCGTAAAACCTTTGATGCCCCGGAGCACACATGGGAAGGTTTCCACCAGCCTGAGTTGTGTCCAATGTGGGTGCCTCAATGTAGTTCTCGTCGAGGACAAGATGCCAGTGCTTGTGTATGTCGTGCATTGTCAAGACCCGGTCGTCGGCCAATGCTTCAGTGATTGCATGCGCACAGGGTAAACCGAAAACCCTCTTCAGGTAATTACGGCAGGTTGAAAGGGTGAAATTGGTGGCGAGCGAACGACGTGCGAGAATGTACTGCTCCTCAATCAACCCCAATGCGAAGCCCGAAACCTTGTACTTGATATCGGCGAAGAAAGCGCCCAAAGTCGGTGGAATATTCACCTTCTCGTTGGCTATCTTCCCTATTATCTCCTTGTGTTGTTCCTCCATGAATGCTCGGGAATGATCCACGACGGTCAAGAGATTGCCTGTGCTGACTCCAATGTGACCTTTGAGACACTTGTGAGCACCTTCAGCACGGGAAGAGACTGACGATGCGAGGTGAGTGACACAGTCAACCCAGGCGGAGACAAAGTAAGTCTTGTAGGGGAGAAGGGTCTCGACGTATGAAGTAACAGTCTCATACCTCTCGTAATCACGCATCAAATCAGCGAGATTCTCCTCGAACTTCTCCTCCGTCAAGGATTTCATGAGCTCCTGCATGGTATTGAAGAAACCATCCCATTCCTCCTTAGTGCGGAATGCACTTTTGCAGTTCGTCACCACATTCTTCTCAATGTGCCAACGACATAACAATTTGGCGGCGGTGGGGAATACCTTAGCATTTGCATGCATAAGGGCAAGCTCGCGGTCCGTGACGATGACAAGAGGTGTAAAGTAATCCATCAGCTCCGAGTACATACACATTGCCCAGACATAGTCCTCCCGAGTCTCCCTAGAGAGGAAGCACAATGCTGAGGTGAACGAAGTGTTGCAACAAGTCATCCCGACGATATGAAGGAGGGGCATCTCAAACTTGTTGGTTTTGTAGGTGCAATCCATGACGAAGACGTTTCGAAAGCGTTTCGTGAAACTGACAGATTGTGGGTGGGTGAAGATTAGGCTGGTAATGCGATTTTCGTTGTCCACCCTCTTCCGGAAAGGCAGGCCTTCTTCTTCGAGTTTGTCCAACAAGGCAACAATGGGTGTACGCCCGGCAAGATTCTTGACGCGAAGGTCGCGCTTGGCGTTCTAGATGTTGCGGCGCAAAAAGTCTGGGTTGCCCTCCGGGTCCTCGCGTAGGGCCACGGCAATAGTCCTAGGCAGTGCACCTGCCTTCGTCATCCTCTCAACGTCTTTGATCTGGGTGGCTGTGAGTTTCCTGTGCTGGGGGAGTGCCGTGGGATCGATTACGGGCTCATGGTTGTGCTCCCCGTTCTTTGTCGATAACTCCCAATCTCCTGTTATCCCAGAGAGCTTGCCAACAAGCTTGAAAGGGCAGCCCTGGGCCTTGTGGTTTGATTTGCGCTGACGGGAAGTGCGGTCAAGATTATGGCGATTTCTATACTCGCCGCCACGGGTACATTTTAGCCATACTTTGCCGGGTTTGGATCGCTCAGTTGAAATGGCATAGCCACGGGGCTTGGCCCAGGCCTGGGCATAATTCTTGAGCTCTTCCAGGGTAGGGAAAGAGGCATCAGGTGGAGGATCCATTTCTGTCTCCTACAGCTGAGTTTAATGCTGTTTTGTGTGGTTGTTATGCTCTGATCTCCTCAATTTTCGGCGCGCGGGGGTGTGGTTTGAAGATTTAGGGGTGTGGAATGATCAAAACCCTGAAATGTGAGCAAGAATGAGAACTTCACAATCACGGTCGGGTGAACTGGAAGAAGAAACAATTTTCAAGCAAAGATATTCTTTCTAGCTATGCAACGTAAGAAGAATAGGACGGGTATCAACCGCGGCCGGACCTTGTTTTTCATCACGCGTCCGCTTATCTGGCAATCACGAGTCCCGCAAGCGCTGACTTGCTCATAATTGCGCACGATTGTCGACGTCTACTCCATCGATTCAACGTTGAGAGACGTTTTCTTGTCATTGAAGATGGTTTCTCGTGATCTGTGAATACAGAAGCTGGTATAGGCTAACAATGTTGTCGAAAAGGACCATTACCTCGCCGAGAATATAGTTCCCACGCTGCTCCGGAACCCAGCGCCGCAGGTTGATGCTCCGAAAAAGCGCGGCCGCCCTCCCAAGCCTATCAGTACAAACGGAATCAAGAAGGAGCAGCTGGGTATAAACCCTTTCGTCAGAACCGATCGGCAAGCTGACAGCTATGACAGTTGTCAGTGTTTCACACGAAGCTGAACCACCGTCTCCCAAACGTGGCAGAGGTCGCCCGAAGGGAGTAGTCCAAGCTCCAGCATGGACAGAGGAAGACGTGGAACGCATCACAGAGCTCAGGGCTGGAGGTGCGCCTTGGAACGCGATTGCCGAGGAATACCAGATGAACGCATGCACTGTTCACGCAAGGTTTAAGGCCGCCGAAGCGAAGAAGACAGTGTGGACCGAGGAAGAGGATCACAGTCTGAAAGAAGAAATTAGGAAGTACGAGACGGAGAAGTGGAGTGTGATTGCTAGCAAGATGGGCAAGACCGTGAAGGCTGTCACAGTGAGGGCAAAGGTGTTGACTCTGTGATATCCTATGTATACGTATATCTCAAATAGCAAGTGAACGCCGAAATCCATATCCCTAAACCGAACCGATCCAGAATTAACCAAACATGACGACCTTCTTTTTCTTTTTCAGCACTGGCGCTACAGTCGTTTCCCTTGATGAACCTTCCGCTGCATCGATTCCGCTATCCTCCATCGAGACTTTCCTCTTCATCGCTGAAGGTTTCGCAAGAGTAGCATCAATTGCCAGACTTGTACCAGGTACCACCGACGCTGCTCGAGAATTCATCTTTGATACGACATTACTCTCCTCACCTGTCTCCATATCAATGTCAATTAGGTCAGCATCCGGATCCTCGGTCGTCTGGGCGCGATACGCGATCTCAAATAGCGGTACCTCCGTGTCCAACTCCGCCATACCGAAAGCATCGCTCCACTTCGGTTCCTCACCACCCAACGGATTCGCAACAAACTTGGTTGCAGAAATAATAGCTTTCATCTTACCGTCGTCAAACGCCGTCTTCGTCTTCGTAAGCTCATTGGTCGACATACCCCTCCGACGGTTTAGTAATTCCTCCTCCACAGTCCCACCAAGAACGAGCGTCTCGACAAATACCTCCCGCGATTGCCCAATACGATGAGCACGCTTAATCGCTTGCGCCTCAACACTCGGCTGCCAAACTGGATGCACAAAAAACACCCGACTCGCCGTAGACACATTCAACCCATGCGCAGCCAATTTGAGGTTCATGATCAACACCCTGAAATCCGGACTAGAATTAAAAGTAACGATATACTGCGACCTCTTCTGCGGACCAAGAGATGGGACATAGATCAGATGTTTGACGCCGAAGATCTCGAGAGCTTCTCCGATGTAGTACATCACATCATCATACTCGCTAAAGATGATAATTTTCTCATCTTTGCTGTGTTTGAGGACTTGTTGGAGCAGGTAGGATAGCTTTGCTGAAGCGGTGCCAATCAAGTTCGTCCCTTTCAGCGGACTTTCGGGTGAGAGGACTGTGGACGAACCCAGCTGAGGTCTAGTAGACGTTGGTTCCTTCGTTAGATTATCGTCAACATCGATGACAACGCCAGCTTTGGCAGCATCAGCAGTCGAAACCTGCTGTCCTAAAGCCTGTGCGGGTTTTTTCTCCTTCTTCGCCGCTTCCTTCAGTAACCTTTCCATCCTCTTCTCCCCTGCCTCCAAAAACTTCGCATACTGCCTTTCCTCATCATCCCATCCATGTTCAAACGCCCATTTCTGCATCTCCAACAAAGACTCACCCGAGAAGATATCCCGCTCATCAACAAGCGGCCACGAACCCTTCATCTCCCTCCGTTCCCAGTCAACCCCATATCCCATCGCATGTCGCTCACAAAACGCCAGCCACGCATCATCACCCAACGCAGTCTCAAACGCCCCAACCGACTTCTCCAACAACACAACATCATCGGCAGGATACCCCTTCCTCCTCCCCTTCTCCAACGCTCGCTTCGCAATCCTCAACGAAGCCTCGACATCACTCGGCTCCGTCCCCGTCCAATAAAACGTGGCATTCATCAAATTCGTGACGAATGAGCGCATCGCATCCGTCTGTGAAGGATGAAAGAAGTAGTCCTGATCCACACGCTCGGACGTGACGGCGTTTAGTGCGACGTTCGCCATCAAGACGTTTAGCGCGACGGCGTTATAATACGACGGCTCCAGTACTGATGTTTTGATGTGGAGTGGTGGGAGACTGACTTCCACCGCAACATCCTCAATCCTATTCCGCACGAAAAGACCTGCCATGAGGGTTCGTACCACGTCTGTGCTACCGATCGCACCTTCCAAATACGGTTTCGTCACGTATCGACTCCAGGTTTTCCCATCACCCCCCTCCCACCTCAAAAAATCCACACAAATCGCCCCAAGACGGTCTAAATCCCCTTTTTCCGTCAATCGACTCGCCAAGACCTCTTCCCGCCCCGAGCCGAGGTTAACACTCATCAAACCCGAGGAGGGAGTACCCGTAACACACCACCTCCTCTCCACCCTCAACTTCCCCGCGAGCCGTACAGCACGCGTATCACCACTCCCCATAGAATGTCCCTCATCAACAACGATCCGCTTCCAATGAACACCCATCAACGGACTCGTCTTAACGAGTTTCTTGGGACAGTGACAATCGATAATCCGTGTCGCGCCGATATAGGAACATCGACACGCACGCGGAACCCCAGCGAACTCAAACCCCCCGTTATCTTCTTCCATCGAAAACCGGCCTTGTGAGATAAGGACTAAATCATACCCCAACAATTCCGAGACAGGTGGGATGAGGTGTCCTGGACGAAAGAGGGTGAGGACGCGGAGTGTGCCGCCTTCGGTGTGTTTATTAACTTCTTGCCGCCATTGACCGATGAGGGTGTCGGGGACTACCACCAACGTAGCAGCACTCAACCGAACTTGTTCTGGTCGAAGTTGTCGGCTTACACGACGTGTTCGGCCCGTGGGGTTATCGGAGGGGTAAACCTCGTACCACCCCGGATTCGCGTCTAATGCGTCTAGACAGCCTTGTGGTAATTCGTCCGCGACGTAGGGTATCCCATCCCACGTAACCTTCCTCGCGGCATACTCCATCAACCTCAACAATCTCTTCGGTCCCGAAGACGACAGGGGACGGAGTGCGGTATCTGGGAGTCGTGCGGATTGGTGTTTTGTCGCGATGACGAGGGCGAGACATATCAACGTCTTCCCTGTTCCCATTTCTTCGGATAGTACGCCGCCGCGGGGGTTCGATACTAACACGGGCTTTTTGTAGATTTTCGTGTCGGAGGGGTCGAGGTAGTATGTCTTCCCGTCCGGCGATTTTAGTTGTCGTAACCGTGGATCGAGGGTCGTACGGGGTAATAGCTCGAGTTGTAACATTTTATGGAGTGATCGGCGTTGGTAGTTGTATAGCTTCGACTTCAACCCCGGCATTGACTCTGAATCCACACTTGGATCTAGGACAGACCGGAGCAATTCCCTCGTCGTCCATGGTGTGGTAGGGTGTATCGTCGTATCGCCCGTTGTAGGTGATGGTAGTTCGTTATACAGGGTACTCAGGCTCACATCGTCCGCGGCGCCCAGAAGAGGGTGGTATGGCGCATCCACCCTCCCTTCCCCTTGATCGGACATCCAGCAACTGTCAATGCGGCGGTGAAGGGGCTGTCTATCTTCGTTACTAGGCGGAAGCTGAATATTTGAGGTTGCATGGGTGTGCAGCCGCTTGAAATGCCGAGTTAGGACCGTTGTGGTGAGCCTATTTCGTAATAGGCTTAGCCCAGGCATCATGCATATATTTAAGGGCATACGAGGCTCGGCCTCTTAGTTGTACTTTACCAATACTACTGTTCTGGCTCTTACCTGTTCTAGCCTACTCACCCTCAGCTTTGGCGGTCTCGGTGAGGCATAGTCTGGTCTAATTTGCTAAGAATCCTTGCTTGTTGGCAGGCCTGAACATGGTAGAATCGCAAGTTTCGACATAATATCCAGCGGTAGCGAATCGGCTCCCTTCCCGAGGACAGTAGACCTTCAGGTGATTCATCTGGAATCTTCCTCGTAGTGTTCCCTTAGCGGTTCCGATCTCATGTAGCCAACAGGACCTCCCATGATGAGCTACCTTTACAACATGGAGTGGTCCCGTCCATCGAGGTTCCAGCTTCCGACCGCGCTGTTTATCGAGATCTGTTCGACGACGAAGGACCAGATCCCCTACTTGAGGAGGCCTAGACCTTCTCTTCAACAACTCCAGTTCTTCCCGGCGCACTTGGTAAGCAATTAGCTCCTCCAATGAATGCTGGCACAGTTCGTCCATTTGAGCCAGTCGGACCGAATAATTCCATAAAGCAGCTGGCGTATCCTTCTCAGGGTGTCCAATCATGATCACAGCAGCTTCCCTGGTGGTTCGGTACGGAAATACCGGTCGGGCAGCATTGTAGCCATATATAATTTGGGCGGGGGAGTATTCATGAACCCGGATTCCTCTTGTGTTGATTGCCCAAATCACCTCAGGTAAATGCTCTTCCCAGTCGTCTTGAGTAACACAGTTACGCACAAGGCCTCGTTCAATGAGCTGGTTGACCCTTTCGACTAATCCCACGCTAGCAGCATGAGACACAGGAGCGGTAAACTGAACGATTCCGTGCTTCAAACAGTAGCTCGGAGTGACCCACCAGTGTCACCACTTCAGAAGACGGGACCGGGACTGCCTTCGCAAGGACAAAATCGGCTGGAATAATCCACCATGACGAGTAGGTACTGATTCCCGGACTTTCAGCTGGCAGGAGCTATTCGGCCGACGAAATCCAACCCGCACATATCAAACGGCTGAAGTTGAATGATTGGTTTGAGGCTGACACTGGGGCGTAAGGGACCCACCCGCCGACAAGAATCACAGGTTCTGCCATACTCTTGCACATCATTCACTCTCGACGGCCACCAGGCCCTTCCCACAATGTTTCGTAAGGTCTGTAGATCTTCTGACGAATGGGAGGAGGTCTCGCCTTCGGTTCCAATACCACATGGTACTTCAGGAGGTCGGTTTCCTTGGTGGTTCGAATGTTTCGGGCCCAGGCATCCTGGTAGGTGTACAATAATCGCTTCGTCCTCTCAACCCTCTCAGGGGTGTTGACCTCTGTACCCAGTTCGAACGCCATTTTGTCACACCAGGCATCGACCTCATCCATAGGAGCATCCGTAAGTTCCATTACCACCGGCATTCTCTTCACTGGGTAGTGCTCGAACCCAATTCGATGACTCAACTGCCCGCTGACCTTGTTCCTTTCCAACATGATCCCCGTTTCCACCCCCAACACCCCATACGCCTCCTTTCCCTTCTTTCTCTTACTCACCTCCCTCCTTACCTCCTTTTCAATGGATGCCCAGGTTGTTCAGCGGTCCGGGACTTGCAACCGCTCGACAAAAATTCTGGGTGACCCTCTTGACAGGACCCCCTGACTGACTGCCTACTTCAACTGCCATAGAGGACACTTCATCCGAGTCCCCATTCCCTTCCCTAGGTCTCACCTCAATCACGAAACAATCCTCGTCTTCCGAGCCTTCCTCAGACAAGTCATAGTCAGAGTATAAGTCCTCACCGGTGTCCTCATCCTCCTCCGAAGCTTCCTCATCCTCCTCATCCTCATACTCATCTTCTCTCTCCCCTGGACGAAGCCTTTCAATCTTAACCCACCTCTGAGGGTTACCTGACTCAGGCTTTAGGCCCGCCCGCTGCTTCGCTGGAACATCCAGATTCCACCTGATACTCGGGATTTGCGAAGGTACCTTCCCACCAATTGGAGACAACACATGCTCGACATCATTATCGCCCTTAATGATGTAGAAATTGTCCTCAAATGAAGCCCACGCCCGACATTGAATCAACCACACCCTACCCAACAGGGCCGAGAATGAGACCTCATCTGAATCGATACGCCAGAACCGAACCTTGGTCTTCACTTTCGCCACCGTAATCCAGGCAGCATCGGTGTACCCGGGCATGGTTTTATGCCTTCCGTCGGCTACCCGGGTCGTCATACTGCTGTCAGGAACGAAAACCAATCCCAACCGCTGGATTTCGCATCTGTGGATCAAGCTCACCATTGAACCAGCGTCCACAACCACATTCAACTGAAACTTGTCAATCTTAGCTGGCGCCATGAAGCTTTTCTGCTTCTCTTCAGGGTTACGGGTGTTGATGAATTCGGTCACCCCAATTGAGTAGGAGTCAGCATACATGCCATCCGCATTGACCTTCTTCTTCCTGGGAACCCTAGGACGGCTCGTTTTGAGTGCATCAAGTACAACGGCTTTCCCACGATTGCAGTCATTGATGTATTGCAACCATGAGATGACTGGTCCGCGGCTTGGATCGCGCATTTGAGCAAGGACATCGAATACCGGTTCCCCAGCTAACCCTTTGATGGGATAACGAACAGGCAATGGCTTCTTCTTTCCCTTGTTCGCCGTCGTCGTCCTGTGTGGTTCTGTGGTACCTGACGGTTCCTGCATACCCTCGTCATCATTGACAATGTCCTCGATGTTGACACGTTTACGGCCATTGACAGCAAATATATCGTGAGTTCGGACTCCTTCGATCAAGTAGCTGTTCCGTAATAACTGCACCTGTTCGCGCACCTCCTCAGGAGTCGCCTTTCCCGTCTGCCGGTCCTCTCCACAAGCAATGAGCTCATCCTCATCCATACCTTTACCAACCTCTTCAATGAAGTTGGCATCGTGAGACTTTCTAGTCGGTTCTCCATGAGCATCGAACCCACCCGCCTTAGCTGTATTGACAGCCTAAGAGACCAACCATTCCGAGAAACGCTGCGATTGCTGGCTTACGACCACAGGTCTGGTTGCCTAGACGTTTGTGCGCACCTTCCTCTTCGTATCCCTTGTCAATTCTGTAAATTGTAGCTACTGGCTTCTTTGCCAGGTCAGCTAGTTGGTGCGGGTCTTTCCCATCCTTCCAATGGAGGATAGTATTGCGTCGCCCTGCATTGGTAGTGACTTCACCGAGCATTTTGAGGTCTTTCTGGGCTTCCTATACCTTACAATGGTTTGTTGGTTGGTATTTTAGTGGTCGCGATTCCTTGGAGTTTAGGGAGCCTGGCGCATGCAAGAAAATCTCACGCTGCTGTATGGACGTTTGAGAAACCACCCCTTATGACTTTGAGGACAACGAACGTCGACATTAGAATAAAGACAACCTACACCTACATAAGAACTTCCAGTAAACTCAAACCCAATTGCAGTTGCAACCTCATCCAAAACAAACATAAAAAAGAACGACCGTGAAATGCTCAAACCAAAAACCAAAACCAGAACTACCAATATGCCATCCCGAGTGCTTCAAAACTCATCCTCCTCCCTCAATACATCCAACTCATCACTCTCTCTCCTCCCTAACCCCATCCCACTCCTCGGTCTTTCGAGTCCAGACATGCCCAACCCAGCACCGACACCACCCGTATACGCATCGACATAACCCACAGCCGACCCGGGATTGGAGCGTACGTCACCCGGAGACAACTGCGGCTCCGGACTATAATCCATCATACCCCTACTCCCACCCTCCTCTCTCATCCAACTCCAACTCGTCTTACTAGCGCTACCCACCGCCATTCCCGCACCTCCACCATTCTCATCCGTAGGCGTCGAATCGTATGACCCAGGGTTCGAGTATGACGAACGCTGCGCCTGGAGAATCTCATGCTCCGTCCCTGACCATCCGACGATATCACACCATGAGCGCCAGAGATCTGGGTGATCGGGTTTGAGCACCTCACGCGTCATTTTGATAATCTCACAATCACTCATCCCCCTCCTCTCACCTCCTCCCGGCGTACACACCGGCGACCTCTCACTCTCAATCCACAAGCTTCGCAGTTCTTTGTATTTATCTTCTCCGATACGATTTCTCATCGATGTAAAAAAGCCAAGGTTATTCTCATGCCGCATCAAATTGCACATCTCGCCCCTACGGTCGACCATGGGTAACAAGACATGTGGGGCCAACGGCGTCATCGGTACTTCCGCCCCCGCGCCCTTGCCTTCTTCACGACCAGGCCGGATTGCGAGGATTGGGGAAGACGATAACCCGAAGGACGAGGAGAACGAACCAGAGTGTGCGAATTTCGGGGTTAGAGGTGTTTGTGTTGAGATTGATGTCGAAGGCGTCGTGGTCGCGGAGGTTGAGAGGGGAGGGGAGGAGCGGCGGCGGAGGGAGAGGGGGGTTGGGATTGACATTGGTTGTGCATGGTTTTTCATACCGGCGGAAGTGTAGTGCTGAGTTGAGATTGGTTGCATACTGCTGCCACCTGGGCGATAAATGCTGGACGCGTACTTTTCACATGGACAGGCGCGCTGGAGATCTAGAGTGTTCCCCCCCCACCTTGGGCCTGCTGCCGTGCCACACCCCACGCAGAGGTGACGGATGAGGCGCATGCACGCTGCTCGGACCGGGAAGGTTCTAGGGGGAAGGTGCATGCGGGGGCGACCAGCAGGAAGAAGACGATACAGCAGTCACAGGGTCCAAAAGTCCAATAACCTTAATGAGGCATCTGCACATGGCCCGCTGTCTCTTACCCCGAGAACCAATCATCCCTCATCGATGGCCAGAAGCTCATGTAGCCCCCGTGACACTCCGCCCCGAGGACCCTTTCCATTTCCCCCCCTCAACTGAACCTTCGCTGGGACCGTCCGCGGCATAATTCCCCAGGCTCCTTCCTGGCTTGCATCTCAGGTTCGCCCACTGCCCGCGCCCGCGCGCACACCAGCACAAAGTCAAGTGGGCGTAGCCAGACAGGGAGTAGCGCAGACCCACCCGAACCCCAGACCCCAGACTCTCTCCTCAAACCCCGCTTCCAAGCAGCTGGACAAGAGGTCAAACGACCAAACCAAGACGATATATAAGAGCCTTGGATTGCCGAGGTAACTGGGATAGACGGTATACAAGTACATCAACAGCATTTGACAATTGAGTTTTGTGATTGATGAGATAGGTATGTTGCGGGTGAGGGTCGTGGAAGAGAGGGTGCAGTGAGCTAATTGTTGTGTACAGTGATGTCTAGAGACGTACAATCACAGCTTCGATCGCAGGCACAGGTAGAATCAGCAAGTTTGAGTTCGGGTGTGGGATCTCCTCAACCACAATCTCCGGCTCCGCACAGCTTCTTCTCTCTCAACGGACAGCATACACCCCCGACCACCTCTTCTTTTCTCCACCACCAACAATCTCCACGTCGCTACACTATGTCCGCCACAGCCACCACCAACCAAGACCACAATTGGCCCCGCACCTTCCTCCTCGATAATGGTCGCGCGAGTCCGAGTGGGAGTGGCAGCAGCGAAAGTATCTCCGCGCGAAGCACGAACACGAATCCCTCTCGTCGATCGACACTCGAGCACGAGAATGAGGAGGGTAGTGGTGCTGATACGGGTACGTCGACGATGTCGATGGCAGCGGACGAGATGACCCCGAAGGCTTCGACAATCGGTGTTCCTGGCTCGGGTTCCACCTTCGGGATGGGAATGGGGAGTGTTAGACCGAATCCCCTTGCGGGTGAGTTCGTGCCTACGTGGAATGCTGGCGCCGTTGGTACCGGGACGAGTACGCAGGCTACCACCCCCGGCAGTATCTCCCACATCTCTACTGCCAGCTCCGTACGCGGTGGAGTCGGTGCCCTTCTCAGTCCGCGCAATCCCGTGCAGAATCCTTTTGATGCGATTATTATTGATACGGCGAATAAGTCTTCGGCTAGTGCGGCGCTTCCGAGCGTGAGGAGGCTCGCGGAGGGTGCGCAGCGGCGGTCATTGTCGTTTAGTTTGGGGGAGTATGAGAGGGAGAGGGAGCGAGAGAGGGAGAGGGAGAACGCGCTCTTGTCGCCTTCGTACGATTTCGCTCCAGGTTCTGGTGCCGGTTCGGGATCGACTTCGCGTGCTTCGGCGTCGATTAGGCATTCCTTTTTGCCGTCCCCCGAGGAGGATGAACATGAACACCACCACAACGAGCACGATTTTGATCTTGAGGAGGAGTTTGAGAAGTTGAGGGTGGGACATGGCCGTCGTACGCAGAGTTCCAGTACCGCAATCCGCCCTGGCGTTGGGTTTGGATTGGGTGCGTGGGATCCGACACAGGCTGCTGCCGCTGTCGTTAGTTCTGACGATGATGGTGACGAGGATATCTTGCCCGCAGCTGCTGTGCAGAGGCAGTTGGCGCTTGGATCGAGGCCGCGTGCGTTGACGACGGGGGAGGGGACGACGTTTGGGCCTCCGGGTGGTGGTGGTGGTGTTGGAGGTTTCGGGCGGTTTGCGGGGTTGAGCCCGGAGAGGGAGAGGTTGGAGAGGTTGAGGAGGGAGAGGATGGCTGGAGCTGGTGCTGGTTCCGGTGTTGGCGGAGGAGCTAATATGGGGATGAGTATGGTTGAGACGATGAGGGAGCGTGAGCACCCGCCTACTCCGCGTCGTTACTCCACCGGCACCTTCTCTGGCTGGGGCGAGGATCATGAGCCCTATGGTCAGGATGATGCTGGGGATGCGTATATGCGTGAGGTTGATGACGGCGGACATGGGCGTCAGGGACTAGGTCATGCTGAGACGGTGTTTGAGCGTGAGTTGATAAGGAGGCAGGCACAGGGAATGCATGCCCCCGCTACCGCCGCGACTGTCAGCTCTGATCCGGCGTTGTATGCTGCCTTGGTTGCCGATGTCGATCGCTATTTCTCGAGTGATGACCACCGCACACGGGCACGAGACGTCCTCGCCAAACAAGCCGCCGCGAACGGGTTAGGCGTGGGACCTAAACCACCCAGCCCGACCGTCACGCACGGTCCCCTCCATATCGTCGAGTTCAAAGCTTGCCGGACGGATGTGTTTTATGTTGCGGAGGGTAGTGGTCTCCGTGTTCAGCGTGGTGACTTGGTCATTGTCGAGGCTGATCGTGGGAGGGATTTGGGGAAGGTTGTTAGAGCTGATGTCGGGTTGGCGCAGGTTAGGGCTTTGAAAGCTCAGCAGCAAAGGGAGCAGGCTGCGGCGCTTGCTGGGGCAGGTGTTGTTGGACAGCAGGGCATGGGAATGGGGATGGGTGATGAGGTCAATGTCCAGCCGAAGCAGATTTATCGCTTGGCGCAACCGGCTGAGGTCGCCATGTTGCTTGCCAAATCCCAGGATGAGGCTCAAGCTATGTTGGTGTGTCAGTCTAAAGTACGTCAGCGCAAGTTGCCCATGGAGATCTTGGATGCGGAGTACCAATGGGACCGCCGCAAGCTTACCTTCTACTTCGCTACCAACTCCATCTACCGCGTTGACTTTAGGGAATTGGTGAGGGATTTGTTCAAGGTTTACAAGACCAGGATTTGGATGTGTGCGGTTAACCCGTATGCTGTTGAGAATCCGAATGTTGCGTTGGGTGCTCCTGGGGCTGTTGGGCAGAAGCCGCATAGTCCGACGATGTCTGCATTTAGGGAGTTGGAGTATGAGAATGCTCAGATGAGCCATTATGCTACCACCGCCGGTGCTGGTCATGGAAGGCCGTTGAGTGGAGACTACAGTGGTGCTGGCTCGTACGCTGCCCAGAATGCAGCTGCCGCGTATGGGAGGGGAATGCAGTCCCAGGAGGGATATCAGGGCTTGCAAGGTCCTATCTACGTCAGGCAGACGACTCAGCAGCAGACTGAGTACGATATGCCTGCGCAGCAGTATGGTGGAGGCGGATACAATGGTACTGCTGGTCACGCTAGGGGCATGTCTTCTGGCAGTGTAGACATGGGATACGAGGCTGTGAACCGTCGTTTTACCCCCAGCAATGGGTTCTACGGGAACAGTGGTCAGGGTCAGTATACCGCCGGCGTCGGTGGCGGTTCCAGTGCAGCCTCCGCCAATTACGGGGGGGCGTTCGGCGGAGAAAGCATGTGGTGATTTGTAAACACTGCACGAGGCGAAAGAGAGATCGTTTGTTATGATACCGATGATCGAGCGATACCAAGGAGATTTTTTGGAAAATGATAAACAGGTTCTTAGCGTTAGATGGGAGTGGGTCGTTCGTTGTTCGCTTGAGATTGAGATTGAGATTGAGAGAAGAAGTTGGATTAGCATACTACACTCGTTTGGATTTGATACTGTTGGGTTCACCTTTTGGTTTGATTTTGAAGGTGGAGTGTACGATACCGTAGGAGGATGTGCAACGTTTCTGTTTTGTGATTTCGTCTGTTTTATTTGTCCAAGAGTGTGTTTTAGGGATTCCTTTAGAATTATATACTTATACAACGGGTTCTATTTTGTCTACCAAGTCGATGTTTACCGTATGTTTACGGTCAACGCATACGCGTGGGAACCTCTTCTTTCGCCAAAGCAGCCAAGGCTTTCCGACCGCCAATGATCTGGAATTTGGTGTCGAGGTAACCTATGCTGATAAAGGATAAGGAGAGTCGGAAAAGACGGCAGCTTAAGTCTTCCCAAAAGACTCCAATGACATCAAGACCGTCAATATAGCAACATCGACGACTACTGGTTGGAACCTGTCGACATGGCAATGTTGAATTAATGCAAGCCACCAATCACGACGGGTCTGCAACTGGCCAGGATCACCAAAGGCGTACTGGATGTGGTAGCATCGTATTTAACAATATGTTATAGAAAAGCAAGATCCCGAACTCCAAGCCCTTGACGTCCCTATCATCACCCCTCCATCTTCACGGTCTTCACAATTCAAGCCTCACTAACTCCTTACACGGCTGCGTGTCTCCCATAATTGTTGCTATATGCATCCTGCCCGCCATATCCTCCCCGATGCGGCGCCTCACCGTACGCCTCAGGAGCCCCATACGCCGCATACGCCGCATTATAACTGTTGTTCCTCGAGTTATACGACGGCGGCTGCCCGGGACTCGTCGCTCGAACAGTACTCATCTCATAATACCCCTTGTTCTGTCCATACCCATTGTCCGCCGCATGCGCATGCGCATTCGGATTCGTATCGACTTTATTGTATCCACTCCAGCTTGCTGGCATGCTTGGTAGGTAGTCTGCGCGTGGAGATTGTACGGGTGCGGGTTGAGTGTATACGTTGATAGGCTGCGGCTGCGTATACGGCGTTCCAAAACTTTGAGTCCGGCTTCGACCACGCGGACTCCCACGTCCGGTACAACACGACTGACAACAACAACAGCAACACGCGATCAAACCCCGGATACAACAAATCAACGAGATGAGGACGGAGATACCGATGACGATGATAATGATGGCCGGAATTCTGCACCAATTCTCGTGGACGCAGTGGTCGGGGGAAGACCAGGCGTATTTGATTTTGTCGAGGGTGGAGGACAGTGCGGAGGCTGTTGCTTGGGCGGCGGATATGGCGGAGGTTGCTTCAGCGAGGTCGGTAGCGGCCGTTGCGAGATCTGTCGTCGGAGTGGCCATCTTGTAGTCTTAACTTTCCTCTCGAAGGTGTCTCCTGGATGCTTATCGGTGACTTGTAGCTGGGGGTGTAGTACGAAGGAACGTAGTTGATCCTGTCAATCTGGTTCGTTTGTAGTTTGAAGAGAATGAGGGGCTGTATGCGTCCTCTTAAAGGTCACACCGTACACGCTTCGTTGCCGTCCGGGCCGTTTCTCTTGGAGCACACGGGTTGGATTTGTTTGGACTTGGTACGGGCAGCGTTGCCAAGACGTGTACTGCGCGCATGGGTTCGAGGCGAGCCGAAGCACCCTGCACCTAAATATAGTAACCGAGATGAGGCCACTTGGGAAAGCCCAAATAATATCTACCGAGATTGTCAATCTTTTACGGCTGTCCTATGGCCTACAGTCAGGAGGGCAGGGTGCAGAATATGAGGTTTCCCACGCACGCACCAGAGAAGCAGAACATGTCAATGCGAGAATGTGTATTATCCAATGCAATCCTGGTATGCCAAGTTTCCCTTTTCTTCAACCCGTGTACGAACTTCCCATTTTCGCCTACTCTTCGTCCTCCTCATCGCTAAAGTCTTCCTCATCTTCCTCGTCGTCAGATGCTTCCTCTGCCTCATCGTCAATAAGGTCATCTCCCTCCTCATCCGACTCGTACTCCTCTCCGCTGACGTCCTCATCGCCCTCCTCCTCATCCTCGCTCTCACCGATTCCAACATGAGAAACATCCTCATCCATCAAATCCTCCTCCTCTCCCTCAACGTACTCGACATCACTCTCCTCCTCACTCTCATCACCCGCAGCAGCCTTCATGTTACCCGGCAAAGGTCCAGGAGTGTTTCTCAACTCGATCTGAGCAGAGACGACATCCAACCTTCCCTGCAACGCCAACAACCTCGGCAAGGCAGCCGCACGTGCCGACAGCGTTCCGTGAAGCGAGGACAAAGTCTGTACCAAGTTTGGCAGAGAAGCGAGATGTCCGCCGTGAGCGACCACGGTCCACCTAACCCACACACCGAGCTGACCAGCACGCGCCGGGCGACGGCCCATCCTCTCTGCAATCTTTTCCAACAAGGTAACCGCCAACGCCGGGTCGAGACGCCTGATAGTCTCCGACACGATATGCGAATCCTCGTGGTTCAAACAACTCTCCAACAACTGCGAATCATTCGTCTTCAACGCCTGGGACAAGACAGTCGTCAACGAAGACGCAGGGACCGCAGGCACGACGGCATCTGACCTAGATGATCTGCTCTTCTTGATGATGACGTTACCGGTGAGGGAAGGCAAGCCATCGACCACCACGTTATCCTCCTTTCTTCTACGCGTAGCCTTCTTCGCCGCAGCGAGTGCCGCCTTGGTGCTCTGACTAACCTCCAGAGCCTGCAACCGGTCCGCCAAAGTCGGCTCACCATCCTCGACATCGCTAGCATTCTCCTCCTCATCCTCGACATCATCCATACCAACATCGCCCTGATCGTGTCCACCGACAACAACAGCCTGCGCCTCATCGTAGCTAACTCCATTCTCCTTAACACCATTCGCCTGAGCCTTTGCTTGTGCTCTGACCAACTCGATTCCCTCACCAGACGCCAACGCAGACCCATACGGAACCGACTCGAAAACGACGCGAGTGCCCTCGACCCACGACACGACGATCTCCTCGCCCTTGAACACGATATCGACGATATCGACAGCGGTCTTGGCGTCATCCGGACGTACCACCCTAATCTTCACATTCGAGTTTCTGGTCAATCCGGCGGACTTTCGTCGTTTACCGGCAGCGGGAGCAGCAGGCGTGAAGGGCGCGGCAAACAACTCGACGACACCATCCGTAGTCAACGCAGCGAGGACATCCTCACCGCTGACAGCAACCTTGCGCACATCAGCCTCAGCAACCATGGATGCCTTGGTTTGGGTAGGGGTGTCAGATGTGGGAGCGAAGAGGTTAACGAAACGGTCAGTCTCGGCGGCGGAGACGAAGTGTGTGGAGTTTGCTGACCAGATGAGGGTGTGTACTGGGGTGGTGTGGGCGGAGAAGGTGTGTGCGGTAGCGTTATCGGCGATGAGGTGGATATTATGGGAAGCGGCGAGGATCGATCCAGCGGCGGCGGGAGCGACTGTGTTGAGTGCGGTAGACGAAGCGTCGGGGGTAATAGTGTTGACACTCTTTCCGCTCTCCAAATCCCACTCCACAACCTTTCCGTCCGCACCAACCGACCATCCCCGTCTTCCATCCTCCGCGAACGCAAATCCAGTGACATCACCCACATGCGCTCCGCTCAACGTCTTTTGCACGCTCGCGTTCGATGGGGAGTATAACACAACCTCGCCGTTACTTTGTCCAATGGCGAGCCAGGCCTTCTCTCCACCCTCAGCCGCAAGGGACGTTTTTCTCTTCTTCGTAGACTTTGTAGAATCGGAACGGTCGAGACCCCATGCCAAACACTTACAAGTCACGGATTTAGGCAGAACGTACTCATTCCTCAACACAGACGAATTGGTATCGACAATCCTGACATGGTGAGCATCCAATGCAAGCACGGCCGAGGCGAAAAGCGGGTGTGTCACCGAAAACGCCGTAACGAGGACGGAGGAAAGTCGGGTATTCGACACGTCGGTCTTTGAGGTGTCGCGAGGCGCTCTTCCTGTTGATTTACGTGCCATTTTGGGGGTGGATCGAAGGGGAGGGGCTTCGAGGTGCTTATCGGCTCTCACACTTTTTTGGCTCACGAATGAAATCTGCGCCTGGACAGGGGCGAAGAAAGGCACGTGCACAGGATCTGAAGGGGAGGTATGGTGAATTCAAGGATTATTGTTCTTGATAGATATCAAATATTCGTCCTCGAGCGCAACGTCTTTGCGTCGTTCTTTGGGTATCTTTGCTTCATGGGAGACACCTCCTTGTCCCCACGGTTCGTCGGGAATAATCTCGTCATTGACGGCCCTCCTTCTTCTCACTCGCAGACGTATTTGTTTCATACGCGCTTTGAGACCCGGTCTGCCTCGTGTCTTAACGGTCCTCTTCTCGGGCATACCGGTATTTCTTCCTTCCAACCCTCACGCACACATCCTCCACATCACGCCCCCGGCGGCCTCGCCGGCCCAACTTCCCTCTCCACCCCCTCCATAGGATCAATCCCACCCCCATTAACAGCCTGCACAGCCCTAATATCCTCCTCGTCAACCGCATGCTCCTTCAACCACCCCTCCTGCTCCCACAGCGCCTTCGTACTCCCCAACCCCTCATTCGGATTTGTGTCTCTATTCGCCTTCGCTTGTGTTACTCGTAGTGTTTTGGAGAATAGTTCGCTGTCGTTCATGTTGTCGATTGCTTCGGCTGCGTCGAGGGGGGATTCGTATTCGATGTAGGCGAAGCCGCGGTGGGGTTGGTCTGTATCTTCATTGTCAGAGATGTCATACAAACACCCGAAAGTGAAGTTACCTGATTGTTCGTCTCGGGGAAGTGTTACTTCGACGATATCGCCGAATGGAATGAACGCGGCATGTAGCAGCTCTCGTGTCACCGCTTTATCGAGGCCCGCTGTAACATCCGTTCTGTCAGCATTCAACAGCGCAGTTGCAAGGAGTGACGTACAAACATGGAGAGTTGCTTTTGTCCGTTGATCTGCTGCTACTGCTGACATCTTTGTGGATCTCGAAAGTGTAATTATAAGGTAGAGCTTCGAGTTTCGTACAACGCTGCACGTGCCCGCGCTCACCGCCGCCGACGCTACATATCGCCAAACCTAAATTACACCTCCCCATCCCATCCCCACCTCCTCCTTCGACCTGATCCTGATCTCTTCTCCATTAACTTACAATGTCTTCACCAAAGTTTTTCAAGCTCGAACATACCTTCCAAGGGCACACAGCACGAGCCTGGCACGTTACCCCACACCCGACCCTTCCCCTTCTCTCCTCTTGCTCCTCGGATCTTACGACACGGATCTGGAATACCACGACGGGTCGATGCATCGCCACACTCCGTGATCAACACAAACGTTCTGTGCGGTGTTCAGCGTTCAAGCCTCCTCGGACGAACAACGGTGACGAACGGGTTGTCCTCGCAACCGCTTCCTTCGACGGCACGATCGGGATCTGGGAATACGTGAACAATCTTGAGGATAACCAAGACGGCGAATGGGACTGTATTGCAACCCTTGAAGGCCACGAAAACGAAGTCAAATCTGTTGTGTGGTCAGCAGACTCGACCTTTCTCGCAACCTGTTCCCGTGACAAATCCGTCTGGATCTGGGAATCTGAAGATGACGACGAATTTCAATGTCTGAGTGTGTTGCAGGAGCATAGTCAGGATGTCAAATGTGTTGCGTTTTCGCCGAGGGAGAGTTTGTTGGCAAGTGCGAGTTATGATGATATGGTTATTTTGTATCGGGATTCGCCAAGTGATGATGATTGGACGCCAGTTGCGGTGTTGAAGGGGCATGGGGGGACGGTTTGGGGTGTTGCGTTTGCCCCAGATGGGAGGGTGTTGGCGTCGTCATCGGATGATTGTACGGTTCGGTTATGGCAGAAGAAGGAGAAGGAGGAGTCGAAGATCATCCGTACGGATGAAGATTGGGAAGAGATTGGACAACTTCCTCAAGTCCACACTCGTTCGATTTACTCTGTTGCGTTCTCTCCTAGTGGACGGATAGCTACAGGTGGCGGGGATGGAATTGTTGTTGTGTATAGGAGGAAGGAGGGAGATGCTGAGGCTTGGGAGGTGGAGTATGTTCAGACAGAGGCACATGGTGTTCAGGAGGTGAATTGCGTTACGTGGCAAGTACAGCGCGACAAGGAGGTCCTGTGGACGGCTGGTGATGATGGAGAGCTGAGGGGATGGACCATGCCGTGAAGACGTGGAAAGAAACGCTCTGGTCATTGTGCGAAGGGATCAGTCAGGTAGGTAGCATACACATCTCTGCGAGATCAACGGCGCTTTAGAGAATACACTGGAGTCAGGTGAGTCCTGGTTGCTCCTCCCACCGTATTGTAACGCACATCACGTGCCTCCCCTGCAGTCCCCCCCAAACCCGCATCTCAGCACACCTCATACTCTACCACCCAAAATCCACACCCAACCCACTCAAAATGGCCGGAGGTTCGTTCCTCCCCCTCTACCTCCCTTCTTGGTTGAGCCCTACTGACCCTACGTCCACAGGACTGCTTAAAGACCCAGCAATCGAGCACCATGCTCTGATGCGCCACTCCGCCGACACCAGATTCAAGTTTACGTCCAAGATGGCGCGTCAGGCGATTATGATGGCTGTTGTTATTCCGGTTGGGATTTATTACATTGCTCAGTGGGCTGAGGTGAGAGCAGAGTGGGGGGCATTGCGTTGTGGAGCGTGGAGTCTGAGTCCTTGGTGAGGTGAGGTGGAACGTGGATGAGGTTGGTTTCAAGTGGAACTTGGATGGAGGCCGGGTTGGCGGCAATGGATTTGCGTTGAACGGGATGTGACGAGATTTGGTAGACAGATCAGGACTGGGGACTCACGACTCCACGGACAACTCGGTGTTGGTTCGCAAGGACAACTGCTAACTATGGGTTTTACAGGACAAGCACTTCAAATATACAGGAGTTGGCAAGAGCGAAACCATCACCAAGTCCAGCAGGTGGGAGAAATAGAGGGGAGGGTGCGGATAATGTACGAATACAATGCGCGATGAAAACATTTCACTATTGTTCGAAGACCATTGGACTTTTGATCCCGAGCTCCGTGCGCCCCGGCAATCACTCGTTCATGATATCATAGATTGGTTATGCTCCTTCATATCGTACACCTAACTCAGGCTCGCTACGCTCGCTCCCTCGCTTAACGCCCTCCAGCAGCCCTCAACCTCGCCTCCAACTTCTCAAACTCCTTCAACGCAACCTCCTCCTCCTGATCCAAAACCTGCTGTACCCCCTCCACACTCGGGACATAATGCATCAACATACTCTCAATCCCATTCCTCAACGTCAACGTGCTCGAATCACACGTACTACACGCACCCTTGAGCTTCAAATACACCCACCCATCCCTAAACTCCCTAAACTCCACATCACCACCGTCTTCTTGGATCGTGGGGCGGATACGGGTATCGAGGAGTTCCTTTATCATCGCGACGTCTTCGGAGTCGGTGTCGAGGGGTGCTGTATCACTCGCCGCCGCCGGTGTCGATTCGGCGTCTGAGACGAGTGGGAGACCTGCTGTGATGTGTTCCATGATGAGGGAGAATATCTCGGGTTTGACGTGCGGCCATTGTGCGTCGGTGCTTTTTGTCACTGTGATGAAGTCGGGGCCGAAGAAGACTGCTTTTACGCCGTCGACTGTGAAGAGTTTTCGGGCGAGGGGGGAGGACATTGCGTCACGCCCCGACTTGAATTCCAGTGATTGGGAGGAGGGGTTGGGGAGGACTGGGCGACCTGGGATGAATTTGAGAGCATCGACATTGGGGGTTTGCTCCGTCTGGATCCAGAGCCCAGTTGCGGCGGAGGAGTTGTAGCGGACCGGCTGCCTCAGCAAAGGGCGAGCGGCGAAGATTGAGCGGGAGAGATGTGCGAGGGGTCTTGCTGGCATGGTTTCTGTGATGGGATGGGATTGTGTTTTGCGTCGATCCCGGTTGGAGGCGACTTTGGATTATTGAGGCCGACGACCTGCGTTGGCGCACGTGATCCGTTGTAACGTAGGCCCGCGCGCCGTGGAAGCCGAATCGAGCAGCCGTAGGAACTTGCAACAGGGAGCGGATGAGTAAGTCGTGCTCACTTTCTAGGGAAAGAAAATATCTTTAGTTCTCATCTTCCTTCTGAAGCTTCTCCTTCCACTCCCTGTATAGGTCGTCCATGGCTTTGTGAACCCGTCTTCCTTCCTGCTCGTCACACTCCTCCACCTCCTGTCACACAATCCTCTCATTTCCCCACCTATCTGTCCCACTTCCAAACTTCTTGCTCATGTCATCATCGATCACCGCGCAATACAGAGACGAGAGAGCACCTTTGTGCGCTGTACACGTATGCCATACCGAACCCAGCAAACGAGCAAGGTAGAAACAGGCAAACATACCCCAGAAGAACGGCTTGATGAGGTGATCTGCCATGATGTTGGTACCGCAGATACCTGGGTGAGTAAGGTATTGTCTGACTTTGTATGACTTGAAGATGGATTTGTATGATGCAATGTGGAGAACATCAGTGATACGTTTCGAGCCCTCGTAGGAGTGGGTGTTGGTCAGGAGTTGGAGGGTGTCAGAGGGCGTGGAGGTACTTGCATCAGCGACGTCCGAGAGGGTTTTGGTGGGGTCAGGGTAGGAGAACGCCCAAGGGAATGCCTCAAGAGATGAGGTCCAGATGACTTTACCACCATCCTTCATAACTGGGAGTAGCTCCTTCATCAAGTAAAAATGTCCAAATACGTTACACTGGAATACCCATCCCAGTCCATCACCCGACTTGCGACCTATTCTTTGCAACTTGTAGGTTGGTGCGGTGAGTGCAGCGATGAACACATTCCAGAAATCCAATGCCAGTTGTTTCCAATCAAGGCCGATGAAGTCTCCTGCACCGGCATTGAGGTATAGATAGTCGATCCTTCCAAACCTCTCTTTTAACTCCTTTGCAGTGTCATGAACACTGCGCATGGACGCAAGGTCAAGCAGTGCATAATCGAGTTTGAGGGTCTTTGCGGGATATTTGTGTTGAAGTCGGCGCAGAGTATCTTTGGCTTTGGTGGTGGATCGGCATGTCACGACAATTGTGATTCCTTCAACAGCCGTGATCAGTCGGCATGCAACTGCAAATCCAAGGCCGCTGTCAACTGCTTGTCACTATTTGCTACCAAAAGCCCGTCGTACGACTGACCTATTCGCTCCAGTAATCACTGCAACCGGCATCCTTTTGCTTATATGGAGCGGGCGAAACAGGCGGTTGGGAGTCTTTGGTGGTGTCGGTTGCGTTGAACAGCCGTAAAGCAGCGGATAAGGAAATACGCAGAATGTGATGTCCTCGACGAGTCGTAAGGAGATTCCTTGAGTACACGAAACTTATCGACGTCTACGTTACCGGCTGACCCGCGTCCTGCGTTGCACGTGATGTCGTAGACCGCAGTTGAGCGCGTCGCGTAATTTACGTTCCCCTCCAAGCACCTCCAAATCTCAAAACTACGTGAGAGGTGTAGAACAATTGAACAAGATGAGCACCGATCCAGCGCAGACAAACCAAAATGCGAACCCGCCCTCCACAATTCCTGATCCGACGGATGCAGCCTCAGCGGGTCACGGCGTTGTACACTCAAGACCGGAATCGCATCAGGGCTCTGGGACACCGATGACGGGTACCCCGTCTGCACCAGTAGGGTTTATCCATGTCCTCATATATGGGATCATTACTGATGACATGAGCTAGGGATATCCGCCGCAATACGGTCAATACACACATCAACATCCTCAGCAGCACCCGCAACATCCACAACACCCCCAAGCCCCTCAGCACCCACAATACGCCCAATACCCACCTCAAGCCTATGCCCAACATCCTCAACATCCTCCCACACACCCCTACCCATACGCTCAGCATACCCAGCATCCCTACCCACCCCAACAGCACCCCTCACAACTCCCCCCGCAAGCCCCTCCAGGTCCTGCAGGCCAACAATACTCCCCCGCCGAACTGCAATACCTCCAACGCCAACAAGCGCAACAGCTCCAACAACAACAGGCTGCGCAACAATACTACGTCCAACAACAAGCCGTACAGCAACAACAGGCGGCTGAGGCACAGAGGGTTAGGGAACAGCAGCAGAAAGAGGCGCGGGAGAGGTATGAGATGGAGCAGAGACAGCAGGCACAGGCGCAGGTTGCGGAGGAGAGGGAGAGGGAGAGGAGGGCGAGTGAGGATGGGCAAGGATCTGTTGGTGGTGGTGATGCAGCTGGGGTTGCAGTGAAGGCGGAGGGTACACCTCAAGCGGCTCCTCCTCCTCAGCGTCCAGAAGAGGCCTCAGCGCCAGTACAAACACAAGTACCAGCATCAGCAGCACCACAAATACAAATCCCACCTGCAGCAGCTCCGGCGGCTCCAGCTGTGGGTGCAGGCCGCCAACTACCCGGAGCCCCCACACGCGTCTGGCTCAATGAACTCGTTACGCCTGCATTACTGAATGGAATGCGGATGCTAGCGAAGGAGAAGCCTGGGGATCCCTTGAGGGTATTGGGGGAGTATCTAATCAGGGAGAGTAAGAAGGGGAGGAGATGAGGAGGTGAGAGGTCGGATATGAAAAACTTGGGTCAAGACCTATCGGAGAGGAGAACGTGAATTTTAGGGGTATCACCAGGTATACGCTATCATCTACCAGCTAGCTACGGAAAGGCCTAAATTCCATCCCTATACATCTTCAACATCCCCTCCTTAGATCCACCCAACAAACTCTTCCTGATCCCCACACCCAATCCCTTACCATCCTTGACCTCCGGTACGCTGACTCTCAAAATACACTTGTTGCCCTTTCCTTTCGTTCCTTCGAACGAGAGCCAGCCTAGTCCGGCAAGGACGAGATCAAGCGCGTAGGCGTTCGGACTGTAGAGATCTGTCAAATCGATAGGTCTGCCAAGAGGTTGTAGAGGTTCGTCGTAGATGATGGGGGTGATTTCGCGACGTTCTTCACCTTCCTCCTCGGGTCTTCTGGCGTATTCCATGATCTTATCCACCTTCTCTGATCTACCGATGTGCCATGGTAAATTCGTAAAGATACCCACACGGACTCGATCCGTACCCTCGCCCTCGGGGTAGTCGATACGGATGAGTCCACCCAGGAGGAGACTCTGGCCGGGTCTGAGCCATTCTGGTTCAGTTGTCGCGATGGCTTTCTTGGGCATAATGTCTCGTAGCACATCAGGGTCGACGTGCTGCATCAACCCACCCCCAGGCCATGCGAAACCTGGGGTATCATTGATAACGGCTTGGTGTTTCATTCCATAGGGTTGAATGGGAAGTCTTACGGTTCCCAGCGTCGTTCCAGGGAGATGCGATTCCGTTACCGGGTCCTTAACCGGAACGGAGATAACTCGGCGTCGAGCGAGGGAGTTGAGTAAACTGGATTTCCCGACGTTGGCGACACCGACGCAAAACACCTCTTTTGTTGCTGTTCCAGCACGTTTTGTGATACTGTCGGCAAGGAGGTCAACACCCCAGCCCTTATGTGAAGATATGATTCGAACATCTGCTGTTTGTTGGCCTGTGATTTTCTTGATGCGGTTTTGAAGTTCGAGTCGGAGTAGGGCGCATTCTTCGTCGTTCTTGGCGATAAGGTCTGCTCTGGTGATCACGTAGACCATCTTTGCGTTTGGTACGTACTTTGGTAGGTCTTTGAGTAGGGATAACGGGAAATCAGCGACGTCCATGATGTGTAGGACAATAGGTGAAGGGTGGGTATTTCGAATCGTGCGAATGACATCGTGCCACTCCGTGAACTCCGGGGTGTTCAGCTCGGCTACCGGCTCAGCCCACCTCTTATTCTTGGTAACCTCAGTCGGTGGGCCTGCGGGTGCCGAAGAGTGATGTTTCAGGTTATGACATCGTAGACAGATGACCTCTTTCGGCCCCGTCGCTTTCCCCTCCTTCGGTATTCTCGTCCCAAAAACCTCTTCCCACCCCGGCGGAACCCGCTTCTTGATCAAAGGCCACTTTTTAGACATCTCAGTGGTCTCGTAATCCGCCAAGGCCGCGTCGAAGATATCCTGTTCGAGTTGCCTTTTGGGGTTGATGGCCAGTTTGATCTCATCTGGAATGATATTCGACATTTTGCGGGGGTTTTCGGGGGAGTATTTGACTCCGCAGCCAGGACAGTGGTTTTTGGGGACTTTTTGGACGGGGGTTGGGGGGGGAGGGATGAAGTCAGGTTCGGCGACGGGTTCGGTGGGTAGTTCTGGAAATGCTAGGTCTGGATCTTCCAGAGGGTTTCTAGGTCCCAGCTTGCGTCCCTCGAAAACGATTTCGTCAGACAGAAGAGCAGGAGTCGCATGGTACAGTCGCACAGTGCGACCCTGACTTCCTAGAGCTGCACGGACTCTATTTGAGAGTTGTGACAATCTGATTGAGCGTCTCATCCTGTGTTGTTCGTGGTGTATCGGCTTCGAAGGCGCTGAAGACGTTCGCGTAAAGTTCCAAGGTTGTTGCTAAATTTAGAAATTTCGATATTCCGCGACAGAACGATGTCACGTAGACTTCTTGCTAAACCAAAATACAGAGTCATGTTATACTAATATCAAAACTAATTCCAAAGGAGAAATTAGCGTGACAAGAGAGATCAGCCAGCAATTGTCGGTTTCCACTCCCCACACGCCCGGCACCTGACTTCACCTGCACGGCATCGCATCAAGAACCTCGACAATCCAATAACTCACAAAATTCCACAATGACTCTCCAGGGATCGTACGTCTTCAGTCAACCTTCAAGTCTAGTTGCTCAGTGCTAATTGCTCGGATGCGATAGTACCGAGAACCACCGTGCCCACAAGGTCACCCACCGCTTGGCTCAGCTCCGTAACACCCCCCCGGAGTTGTGGCCCATTTTCGGTGTTTTGATGGTTGGATTGGGTGGTATGTCTCTCCTTCCCCCCCAAAATGTTTACCACTGTTTCTTACCTATGCCCCGATTGCCGGCGTTTGGGCTTTGGGCAAGGCGGACATGCGGATTGGATCAGTAGTGGACCATGATGAGACCAAATGCTGATTGTGTCAAATAGCCGCCGTCTACACCATTGCCAACAAGCTCAGGACCGACCCCCATCTGCGTCTTTACCCCTCCAGATACTCTGGAAACAAGAGCAGGAACTCTGAGGACCACAAGCATTAAATTAGTCGATTGGTTTCAGCTGTTGATGTTGGTGTTAGAATGATGATGATGGAAAGTGTAGGAAGTGTAGGAAGCTGGGTACTAATTGAACAATCATAATTATTTCTTTCGCACCATATGAGGTTACGTCAGCTGTGAGGACATTTGGTGAGGAAATCTGGAAAGCGTTCGGTGCTTGCGATGACAATTCCGTATCGTCACTGCGACTATCCCATCTAACCGTGTCAAATTCTGTTCGAAAGCAAAACGCCCGTAGCCTTGATAACAGCCCCACACTTCCTACTGAATGCTCGCAAATCAAACTCCCGTGTACTTCAAGCCTTAGCCTTCCCTTTCCCCTTCGCATCCTTCTTCCACTTCTTCGCCGCTGGTTCCTCCTCTTCCTCTTCATCCTCCTCCTCGCTATCGTCTTCGTCTTCGTCTTCGTCATCCCACCCCGCGAACGCAATGGGCTTCTTCTGCACTGCCTTCGGCGCTGGAACAGGCCGTGTCACTTTCGCACTCGAACTGCCCTCACCCACATCATCCTGTTCGTCTTCTTCTCCCGGGCTAGTTGAATCTCGCTCCGAGGAGTTTTGTTTCGCCAACTTGGCTTCCCGTAGCGCTTCCTTCACCGAGCTCCTGACCCTCTCAACCAACCCCTCCCTCTCCTCCTCCCACTTCCCCACCTCCATCCTCCTCCCAGCCCCTACTGCCCCCTGCTCCTCCTCCCTCTCCACAGTCCTAATCTTTCCCTCCAGCCTCTCCCGCCTCCTCTTCTTCTCCTCCCTCTCCCTTTTCGGTCGCTCGCGTTCATACCGTGCGAGTTCCTCGGCTTCCTGAATGGAACGGAGACGACGACCGGAGAGGTCGCGGCAGGCGGAGTTATTGGTGGGTTGGGAAGACATTCGACCGCCTGCTGCACGGAGTTGGGAGCCGAAGCCGCCTTTACCGCCGGGGAGGTGGGGTGTGAGGCGGAGGCGGAGGTAGTCTGTTCCGTTCGTATTCTCATTCACCTCCGCGTCGAGACCGTCCGCGCTGGATTTCCAATCGACCAAGTCCCCTAGGTTCAACCCATCATCCATAGGTAATGGTCGCCCACTCGCGAAAGACAACATACACCGTCCAATGTCGATATCGCCTACGCTTTCAATGACGTTCTCGAGGACCAACTCCGGCAGATCCGTGACAAGCTCATCGCGAGGAAGTGGGCGCACGATAGTAGAACGAGAAACGCTCGTCTCGACAAGGAGGTTGATGATATTCATGGGCATATAGAAATCGAAGACCTCGGTTGGTAGAGTATACCGTACGTACGAGCGTCGAGTTGCAGAAGCCCTGCATGTTCACGTACGCCCAAATTAAGCTTCGGGCCAGAAACTACCGGAAACACTCCTTCTCCTCGACGTGATTTCTATCACCGTCTCTACTTCTTCAAACGCGTCTCTTCACCTTTACCTTCTCCAGCTTCGTTACGTTCGAACAAAGATGCAGTTTTGCCCACACTGCGGAAACCACCTCACCGTCTCCGGCGGAAACACCGGCGGAGGAAACAAGATGGAGTGCAAAACATGTCCGTATCAATACCCCATCACAATGGTATGTCGCACCCTCTCTCTCTCGCTCCTCCCTCATGCCGACCCTTGAGGACCCCCGAGAGAATCAAGGAGAACCCTCGCTGCCATTCGAACTGCCTCACTGACATGCGGCCTCTAGAAACTAACATCCCGAACCCTCCTCAAGCGCAAAGAACTCGACGACGTAATGGGCGGCGGCTGGGACAATGTCGACAAAATCGCTCAAGCATGTATTAACGACACTTGTCCTGGACGAGAAGCGCATTACACACAGATTCAGATTCGGAGTGCGGATGAGCCGCCGACGACGTTTTATCGGTGTGTTGAGTGTGGTAGGCGGTGGAGTGATATGGGGAGGTGAGCGAGTGGAGGGATCTTATTGTGTGTTGGTGGGAGGAGATGGGGTAAAGTGGACGGGGGCGAGTATGAGGGTGATTTCTGGCATTACGGCGTTCTTGGACTTTGACTTCAACAAAATTATTACGAACTGATATTATAGCATTAACCGCTTCCATCCATACTGCCTCGGACCTGAACAAACCAACTCCTTCTCTAAGTCGCGTGTATCTCGGGCCGAGCCCAGACAACACCTTGTCCTCACCAAACCCCCCCCCCTGTATCTGATACCAGAGCCACTCCATTCTGAATCTCCTGAAGCTTACTTCCTCGTCGCCACAGCCTCGGGATACGCCGGCAACTCCGATCCTTGCGCTCCACCAGCCCTACTGGCCCACGGATTTCCCGTCTGAACTCCATAGCTCTGCGCACTACCACCCTGCTGCATCATGGGCGGTGCGCCAGGCGGAGGCGCGTATGCTCCAGCTGGCTGGGATGGGTATGAGTTGTTAGGAGAAGGAGCACCGGGCGGGGGACCGTAGGAGTGTCCGGTGCCGGGGATTGGAGCGGTTATGGGTTGTTGGCTGTAATGTTGCTGGGATTCGAACTATTGGCAATTTGTTAACATTCAATCCATCACGTTCTCATACATCGTCTAACTCGAGGCTCCAAGCTCTAGGGCGTAAGCACTGAGCCAAAGCCCAGCGCCCAATACGGCCCGCCCATCGCCCCGTCGTCCTCCGTTCCTTGGGTGCACTTACATAACTAGGCGGCACACTCCACCCAAATCCCGGCACAGGCGCCCGCCCCCTCCGCACCCTACGCCGACTCAAACCACTACTCGCAAAAAAGAACGCGAGTGCAGCGGCGACAATGAGACCGAGAAGGACCCATCGACCCCAGGAGTTCCAGCCGGAGCGGTTGTTGCAGGTGTAGTAGCCGTAGTAGGCAGAGTAGCAGGTTGCGCGTTTAACTAAGAGTGTTGGAGGCATTGGGTTTATGTTGTCCAGATGAATGCTGGCTGTTGATGATAGGGGGGAGCAATGGGGCGAGGATAGGGGAAGTATATCAAGGTTCTCGCCTAGCGGGGCGCAGTCATTAGAGCTGGGGGATTCCGTGGGCTGGGTGCATGGGTGTGGCGGGTACATGATGACGTACGATGGATGATGTAGCCGTTGGTATCGAATGAAATTTCAGTTCAATATTGCAATCAATAAAATCCAAGCTCTCGGTTTGCTAAATTGCAGCATTGGGGTTCCTGGTAGTCCGATCTGGCAGTGTCATGACTTCAAGCAATATGGCCCCATTTCGGAAGCGTATGGCCCTCCAATCTTTGAAAGGCCACTTGCAACTGCCAAGATGAAAGTGACAGGCTTCCTGAGCCATTGTGATTTCGCCCCGCGTATGCGTCTTTTGCACAAAGGCCCGGGTAGTGATACGATTCAAACACATATCGTACGGCGTAATGGTGGACTTTGAGGAGGCGCTTCCGAACACATAGTCCCCATAAAGTAAGTGGACATAATCTGCGACTCTTGGGGCTTTTCGGTGCACTTCTGTCACTCGCGGTCGCCGTGCCTGTCGTGACTGACGTCGAGCCATGTCGCTGGAGAGGCCGCCTGGATCCCACGGTGCATCAACACCCTCCAAGACACCGCCATGGCCATGCTCGTCACTGCCGGCATCAGTATGATTCTCCTTGCAGTAGCCCTCAGAAGCGGATCTCAATCCCCATTTCTTTCAACACCTCCCTAACCCTCCCCTCAACCTCCCCAATCCCCGCATGCCCCCCCGCCCCAGCCGCATATTTCTCTATCCCCGTCCCCTCAAAGTACTCCTTCCCAAATACCTCTACATCTTGTAACTTCTCCTCCGCCCAATCCAATAATTCCGTAATAGCATAGTTAGCCGGGTGTCGAATATGCAAGGAGTGGAGGACGCCAAGGAGACGTCCTGCGCGAAGACCGAGAGGGGAGGCAGTGGAGTAGCCGGCGTCGAAGCCGGGTTGGGCGGAGGAGGTGCGGCCGTGGTGGATGCCGTCTTTGTAGCCTTGGTTTGAGTGGAGCTCTTTCAGGGCTGCCCAGTCCTTGGCCGTCGGGTGTGCTTCCTGCTCCCTTGTCTCCATGACCTCATCGCCATCGGAGGCCCATATGTCGTCGTTATTGTGTTCGTTCTCCATGTTGGTGGGATTTTAATATTTGTTGGGCGAGTGTAACGTCGACAATTCACGTTTCCCCTCCTCGACCAATGAGGATTCCCAATTTCGGCTTACGGTCTGCACCCTGCCACATCCGCCACACCGCGTTCAACGGAACCCCAGTCATTCCAGCAAAGTCCTGCTCCACCAAACAAATCAATCAAACGAGAAACGATCCATTCAAGATGCTTTCTACAATCAGATGTTTGCGCACGCAGATGAGCCCCACGAGAACGACTGTCACCGCTACCTCATTCTCGTTCGCGAGTAGGCAGCTGGCGACGATTCATCATCAGCAGCAGCCTTATGACACCATGAACATTCCGCCTGCGCCGCCACGAGTTGCTACTTATCCCTCTCAACCAACACCAACACCATCCCCTACTACCACATTCGCGACTGCAGCGGCGGCGGCGGCTCCTGCACAGACGGAGGCGGCACCAGTACCCGCACCGAGGAAGAGACCAATCCTCCGCGCCCGCAAAGCAGCAATGTCCCTCACCCCCAAAGCTATCGAAAAACTCCGCACCCTCCTTCAAACCCGCGGTACCCTCGTCAAAGTCGGTGTCAAGAACAAGGGTTGCGCAGGCATGTCCTACGACCTCTCCTACGTCACCACGCCTCACCCCTTTGACGAGTCAGTCTCTGTCGATGGTGTCACGGTGTTGATTGATAACAAGGCGCTTATGAGCATTATTGGGAGTGAGATGGATTGGGTTGAGGACCGGTTGAGTGCGAGGTTCGTCTTTAGGAATCCGAATGTGAAGGATACTTGTGGGTGTGGGGAGTCGTTCAATGTTGGGAGGGATGATTTGGCGGCGATGAAGAACTCTAAGAGAGTATAAGGCGTGATCAGAAGGCTTCATGATCGACGAAGGAGGTTTTCGGTCTTTTCAGATGCGTGGAAGGTGAAGGATGGACAAGAATACGTTGTTTTTGTTTGCACTGGGTTTAACATCATATCATTGGCGTTATGGGGTTTTTTATTGCTGTTACGGCTGGTATGGGTTTTTGTGTCTCTCTTTTTATTCATTCTCCACTATTCTATTACGAGAACCATAGATGGAATGGGATGCATTCGTGTTACACCATGTTTTGAGGCCGTGCTCATGGCTTTCCAGTTCGACATATATGCCGCCCCCGGTATCGCCAGGATCAATCGCTGTCGTGAGATGTAGAGATAGGTATCCTGTGCTTTACTATGTAATACATTGATGAGGTGCTCAAGGTTCGGCGTCTCCTATACTGAGATTTGCAAATTCAGAGCAAAAGGTTCAGCTCCTCTGAAAGCATGTCCTAATCCAGCGATATCCGCCATGATCCCAATTGCGAACCAAATCCTCGTCACCTCGCCATTGCAAAGTACCATCCAAAACCATCTCAGAACCCACGTATCGTACCCACGCATAGATAAAACAGGTAAAAGTCGAAACCGAACGCCAGCCTGAACACAAATCAAACCTGCACAGTCCAAAAGCAAACATCCAATCAAACGTTCAAGCCACACGCCATCACACCTCCCTCTACTCAGTAGTCTTCCCAAAACAAACAATCACCTCTTACATCCACGCGACCCTACGCCTCTCCCAGTGACACCACCAACCTCTCTCTCAAGCCCCTAACATATTCAACTAACCCCGGCAACGTCTCCGTATCGACATGAACACTCTCGTCGACCGTATACGCCCTCCCTCTAACCTTCCCCATCACGCTTCGTGCGTCCATCCTAATTCTCCTTGAATCTTTCCCACCTTCAGCGCCTTCGTGACTAAAGCCAAGGGGTATGTCGGGGGTCGTGGTGGTGGAAGTAGCGACGGATGTCGTCGAAGATGACAGAGAGGGAGGTGAGGTCCGTGGTCGCGGTCGCGGTCGCGGTCGCGGTGTAGATGTTTCGGGGTCAGTGCTCGCAAAATCAAGCACCGCTTCCGCTTCCGCCCACAATACCCCGTCCTCCCCCTCTTCATCATCCCTGTATGCGTGTCGAGCAAGGAGAGTCTTGAGTTCCTCCACCAGTTTCGCGAATTCCTTCACGTTGGTGAGATGCCCCCGAATACTCGCTTGACGCTCTACAATACTCGTCGGGACTGAAAACCTGACACTCCCTCTACCCCCCTTCCCACTTGCTCTGGACGCTCTATCGCCGGGGATGGTAGTGGATCGTGCAGTCATCGGTCGCCGCGGTTGTTGTAGCGTAATCGAATCTTCTTCCTCAGATTCGGATTGTCCAGAAAGCGGAGAAGAAGGCGCAATATCGAAATCCTCATCCCAACTCTCACCTGCCGTAGAGAAACTTCCGGTCCCACTCCCACCCTCCACGAAACTCGTGCTCTTCGCTCTCTCGTGTCCCCCACCCCTCAACATACCCGCGTACTCACTCCTCGTCGGTAAGCTGGGTTTGAGGGTAGACGAATCCTCGTCCTCGCTCGCGCTCGCGTCCCAATCCGAGATATCGGAATCTGATTCGCGGTCTTGGGCGAGTGTCGATGGCGTCATGGCATTTGAGCTTACGGAGCTAGAGTACTCTTCTTTCGTGATGCTGGTGGTGATTGGGGTGGGTATGGCCATGGGTTTGATGGTACTAGCCGTACTCGGTCGTCGTACGAATTCATTCGACACCCCAAAGGCAGGTGGGGGAAGGGTGTCGTGTCGGATCGTCGCGGTACTGGAGCGTTTGTCGACCCGTCGTTCTGGACTCAGGTTCGGCGCCGAAGCATTCCACATCTCTTCCCCCAACACCGGTATCGGTGGTCTTAACTCCTCTTTCCTGGCCAATAATACCTCCAAACTCTCCTCCGCACTCGTCCCTCTACTGGGAGGTGTCTCAGACACAAACGCGAGTCTTGGTGGCACGAGGCTCTTCGTAGCCCTGTGCGCTTTTCCCCATACCTTCGAACTACGGGGTGCGTCTACCGGGGGTGCAAAGACGTCGTCGGCGCGAGCACGTTCGGTACGGGGGGAGGTGCGGAGGGATTCGTAGGCCGTGTCGGATTGTGTTTCCCAGTCGTCATTTTGCTCGACCTCTCGTTCTGGCGCATGTGGGGTATGTAGTGGTGGTGGTCGTAGCGTGGGTGGAAGGGCCGTCGATGGTCGCCGCCCCTCTGTGGGCGCTGGTGGGGGTGGGCACTGTGACAACGACGGCCGTTGCTGCAAAGTCTCCTCCTCCTTCTTCCTTCTCCAGAACTCAGCAGAGAAAAACCTTCTTCCACGCGGGATAAGGTCACTAAACGCTGCCTTGATCGGGTTGGACGCAGTTCGTTGCGCTTGAAATGTCGCTGTCGTGGGTGTTGGTAGGCCGCCCGCGGAGGACATTGGTGGATGCCGTGGGGAGGATAGGCCTCCTAGGAAGGATTTCCGTTTTTTGGTGGACATTGGTGAGATGTATGCGGGTTGTATGCTGCTCCAACTCAGCCCTGCTCGTCGCGGTTACGGTCCTGGTCGCGAATAGATACGTGCTCCTCTCCTTCGAGAGATGCTGATGTATACCCAATTGCAAGAGACGATATCGATACAAAGCAAAGTTCTCCTATTCCCGTGTTCTATATGCCCAGAGCGAATGGCAATGGCCGTCCCTTCAAGCCGTAGGGTCTAGCTGTTTGCAAGGAGCTGCCGTTCTGGCGCGGCTAGGCGCTCCGACGTATATTGCGGCTGGTGACGCGGGATGCTGCAGCGGTACCTCCCCAGCCACGATGAGACCTGCTGTAAGAAAAATACGGTACGATACGTCGTGTCCACGTTACAGTTCCCTTACCGGCTTAAGAATCGAGTTTGTCGTTGATCCCATCTTCTTCACGCATCTTCAGGTCACCAGGAAGATATACCGGTACGCAGAGCAATGGCAGTAACAGGCAGCAAGATCGGCAAAACCGCAAAACCCGCCAGCATGACGAAAAAGATGGTCAAGGGAGCCGGCGCGGCGGCCGTGGCGAAGGAAGAGGATATTGATGATATATTTGCAAAAAAGTCAAAAGCCGCTGCGGTGGATATCGATGAGATCTTTGCGAAGCCAAAGAAGGGGGCGAAGGATGAGGTTGCGGTGAAGGGGAAGAAGGTGGAAGAGGAGGTACCAGCAGAATCAAAATCATCCAAGAAGAAGAAGAAGTCGAAAGCAAAGAAATCTGCTGAGGAAGACACATCAGAAACCCCGTCAGAAATCCCAGCACCCGCCCCCAAACCCGCCGTAATCGTCGCCGACTTCTCCTCCACCGCCACCAAACCCTCAAAATCCTCCACATCTACATCCGCACCAGATGACGACTTTGCAAACTCTCGAGGTGCGTCGAACGTGAAGAGAACAGAAGAAGGGTTTAGGGTCTACGACGAGGACTTCTTGAAGATGAATATTCCGGGGAGTGGGGAGACGGAGGACTGTCCGTTTGAATGCGAGTGTTGTTATTAGGGTGTGGGAGTGGCGTGTTAAGAACAAGGGGATTCGGAGTTGGAAGGCCCAGGGTGATGCGGGGTGAGAGTGCACAGGTCAGAGAGCCCAAGGAGCCCTGATTTTTGGTACTCTGGAGATCACTGGGAATGATGAGAAGTTTGTGATGGCCGCGGGAGTCGATTGGTATTAGCTCTACATTAAAATCCCCGCCATTGGTCAAATCCGGCATCGGGTACCCTGAAAGCGTACGGGATGGGTGGGACACGTATTCGCATGTGTTGGGTTTTTGGTCACATATCGCCAATTTAATATAGGGAAGTGGTGCTCTATGATTGAAAGAAAGTTGTCTATATTCATTCTCAATCCCCAGTCCGGATGCGCAAGCTATAGCTAAACACCTAAGAAGCTTATACGTCTTGTTTTCACCGCTGAGTGTCCTGACTCCTCACACGTACAAACACTCAACTGCGAAAGCAAAACACACAAACAAACACAATGCACCAGTCCTTGCACATGTGCGAGACTTTGTTGCTCATCTCAGGACGTCACTTCCTGAAAGTTCACAAAATCCCTGCCGTCCACGCTATGAGCCCCATGAAAAAGACCGGACCGGCACACTTACTGAGAGGCCATGACATGGTTCTGGAAAGCGAACCCCAGAGGGGTGAGTCCCGCCGCAACGCGTACTCTGTTGGATGGGTGGTTGGTTGGGGAGAGAATCAAGAGTGGACAGGTTCTGGGGAAGAAGATTTTTGCTTCTGGACTTATTCGTAGCGTGCAATTCTGGCGAGCGAGGAGGGCTCTGATCGGCCGAGTTTGGGAGGCAGTGAGAAGGGAGTATGTTGATCTCAACCTGGGACTGAGGGTTTTTTATAGATATGCTGTAGTCTGGATCGGATGAGTGAGGGAAACTTGGTGTATCCCATGTGACTGACCGGTACCGTCATAGTGCTCCTCGCCCTCCTCAACACCACCGGGAGCAGCGCAATACATCTCCACACGATCATATTGCAGATTTATGTAGAAGTTATACAGTGATTATCTCCCAACATCTACACTATGGTCTCAGCTATACCCCCGCGGTACTCCTCAACCGCATCCGTCAAGCTTCTTCCCGGGTCCGTCCATCACTTCCGCTCTTGGGAACGCCATGAGAAGCTATATAGTAGCTAGAAAAGTCTATCATAACACTCTCAAAATGCAACCCTTCAAGAAACCATCCGGCGGTTACTCGCTTCTCGTGTTTCCCACGACTCCCGGATCCGGTGTCCCCCCAAACCCGTACCGCATTACGTATACGTGTAGCAACCTAGCACAGTAAACCACACACCAAATGATCTTGCTGAATACGCTAAAGTCAGATAACTACCAGTTAACCAAACAGAATTATGCTCGAATCCCAGCTCATCGGCGGGAGAAGTGCGCTGCGGATCCAGCTACTATCGATCGCGAACATATGGCACTTCAATGACGCGTGGGAAAGCGGCAATATGTCTGAGTTCGTCGGTACGAGCATGAAGCTAAGGGCTCCCTGGTCTTTTGCATATATGAGCGGGGATGGATATAGGACTCGTATCTGTTTTCACTGAGGATGAATGGCGCATCGGATAAGCGTTGCTGGGCCCGGCTTACTACCGTGCCGCACATATGCATGTACAGCGATTGCCGATTACAATCACAGCAGCGGAAAACTTGAGACCGTCTCAAACGCAAATGGTTATGGAAATTGATTACATAACAGATTGCTGAAAGGAGGTGAACGCTTCAATTGAACCTTCCAGCTGGGTGTTACTGGTGTTACCCAACCCTAACCTCACAGTTGCGATTGAGACCGTCACCCTCCCGCCATCAATGAATCAAGCATTAACGATTGACAGGTTGACAGGCCTCTCTTTCATTAAACCACATGCACTTTCACACGCATTCAGCCTGTGACGTTTTGCACGCGCGTCTAACAGATTTAGGCACAAGCCACGTCAACCCCATGGAGTCTAGCCTAATGCCTATCTCGTCACCCTCAACCGGAAGCTATAACCCCAGCAAAACTGCCTGCTCTCTCTCCCTCGACAGGACCCAATTGCAATAGACAAGGACAAGATGCCGATGCATATGGGCCATCACTATCAGACGGTGGAGGAGATGAGGTTGGCGGAGGATAGGCATAAGAAGAAGGTACGTCCGCTACCCACCCCACTTCCCGCTTCCGCTTCGCCGGGCGTGAATGCTAGACGAAGATCATGGACTGACTCAGTTGACAGTACTGGCGCCGTTGGGGTCCTTACCTCTCTGAACGTCAATGGTCGACCGTCCGCGAGGACTACTCCGGCAACGGCGACGCCTGGTCGCACTTCCCCCACTCTCATGCCCGTATGCGAGCGTTCCGGTGGGGTGAGGATGGATTGGGTGGGATTAGTGACAATCATGCGTTGATGTGTATGAGTTTTGCGTTCTGGAATGAGAAGGATGAGATTTTGAAGGAGAGGGCGTTCGGGTTGACGGGGCATCAGGGAAATCATGGAGAGGATGGTGAGTGCAATGATCTCGGGGGTGAATGCTGCCATTGCGGCGCATATACCCCTTGGAGTTGATGGTCACGGGAAAGGAAATGCTAACACAATTGGATCAGTCAAGGAAATCTACTTCTACCTCGACTCTACCCCCACCCACTCCTACATGAAATACCTCTACAAATACCCCCAAACCGCCTTCCCCTACGACAAACTCGTCGCCGAAAACGCCGCCCGCGACCGTAACGCCCAAGAATACGAAATTACCGACACCAAAATCTTCGACGAAAACCGATACTGGGACATCTTTATCGAGTACGCCAAGGACGAGGAGAATGAGGACGAGTACTACATTCGGATTGCGGCGTATAACCGGGGTCCGGACAAGGCGAACTTGCATATTATTCCGCAGATGTTTTTCAGGAATACTTGGGCGTGGGGGGTTGAGCCTGAGGAGAAGAAGCCGGGGATGAAGGGGGAGGGGGAGAAGGTTGTGCATGCTAAGCATCATAAGTTGGGGGATCGATACATGCAGGTCTCGTCTTCGCCGGGTGTTAGTGAGGATGCGCCCATCGTTGAGCCGACATTGTTGTTCACGGACAATGACTCGAACTACAAGAACCTTGGTTGGGGCGAGAATAAGACCAAGTACTGCAAGGACGCCTTCCATGAGTTTATCGTGGATAAGAAGGAGGATGTCGTTAACCCCGATAAGGAAGGTACCAAGGCTGCTGCTTGGTTTGATTTCCAGGATGTCCCGAGTGGTGAGTGTGTCGTCGTTCGTCTCAAGTTCTCCAACAGGGTCGAGGAGGGCGACATCGACGAGGAGGCATTCGATAATGTCATTGAGTCTCGCTTGGCTGAGGCTGATGACTTTTATTGGAGGATTAGTCCTATGCCCATGGCTGACGATTTGCGCAATATCCAGCGTCAGGCATTGGGTGGTATGATGTGGAACAAGCAGTACTACGGCTTTATCTGGGATCAGTGGGCGAATGGAGACCCCACTCAGCCGCCGCCGCCCGAGGAGAGGAAACATGTCCGCAACCAGGCGTGGAAGCATTTGTATATCGACGATGTCTTGTCGATGCCTGATAAGTGGGAGTACCCATTCTTTGCTGCCTGGGATACCGCGTTCCATTGTATCCCCCTCGCCATGATCGATCCCGATTTTGCGAAGAAACAGTTAGATTTGTTGACGAGGGAGTGGTATATGCATCCCTCTGGCCAAGTCCCCGCCTACGAATGGAATTTCTCGGATGTGAATCCCCCTGTGCATGCCTGGGCTACTTTCCGTACGTTCAAGATCGAGAGGAAGATGTATGGACGTGAGGATCTGGATTTCTTGGAGAGGATGTTCCAGAAGTTGTTGTTGAACTTTACGTGGTGGGTTAACCGTAAAGACGAGGGTGGACACAACATCTTCGAGGGTGGATTCTTGGGTCTCGACAATATCGGACTCTTTAACCGTTCCGAGCCGTTGCCTACTGGTGGTAGGTTGATGCAGGCTGATGGAACGAGTTGGATGGCGTTTTATTGTTTGAGTATGCTCAATATCGCGCTCGAATTGGCGAAGCATAGGAGGACTTATGAGGATATCGCGTCCAAGTTCTTCGAGCATTTCTTGCTCATTTCGGATGCGATGACGTTTAAGTCCACGGACGGTGATACCCCGTTGTGGAATGATGAGGATGGGTTCTATTATGATGCCATCTCGTGGGGAGGACCGTGGCAGCAGCAGTTGCCCGTGAGAAGTTTGGTGGGGTTGATGCCGTTGTATGCGGTTTTGACTTTGGAGCCGGAGGTCATCGATAAATTTCCTAGCTTCAAGAAGCGGTTGGAGTGGTTTATGGAGAATAGGAGTGATGTCGCGAACCGGAATATTGCATCCATGAAGAAGCGTGGAAAGGGTGACCGTATGCTTCTCGCTCTCGTCGACAAAGACCGTTTGGTCAAGATTTTGGAAAGGATGTTGGATGAGGATGAGTTCTTGAGTGATTATGGCATTCGGTCGTTGTCGAAGTATCATAAGGATCATCCGTACTCCATGGTCGTTAATGGGGAGACGTTTAAGGTTGATTACGTACCTGGTGACTCGAACTCTGGTCTCTTTGGTGGTAACTCGAATTGGCGTGGACCTATTTGGCTCGCGACGACGTTTTTGTTGATTGAGTCCTTGCAGAGGTTTTACATGTACTATGGTGATACCTTGAAGGTCGAGTGTCCTAAGGGCTCGGGCGAGTTCATGCATCTTGGACATGTTGCCGAGGAGATCCAGCATCGTATCCAGCATATCTTCGCAAAGGACGATGAGGGCCGTCGTGCGTGTAACGCTGGTAACGAGATGAAGGACTTTGACCCTTACTGGAGCGAGTTGGTTCCCTTCCACGAGTACTTCGAAGCCGACACGGGACGCGGGTTGGGTGCTGAGCACCAATGTGGCTGGACCGGACTCGTCGCAAAATTAATCCACGACACCGGGATGTCCTGTCGTCTTCCCAAGACACCGCGTACTCCCTCCACCGCCGCCGCGCACTACTTTGACGAAGTCTGGGGCAAGGCGAAGAGGCCTATGCACTCCCGTCGTGGCACGGGCCGCAGTATTGGGAATCGAAGTGATATTGGGGATGGGGATGAGACGGATGGTGATGATGCTGTGAGCGTCAAGACGAATGTTGGGGCGGATGAGGAGAGGGATAGTGATCATGTTATGGAGCAGGTTACGAGTCAGCTAGGGAAGTTGGAGGCGGATGGGACGATTGTTGATGATGATGAGTATGAGGCTGGGCTTGACCTGTGATTGTGTGGTTGTGGGAGTGGAGTGAGGTATACATGACATGAGATGACCATTCAAGAGATGGAAATGGAGGGCCTGGGTCCGCAGAGAAAAACATCATACACGAGAGAAAGAGAGAGAATGCAGGCATTGAGGGAAGGGCTAACATAGTCTGTCGTTACCCCGTATTATTCGTTTTGTTCATATTCGCATTGGCTTAATAGAAAGCATATCATACTAATCCTACCATATCCTATCTTAAACAAGCAATGTCACGCCAAAAACCCCATCCATGCTCAACCCCCCTAAACATCCCCAAAAAGGGCAGGGAGCCAAGACACGAGACAAGCAGCGTTAACGTCTCAATACCATAAAAAAGTCGCAACACTCGACACACATAACGTGTTTCAAACGTCACTGGGCGGTACTGAGACGTACCATGAAATCTTTTCACGAGAGTTACTTGGATTTCGCGAGTATTGATGTTGCATCCGAGACTAACTCGATCCACCATTTCCGGCCACAAGGGGCGTTCCATGGCTCCCCTGTTCACGAAGCATAATCCGACCGACCAGCTTCCTTTCGCCCCTGGTGTAGGGGGTAATCGGAATGGAGGTGTTTCTGCGAGGTTGGGAGGGGGGAGGATGGGTGGCGAGCTTAATAGGGATGCGTGTGGGGGGAGGGCAATCGGGGGTTGGCTTCCATGAGCTGTTGATGTTCTGGTGGGTACCAGATTCTTTTTTGACAGGACATGGATGTCAAGACTTTGATTGCGATTGTGTCGTGGTGGTGGTGTGGTGGTGTGCTGCGAGGATCGAGGGCTTGGAGGTGAACTTTGTGCGGTCGCGCGTGCTGTGAGGATGTGGGGGGTCGTGAGAACGTCCACATTTTCACTCAACGAACGCTGCAGCTGACGACGATGGATAACTTTGATGTTCCAAAGGACAATGGCGAACACCAACTTTTATGTATATTTCTCGGTGGTTGCTCTCTTATTGGGTTGATTGACTCCTGACACGTCTGCGAGATTCCCCTGAAGTGCCCCTCACTAGGCTCGATTGGGCAGTAATTGAATGGCAATGAACTTTGAATTCCCTCGTCCTTCGCTGACGATTCCATCCTGTTCTACACCTCAATCCATCCTACAAAGTCTGCAGTCACCCTATCCGGCTCTCTCTTGGACGATTGAGCATTCAACACCCCTTCTATACCTTACGGTCAACCGTGTGACACTTCTCCTTGATCGTGAGTATTGCCATCCTTTGCCTCCCACCCCACCCACTTACTCGTCATGCTAGTGAAGATGTCAAAATCCAAAGCTAACCTCAAAGGCAAGTTCCAAACCCGTACCACCCACACAACCTTCGGCGCAAACTCCTCCCACCACCCCCCCTCCCTCCGCTACACCTGCATCCACTGCCGCCTCTCCAAACCCACCTCCCAATTCTCCCTCACCCAACTCCAAAAACACGAAAACTCGGGCCAAGGGATGCATTGTAAGGGATGTACACCGAAACAGGTTACGAGTTTAAGTTGTGTGGTGTGTGGGCGACGAATGGGGTTGGAGAGGTTTGCGAAGAGTCAGAGGAAGAATGTGGGGGGGATGGAGTGTCGGTGTTTGGAGTGTGTTGCTAAGCATCATGAGGATCCTGAGGATTTGTTTGATGACTCTGACGATGGCGCTGGCGCTGGCTGTGGGTATAGCGACGGGGAGGAGGTGTTTGAAGACGAACCCTGGATGACAGCAGCTCGAGCCGGATCCCCCCGCACCACCACCACTACCGCCCCCGCTGATGACTCCGAAGACGATACAGCCTCTGCTTTTCCTTCTGTATCAGGAAGCCGCTCAGCCTCCTTCTCCCGCCAAGCCCACTCAACCTCCCGTGCCTCCTCTACTGCCCCTGCGAATGGGCCGCAGATGGCGGAATGGGCAACCGTCGTCACGCGTAAACTCAAAAAGGGCGAATCCGAAGGCGGATACGTTTCCGGCGGTAGTGGAGCTGGGAGTGGTAAGGGTGGAAGCGCTGGGGGGGAGAATAGTGGGTGGAAAGATCCGAGGTTGACGACGTATGATGGGGAGAAGTATAATGTGTATGGGGAGAAGAGGAAGGGGAAGAAGTGGGGGGCGAAGGGGTTCTGAGTGAATGTGGGGAGATAATGAGTGTTGTTCGGCGTTGGTGAATGTTGTTGTTTTTTTTGGGTGGAGCGAGCGTTATTATATTATTGGTGAGGCGTGTATGATCATGAGGGAGCTTTTGTGTACCGTGTCGGAATTCGGGTGTAGGAAGGAGTATTGCTGATTTGTTTGCGCGTGGACCGTTTCTTCGTCGCCATTCTTTATTTGATCTCCTTTTGCTACTATGAGCTTCGAAAGGTAACACACCAGGCTTCGGTCTTGAACCATGGGTGTATGCAAGCCAGCAGCCGTGGGAAAATAAGGAACGTACGGTTCGCAGGCGGGTGGACTAGCTATCTACGACGCTGCTCGCTCTCGAGGTGATCCAGTAGCATCCTAAAGGTTCCAAACAGTTGCAGAGACAGCGCTTGTCTGAACCCAACAAATCACGATTACGCACGCCGCCGCGCAACCCATTTCCTCCCCCTGGCCCGCTGACCAAACGATTGGCCAGCATTCACCCTCCATCCCTCCGAATCGCTCCGTAGCCACACTTAGCGCCACATCCCCAAACCCGCGAGCGCTCTCATAAAAAAGTCCAATTCGCCCATCGGTATCGAGACCGCGTACAAACTACACTTTTACCTTACCAACACCAAGACCAAACATGGGTTTCTCTGCCGGTTCTCTCGATAAGGGTGCCAACCTCTTCAAGACTCGTTGCGCTCAGTGCCACACTGTTGAGGAGGGTGGTCCTCACAAGGTTGGTCCTAACCGTATGTCGCCTCCCATTCTTTGTATACCTTTTCGATCGATATACTAACATGTATGCGCGCATAGTTCACGGTGTTTTCGGCCGTCAGTCTGGTCAGGCTGAGGGTTACTCCTACACCGACGCCAACAAGAAGAAGGGTGTCCACTGGGACGAGGAGACCATGTGGGCCTACCTCGAGAACCCCAAGAAGTACATCCCTGGTACCAAGATGGCCTTTGCTGGTTTCAAGAAGGAGAAGGACAGGAACGACATCGTTACCTACTTGAAGGATGCTTGCTAAATGCTCTCCATTTTGCATGAGCTATGGTGGAGGGGAGGCAGAGAGGATGAAAAGCATAGAGTGCTGAACGGTTGGATACAAAAACTTGTTTTGTGATTGGATGGGGAACGCGATGCGATGCGATGGAGCGGGCGTTTGTACTACTACACTTTTATTATTGGTCTCATTCCCTTCGTAAGAAGTGTTCGGGCGTTTGGAATTCAGCAAAGACCTCAAGAATACTCTCTACTCAATTATTTCGTTTGTTTGTGCGGTCGTATTTGGTTCATGCTAACAGTCGTATTCCTTATCGCTGTAGGTCTCATAGGCCCTGTCTCCTGACATGAGATGTTCTTCGTGGTGGGGGCGAGTGTGCGTGGGCAAAGACAGTCGCCCAGGCGGTACCAGTAGGACCGTGGATCGGCCTAGACTTTGCGACAGACAAACTTCACCCTATCCATGGAGGTCGTCGTGTCAAAGATTACCAGCATACACTCCAGTACTTGCGATAGTTCTACGATATCGATATCATGAAGCAAGCATTTGAAAACAACATTGCGAGACTCGTACTACAGCGAATCGGTTGGGTTTGACCTACGACAAAGAAGAACGCGTCATCGTGACCCAATCCCCCAACCAGCCCCGGATGAATGCTGCTCGAATCGACAGAATCAGAACAGCCAGCACAACAACATCATCCTATACCATCGCGATTTCAGGCCATCGGATGAGTCAACTCTCTCCTACCCAGCCGTTCCCGAGCCGAGCGTGGCTGGTTATTCAAGCCCTCTTACCCTACAAGAAATTTTTAGCTCGCGCGCGTCGACCTTGGGTACTTAACCACCCAACTTCCCCCCGACCAACAACCCCCCTTAAAATCAAAAAGCGTCCAGACGTCGAGATATTCAGTTATCTTCGACTTCCATACTCCTTCGGACTCGCTTTCGTTATTTTTGAAGGTTTTGATTTAGGTCAAGCTGGACGGTGTGGTGTACCCGACGCCGTCTCCGCCCGTGGAATTGGACCAATTGGATAAGGACCGTGGGATGGCGAATGGCTTGAATGACGAAGCTGAGTTGATGAGGACGCCGGGTGAGGAGGGGAGTCCCTTGAATGGGTGAGTACTGCACTTCCGTTGAGGTGAGAGAGGATGACGCGTCACACCTTCCCCGCACACACACACCTCATCGCGTTGCGCGCTGTAATGGCCATGCGCAAATGTCGACGGTGTACACACAAACACACACACGCGCGTGTCGTTGTTGGTTGAGAAGGTCCGAGTGAATGTGTATGGAGCTCTACGAACTAGTCTGAGAGAAAAAAACACGGTTTCGAGAGAGACGCGTCAATTATCAAACTCGACTAGTCGATAACTCTTTACGTGTCTCGACTTTCGATGAGACTTTTCTCTTCTCTCTCTCTTTGGAAACGTGTGTTTTTTCTTCTCAGGGTAGCCTTTCGTATAGTTTTGTACGCATTCACTCGTGTGTCTCCTCCAATAAAGTTGTGTGTTGTTTTTGCTTGTGCGCGTTGTCCACTCTCTTCCTTGATTGTTCTTTTGCATTCGAACAGCCTGTTAACACGTTTCTTTCAAGTACTGGCGTGATCAAACCAGCCGATGCTGCTCCCTTCGGTGTTGACGAGGCCGCCATTCCTCCCGTCACGATTCCTTCCTCAGAAGAAGTCGACGCGGCCGTCAACGACGCGGATCCTCTCGGCGCTGTTCCCGCCGCAGAAGTCGCTCTCACCTCCGAAGTGCGCGACGATGTCCACCCAGTTCCGGCACCGGCAGATGACGAGGACGACTTGTTCGGCGATAACGAGCAGGATGAGGACGACAAGATGGAGGAGGCCTCGGCTGCAAACATACCCGAAATACCCCAGCAGCCGAAGGAGTCATCGCCACTGTCGCCCACGGGTGGTCCGAGGGTAGACACCCCCATCTCTAACCCCGATTCCAAGCGTCCTGCGGAGAGCTTGGCTGAGGAGCCTTCATCCAAGAGGACGAAGGTCGAGGAGCCCGTCACGCCTGCTGTGTCCGCTCCTGCGCCCGTTGTCGCACAACAGCCTCCCCGGCCAGAGCGGAAACCGTCGGCTGACGGTCCTATGCCCGATGCGCAACAAAAGTACTGTCTCGCCATCATCCGGCAGCTGAAACGCAACAAGTCCGCCGTGCCGTTCAACCACCCGGTCGACCCCATTGCGCTCAAGATTCCGGATTACCCCACCATCATCAAGAACCCCATGGATCTCACCACTGTCGACACCTACCTCAAGAACGGATACTACTCCGAGCCTAGGGAATTCATTGAGGATGTGGAGTTGATCTGGAATAACTGCTTCTTGTATAACGGTTCGGAATCTGTAATTTCGGGTTTTGCGAAGCAGTTGAAGGCGATGTTCGAGAAGCAGATCAAGCAGATGCCTCCGGCTGATGCTATTGGGCGTCCGGCTAAGGGTACGCCCAAGGCTTCGAAGACTTCGTCGTCGAAGAAGAAGGGCTCGGTATCAGCGCCGACGGTACCGTTGACTGCTGAGGGTCTTCCCGTCATTCGTCGCGAGTCTACTGGCGCGGACGGTCGTCCGAAGCGCGAGATTCACCCTCCTGCGCCAAAAGACTATCCTTACCCCGATAGCAAGCCCCGACGACGAAAGACGGCACAGCAGATGCAGTTCTGCAAGAAGGTTCTGGCGGAGTTGCAGAAGAGGACGCACGAAGCGTATGCGTACCCCTTCTACCAACCCGTCGATGCCGTCGCGTTGGGTATCCCGGATTACCCCAAGATCGTCAAGACTCCGATGGATTTGTCTACTATCCAGGGCAAGATCAATCGGAATGAGTATGAGTCTTCTGATGAGTTTGAGGCTGATGTTCGTTTGATGTTCAAGAATGCGTACAAGTACAACCCTCAGGGTACTCCCGTATTCAACATGGGAAAGCGTCTCGAAGCCGTCTTTGACGCAAAGTGGGCAGAGAAGCCTGAAGAGCGTGCGGGTGGTTACGGTGATGATTCCGAGGCGGAGTGGGACGAAGACCCGAACTTGGCGAAGCTCGAGAAGCAGCTTGCTATGATGAAGGACCAGATCTCCGCCATCAAGGAGGGTAAGAGCAAGAAGTCTAAGCCTAAGAAGAAGACATCTACGATTCGATACCGCGATGATTCAGAAGAAGAGGAAGCGACCCCCATCCTCACGTTCGCGCACAAGCAAGAATTGGCGGATAAGGTACCCAACCTCTCTCCCGAGAAACTCGTGAAGGTCTCCGACATGATCAAGAACGCCGGATTTGGAAACCCCGATTCGGATGAGATCGAGTTGGATATCGATCAGTTGGATAACCGGACGCTGTACCGGTTGTACAAGTACGTTACGGGGAAGAGCTTGCCTGCGCCTAGCGAGGGTGGGCGTAGCTCGACCAAGAAGCCGAAGAGTGTCAAGAATAGGGCGGTGTTGTCCGAGGCGGAACAAGCGAGGCAGATCAAAGCGCTGGAGGCGAAGCTTGCTGCGTTCAGTAATGGGAAAGCTGTCGATATGTCTTCTTCTGATGAAGACAGCGATTCGGATGATTCCGATTCTGACTCCGATTCCGACTGAGATTGATGGTCCTGTTTGTATCCATCAAGGATATTCCTTGTATATGTGTGCGAGTGTACGATGAAAACCGAGCAGTGTTTCTGTACATACGGAATCTGGGAGAAGGGGGAAAGGAGTTGGAAACCTTTCGTATTGGCTATCGATTGATTACTTTTACCCACATCTTATATACCAATGGGGATGGAGCTTTTGGGGTTTGTCATTTGCTACGACTTTTTTAGCATCTTACTCATTTTCTGTTTCGATTTTATGACGTCGACGAGGTTTTTACTACCCACTGCTGGTTTCCCTCGGGAGGGCCGAGGATGCAGTTATTCTGGAATTGAATACGAAAGCTGTTATCTGCATCAATGATCGATCAGTCTTCGTGCAATTGTTCGAGTAAATGAACCCTTTTGCTTCCATCAGCGACCGAACTGTGGATTTCGATTTCTTATCGATAAGGCGTGCACAGTTGACCGCAACCTCGTATGGACGATGTCGTTCTAAATCATTCGTGCGATGGCGAGGTAGCGGGTGTAACAAGCATGCTCACGGCATCAATGCATGTGTCCTAACAAACCCTCGGAATCCTTATCGGAGTATCAATGGGGAAACAACTGCCTCGCCAAGCGGATCAAGGTCAAGTTACGGTCGGCAAGCTGGTCAGAGAGGCTGTGCAGAGCGTGCGTGCTCACGTATCGGCAATCGGAAGCTGCAAGCGACATAAACGTCAGAGGGTGGTTGAACGTATGAGTTCTCCTCCGGCTCGGCGTTGTCATGAGTCAAATCGCAACGAGCCTTCACATGTTGGGCCGCACGATTAGCGAGCTTACTCAGAGTACTGTAAGTAACCTGCATCTCCAAAATCAACCTCCAAAAGTTCGACGACCTCGAACCAACAAATAATGTAACCCCACCAAGATGCAAGTACAAATAAGACTAGCATGCCACGGTGTAAAAGGCAAACCCTTCTACCACATCGTCGTCGCGAACCGCAAAATCGGCCGCCAAACCAAACCCATCGAACCTACGAGGCGGAGAAGGCAGCGAGGAAGGCGGAGAGGAAGGCGAGAGCGGCAGAGGAGGCGCAGAAGCAGTACAGGCAGGCGATTGGTGAAACATCCTATCACTGCATGTCCTTCAACCTTAATCGTTCAAATGGACGGGAAATCCGAGACCGTTACTATATTTAGCATCATCAAACATCGAGCTTTTACCGTTCATTTTCCAGCTTGGTCCCGAGCGATCACATACAGCAATGCTCCGCATATGTGCGCGCATGACCATGACCAAGGTAAAAGCTTCGGGACCTCTCCATCCTTCAGCCGCTTATACGTAACAGTATGCGGGCTTGACGTACAAGGACCATGTTTATCGGGATATAAATCAAATGAAATGACGCCAAGACCTCGCGTTACCAGGTTCGAGAATGTTGGCACAGGTTACCGGCTTTTATACTCTACCGAGCCCCCGTCAAGTCCGCTCTTCTCGCCAAGGGCTGCGTTTGAGTTCAGAAGCCAACTGTGGAGGTACAATACGTCTTGACTCTGCTGTCGTCGTTGAATGCAGGGTACTCCAAGGATGGGGCTTCCCGGCGTCTATGGCCATGGACCTATATCCCATCGACGTACCTCCAAACGGCGTGTGATCAGGTTGTTCTTCGCATCATGCATCGGTCTCGTTTTGGTATGGTTGGTATGGTCTTATGAGGCCGACGTTACGAATTTCGGTGCACTCCAGGCTGGTGTCGTCGTTGGATCAGAAAGCGACGTGATGGTGGCAAATCACGGCAATGACGAGGCGATCGCTCGGTGGATGCCAGAGAAGCCTAAAGCTGAGGTTGTCGAACCGGAAAAACCAATCATTGATTCGGTGCCGCCGAATCCATTCCAGTCGTCGACGGAGGATGTGGTCGTGATCCCTCCCACCATGAAGGATGAACCTGAAGCACAGAAGCCTGTCGAGAAGGCGGACGTCGAGGATAAGGGAAAGCTAAAGTCAGACAACAATCCCTCAGATACGGAGAAAGCTGGCGATGACGGCTCAGTCATCTTCCCTCCAGGAAGAATCGACGTGGTTGCGCTACAGGCGAAAGTGGAGGAGGCTCGGAGAAAGCTCGAGGGTGCCGTCCAAGATGTCCAGGAAAGTATATCAGAGAAGAACAAGGGAAACGAAGCAAACCAGGCGCATGGGAATGATGATCAATCGCACAATCACAAAGACGAGAAACCCGTCATTCCAGCAGATTTACCAAAGCCGAAGGTGGTCAAGCCTTGGGAAGCCTGGGAGCAATACGAAAAATTCGATCACTTTTCAGCGTTCAGCGAAGGCTCGAACATCGCCATCCACGACCCATACCCCGACCCGTCTCTTCGCTGTCCAGGTCCTCGCGACATCACCCTCCCGAACCTCAATCACTGCATCGACGGTCGCGTGGACGAACATCCACCTCATTTGATGGGTTCATACGCAGTTACCAACCTCTCCGATCCTTGTTTTACTGTCGACCAGCGTTACGGTCCTTACACAGCGTTCGGCTTCCCAGATAAACGACAACTTAACGACATCGACTGGAAAGCCTCCATCGACGCTTGTGTCGCTTCCAAGACTCCGACGCGACGTATAGCTGTTATGTTGAGATCGTACGATGGGTATATCTACGAACGCGACGACATCCTCAACCTCCGAGCACTCCTGGCCGAACTCTGTCTCAACACGGGTGCTCAATACGATCTCCGAATCTTACACGAAGTCAAAGATGGAACCGCCATCTTTGCCGACCCTGAGAGTTACCAACGCAAAGCCGAGGCTGTCGTACCATCCGAGTTTAGAGGTCTCGTCGATCTGTGGAGCTCGGACCAAATGCGTTCGATATACCCTGGTTTGGCACGCGTGGATAACTGGTTCGGTCGTCGTAGCTCGGGTCAGATCAATACGGCGCAGAGAGCGCAACATGCGCCTTTGCAATGGTTTGCTGTTCATCATCCCGAGTATGAGTATTTCTGGAATTGGGAACTGGATGTGCGCTATATCGGAAATTATTACGAACTGTTCTCCAAGGCTGAGGCTTTTGCACGGGCGCAACCGTGTACCAATACGACGTGGAAGAACTCGGAGAAATGGTTCTTCGAAGGCATGACACCCTGGGATACTGATTCTTCAGACGAGGGGATAGGAGAGGAGGCGGACTACATCGCCTTTGGACCCATCTTCGATCCTCGCGGTTCAAGGTGGTACTTCGAAAGCGACATCGTCAACTGGCCACTCGAACGAGAAACTCCCCGCCGCGCATCAATCATCACAAACGGCCGTCTCTCCCGCCGCCTCCTTCTCGAAATGCACCGCATAAACAGCCAAGAACGACGTCACATCATGTGCGAATCTTTCGGTCTCTCCGTCGCTTTCATGAATGACTGGAAAGCTGTCTACGTACCTCATCCGCAGTATCTAGAGAGGAAGTGGGATGTCGGTGTCTTTCAGTCTGCCGTGAATGATAAGCAGTTCTTTCGACATGAGTATGATATGTGGTTGACGACGTATTATTTTGATGCACATTTTGCGAAGAAACTTTATGACGGGTGGAGGAAGGAGGCAAAGACGTGTCGGAGAGCGGTCTTGTTGCACCCTATCAAACGTGTGCGTGATACGGGTGCGCTGACCATTGAGGACTGATGAGTTGTGATATGGACATCCACGGTAGGGTTGACTACATTCTCTAGGGAGATATTGCGTTTGCATAGCATTTTCAAAAGTATGGATACTACTGTTTTAAACATGCAAGAAGATATTTTGATGACAAGGTGCATATTCGGCGACTCATAATTTATACGTGTAATTCCCGCTCACAGATGATGCTTCCCGTACAAGTCGGTCTCATGCACCCAGACGTAAGCGATTGCCTCACTTCTCACGTCCTCTTCTCATATCATACACGCTATATCGGTACCCTCTTGTTTAGTTTTCCCTTCCGTCTATCATAGCAACGCCGTATTCTTGGATTACATCTAAGCTTTGACCCATTCAATGTCCCACTGCAACTCCTCCGTCGCCATGAAAGGCACAACAACAAGCTCTCCATCCCAAACCTCGCTCTCAACCTTAATCGGCTTCTTGGTCAGCTTGACCTTCTCAGTGCCGACACCCAACCCCTCGACCTGGTAGAACTTCCTGCCAAAGTTGGAGACAAAGTCCTCAAACTTGTCCATCTTACCCTGCTTATCGAAGATCTCCGCAGCGTACGACAACAACCTTGACTGTGTAAAGACACCAGCAGCAATACGTGCCGCACCGCTCTTCTTCTCCCTGGGGTGAGGTGCGGAATCAGAGCCCAGGAAGAACCTGGGATCACCGGAGACTGCGGCTTCAATAAGTGCGGCACGGTCTTCGGGAGTTTTGGCGACGGGCTTGCAGTAACAGAAGGGGTTATCGGCCCAGGAGTCGATGGTGATGTGGAGGTGGTGTGCGGTGATTGATCCAGCAACGTTCGGACCACAGTTCTTCACAGTCTCGATGGCGTCTTTGGTGGTGCAGTGCTCAAGCACAATACGGAGCTTGGGGAAGCGTTTTGCGAGGTCGATGAGGGTGGGGAGGAAGTCGTGCTCAGCGGTCAAGACAGAGTTGGTTGGGGAGGGAGGGACCTCGCCGTGCAAGTTCAAGACCATGTTAACCTCCTCCATAGCAGCAAAGATTGGGTAAAAGGGCTCGTACGTCGACACTCCAGCAGAGGAGTTGGTCGTAACACCGGCAGGGTAGACCTTGACACCACTAACACCCGCCGCTGCAGCCTTCTTGACCTCCTCGACAGTGAGGTCAGCAGTGAGGTAAAGCGTCATCATGAACTCAACATTGGGCTCAATAGCCTGGAGCTCCTTCTTGTAGTTCATTGCCATCTCGGTAGTGGTGATCGGAGGAGTGAGGTTGGGCATCACGTAAGCAATGGAAGCCCCACCCTGACGGACGGTCGGGGTGACGAGACGCATGAGGGCATCTTGACGGAGATGGACGTGAAAGTCAGCTGCGGGAAGGATCGTAATAGAGGTGGCCATTTCGTGTGTCGTGCCCTTTAAAGTTTGTACCCTACCATGGCGAGCGGTTCGTGGGACGTGGCTGAGCAGCTCCCGCCTCCTACCGCGGCCGGGGTAAGCACCGACATCATCGCTCTGATAACTAACAAGTACAACCACAACCCGTTGAAATATGAGCGCAATGGATACAGATGTTGGGTCAGAACTGTTTGTCGGTACGTACTTTCTATAAGGCGGAACATTGAGTGCTACAGGGCTGGGATGAGCAAAGCGAGCCAGTGTCGGCTTGACCTTGGCTTGGCGGTCATGCCTCACCGCGGTTCGCCTCGATCGCAGCTCCATTCACTCGATCCGCCTACCGTCTATGCCTCACTATACAGCGTGCTGACGCTCTCACCAGGCTATGAATCCGACTTCACCCTCATCCTTGCCGACCTCTCCCGCACCCTCACCTCCCTCCCCCCTCTCCGCGGCGAACCCCGTAAATCAGCCATCTCCTCCGCCTCCCGCCTCCTCGAGGAAGGACAGGAGATTATTGCACAGATGGAGCTAGAGGTGTTGAATATCCCAAGTGTCACGCGGGGGAAGGTCAACGCGAGATTACGCGAACACAAGAAAGAACTACAAGAGAAGAAAACGGAGTTGAGGAAGTTGTCTGCTACCAGCGACCGGGAACTCCTCTTCGGAGACCGTGGGGCATCACCTATCCCGGGGAGTGAGGGACAAGAACAGCGCGATCGGTTGTTGACTGCAACCGACCGTCTCGAACGCTCCTCCCAGCGCCTCCGCGACTCCCAAAGAATCGCACACGAGACAGAAGACATCGGTGCCGGAATCTTGGGTGATTTACGAGGCCAGAGGGAGCAGATCGTTAATACGAGGAATACATTGATGGAGGCGGATGGATATGTGGATAAGAGTTTGAGGACGTTGAAGGGGATGGCGAGAAGGTATGTACATGTCAAGATTGTGGCTCGGGTTTGTGCCGAGCTGACATGACTTTTTGCGTTTCAGTTGGGGCATATGGTAACATAGGGTGAAAACAGGGCTATCACGAACCGTCTGATTACGGTATTGATCATTGCCATCCTGGTGATGTTGATCTTGTTGGTTCTGTACAGCAAGTTTGCTGGATAGATACGACGTTCACTGGAGCTGGAGCTGTCGGAGTCCGGACGTGGGACGGAAATAAGACGAGACGAAGCAATGGCGAGATGTCGAATTGACGCGATATGGAGAGTTGACGAGATACCCTTTATGTTCTTTCTTACCCCTAGGATAGTCACAAACCCCTTTCTAATATCTTCAAAACACCCCACCCTCATAGTCAAACACCCTCACCCCCTCCACAACCCCCTCCAACATCCCCTTAAACTCCGTATGCGCCGGATCCCGTTCCACATACCAATCCCGATCCTCCTGATTCTCAAACTTGACCACCCATCCGTGCGTGAGACCCCCTGAATGGTGTACTTCGGGAGAGTTGTTGAGGCCACCGGTTAGGGAGAGGATGTAGGGTTTGTGGGTTTGGGGGTGGAGGCAGTTTTGCTTGAGGGCCTGGAAGGCGGTGCAGATTCTTTGGATGTTGGCAGTCTGGGTGGGAGGGGGTTAGTGGGGGTGTGTGTGGATGGGAAGGAATGGGAGGTGTACGTCTTTGAGGGCTTCTGAGGAGAATTGGAAGAGGACGATGTGTGTGATAGTCATGCTTCGTTTTTGTGGATGCGATTGCAGGCTAGGTAGCCTATACGAAGATGTTGATGTCTACGTTACACGTCAATGTCATCCTGCAGATCCGAACAGCTACACATTCGGCAATGATAATGGGTGGGCTTGTACAGGCTTTGCACGGATGATAAGATGAACAGAAGCAATGGGCAAAGTGTGGATTACGAAATCAAATCAAAATCCGACCCCAATAGCCCAAAGAAAAACGCCATCCCAGATCTTTGCGAACCGACCACACGACACCGAACTCTCCCAAGACTTAGCAAGAGGAACAGCGTACTGCACACCAACCAAGCCCCGGTCACGTTCGTTACACTTAACGGTAACGACGGAGGGAGAGGGTGTTGTTCTTCTTCCAGATGTGACGACGTCCAGACTTGGAGTGGTTGAAACGGTGACCCTTGTTGATACCACGGGACTTCTTGCCAACGGCAGTAAGACCACGGGACTCACGGTGCTTGTGAACAGCGTTCGCGATCCAGTTGATACGCGGGTCACGACGAATAGCTTTGTGAGAGGGATCAACACAGATGACCTCAAAGTACTTGTAGGTGGAATCAGAGTTGATCCAGTACGAGTTCAAGACGCGCAAGTTCGCGCAACGGCGGCCGACGCGCTCCTCGGCGGTGGAGCGGAGGGAGCGTTGGTATTTGAGCTGGTTGATACCCTGGTTGGTGGGCTTACCGTAGGTGGCACCCTTGGGGGCGGGGCGCTTGCGACCACCGCGGCGGACGCGGATACGGTAGACGACGTATCCCTGCTTGGCCTTGTAACCGAGACGGCGGGCCTTGTCGGGGCGGGAAGGACGGGAAGCACGGTGGCAGACCGGCAACTGGCGGTACTCCCAGCAGCGGACACGGAGAAGGAAGCTGTGCGCCCGATTGTGTTAGGAGGAAAGGGGAGACGGGAGGGAGAAGAGGTGCATACCGGAGGACATCGCTCTGCTTCTTCTTGTAGAGCTCTTCCAAGTACTTGTAGGCACCCTAATCACACGAAAAACATCTCAGCCCAAATTCCTTTCACGAGGAGCAACGAAGATGGGCCTCAGAGCAAGTCGAATCGACAATCAAGATCATGCTTCGAGGAGAAGATGATAGTGAGAGGATGACTGCTTGGTAGCTAGACGTACCATTGTTGAAAAAAGTCTGGTCGGTCGGGGGAAGAGGTTGGCGGACGAAGGAGCAGGAGAGTTTTGGAGGGGACGTTTGGATTTCGGGGAGGGGAGGGGGAGTGGTGCCTGGCGAGCTGCGAAAATTTGGTGGGCAGTGCAGGGGGGGCATAGGGTTCGTGGGCCCTAATCGGGCGACGAGTGGTACCTGCCTAATCGTGGAATGTACCACATACGCAATACAATACGTCGCCACTCCGCAAAAGTCGACTTTCACCAGGTCTACCAACAATGACGAGCGGCAGTGAACAGCATACGACGTTGACCTACACGATCTCCCACCGCTCAACACCCTACACCCTCTCCCTCCCCTCGACCGCCACCCTCTCCGACCTCAAATCCGCGCTCGCCTCTCTCACCTCAATCCCGCCCCAAAACCAGAAGCTACTCTACAAACCCCCACATCTCGCAAACGATTCGGATTTAGCTGCGATGTTACTGGATCGAGGCAAGATCATGATGATCGGAACCCCAGCATCGACGGTTGCGGCCGTACAGTCACCCCCCACACGCCCACGCCCACGGACACAGAAAGCGGCGGTACGACCATTACGACAGGCACCACCAACCCAAGCAGACATCCAATACACCTTCCGCACCCTCCAGCCCCTCCCTTACCTCCCAAACTCCACCCACGCCCACTCAATCCTCTCCAAACTCGCCTCCGACCCCGCCGTCCGCGCAATCATGCTCCGACATAAATTCAGTGTCGGGGTATTGGGAGAGTTGGATCCAGCGACGCATACGAACCATGAGGGGAGGACGCTGGGGCTTAACACGAATCGTGGTGCGATGATTGAGGTACGGTTGAGGACCGATGAGGATCGTGTGAGTGGGAGTGTGGGTGGGAGGGGGTGGAGGAGGTATAGGGATGTAAGGGATGTGCTTGCGCACGAGTTGGCGCACAACGTGTATAGGGAACATGATGCCAAGTTTTGGCGGCTTTGTCGACAGTTGGAGGGGGAGATGAGGGCGTTTGAGGGGGGGAGGGCGCTTGTTGATGGGGTCGAGTACTACAAAGCGGAGGGTGAGAGGGAGAGCATCGATGGTGGGGGGCGGGTGGGAGGAGGTGAAGGAGGAGATGGGAAGAGTAGGAGGGAGTTGGCTGGTGAGGCTGCGGCGAGGAGGGCGGCGGAGGCGGGGAAGGGGGACGAGAACAGCAGCAACGGGCAGAAGGCGGGGTGATTGTTCATTCGTTCGGCAGACAGACACACACTAGTGCCTTCTTTTTTCCCACGTAGTCCATCGCGTTTCCTCCCACGGGTCAGTGTCTCACAAGTGCACTACTCTGCGCCTGAGGCGGAGCGCGCGCCCTGTCTCACCGAGCACCGGCATCCCGGGACACCCCGGCCCCCAGCGTTCGCTGGCCACACTTCGAGTCGGAGTCGAGAGAGACAGACTGACTGCGCGATCACTCTGTATAGTCGTGTTGGCGTTCGGCAGTTACCCTCCCCCCAACTGCCGACGACTCGCCACGGCCAGCAGAACCCGCAGATCGCTCACACCTCAGCCACCCTGGACGCCCCCCCACAGCCCGGTTTCATGCATCGCTTACCGGAGATCTTGGGATGTGTTTGTAAACCTGAGTAATGTGCGCGGCCGCACGGTGTCTGATTTGGTGCGCGGTGCGGTTGCTGCATGCACGGCTGCAGGATGTGAGTGTGAGTGTAAGTAAGCGTTCTGGCAGCGCAACCGCTGTAGAGAGCGTCAGTTCTTGTCATCGACCACACCGCATCCATCTCAGAAGTGATCTCTTGATCTGCATTTCGGATGTTCGATCCGTCCTTCAGTCTGGGTCTCGGACCATCTGCAACAACATCACAGACATCGGTGAGTATGCTGCCAATACACCAAACACAACAACAAGAACCTACACCATCGATCACCAGCGCCAGCGCCAGCGCGATCGCGATCGCGAGCGCGAGTACGAGACCGAGTAGAGTGGGAACCCCACAATCAGTCGTGTCGGCGATTAGTCTCGCTCCGATGAACGTCACCGGGCCCTCCAACCTTTCCGATCGGGACTCAGCACAGCAACCAACGACAACGACGACAACGACGACAACGACGACGACGACGACGACGACGACAGGCTCAGGCTGGATCCGAAGCGTCAAAGATAAACTCCTCCGCTCCTCCACCTCAGGCATCGACGGAGGCCTAGGCGACGAACGACGGAGATCGAGTATCGCGTCGAACGTGTCGGGCATGAGTACTCGCTCCGAACCCGACGCGTTGGCGATAGCGTTGTTGGGTGCGATTCCGGTGCGGATTGCGGTGGTCTCCCACCACGACTCCGAAGACGGGACCGGGGGAGGAGGAATGGTGGAGGTGTTTGTGAGGAAGGCGTATACGCTTAGGGCTGGAGAGGTGGTGCCACCCATGCGACCGTTTGTTACGGGAGGGAGGGTGTATCATGTTTCGTTGGTCAAGGTACGTCTCCTCCTCCTTTTTGAGTTATGTAATTGAGCGTCGAGTTGTGCTAATGGGAGTTGGACACAGACATCATTAGGAGATATTCCAGAACACGGTGTACACACCTACGACGCAGCAATCATCCTCTACAACCACTCACCCTCCCCTTCGAGCCTCCCGACAACCATCACCGCCACCCAACTCGCCCTCGGCCCCTCAACACCCCTCATCCTAGCCTCCTGCCGCTTCGGCGACAACGTGCCCAAAAGCGCCGATGTCGTCCTCGGCAGCGTATGGGGCATCGGGATGATTGGCGTAACGGACGAGGAGAGCGCGAGGGTCGTTATTGTGGAGTTGTTGGAGGCGGCGTGTGGGGAAAGGTATGGGGGGAGGAAGAAGAGTAGTGCCAGCGCGAGTACGGGGACGAGCGGTTCGGGTTCGGGTTCGTTGAGGAGGAGGCAGGTTATGGGTGCGGGGAGGAGGACGAGTTCGAGTATTCAGCTTGGGAGACCGGGGATGGTATCGAGGAATACCGAGGATTCGGGGATAGGGAGTGGGAGTGGGAGTGGGAGTGCGGAGAGTATCTCGTTGGCGTTGAGGGCTATGTCCCTTAAAGTCCCTGAACCGCCAACGAGTGCGCCGGGCGAGACGCTGGATATGGAGGTTATGACGCATTTCCCGTTTCGGTTTCCTGCCAGCCCTACCCCATACGAACAGGAGAGTGGTGGCGGTATCGCGCCGGAATCGCGAGACAGGGAGGCGTTGCCGCAGATTGGAATCGTTACGGAGTTACCCATGGCATTCACCACCATCGGCACGTCCTCGCGTGTCACACAGGTACAATCCGCGCCCGTTACGCCTGTTGATGAGGATGGGCATGGCGGCGTTATGCAGCGGACGTTTGTGGATGGTGAGGAGGTTGTTTCGTTTACGCAGTTTTTGGGCAATGATGGGGGTGGGGGTGTTGCGCCGGGGTCGAGTCCGAGGGGGACGAGGTATTTAGGGTCGTGGGGGCAGCATCAGCATCAGCATCAGCAGCAACACCAGCACCAGCATGTGCCGCAATCACAGTACCTCCCGCACCAAGCGCCCTATCCGGCACAGATGCACGTTCAGCGTGGGTCGCAGAGCGAAGAAGGCGAAGATGGGCTCGAGGCGGAGTGGATGCGAGTACGGAATGCGCCGGGGAGGGGCAGTTGGGGTGCTGCGATGGTGGAGAGTGGGTGGGATGATCAGGAGTCAATGGTGAGTATCGAGCGGGACGGTTCCGGTACTGGGCCTGGGGCGGGAACGGGCACGGGGAGGTGGGAGGAGAAGGAGATTGTACAGGGGCAGGGGTATACGTTTGAACAGCTTGTTGGGAGGCTGCTGGTTGATCCGTACGACCCTGCGTTCGAACGGACGTTCTTGACGTTTTATCGAAAATTTGCCCGACCTGGGGAATTACTGAAGGCTATCCTTGCACGCTTCGAGAATTGTCATGGAAGGGATCCGTTCCAGTGTACCCTCAACAAAGCTCGCTGCGTTACCGTTCTCAAGGCTTGGGTCCAGACGCATCCGCAGGATTTCGTGCATGCGGGTACGAGGCAGAGTTTGATCATGTTTTTTCGGAGGTTAGGGACTGATTTGAATTTTGCGCATCATGTTGCGGAGGTGAGGAGGGATTTGCGGGGGTTGACTGATGTGGATCCGGATTTGTGTTGGGGGTTACCGGATCGGGATAACGCGGACGGGGGAGATGAGGGGAGTGCGATGAGGCCTACGACGGCGAGGAGAAGTAAGGGAGAGTCGATTGGGGTGAAGGATCAAGGTGAGGATATCTTGTTGGAGTGGGAGAATCGTGTGCCCACCACGGAGGAAATGGCGGCGCTCGAAGGGAGTGTGGCGTCGTTGCCGGGTGATATGTTTATGGATGAAGCAAACGCCATGACGAATGTCGCTAGTCATCAGGATGATGTCTTGACGTGTGGGATCGAGGCAGGAGGGAGTTTGGTTTGTGCGACGGCTGATGGGGATAAACTTGCGGCGGCTGTTACTTCGTTTTTGCTGACGCCGGATGATGTCGTGGCGAAGGAGTTGACGCGGATTGAGTGGGATCTCTTCTCCAAGCTGGGGCCTAGGGATATGATTCGGCATGTGTACAAGACTGCTGAGGAGAAGGCATCAAACCCTGGTGCGATCACGAAGATCATCGCGCATTTGAATACGATGAGTGCGTTGGTGCAGAGTATGATCTTGACCAAAGGGAAAGTGAAGCATCGTGCGAAGGTGTTGGAGAAGTTTATGAATGTTGCGTGTATTCTACGCAATATGAATAACTACAACTCGTTGATGTGTATCCTTGCCGGGATCAATTCTGCTGCTGTCATGAGACTGCGGTTGACGCATGAGCTCGTCAAAGATAAGCCGACCTACCGCCTGTTCATGAGAGCGGAGAGGCTGATGAGCTCTGAGATGAGTTTTAGGGCGTATCGGAGAGCGTTTAAGTTGCGTGGGAATAGCGAGCGGATTCCCTATTTGGGAATTTACTTGCAGGATTTCCTGAGCATCAATGAGGGGAACAAGACCTTCATTTCGGATAATGTTATTCATTGGTCGAAGTTCCAGTTGTTGGGAAGGGTGGTGAACCAGATCATGGGGTGTCTGGAGAAGCCGTACAAGCTGGAGCGGGACGACAGAACCGAATCATGGGTTCGCAACACCCCGGTCATGAACGAAGACGACTTGTACGAGCGCAGTTTGGAAGTCGAGCCCAGGCGTGAGGAGAAAGGCACAGCTGGTGGAAGACTTGCAAAGTGGGTAGCAGGCTCGAAATATACGGGGACGAGCTGATGTTGGGGCGTATATTGGCTGATCTTTTTTTTTTGCTTTCGACGTTTTTTTGGAAGGGATTTTCTGGGCGTTATCGTTTCGTTTACGGCGTTTTGAACCAATGGTTAACGGGATGGAGGACATGATAGACTTATGAGATGAGATATACGTGTGCGAGGATGCCAAGGACGAAAAAAAAGAGATGGCATATAGGTTTCTGAGGTATCAGGCATTCTAGCGAAGACGACTCAATTGACTGATGTTTGAACATCCCGCGATCGCAGTGTCACGAATTCCACCTCCGCCGACCCCACGAGCCACCCAGAGGACAAACCAAGGTAACACGGACACGTAGAATCGCATGACACACTCCAATTCAACTCAATTATCCTCCTTTATCTCGTAATTTCCTAGTGGTGGGGTCCCCTCGGCGTACCGGCGGTTCCGCGCTAAATCTTTGACTGCAGGCTCATCATCGACGTCGAAATCAGACAGCATCAACTCCAAATATACCAACACGCAAAATGAACGCTGCTGCTCGTGCCGTCCTCCGTGCCCGTGCACCTGTCATGGTACAATCTCTACTCAATTCCGCCGAGGGCAATTGCTGACCTTGCGTTTCGCGGTTTACAGCAGGTCCGTGGCTACGCCGCTGCTAAGAACGTCCAGCCTCCTGTGCAATTGTTCGGTGTCTCCGGTACCTGTACGTGTTTTCCTTTCTCTGATATTCCAAGATTTGCCCAGATCAGTGTTGATCCACAACATTGCAGACGCTTCCGCCCTCTACACCGCTGCCGCGAAGACCACCTCCGTCGACTCCGCTGACAAGGCTTTGTCCGCTTTGAAGGGCCTCGTCACTAAGGACGTCAAGCTCAACGCCATCATCTCCAACCCCTCGCTCTCCGTCGAGGACAAGAAGACCATCACCCAGACCCTCGTCAAGGCCGTCTCCGCCGATGCGTCCGTCAAGAACCTCCTCGAGGTCATGGCCGAGAACAACCGTCTCGGTCTCCTCGCCGAGGTCGCTGAGCAGTACCAGACTTTGATCCGTGCCGGAAAGGGCGAGATCGAGGTTACCATCACCTCCGCTTCCCAGCTCGACTCCAAGACCCTCTCCCGTCTCGAGTCCGCGATCTCCAAGTCCCCATTCGCCAACAGCAAGAAGTTGAATGTTACCAACAAGGTTAACGACTCTATCCTCGGTGGATTGGTTGTTGAGATCGGAGACAGGACTATTGATCTGAGCGTTGCCAACAGGATCAGCAAGTTGAACAAGTTGTTGACTGATGCTGTGTAAGCGGAGAGGAACACGATAATGAAGAAAAGTGGGCGGTCCGCTGTGTATGTAAGGTATACGAGGAATATAAACTATTACAACTATGTTGATGTCGATTGTGAACTGTGATGGGGGAAAGCAAAATCGGAGGGGCTTCTGATTGCATGTTCAGAGCACTTTCATATCGAAAATACGGCTATTGCCGCCTACGACATTCAATTCGACGAGCATCCCCAAAGCAACACAATGTTCGTCCACTGCAGCAAAATTTGTGTCCTTTCAACGTCTTTTCGCTGCACGAAACTCTACATCAAGCCTGCGTGGCACGATCTCAAACGCTCCTAGGCAAAGGCCCATGTCATGTCCCGTATCCCCTCCCTCACGTCTTCTAGATCAACACCACCTTTTGATGCCCCTGCCACCCTCTCCACAAACTCCTCCAATCCATCCTCCAACTCCATTCTCTCCGTCCTCGCGTCCGGATCCTCTTCTTCCATAAGCTCCCAATCCTCTCGCTCCTTGACGCCCGCAATTTTCAATCCCAATTCATGCACCGCTTTCCGTACACATATCACCGCAACAGTCTTCGCCGGATACCCCAACGCAAACCTCCTCGACGAAGCAGCCCACCTCGCCCACCGTCTCGCCTCAAGCCCCAACGCCGTCCCCATAACCCCCACCGTTGCAACCCCCCCCTCCTCCGTGATCCCCACCCCCAAACACCGGGATACAAGCTCAGGTAGATAGAAATACGGTACCTTTGTGTCGGAACGGAGTTCGAAACCGAGGGTGCGGAGGAGGATGTGTTCGGAGTTGACGAGGGATTGGCGGAGGGTGTCGTAGAGGGTTGAGGGGAAGGTGAGGGGTGGGGTGGATGGGGGTTGGGCGAGGGTGTGGGATGGGAGGAGGAATTCGCGGAGGCGGCGGGGGTGTTCGGTGCTTTTTGCCGCGAGGCTTAGGGAGGCTATTGCGAGCATCTGTCCGTGTCATAGTTCATTAGCCTCCATCCGGATTCAAACAACGAGACTGGGGCACACGCACATGTTCATCGAGCCGTTGCGACTCGGGTGTCTTGTTTTTCTCATTCCACCGCTCATACCGATGCTTGTAGAGGAACGCAGTCGCTAATGTCTCTTCTGGTCTTCAATTGAGTGTTCACTGCTCCTATGCTTCAATCTTCGACGTTATTGGGCCTGCGAGGGGACTTACAGGAGAAGGTTATCGGCGAGGTGGGTCAAGAATGCGGTGGTTGATTCGCCGTGGGTGAGGAGCGGTGGTGGTTGGGAGGACGATGGTGAACGGGAACGGCTGCGTCGAGACATTGGGGATGGATGAGGTGAGTTGTCGCCGTGATGGTGTACGTGATGTGATGGCTTGGAGATGAGGTCGTGGGTTGGCGCGGGATGCGCCGGTTCACGAAATACGAGGAGGATGGTATAAACGACATTCTATCCTACAAACTCCAAAACCTTAGGTGATGACCGATGCAAATGAAACCCTTTTGACCCATGCCATACGCAAAAGAGACGTCCATCTAGATCTTGAATCCAAAGCCAGCCATACACCTATCCATATTTGTCAGCAACCCCAATCTCCTAGTCTCTGGGTGATGAACTCACGCCTTGTACTGCTCGATCACAGGCTTACAGTCCTCCTCACCTTTCTCGGAGAACAACATACACTCGTCCCTCTTCTGCTTCTCCTCCTTACACACACAGCAAGGCTTAGGCTTGTTCTCGACTGTATCGCCACCCGTCAGCTTCGATCTCCTCCCTGCACCGTAATGGAGCATACCAGGAGCTTCTGATGGTGCTGGCATAGTTGTAGGATGTGTAGAGAGTGTGGTGGGGTGGAACGGTGTTCGGAGGGTTTTATCAAGTACGGTATTGCGCCTTTGCGGCGAAATCCGGGTATCTTCGTTACGTATGCAGTAACGACGACTACAGGTAAACACCACACCAAGCGATCTCGCCCGTCAACGCGTGAAACAGTCCTCCGAGAATTTCAGACACTATCTACCAACCGTTGCAATCCTTTGCGCACTTCTTTTCAGCCCAGCCCTCGTTTCGCGTTCAGCGTGAATCATATACATAATGGCACCGCCTAAACCACCATCAGCGACCCGCCTTCAGGGCGTTTCGATAATGCGTCCAATCGTCTACGGCAATACCGCGACACTCTTAAATAAGGACCAACCCCATCCGACAGCTTCGCCAGACCACACCCATGAATGGACGATATCAGTCCAGGGCGTCAATGGAGAGGATATATCCTATTTCGTGAAGAAGGTGATGTTCAAGTTACACGACACTTACGCGAATTCAATGAGAAGTACGCTTCCTTTTATAATTAGTCCACACCTTGCGCTCTGTGGACAACTGCTAACAGGGAACACGTACAGCCGTCGAGAGCCCACCATTCGCCGTAACAGAAACAGGATGGGGAGAATTCGATATCGCCATCAAGGTCTTCTTCGTACCAGACCCCTCCGCTGCCGTCGCAACCGAAGGAAAACCCCTCCAAGTCTACCACCACCTCAAACTCCACCCCTACGGTCCCGACGCGGAGAGAATCAAAGCCGAAGGACTCCCAGTATCATCCTGGTCCTACGACGAAGTGATATTCAACGAGCCGACCGAGGCGATGTGGGACGTCCTCAAACAAGGAACCGTAAATCTACCTCTACGAAAACCGATAGGACAGCCTGGGATGCCGCTTGTGGGGAGTGATGGGTTGGGGGTTTTCTCGAGGGAGACGGAGCAGGAGGAGTGTGATCGGTTGCAGGCGGCGTTGATGAAGGTTAGTGAGATGACGAGACAGCAGAAAAATGCGATTTTGGAGATGGAGAGGGCGGTGAAGAGGGAGATGGAGGCTTCGTAAGGGGGGGTTTATAGGGAGTTCTATGAAACGGGAGAAATGAGCCATACGGAGTTTGAGGGATGAAGACCGAGATTAAAGGGATGGATCAAGGAGGAGCTGGAAAGCTGGAAATAAAATTTGTTCAAGGATAGACACCCATAGCTATTCTTAGGATTGACGTGCCTTGAACGACGGCGACGTCATCCGATACATACGCCGCAACGGATCAGGGAGATGCTCATAATGTTTACAAAACGATCTGTTGTAACACTCCACTCCTTCACCGCTAAATTACCATATTCCTCGAATCCCAGCTGTTATCGAACCTATGCAGGCCCTCCAAAATTCTTCGGCGTAGGGTTTTGCGCGACACACCCCCAGGCACAGCCACTCTAACCCCCAACGGAACTAGCTCGCTCTCACACTGAGGAAAATCCAACCAGTACGCCGAGGCTGGAGATTCTTGTTCGGACCGTCCCTCGTCACAGCCAGCACAACAGTCGCCCAGCATGCTTATTTCCAAGGAGAACCGCAAGACCATCTACGAGGTACGTCATGTAAACGCTCTGTTCAATTGACGCGTCGATCTCGTCCCGGCACGAACGCTTCTTTCGGCGTCGAGATCCGTCGAAAAGAACACGAGCGCGATCCCGGAGAATAAGGGAGTATGAAGAGCTAACCTGTCATTTTTCGTACAGACCTTGTTCCGTGAGGGTGTCCTCATCGCCAAGAAGGACTTCAACGCTCCCAAGCACGGCGAGCTCGACCTCCCCAACCTTGAGGTCATCAAGGCTTGTCAGTCCTTGACCTCTCGCGGTTTCGTCAAGACCCAGTTCTCGTGGCAGTACTACTACTACACCCTCACCAACGAGGGTATCGAGTACCTCCGCGAGTACCTCCACCTCCCCGCCGAGATCGTCCCCTCTACCCACAAGCGTGCTCCTCGTCCCGCTGAGGCTCGTGCCCCCCGTCCTGAGCGCCGCCAGCGCGAGGGTGGTGACCGTGAGTACCGCAAGAAGGAGGGAGCTGCTCCTGGAGAGTTCAACCCCTCTTTCCGTGGTGGTATCGGACGTGGTCAGAGGCCGCAGGAGGCTTAAGTTCCTTTTTACTCTTGTGAAAAGGAAATTAGGTCTAGCGTCGTATGTCCTGGATTCAAACAAAACAAGCATGTTGAGAGTCTGAATGGGAGTTGTGATTTCTCGCAAGCAAAAGGGATTTTTTTTTGTTGGGAATTCTTCTCTCGTTGTGTTTACGGGCGACAAATGCATATGGGATCGTTTTCTTGTCTCATTCGAATCCATCGGAACATGCTGAGGCCTGTTCAGTTACCGCGTTCATCTTTTTGTGCAAGTTCACCTTTTTTCCTGTGCAATGAATGTCGGGTATATTGAGAAAGCGACAATCGACCGACGCCATATCCACCAGTTATATCCTACCCGCCATATATCTTGCCGACTTCGTTTCACATAGCATACATCTCGACAATACCGTACCTCGGTCCATGGAAAGCCTGTGTGTATATCGTCAGCATGGTATCAACCAGTCAAGCGGAACTTGCCACACCTCCTCATATCACTCTATGATTCTCCTGGCACGTCAACCTCACTTCCCCGTACCAAACCCCTTCAACATCCTACAAACACCCCAAGTCAGTATTCGCACCAACGAAACGAAGGAATCCACATACCCCTTAGCTCCCCTAACAACCCTCTTCTCCCCAAACCCCCCACCCCTAACGACCCCCTCGACTCCCCTCCCCCTCTTTCTCCTCAACGCCCCCAGCGCCTCCCGCAATGCCTCGCGATCACGGTCCCATACACCCACGATGCCGTCGAGTTCGGTGTGGAGGTCGCTGAGGAGGGTGGTTGTGGTGGAGCTGAAGTTGGATGTGGTTGAGAGGAGGGTTTGGGCGCGGGAGAGGACGTCGTGGGCGGATTGGGAGAGGGGGTCCGCCGTGGTGGTGGTGGTGGAGGGGGAGGGTAACGTGAGGGCGGCGAAGGATTCGGTGTGGAAGGTTTCGATTTGGTGCGTGTACCCCGCCCTACTCCTCGTCATCATCAGCATACATCCCTGCTTTACATCTCCAACACCAGGGTATGTACGTACGCAACCTCGACAGCCTCCCTAGCGGACGACTCTAACCTCTTAACTTGTACATCAACATACCGCGTAAACTTCTCCTTCGCAGCAGCTTGTTCCTTCGCTTTATTCGCTGCGGCTTTCGCTGCGAAGGTTTCGATGAGGGCGGTGTAGCTGCCCTGTCCGGCGTCGTTGTCGTTGTCGTTGTCGGAGGAGGAGTTGGAGATGAGGTTTGATTTGCGGTCGGGGGCGGGTTTGACTGTGGGGCGGGGTTTGGTGGACTCTATGGGAGAGAAAGGGTGTTTGTTAGGGAAGTGAAGGACGATGATGAAGGGAAAGGGGCACGTACTGGGTTTGGTGGTAGCGATGGGTTTGGCTGGCATTTTGTCGAGGAAGAATAGGAGCCGGGTGCAATAACTGTCTGTGATGGTCGATGGTCGGTTTGAATGCGGATGCGGATGGTGTGATGCCTGGGGGGGCCGGCCGGGGACCCGCGGTGGGAGATAAAGGGGTCAAGCGTCGAAGACCGTGAGCAAGTCAGCAGACAAATTCCCACGAGTTCGAGACTATCCTGCTAACCATACCATGAGAAAAAAGAACAAGAAAGAAATAAAACGCCCCGCGTACTCCATGCATATCTCAATCTCCCCTCGTAGGAGACAGTTGTGGTATACCAACAATAACCTACACTCAAAGTCCCCTCCACACTCGAACTCGCTCCAGTCGTTCATCTATCTCAACCCAAACCCCTCACTCTCCCACATAGCCCTCCTCAACATCCCCTCCATCTTCTCCCGCCTCTTATACCTCGGCAAAACAATCTGATTAAAACACGTATGCGCAATCGGGAATCTATCCTCCCCACCATTCACCTCCGGCATGACACTGATCTTAAACGCGAGGTTCGCTGCTCCGGTCGCGGGAACACGGTCAGAGCCTGTGACGAAGCGGAGGAGGCGGCGTTGGTCGGCGCCGGGGAGGGAGGAGAAGAATGCCCAGAACCAGGTGATGAGGGGGTCTTTTTCGGGGTTGATGACGGTTGGGGAGGGACCGGCGGGACCACGACGGTAGCCTTCGTAGACTGCGACGGCGCGGATTGCTCCCACGTCGACCCCCTCCTCACCCATCCCGAGTCCACAAACGAGACCCTCGACTTCCTCGGCGTTAAACAGCCCCATCGCATTTCCCCCACAAACACGCCAGAACCCATCGCGGAAGGTTGAGTATTGTGCGTTGACGCTGGTGTTGAGCAGGTACGCCACATACGCGTCCACATACTCTTTCCGATTCGCGTTCGTCACGGACAATCTCGAGCCGTTGGGTACGAGTTCACGGAGGGAGCCGTAGATGTCGTGCACGGTAAAATCCAATCCGAGGACACTCTCGACATCGCCCTCAAACTCGAGCAACTGCCGCAACCCCTTGACGAACTCGGGTTTCCACCCTTCCATATCCTCCAACCCCAGCCTCCCACCCATCAACTTCGTAAACAGTGCGCGGGGGAGCCTCACATCCAATATCGTAGAGTTGTAGATCGCGAGACCGACCACGACGCCCGCGAGGTAGTACTTCTCCAACGCCTCTTTCGACGTCGAGGCAGGATCGAACCACACGACACCACTTGACTCCTCCTCGACGAAAAGTCCATACTTTGGGTCGAAAATCTCGCGAACGAGGATGAGAAACCACTCTTTCCGCAACCCCCCCGCATCAACACCATCTTCGCCCTCAAACTGGATCCGAAGCCCCTTTTTAAGTTCACCCCCTTCGACGGCCCGGAGTTGTCGCATCGAGTCTTCCATGAGATTGGCGCGGCGGATTCGGAGAAGGAGATGTGGACGTACCACCTTTTTGGTTGTGAGGGTCTCGAAGAATGCTTCACGGGCTTTTACCTCCATTTGGCGCCGTGCGTCGTATTCGAGAATTATGATTTTTGAGCCGAGGGAGATAAGGAGTGGATACTGGCAAAACGCGAATCCGCACTCCCCGCGTTCCCAATCTCGGAAGTCGGAAATGAGGTCGATGTAGTCGATCATCGTGCAATAAAATTCGGAGATTGGGAGAGGTGGAGAGGATGTGGACATATTCGATGCAGCATGTAAGAGGGCCATCATTTTTGCAGCGGCTTTAGTGCGCCAGTCGGTTGTGTATTCGTTATCGAGGACGGCAACGAGACTTTTCTTTCCCCTGATCCCATTCCCGACATCGCGGGTAATTTTCTCGGCTTTGGAGAGGCGGTAGGCAATTAACGCACCAACACCCTCCACGACACTACGGAGATCTTCGCGAGACCATTGGCTTAGCCACGTAACGATGATGTGGTGGCCATTATTCCCTGCCCCGGAAACCCACCCAACCAGACGTGAGAGTACTGAACGCTTTTTAGGGACGGAAGGAGGTGAGAGGAGGGTTGAGCGGAGAATGAGGGGGATGAGGCGGAGAGCGGTGGGGGATGTCATTGGCAGTCCGGGGCGGCGGAGGAGAATCTCAAGGGATTTGAGGATGTTGTCGATGAGTGGAGGGGAGTCGAGGGATGTGATGGTTGAAATTGCGCGAGAGAGGGTAGCGTAGTCGATTTCGGGGGTTGTCGGCGATGGCTCATCACCAGTCGAGAACGACGCAGTCAAAGCCTCGAAACTGGCGAAAACCCTCGAAACCTCTTTTTCGAGAATTTCGCGTCCGGCATCATCCTCCATCTCCCAACGCTCCTTGATTTCGTACAATCTGTCTAGCTTCAACGCCTTCGGTAAGCGTTTCGGGGTGATGGGGGAGAGGTCGGTGACGGCTGTACAGACCGTACATCGGTAACAATGGACGTTCGAGGGATATTTGAGACGGGTATCGCAGCAGGCGCATTTACCCTGTACCATTGTGGAGGGTTGTGGCAACGTCGGTACTGCACTTCGTTTGCCGACGATCATACCGCTTGAAGGTGCGGCCGCTGGCGGAGCACGAAGAGGCGAGGATAGCATGTTTTGTGTCGTGGTGTTGTTGGTCAGCGTATGCTGTTGTCCGTCCTGGGTTGTTGGGTGATCACACTTAAGCTTTCCGGACGGGAAGCATGAGATCTAGGAGAACCAGGACGACACAGCTTTATAATACAGCAGAAGGAATAGAGCTGTTGATAGCAAGAGCTGGGCCTCGTCGATCGGGATGAATGCGCTGAGTGGTCACCTGCTGGTGGTGAAGGGCTCTGGTACGGTCCGTTGCCTTACACACAGCTGAGAGAAGGGACGCGCCCGTGCTTACATGATCGCGCGTAATCGATAACGATAACAATCGACCATGAGAAAGTCACCTTCGAGTACGTTCATGATATTGAATCGTCGACATCCTTAAACCCTGAAATTTCGCCAGTTCACCACATTCATCCAGCTCGCCCTCGAATGCGTGGCCGTGACAAAGCGGAAGGCGTGGGAACTGACTTTGTTAGCTATGCCAAAGATGCTGGACGTGCTGTTGAAACTGCTGGTTGATTGGATGCAGAAACCCGGAAGTGTTCCGGTGTGTCAGGAAGTCAGAGCAGTTGGAGGGCCGTCATTCGACCCTTTCGATTGTCCGACCTTCCAAATTACCAATTCAAAGTTTGTCCGATGTCGCATCGTTTCGAACTTTGCATTTGTGTGTATTGTACCCACTGCAGAAGCTAGTTCAAGTTCCAGTACAGCACCCTATAGCCCCCAGTGTCATTTATGGTGTAGCGGCTGACGCTCAAACTCAATTCAACAAGACTAAAGCAAATCGTAAAGACATGTTTCGCGCGTTATCTCAGTATATGTTTTATTTGCCCAACCAACACCACAATCCGTTATGGTCTAGGGGCTAGGATACTTCGCTCTCACCGAAGAGGCCGGGGTTCGATTCCCCGTAACGGAACTTCTTTTTGCTTGCGTTCCTGGGTTGTTGCGGGGCCTGCAGGCTTCACCTGAAGTGTCAGAAGTTGCTAAGTTGCGTTAACGTTGTCGGTTTCTCAATTGCAATTGCCCTGTACGGTAAGATCTGCGGGCTCGAGGGTCGAACGCGACCGCGACTGCGACGTACCCCACACCCAAGGCCCAGGGCCGCCGCTGACCAGTAAGTACGTCCAGCAGCTACGAAATAGACGGCACGAACCCACGTCCCGGCACACCATTCACATACCCTACTCGGCTCAACCGCCATCCCTCTACCATCTCGGGCGGCTAGCGAGCACATCCCGACCAATGTCGATGTCGTCCCCACCCACAGCCGAAACCACACCGGGTTTCACGACGGTCCAACCCCTCGACCGTAGTCTCTTTACGTTATTGCCACGTATCCAGATTTTGTTCGACAAACTCTCGTCTGGGGCCGCACAGAATGAAGTTACTGCCGAGGTACGTCTCTCTCTCCCTCTCACGACGGGATACAACCGCTGATTGTTAGAGACAGGCACACGCACTACGCGAATCATTCTCGAAAGCGAAAGAGGCGGTAAGTGGGATCGAGGGTCAAGAGTTGAGTTTGGAGGCACAGAGGAGGGTTATTGGGAGGATTGAGGAGGGGATTGAGAAGAAGAGGTACGCGTTTCTGTCCACGAGATGTGGGGGTGGGGCTAACTTCGTGGGAGTAGGAATACGTTGAAGATGCTTGTGGATGGGAAGATGGATGGGGGAGGGGAGACTGGGTGGGGAGGAGGCTGTGGTTGGGGAAGAGGTGAAGATGGAGGGTGTGGATATGTCGTGAGATGATAGTGGGAGGCCGCCGGAGACCGGGTAAGGCCATGGAGAGAGTTGTCCGGTTCTGGACATTGAGTTGATCTATGAGGTGAGGCACCGGCACCACGTTCGTCGGGATGATCGGGTGGGAATCGAGCGCGACCGACGACACAGGCTGGCCGTCTTTCGAGAGCACGGGAACACATTGGACAAAGGCGTGACGCAAACAGCTCGTCCATGTCATGGCCAAGCAAGGATGAAGTATCACCGTCACGGGGCCGGTTTTTGGGTACCTCCTCAGCGGTTACTATGCATGATGGGGTGTCCCAACCAAAGCGGATGGCCATGGTCATGAGATGCAATTGCAACAAACAGAGCAAAGGAGTACACGGGATTGCACTAGAAGACACACAAGTAGACAAATATGACGAGCCCCATTCCGTTTCTTCCCATTTCCTTCCCGTCGTCTAAGCTTTCCTAGCATTGTCGCCGCCTGTAAGGTGCACAGGTAGGGTGCAGTAGTAGGGCTGCATGGCGTCCGCGGAATGTCAACGTTTTGAGTGAGCGGTGATATAGAGGAAGGGTGTTCAAAGGTGTTCAAATATACGCTCTCTATAACCTTCTATCAACAGTTCCGGCTACTATCAGTGAGGAATTCGATCTTCAGGCGAAAAGCTTCAGTCGGCGAGAAAGGAAATTACACCTTGTGTTTATCTGAAATTGAGAACGGGCCTGAACTCAGCTCTGCCGCCGGAACCGAAACATACGAGAGATTATTCGGTTCGAGAGAGGACAACACGGCCGCGAACTCACGAATACACGACTGGTTCTTCCGACCAAGGACAATCGTTCCGTTTAAACGTCTTTTCTTGTCGACTTCAATTCCCTTTCTCAGATAACGCGTTAGACGTCACTGTGTAAGGGAGGGCTCCGCCTACGTTCGTCGGTGTGCCCCTTTTTGTCTTTTCGACCTCGACACTGTCAGTTCGAATTCGTCTTTCGCTCGTCTATGGTCTAGTGGCATCGTCTTGACTTCTTTATCGGCGTTCATTACAATTGGCATTGAGAAGATACCCCTATACAGTACGAACAGCAAGATGCTTCCACTATCTACAGTACTATTGCTCGCATCGGTCTTCGCGGGCACGGTAGTTTCAGCATCGTCACAACCACATGAGGGCGCTCCTCCATTATGGTGTCTCGATCATCTGGACCCGTTACGTCCGACATCGTACGTGGTGGTCGATTGCTGGCCGTCGTCATCAGCTACGACACTTCAACGCCGTCAAGCGACCAATGCGTCACTGGGTACGGCAAACAAGACAGACACTAATGTCACCACACCTGCGACTTCTATCTTCGCATCTGCGCCTTTGTCACCAATAGAAGATATTCTGCTGTTACCAGCTCTCTCGGCTCCCGATAATTCCTCTGCGAACATGTTCAATTTTACCACGACCTGCGGTACCGGTGCCGATGCGACGATTTGTTCGGGGATGGAGTCGGTGTTTCAGGAAGCTGGGTGGATGATCAGCCAAATCCTCGAAATCAACGCCACGATCAACGTCAACGCAACCATCCTCCCCTTCGGCCTCGGATTATCCTCCTCCGCCAACAAAGCTGGATCGAATATCCAATCCCTCGGTGGTGCGGCACCAGCACGTACCGTCCCCCTCATGGACGCAGACAACCACGCCCGCTTCTACCCACAAGCTGTTGTTCGACAATTCAACTCCTCCGTCACCCAAAACGTCGAGTTTTCGGAGTTCGATATCACGATGCAGATCAACTCTGACGAAGACTTCTGGTGGACGAATAAATCCGCGTCGATTGGGGAGAAGGAGTATGATCTTCTTTATGTTACGCTTCATGAGTTGATGCATGGATTGGGATTCTCGAGTGCGTGGGAGGATTATATTCATCCCGCAAGCCCGACGGCGTTGACCCCGAATATTTTGTTGACGTATCCGAGTACGACGAGTGGGGACGCTGGGGACGTAACGTTTGGTGGGTTTGTGGAATATGCGTTTGATCGCTTGTTGCAGTTTAATCAGTCGGATACGTTGACGGGGTTCGAGTATGTGTATGCGACGAATGTTACTACGGAGTTGAATACGCTGTTCCCTGCGTTGTTGAATGTGACGTACGCAACTGCTGCGAACCTAACCAGTGCGTTCTTGGATGATGACGCTGCTGTGGGGTTGGCGGAGCATATGCTGGCGCAGGCGACGACGGCGTATTCGATCTCGTTCTCGCACCCGCTCATCAATTCGTCTTCTTCGAATAACACCGGCATGATGCTCGAGACTTCGATTGCTCCCTTCTCCTCCGGGTCATCTATCTCGCATTTCTCGGACGCGGAGTACGCCGCAACGCGCGATTTCCTGATGGGATATGCACAGGTTTCGGGTGTGACGCTGCAGCAAACGATGGCGAGCGTGGGTGTTCCCGATGGAGACGCGTATGGGCCTTTCGGACCGGGATTGAGGATCGTGTTGGCGGGGTTGGGATGGAGGGTCAGGGGTGGTGTCCCGGGACAGGGAAGTGTTGCTGAGCCGGGGGTTGTGAGGACTGTTAGTAGTGGAGGCGCTGATGTGCTGAAGGCGAAATCGGTGTCGATGGTGGTGGGAGCTGTTACACTGGTGATGTGTCTGATGACACTGCTGTAGAGACGAGTATCGGACGTGTTACCTATATCAGATGGGTGGGAAATCAGAATGGGCGGAGGACAGGCTCAAGAGGCTATGGTTGGATAGAACTTTCGATTTGGGTCACAGATCGGTTTGCAATCGGGGAGGCGGGATACTTTTACTACATTTTCTTATTCATGGGTTGCAGCTGGTTACGCTCGTGACTACAGGAGCATTGGGAGTAGTCAAACATCTGCAAAATTTACAGCGAATTAGGTTATAATCCAGGGCATAATGCGCTGAGGTCAGACCAACCCTTACAAAACATAGACGGATTATTTTGTCAGCGGGCGGTTAGCTCCCGCTCACGTGAAGCATGCATGGTGTAACGGATGGAGTAGTAAGAAGTGATTGTTATTCGAATGTAGAAATAAAGCTACCAAAACATCCCCTTTATATAGTAAAGTTCTGTACCGGCTTCTAGGAAGCCTACTACTAGTACATCGACGGCCCATGGCATGGGCCGTCCGTTTTGGGCGACGCTAACCCGTTTGTGGAAACGATCGGCGGATGCGGAGACGGCCCATGCCCTCAAGGCGGCCCATGCCCTCAGATTTGTGCGCTGAGCTGCTAAGTGCCTACAGCGTACAGCGTACAGCGTACAGCTACTACTCCCTCGCTGTCGCTACAGTCTACAGCTACAGCTTACACCCTCGTCGTCGCTACAGCATACTCCCTCGCCGTCGCTGTCGCTACAGGCTATTCCCTCGCTGTCGCTACAGGCTATTCCCTCGCTGTCGCTACAGGCTATTCCCTCGCTGTCGCTACAGGCTATTCCCTCGCTGTCGCTACAGGCTATTCCCTCGCTGTCGCTACAGGCTACTCCCTCGCTGTCGCTACAGGCTACTCCCTTAGGGTTAGGGTTAGGGTTAGGGTTAGGGTTAGGGTTAGGGTTAGGGTTAGGGTTAGGGTTAGGGTTAGGGTTAGGGTTAGGGTTAGGGTTAGGGTTAGGGTTAGGGTTAGGGTTAGGGTTAGGGTTA